GTGATTCGCTCGGTGGGGTGATTCGCTCGGTGGTGGACCACGTTACCCTCCATCATGTACGATATAATGCCACTTGTAGCACATCGGTTGATCGCCGAGCATGAGTGAATCGTTACCGAGCCTGGTATGTCTTACCTAGGGCTGCTTCGGATCAATGGAGAGAGATCTCAACGTGACTCTTCCGTATATGTCTGACGTGAAACAGAAGACTTTCGATTTGCGTGTGGCTGGCCCTTCAGAGGGGAGCACTCGTCGTACATGTATGTGCCGAGTGAGTTGAGCGTAGGTGTGGATGGTGATGGATATTAGTATGGTTCCGAGCAAGTCGAAGTTGAAACGCGGACGTGAATGTCATACTGTGCACTGTCTGGAAGATAGAAGAGTGTTCTTCTGTTGTTCGTTGGTAACGCCATAGACAACGTTTTCTACAGTCGCGTGCACAACACCAAAAGCAGAAGGTTCGGAATGGATACATAACTTCGTAAATATTAGAAATTTCGCTATGCATATACTGAGATGCTACAACATTGTCCCCCCCGCACGTCGTCAATATTCGCGCAAGTTTTCATCGCAACACCAGTCGACCCAACATGATCCTCAACGCATCAGCACCCTCTTTTCCACCCTCACCCAATCCCTGCTCAATCCTCTTGACGAGGTCCTCCGTCTTCCCTCTCAACTCATCAATAACACCCTTCGAGTACTCAAAGCTTCCCTTACTCTCCATGTACTTTAGCGCATAGCGTTTGACCTCCTCATCCGTCGTTTTCTGCTTCAAAATATTGATCAGGATCTGGTTGCTCGGGTCGGCACGTATCGCGTGGATGACGGGAAACGAAAATTTGCCTTCTGTGAGGTCTTCGCACAGCCCTTTGAGGGACGAGTAGCCAGAAGTTGGGGAGAGGTTGAGGTGGTCGTCGAGAATTTGGAAGAGGAGGCCGATTGTGGAGACAAGGGGTGCGCAGTCGCTGTGCTCATGTCAGTAGTGGTTTACGGCGGAGGAGGGAGTCGTACACCTGTATCGCGCTCTCGGCCTGCATGAGCTTGATAGCTAGTCTGAAGAGTCCACCAGTCTTGTTGCCTACCATCTCGAGATAATCTGCCTCGCTGGGACATGTCAAGCTGTCTCTCCAGTATAGATCCATGCCCTGCCCTCTGTGCAGGTTCAAGAGCTCCTCTGTGAAGATCTCGATGAGCTTGGGATTACCCATGTGCATCAAGTCCTGCAGCGCCTTGAAGTACACGTAATTCGCCGAATTGATCGTCTGCGCAACACCGAATATGCTGTTTGCAACAGGGATGCCTCTCCGTAACATCGAGTTGTCTTCCACATCATCGACCAGCAATGACGCTGTGTGCAGCATGCCCACCACTCTCGTTATGATCTCGAGCCGCTCAGGTGGTACCTGCAGCCACAGGTTAAACGCTGCTATACATTGCGACCGGATATCTTTTCCTGGATGTCCCCAGAGGTAGTCGTATGGCCCTAGCAGAATGCGCTCCTTCTCTTCTGTCCATGCCGCGCCGTTGCCGTATATGAGGTCTTCGCCTAGATTCTTTGTGTCGCTCGGCGGGGAGAGCGGGGTTGGATAATTCGTGCTGACTTCTTCGAGATTCATGGGTTCCGAGTGCGATTGTGTGTGCGAATTCGAATGTGGTTGTGTGCCGTTGAGAGGCCCTGTAGAGGCGTGTGACGTCTTGCTCTTTTTGCTTTGGCTCATCCAGTCGATCTCGGAGAGCGGGCGCAGTACGCTGTGACGTGGATATATAGGTTGGCCGTTCGCGACCTGCCCTGAAGAGCTCGTTCGGGGCGGTATGGCGTTTGGCGAGGCGAAAGGATGTGTTTCAGTCGACATGATTCGCGAAGGTGGAGCTTATGTAGATGCGCGGGTAATGCTGATGTACGTGCCTGGAGTGCCAGACACCGAGGTCGATGCGGGGCAAAGTACAGAAGAAGAGATCTGCGACAAGGCTGTATGCAGCTCTTGACGCGTGCAAAGGCCTCAGTCGGTCGCGCTGGGATCGCAATACGGAATGCACGGAGGCCGAGGCGTATTGTTGAGATAATTGATTCGGAGACCGCTTGAGTACCGCGGAGGCCTCAAACTACGGAGAATCGCGAGGTAGAGGAGACAAGTAGCGATTCCACGACATAGGCCAGAGATCACTTGTAGGTATCAGCAGGACGCTTAAAGCTCCAGGCACAATCGTGCATAGGCCTCGAACATGACGCAGTCTTCGGCAACTGTGGGCCGGCGATCGCGCTAGCGCACCATGGCTGACTGCTCTTCTCACATGAATGGAATAGCTTGAACAGCACGCAAGTGTTCGCTGTATCAATGGTCTGCACAGCAGCAGGGAACGCGTCTTCGCGAAGTTTGATCTTCGAGGCCGATGTTGATTGGATCTTGGCTTCTTACGTCAAGAATGGTCATAATTGCATTTGAAATATGTGACGAGCTGGAGAGCAAGTATTCCGGTGATCTATTGTGTGAGACCACTGTCCTTGCAATCGAGAAGATGACACGTGTATCTATACAGAGGAGAGATGAGCGATCACGTGGCCCAGCCAATACGAAGATGGGAGCTCGTGGCTCATGAGAGGCTTGAGCCTCACGAGGCCGAGCGCGCGGCAGCGCGCGACAAAATAGTATTCCCGAACTGATTACTACACGGCCGAAATTTGCCAGTACCCTCATGTAGCGACAGAAATGAAAGATGTACTGATAAGCAGGCCAGCCATGATCTTAGTGCTGGCATTGGCGAACTCCATATTGGCGCGCCAGTAGCAGAACCCTATAATGTTGGTGTAGGTAGCAGATAGAGTGGTGCGCCCTGATAAACCGAACGACAATCCTAGCGAATACTTAGTCGGTGCCCTTGACGCTAAGTGATGCCGCTGACCTTCGCGACCTTCCTCTTCTTTACGGATTTGTTGACCACGACACGCTTCTGTTGTAGCTCGAGGGTCCTGCCCAGCTCTTTGTTGAACGCCATGCGCCTCTGTGCACCCGAGCGATCCTGCGGGTTGCTCCAGTGATTTCGTGCCAAGCTCTCACTAGATACTTCCAGCACGTCGAGAGCGGCATCGAACCTCGCCTTTTTGCGACCAACAGCTTCGAGCCAAGGGAATGCGTCGCGGCAGGTCTGCTGGGCAGCGTTCTCGGATTCGCGGCACTGGCCAACGCTGCAGTCGATGTAGAACTTCTTCAGGTTGTTGGCCCAGATCAGGACGGCGAAGCAGGCGTTATTGTATGCTCTCAATGTGCTACCATAGCCCCATCCTTTAAGGCGCATAATCTTAAGGCGTGAAGCGCTGATGCTAGGGTCAAGGTTAATCATACAAGAGTAGAGAGCAATTGGATCTGCAAAGATAAGTTCGTTGCTGTACAAGATATCGCACCCTTCATGATAAACTTGCTTATTCACAGCAAAAAGGGAGAGAACTAGCTCTGTGGCCTGTTCTTTAGCGTTGTTGTTGATCCTGTGCGACTGATAGTATAACCTGCTACCAGTAGCCTGTCTAAGGGACTTAGTCGAGACGCTCTCTGCACAACGGCGCTTGCTGCGTTGGACTGCGACGAACTTGATGTCCGATGGATCCATGGGCGCGTAAGAGTAGATCATGTTGCGTATCTCTGCTGGCAGCTGGAGGAAGGGAAAGAAATTGCGTTTAGGAAGCGGTCTCGATGCTGCAGGCTTGCGTGGCTTCTGGGGTGAGGTCAGTATCGCTGGGGTGCACGAGGCGCAATTGGCGGACCTTTGCCCTCACGACCTCTTCCTCCGACTCGGCATCGGTCTTGTCAACACCCAGCTTTTCTATGCGGTAGTTGACCTGGGTTCGCTTGCGCTTCGAGTAGCGTCCAGACGCAAATGTCGGTGGAGGTGCGCCGGGTTGGGACATCGCAGGCTGAACGTAAGCAGCTGACAGTGTGATGGTTTCGAATTTGGAGGGCAGTTGAGCTGTGCATGGGTGGAGACGCATGTAACACAGATAATCACGAGAAGAAGGCGTTGTGAGGCGGCTTCAATAGCAAGTTGTGTGAATACTAAAGGTGAGGATCAGCTGCTTTGCGAATCGGTCGTTAGCGTAGGCTGCAACTGGGACGAGCAGGGGTTAGTAAGGCGTCAATCGACGGCGCCTAAGATCAATGTAGTTGTGGTGACGATTTCAATTACCACATTTCTGTAGCAAGTGTTTGGTGTTGCTCGAACTGGACGTGAGGATTGAGGGTTGACGGAAAGAGCGTCACGAAAGCGCGTCACCACTGCTTAGTCACCTGGGCACTAACCCTTTTCGGAGGTAAAATGAAGGCTCGCACTTTGCGCAGACCGGCAACAAGATGGCATCAATCGAGTCATTGTGTACTCTTAAGCTCGAGTTACCGCCGAGCTGCATCGAGTTCTGGCCTCTTGACTCGCAGTATGCTGTAGTTGGAACCTACAACCTCGAGAAAGAAGATGGGCAGGGCAGCGGCTTGTCAGATCCTGCGCAGCATGAGGGGCAGAAGAAGGAGCAACAACGCAACGGGAGCTTGATCCTGGTGCATGTGGAAGGGGATGACGTGTAAGTAATTATCTTATAGCTATGTGATCCTCAGGTCGAATGTGAAGCTTATCCTCCCTCTAGTAAAATTATCCAGACGCTTGCAACTCAATCGGCTATTCTCGATGTACATTTTCTCCTGCAGGAGGGTGCAGATTCCATATTCGGTGTCGCCACGTCAACAGGCTCTATGGGTATCTACCAGCTGGACCAAGAATCTTCTGGCGATGTTCCAGAGATGATGCTCCTTCAGACCATCCAGTACTTCCCGGAAAATGAGCTGATTACCGCCTTCTCATGGCATCCTGAGCAATCAGCAGTCGGCATGACACTGTCAACGGGAAAGGTGTGTCTTGGCAAAGTCGACTTGGAGAACCCTTCGCACTTGGATGTTGGCCTGCATGAGCTCGAAGCGTGGACCCTTGCCTTTCTACCAGATGGAACGGGCATCTACTCCGGTGGCGACGACTGCGCTTTGAAGTATATGGAGCTACCGCGCGACCACCCAGACAGTAAAGAAGAGATCACTGGAGCAAACTATGCGCCTTCATGGATCATGTCGTGGTCAGACAAGAAGGCCCACAACGCCGGTGTTACCGCCATCCTGCCCATTCACGTAGATAGCGGGAACAGCTGGATCGTCACTGGCAGTTACGACGATTGTATACGCCTGATCCACGCTCCTACCGTCGGTCGTCGACTGGTGCACGCTGAGATGGACCTCGGAGGTGGAGTGTGGCGTCTGAAGGTCCTGGACAAGAAACTTGCGCCTGCAGCTGCAGTCAACTCGAGCGAAGCGACACAGCCGCCTGAGGGACTTTTACTTCTTGTCAGTTGTATGCATGCTGGTGCACGTATCGTTGAGCTTGTTCGTAATGGCGATGCTTGGAATTTCGAGGTTCTGGCCAGGTTCGAGGAGCACAAGAGCATGAACTATGGGAGCGACTCGCAGGTCAAGCTTAACGAGCAGGGCCAACGGACATTTATCTCTACAAGCTTTTACGATAAGTTGCTGTGCCTTTGGAGGTATTAAGGAGAGGCAGGGGCGTTTAGTTGTGCGAAGAAACCACTGGAATTGATCCTGCCCATCGTGACAGCACTGCAACCACGCAAGGACCTTCAGGATAGTGTAACATCTAAAAATCAATGACTCTAAACCGATAGTTGATTTACGAGCAATGTCGATGAGGTCAGGGTCAAACGTGGAGTCTGGAGCTGGTCAGAATATTGGCACCGCAGAGGCACATTGTGATAATGCGTTAGACGCTAACAAAATCCGGAGAAGTACGTTGGGGAGACACGTCGATGGTGAGCTTTAAGATTTTCGGTTTCTTTTTCCGGGTCCATTGACGGTATTATATGCAGCCAAATGAGGCGACGCCAGAAGAGGGAATGAAACAAGGAACCCATCCACCTTCGCAAGCTTGCTAAAAGCGGCACAATACACGAGGGCGAGACCATTTAACAGGCCAAACGCAACAGCAGAAATTGCAGACCAGGAAGAATCTTGATAGAACAATGACCCCTGATCAGAAACCCACAAAACCCGCCCTAACGCCGGACTCGAAGAAGAAGAAGAAGTCAGCTGCTTACACCAGACCATAGCCCGGATATGAGCTCATCACCTTGTCCTCCAGAGCTGCCCATCGTTTCTCGTACATACGCGTTGCCCTTTTATCCTCATTCAGGAAGCTTTGTATACGCTCGATCAACTCGTTCTCAGACGTTGAGGGGGCTTGACCTGCACCTGCCCCCAGCACCTGTTCTCCTGGATGTGTAAAATGAGTGGCGTCATACTGCTGCTCGAGAGAAGCGACGGGGAGGGGGGGCTGCTTCCCGGCAGAGCGGAAGGAGAGAGGCTGATCGTGAACAGCAACGAGAAGTGGAGGTTGCTCTCTAGATGCAGGGGCGGCGTCGAGGTTATGTTGCTCGTCAAAAGTAGTAAAGAATGGGGATATCTCCCCAAGGCCAGCGAAGACTCTCGGCTGATGTTGCTCTCCAGTGGCAGGGAAAAGGAAGGGCTGCTCGTAAGCAGGAGCTGCACCGAAATGTTGCTGCTGGGCAGCAACGCAAGGGCCAAGGGGGGCAGGAGCGAGACGGGCAGGGTGCTGCTGCAACTGATCGGCAGAAGTAGGGTACTGCTGCGGAGAAGTAGGGTGATTGAAGAGAGGCCCGCTTGCAGAGTAGAAAAAGTTTGCCGGCGAACGGTGGCCGAGCCGAGGTTGTGGAGCGGCATGGTGAAAGGAGGGGAAACCCTCTTGTGTTCTCCATTCACCAGGCGCAAATTGCATCTCACGGGGCAGCTGCGGAGGAGGGATACCTGGTACTTGTCCAGCAAACCAGACGCGTTGCCCATTTGGCCGACTCCATTGAACCCTGCCCAGCTCTCCGGAACCAGTGACCCGGAACCAAAAACCTCGATCGTTGCGGTAACAGCCTGGTGGAAGCTGACCATTGAAGAATTCCCTGACACTCTCGATACCAAGAGCCAACAGGTCATCATTCTCCAAGCGAGTACTCTGCGCATAATCGCAAAGCATATTTACTCGTCGTCTCGGTTGAGCACGCAAGTAACGGCTCTTCTCCTTATGATTCCTGCATCCGATGACAGGGGGAAATTCAAATGCCATAGACATTGTGACTGAAGCTGTGTTCTGAAGAGTGTTAGTCGCAACAATGGTGCTCGTACGAATAGACTTACCGCTTGTGGTGAGCTTTTCCTGGAAGTTGCTGAAGTGGTTATTCAGACTTGTTGCTGATCGGAACCCTGATCTGCCATTTTTCGAAGAACCGGATGGTATTCAGCGCGGAGAGAGGGCAGATGTTCATATAGTTCCAAGAATTCGAATTTTACAGCTTCGTGGGAGTATGTTCACATGAACCAAATGACTCTGGCGGCAGCCTGAGCTGGGTGTTTCCGAAGGAACTTCCCATAGGCTACAGGTGAATTGAACCATCGAGCAATTTTCTCTCGTCTTCTGGTTCTGCGTCAGGTCTACTTTCGTCTTCTGGTTCAGTGCAGAGTCGTCCACTCAGGGTTCATGAGCTAGCAACACAGTCAATTGGTTCAGCACAGTCCATTCTAATGATCTACCGAAGAATTCGTTCCATTGACAACCGGTAGCTACGTATGTCAGAGCCATAATTCGTCTCCCATTGAACGATTGTGCCATGGAGGATTTTTTGCAATCCTACAACCCACCGATAGCGCTCACTTGCTTGATCAGGAATGACCACGAGTATAGTCTTTGCGTTGAAGCCGCTTATGAGTGACCATTGGTATCCATCCTATCATCTGTGCTTCTTGTGCTGTGATTTTCTCCATCATGAATATTACTTGTAGAGACGGCCATTGAGGTTGCACACAAAGTCTGGTTCGACGGCTGACGTAACAACATGTAGAATGGTAGGGGGGGATGTGATTGGAGTATTTGAAAGGGTCTACATTGTCATTTGGTTCCGGTGCGGAAAAGGTTGTTCGGCTCTCGATATTCGGTAGCTAGCACTAGCGGTAGTACCAATAATGCAGGTACCCGTTGACCCCGGGATAGAATCATTTCCAGGAGCGTTGTGTTGTTCCGGAAGTTGAGTTGCTGATGAAAGGCAGAAATCCACGTTCATATATGCTGTTCGAAAGCTACTCTCAGCTCAGCCATGGCTTTCGTGCATACTTAGGCATGACAACAGCTCGCCTTACTGTAGCGATGCCTGGTTTCCTGAACAAGTATCTTCCAAAGTGTTCAGCTGATACCTGGAGGGCGATTAGCCACCCTATTTTTCGTCTTCGCCTGCTTTCCCCGCGGATGCGACCCATTCTGCAACACGCAAGCAAAGTAAAGCTTCAACAACAACGTGTGCGAGTAGAGAACTTGAGATCGGACATTGTTGAAGAGATGCGCAGCTCGACGTGGAGGACTCTGCACGTGAATGCAAGGTGGGGGCGGACGCTAGCCCGGCGCGGACTTCACCCCTGCATGAAACCTCGATGTCCGTCATCCCTGTCTGTGATGCACTCTCCACATCGCACACGACACTTCACTAGTTCTTCAAACACGGAATGTCGAAAGTCTAAGGCAAAGATTACGACCAAGACAGAGCTAAAGTGTTCGAGAAATGTCAGTCGAAATACAGCCACCCTCAGAGCTAGCATCATCGACACGCAACGCCCAGGCTGCCAGCACCGCGCACAGCTGCCCGTCATGTGGCACACTTGTCGCACTTGACTTTGAGGGCACAGGAAACGCTGCGAGGCTTATCAGAGAACTGCAAGCGCAAATGGAGGTGCTAAGGGAGAAAGCGACAGCTGCCGGTACGTTCACGAAGTGGACCAGCCTCCATCATCTGCCTCAGCATGCTCACGCTTCGTGTAGTGAACAAGTGTACCGACTACGAAGACCAGATTCGCACACTGAAGATCGCGCCGTCCAGCAACAGCCAGCCAGTACGCAGCAACACCTCGGACTCAGTTAATTATTCCTCCCCAGACAACCGCCCACCGACGACAACGCCCACTCACGCCAGGTCACAGTCCCGGTTCTCCTTCCTCACTGGGAGACTGACGTCGCCCGTGAACTCGACTACCGCGCCGCCTGTAGACTCGACGACCGTGCGGCCTGTGCCTGCTGGAGCAGATCCCGATCCCGATCTTTTGCATGAGCTCGAGCGCGAGCGTGCACTACGAGCGAAGGCGGAAGACAGAGTGCGCACAGTAGATTCGGAGATTGAAGAGCTGAGTGTGACCCTTTTCTCGCAAGCAAACGAGATGGTGGCAGAGGAGCGACGAGCACGAGCGAAGCTGGAACAGCGGATAGAGCTCCTTGAAAAGAAGGACAGGGATAAGATGGGACGGCTGGACCGTTTGGAGAAGGCCGTCAGCAGGCTCGACCGTGTCAAAGCCATGCTGGGCAAGGATGACACAATGAGCACTGCGAGCAAAGCTCTCCCTGCACCACCAAGGGACTAACTGCTGAGCAGTTGTTCGTTTGCGGCATGTTTTTGTCTGATTCCACAGGACCACTACAATTCCTCGCGACTTTACTTTGAGATACCCCGCACGTTTATTGGATTTGAGCGTTGAGCATAGAGCAGGCGCATTGACGTTGTAAGTATTAGCACATTATTTGAAAAGCAGACAGTCATGTAGACAGACGTGTGACATACGATGCATACCATCGCTCGGTCCCGGTGACGTATCCGATAAGCAGGACTACCGGTCGACAAACCAAATGTTGGACTGGAATGCAGCAAACACCGCGATTATCTAGTAACATAGCGCCAGAGTATACCGCTCCATCCCTCCCCGGGAGAGCACAATCCAGCTTTATCCACCGATCTTCCCATACGTGGTGTGAGCCCTGTTGGGGGCCTGCACACCATCACTTCTTTCTGCGCTCGTAACTTCGTGTACCACCGTCTTCGTAATGCCGCTATCGGCATTCCCAGGCAGTATGTCCTTCTCACTATCGTCATCATTGTCTGCGGTAGAGCGACCCATCGGTTTGCTGTAGGGTTTGCTGACGTTGTATAGTGGTATACTTCTTGGCGTCTTCGATCTCGTTATGAACGTCGACGACAGCATGCTGCGAAACATCTTGTCGAACACTTTTCGCAGAGGTGGCAGACTCGCGATTAAGATGCCGACTGAGAGCTCTGTCGCACTCCAGATCGTCAAGTTCACGCCATCCCAGGTTGGGTCCTTGGTCTTCTTGAGCGCACTTAGCTCTATAGTCTTGAATATCGAACACACGGTTCCTCTGTGGCTCAAGTCAGCTCACTATTACATGCCGCTAGATCTGTCCGGAATGCCCACATTAGACCCAGCATAAAGACAATCCTGAGACCCCACTGCGTCCGCCTTGCCAGCTGGATAGCCGAAAGGTACAAAATTGGTGCCACAACATACACGACATCCGTGATGATGTTGGTAACACCCTGCGCATACGTCAAGACCGTATGTCCCTTGTACCAGCAATGGCCTGTTACGCTACGGTTCCAGTTGGCTTCGAAAGGGACGCAGTTCAGCAGACCCATACATGGTAGGATGCAGTTGAAAACCGCGACCATGAGAATCGAGGCCCACACGATACCCGTGTAGACCTTAGAGAACTTGAGAGCCAGTAGATATGCGCAGATCGAGAATTTTAGAACGGCGACCCCCATCAGGTTGATAATTTGCCCGACCCAGACATGGTAGCTGTACCCCAGGAGATCCTCGGGCTTCTTAATCGAGGGGTCAGCGATGTGTCGACCTTGTGCCAAGGCGGTGGTTTGAAAACGAAGACCCATCGTTGTCAGGTTCAATATCTATGTATTGGTCAGTGCTGTTTTCTCTTCGTACGACTTGAAGCTTACCCCCGCGAAGATTAGCAAATAGTCGCAGAACAACAGCTTACGTTTGTTCTGAATCGCATATACGACCCGCCAAAGTAGCACCGCTGTGCTGAGAATACCGATGCTGATGGTTGTCCCTAATATCTGGTTCCTTCGATCCGGCCATTCCTGCTGTGTATCCGCCATCCTGGCTACTGGGTGAGGGATCTGATATGCCCAGGACGATCTCAAGCGAACACTGCGTCAAAGTGAACAAAGGCCGAGTGGGCCCAAAATTCCAGGTGAACGGAGCGATGAGAGCGACACAAGAAGTATCTTACTCATAACGACATCTCACGTAGGTATCCCTAATTCCAGTCCTGCAGGCAATCTTCTCTGCGATATGCAGCCAAGAGGGCACGTCTAGGGTCTGTTTCGCATGACTCTCATCTTTTTCTGGCTCGACCCTCCCCAACAAGCCGTTGATCCGCGCGTACCTGCACCCGAGAGTATCGCCGATTATTACTGTGACAGCGGAGACCTTTTCTTTTTTCTTCCCAATCACTAGACGTCTCGAGTCAGACGGTCAGGACCGCTATGGGAAACGAACATCATGGTACGCAATTGATCACTTCAAGGACAGCACTTCACCGAAAAAATCTCGAAGACGCAGCGTTAGCGAAGCTCTCTTGTATTGCGGTGGTCAGCTTCACAACTTCGTACGATTGTTTCTGTGCTTTCGATTGCTCTCTTCTACCTACACGCGTCCAGCAAACCCATTTGAGCCATCATCACCGAATCTCGATGGTCGATGGCACATTGGTATCCCACGTGAAGAAGACCTTAGCCCGATACAGGCTCCCGACAGCGGATAACACCAGCGAAGGCACGTTCCGTGACTGATATGAAACGTTTAGCTGGTAGAAGACCAGGGTTTCCTCCGAGAACGCCACAGGGGAGCGGGATCGCGAGGTCGACATCTGGACACGGATAATGTTGACTCGTGGGGTGTAGTGAACATCGGAGATGCCATTCCCAAGAGTCATGCAGCCGGAAGAAACATTAGGGAGGAAGTTGCCGAATTTGAGAGCAAACAGCAGAGATGCCGGATAGATGACTCCGGGGTCTTTGCCATCCATTAGGTACGACGATGCTACCTTCCATCGTGTCTTCTAGTGTATGCAGCGACGATCTGGCATAGAACCGGCGCATTGGTAGATATTTAGACCAGAAAGTGGGATGGCCAGGTCTTGGAACGCTTGCAGAGCTTGAGCAACTACGCCGCATCTAGGAACTGATCTCCCGAACAGAAAGGATTCTTTTTCTTGACATCCACAATAATATTGAGTGCCCACGAGAGCGAGTCGGGCCGTTTCGTGTGGGTTGCACTTCAACACACATTACAGCACACGTGTCACACATTGCAACGATGACCAGGCGACGAATAGTGCAAGATAAAGAGCCGTCCAAAGCAGCGACGGGAGGCCAGTAATCTCTCGAGACGCTTTGCCCCACGATGCTGGAACCACGCGTACGAGCATGGGGCGCCGCAGCGGGCGGTATGACCCCTGCAAGAGCCGAGCCGCGTTGTGGATCCTATCATACCATGCAATCTCGCAATCTACGCATTCGAGCAGGCGTGCCCTCATGCTCTACTAGCTAGAACACGCAGGCTGCGGGCGCCTTTACGGCCCAGCCAGTACCGAACCATGCATCAATAGGAGATTATTCGACCTCGTGGCAACTATATGTTCATAACGTCCGCAACGGCCGGCAGGAGTGACTGGAATCGCATTTGCGACCTCATCCAGTCATTCGTTCATTGTTGGTGTCTTGTGGTTGCTAAAGATGCATTCCTTCACTCGTTATGCTGTTGCGGTTCAGATTTTGGGCATGTCCGTTGCTCTCCCAAGCGACTCTCTGGCTGGGATTGAAGCCAGGGCATCAGATACATATGACTATGTCATCGTAGGAGGTGGAGTCACTGGGTTGGTCGTTGCCAACCGCCTGACCGAAGACACGAAGAGTGGGTTACTACATGCTTAAACGGAAAGGAACATCATGCTGACTATCTCCAGAGTCTGTTCTTGTCATCGAGGCTGGTGGTGCTTACGACAATCCTAACGTTCGCCTGCCATATGGTGCAACATATGCTCTGAACACATCATTGCTGTGGACCGACTATGTCAGCCAGCCTGAGCCTGCTCTGAACAACAAGACATGGAACACCCGGGTTGCTCAAGTCCTTGGTGGTGGCTCTGGTACGTTGTCTCGAGGCCACTTATCGCACTAACAGACTAACTTAAGCATCGCAGTTGTCAATGGAATGATGTACGACCGCGGTTCTGCTGCTGATTACGATGCATGGGAGGCGTTGGGCAACAAAGGGTGGGGGTGGAGTGGCCTCTACCCATTCTTCAAGAAAGGTAAGATGTAAGCATCAACAAGCCAACTATCGAGACTAACTTACAACAGGAACTGAGTTTATTGCTCCTCCTCAGAAGCTGGTTGATGAGTTCAATATCACCTGGGATCCTTCGGCGTATGGCACAGGCCCACTGAAGCTTGGTATCGCCGACTTTCAGTACCCAGATCTCAAGAGCTACTGGGCAGCATTCGATGGCCAGGGCGCACGTCATCTCGTGGATGGTAACAATGGTGACAATGCCGGGTCATCGTGGTACCCTAACACAATGAACCCTAAGACTGGTGAGAGAACGCATGCTCGTCTTGCCTACTACGACACAATCGCCAACCGCTCCAACCTGCACACCTTGCTTGAGACTGTTGCAAATGAGCTTGTATTCGACACCAACAGCAGCAAGAGACTCGTTGCTCGTGGTGTCAAGGTCACCGACAAGAAGACAGGAAAGACCAAGACAGTGTACGCCAAGCGCGAAGTCGTTCTCGCAGCTGGTGCGGTCAACACGCCTAAGCTTCTTCAGCTCAGCGGTATCGGCCCCAAATCGGTTCTACAGGCTGCTGGCATCCAGGTCAAGCTTGCGCACGATGGAGTGGGTTCCAACTTCCAAGATCACCCATACACAGCCATGGGTTTCAGCGTCTCCAACATGAGCGACCCCAACCCTACCTCGCTCTCTACTGACCCTGTATTCAACGCATCGGCATGGGCGCAGTACACCAGCAACAAGACCGGACCTCTTACTCAGGCTCGCGGAAATTCTCTTGCCTTCATCCCCCTCCCTGAGGTCGCACCTGCTAGCTACGCCAACATCTCCTCCCAAGTCACCGCCCAAGCCACCAATGCCTATCTTCCTGCCATCTACACGGGCAGCAAGAAGCTTCTCGCTGGCGTTGCCGCTCAGCGCAAGATTCTCGCCGGCCTCTACTCCAACGCCAAAGCAGGTATCGTCGAGTACGGCATTCCCGCCGCTGGCAGCGGTCTTCTCGTCGCGCTCCAGCGCCCCCTGTCCCGCGGAACCATCGCCATCAACCCCGCCAACCCCCAGGGCGCCCCTCAGATCCGCTACAACGCCATGACTAACCCGCTCGATAAGTCCATGCTTGCCGCCTGTGTGCGCTACATCCGCCAGGTGTGGGCGCGCCCGGAGGTTTCGCGGTTCACACCCGTCGAGACGAGTCCTGGAGCGCAGTACCAGACTGATGCCGAGATCATCGACCGCGTTGTCGAGATCGGTGCGCTTTGGCCTACGCTGAGCCACCCTAGTGGTAGCTGCCCGATGATGCCGGAGGAGCTTGGTGGTTGTGTGTCGAATGAGTTGCTGTTTTATGGCGTGGAGAAGCTGAGCGTTGTTGATGCGTCGATCATTCCGCTTGTGCCTAGTCAGCACATCCAGAGTACGATGTATGCTATTGGTGAGAAGGCGGGGTATATTATCAGCAATAGGCGTTAGAGGCAATATGGAGTGGCCAGAGTACTTATATGTACTGAGCTGTCGATATCTCAGCCCGAGACTTCGTGGATCGAATAATCTGGTTGGAAATTTGCACCTCCGATCGATGATGGCAGGGTCTATTTGCGTATGTACTGCCCCATCTCGAAAATCGGTAGGCCTGCTCGGGAGTTCGCTCTGCTTGCTTTCGTGACCCACAGACCGGAAGGTATCGATGACGCAAAACGTCAGGAACACCCAACAATATGGGAAACTTCAAGTGTGTGGTTGTCCGTAGGCAGATTGTGCATAGCTGGCCAAAACGAAGTGTGGAGTTCGGATGCAATTTGTTGCCTCAAGCGGTGAACGCAATGATTTATTGAGTATCGAAGCAAAACGAACTGTGCAAGCTAGAGCAGGCAGGATGTCACGAAGCTAGTCACGGCACCGCCCCCTTATCAAACAGCAGCCCTCTAGTGCTTGACAGACTCAACGTGGACGTCTCCCTCCTTCTCGTAGCCAGAAGTGAAGCCATCCTGGCCAATCTTGTCGGCATCGACGACAGCAACCTCGGCCTCATCACCATCGAAGATCTTGGCAATCTCCTCGAGAGTGGGACCCTTGGTCTCGACGTAGAAGAAGACGACGAAGATGAGTTCGAGGAAGATCCAGGCCTATTCACGATGAGCAGGTGCATTTGCGTGGATTGCAATGAGGATTCACTTACAGCGTAAATGGTGTAGAACTTCCAGGTGGGGTGAAGGAACTCGAAACCGTAGGGGTTGACGTATTGGTTGATAGTCAGAGCAACCTGGACGAACAGGTTCATAATCATGAGGCCCTTGGCACGGATCTTGAAGGGCAGGATCTCGACGGTGTAGGCAATGAGCAGACCAGACCAGGCAAGAGCGTAGGCAACAGAGTAGATCCAAATCATAGCAATGACAGCCTGACCAGCAGCCTTGCTCTGCTTAGCCTCCTGCTGCGAAGAGCAGATTGTCCAGATGACAAAGGTCAGACACATGGAGGCAGTGGCAGCGATGAAGAGCGGGCGACGGCCGACCCTGTCGCAGAGAAGAGCGCAGGAAACAGAGACGATGAGCGAGAGAATCGTGAGACCACCGTTGAGGCCGAGCTGGGTGTCGCCGTCGGTGATACCAATGGACTTGTAGACATCAGTCGCGTAGTAGGAGACAAGACCATTGCCAGACCACTGCGAGAAGAGACCGAGAGATGCGATGAGCATGAGCCTGTACCGGTTGCCCTTGGTTTTGAAGAAGTCGAGGTAAGAGGAAGTCTTCTTGTACATGAACTCGAGGCGAATAGTTTCCTTCATCTCTTGGTACTCGAACTGAACGGTGGGGTTGTTGATGTCGCCGTTGGCGTGGTACTTGCCGAGAATGGCAAGAGCCTCGTCGTACCTCTCCTTGGAGATCAACCAACGCTACACGACCCATTAGCAAGGCGTAAAACGATACGACAAAGCAAGGCTTACTGGAGATTCTGGGATGAACCAGATAAAAGTCAACTGGATGACGGAGGGGAAGGCCTGGGTCAGAGCGGGAATGCGCCAGCACCAGTCGCTCTCAATGCGCTTAGTGCCGAAGGTCAACCAGGTGCAGATGATGGCACCGACGTTCCACAGACAGTTGTAGACGGCGGTAACACGAGCACGGTGCTGAGGGTGGCAGAGCTCGGTAAGCAGCAGAGGAGATGAGAGCTGGGCAAGGGAGTTGCCAAAACCCATCAGGAAACGCCCGCCCATGAAGTAGTCGAGGTTCTTTGCGGCGGCCTGGACGGAAGCACCAACAATCATGATAGCACATCCGATAGCGATAGCCCACTTGCGGCCGAAGCGATCGGCAATGAAGGGAGCGACCGGAAGCGAGGCAATGGAACCGATCGAGTAAAGCGCTGTCAGGAGACCGAGAGTGGACTCCTTGGGGTCGTTGAAGTAGGTCGTCCATCTTTCGAGGATACGCAGGTTGTTCAACATGGATCTATTGCATATTAGCACAACTCGCCTATCAGGTTGTTGTGAAATCCCATACCCATCGTAGCCTGTGGTCGCGGAGGCGATACAGATGATAAAAGCCCAGAAGTAGAGCTTCCTGAGACCGGGGTCGGATTTCCAGTCGACTCGTGCCAGGTGAGGAGCCTCAGCCTGAGCGATCTCGAGATCAGCCGACTTGTTGGCTACAGCGCCCATCTTGGGCCCGAACTTCTTCATGGTGAATGATCGTTGTCCGTTTAAATGAAGGGGGGTCGGGGCTGAAGAATCAGCTCCACGGCAGCTGGGATATATAGACTGTCGAGGTACCGGGCGTGGGCCGGGTGCAGCTGAGCCTGGGTCATTTGCGATGCTGGGACGCTTCATATATGTGTTCCATCCTCATACTAACATTAACGCGAGGTGACCGTTAGCTGCATTGTAACGGCTGGGCGGACCGGTTAATTTCTGCAATACAACCGCGTGGCCCCGAGCACTCTGCGCGGCAGGCGGATCATTTTGGGACAAGACTACGGCAGAAGGCTCAAAGAGGCGTGTAATTGATCCATTTGGCTGGACGGCGCTTATGGTCTGGTCCTAACGTTCAGGTCGCAGTGGTCCCATTGTCACGTCGGTCTTGCGGTGTGACAAGCCGGACATGTTGTTGGAGGTCTTGTCCACTCGTTGGCGCTGATCTCTTGAGTGATCGGAGCATCAAGGCTTGCATATTGCTTGTCAGCGCCGCAAGGCCAGGAACAAGAAGCCTCTTTCTGGGCAAGTCTTGTCTTCAACGTCAGCCCGCCCATCTCAGAACTTGCAGGCGCGCAGGGCTTCCAGAAGGGCAGTGAAAGATGTCGAGCTACGGCAAAATACATTAGCCAGGACCGCATCCCCAGACCCCAGATGCCCCTAGCAGCCAAAAGCGCGGGGATAGTGGCGAGGGCCTTGAATGCGGTTGGTGGAAGTTGCGGGGCCCACTTTTGCTAGCTCACGCCGAATGAGTGGGCATCGGAGTCCCAAGACGTAACCACAACACGTGCCCAGCTGCGGCAGCTCCATTCTTGCAGTTTCAATTGACCCCACACAACTACCGCCCGATCTCGATGTCGCACGGTATCGCGCTCTGTTCGCTGGCGGTCGTGCCCGCCGCTACCTGTCTATCAATGCCTGAGAGTGTTCTCGGTTGACCTGGATGACAGGTACCAACATTGCCCTTAGGGTGCGAATTCCCCACAGCTTCAAAGACAAACCGATGTCTCGACGTGCATGGGTTCATGCACAATCAGCGCCACCCTGGCAACAGCCAGTCAGCGTCCCGGCTTTCAGCCTCCGTGCTGCCCGCAGGCGGGTGGCTGGACCGACAAGAATTCTTGATTCCACCGTGCTCTGGGCATGGAGGCGGCTCAAACGCACATGCTTCAGTCCCTCGATATTACCCGGTAGTGCCTCCTTGCCGGGCTTCGAATGTGTATGTTCCTCACCGTAGCCATTGGAGAAATCCCAGCTCGCCTTCCAGATGGCGTCTGCGATCGGACTACCTACCGTCGAATGAGTGGCCTGCTTGTGCCTCATCCATGCATTGCTTCGGTAACGCTTGAGTGCGTTACCAATGACAGAAGGTGTGGCGTGAATGCACATGGATTGATCACATGTGCGCGTACCGTCTTGTTCAGCTACGTGAGGATCATGACTACGAGATCTGGAAGCTATGTGCGAGAGCCATGTGCCACCGTGTATGCTTGTGACAATATTGCGTGATAATCGATGAGTCGTAGAGTCCCGCAGGAAGTAGCCATCGCCGGCAGCCTTGCCAGCAATCAAGACAATTTCGACCTCACGCTCACGCGCTTACCCAACAAAGTAAGGATTAAACCTATGCGGGCAAGTGCTAGGCTCGAACAGGTAATGGATCAAGTCAGTCCGCTCTAGCGGCTTTGCCGGGCGCTGTGACAGGCGACTAAGACATACGGTACACTCTGAGCAGCCAGTTCGATAGCTGTGGAGAAACGGGGTTGGAGTCACCGACTAGCCAGCGACGATGAAGGCGCCCACAATAAGGCCGAGAGAAGAGTCGCGATCTGCTTTCCCCACCGCATCTCCGCACTTCGCTAGCCGTCGATTATCGAACGCTGTCGAGTTTCAACTCGTCAAGCGCTTGCAGCCAACCGTGCGTGGCGTATCTGACTCCGGTTGCTCGGAGACGTATCTGCAGTTCTTCGGACGTGGCGTCATCTGCAGTTTCTTCGGACGTAGCGTTATGTGCAGTCTCTTCGGACGTAGCGTTATGTGCAGTTTCTTCGGACGTATCTGCAGCCGTCTCAACCCACGCTTGAAACTTCATGTCGGTGCATTGGGTGTGTCGTGTACTCTTGCATTTACAGCCCCCAACACGGCCAGTCGCTCGCCAAAGTGCGTACATATAGTACATACAGTACATACAGCACATACAGCACATACAGTACATACAGTACATACAGCACATACAGCACATACAGCACATACAGCACATACAGCACATACAGCACATACAGCACATACAGCACATACAGCACACACAGCACACACAGCACACACAGTACATACAGTACACACAGTACATGCGCCGCTCGCTCGGGGCCGATATCGATAACCGCAGCGCAAGACCAAGACCAACGAGCCAATCCGTCCGTATCCGATCCATGTCCTATTTTCTCTCCCCAAAGCCGTCAATCCGTACTCGTAACATGCAAGAAGCGAAGTGAACAAGTGGCGCAGTCGAAACGAAGGATTCCCAAACGCCAGGTAAATGATTTTGCAGGCCAGCGCCAAAACGCCGGGGAAACATGCCAGCCGCCAAAGGTATGCTATGCGCCAACACGCGGTGCATTGTGCGCCAACACGCGGTGCATTGTGCGCCAGCACGCGGTGCATTGTGCGCCTACACGCGGTGCATTGTGCTACAACACGCCGCCAGGCAGCGGCGTGCCGCGATTCTGGCTGTCCCATCCGAACCCGCTGTTTGGGGGGACGGCGCGGACGTCGTTGCCGCCCACTGTGCTGACGTGGCCCTGCTCTGGCGCGGCGTGCTTTCGCAGCATGAACATGGGCTTTCGGCCTTCTTTGTCCAGCTGCTTGAACAGGATCAGAGGCCGCTCGTTCAGGCCCAGACAGCGCTCCTGATCGCCGTGCACAATGTACAGGGCGTACTGCCGCCAGTCTGCCGTGATGTTGTATTTCTTGAGCGCCACAGGGAGCACCTTGTGACACGGGTCGTCAATGGACACGCGGAAGGACTTGAAGATCTCGACCTGCGGGTTCGACGACGGCGCCTGCTGCGAGCTCGACGACGGCTGCAGCGTGTTGGAAGCGGAGCCGCCGGAGAGCGGAGGGTCGCGGTCGCGGTCGTCGGGCGTGGGCGTGGGGGCCGAGCGGCCCATGGAGCGGGCAGACGGGAGGCCGGGGGTCGCGCGGGGGTCGCGGTTGGCGGCGACCTGGTCGGCGTAGGCCCAGCTCTGCGTGTTGTCGTGGTCCTGGTGGCTGCGCGGTATCTCCGGGCGCGCGTACTGGGGGCGGCCCTGGGCGTATGCGGGCGACGTGGGCGAGGGCTGGGCGATGGAGTTGGGCGACATTTGCGAGGCGGCGCCCAGCGAGGCTGTGAGGTGCGAAGAGGCCGCGACTGCGGCGGCCGAGGGGTCCAGCGAGGCGTGGTCGACGAGAGCGCGGTGCTCTTGGATGGTGGGCGACGGGTTCTTGGGCGCGGAGCCGAGGAACAGCTTCTTGGTGGAGAACTTACGCGACAGACTGCTGCCGGAGCGCGCGTCAGCCGTGGCGGGCGGCGAGGTCACGTGTTCGTGGGTCGTCGGCAGCGTCGGCAGCGTCGGCAGCGTCTGCTGCTGCTCCTTGAGCATGCGCACGAGCGGCAGGATCTCCTCGCGCAGGCGCTTGTTCTCGTCGATGACGCGGCCGAGGTCCTCGCGCAGGTGGCGCAGCTCGCTCTCGGCCGTGTGGATGCGCTCGTCGCGGGCCTGCACGACGCGGATGACCTTGGCGAAGTCGTCCTGGGTGGGCGGGGCCTCCTGGGCGGACGTGTCGGCGGCTGCAGCCACAGTCAGCGGGGGCAATGGGAGACGGCAGGGCAGGACTCACACAGCGGGATGTAGTCGTCCGGCTCCAGCGGCACCTTCTGCTTGACCTTGATCTCGTAGACGGCCTTTAGAATGGTCAGCCGGTGGCCGACGCTGGCGACGCCCATCTCCTTGAGCTCGGCGTGCTGCAGCGCGACCAGCACGTCGCCCGAGATGCCCTCGTCGACAAACGTGTCGCAGTACTGCTCGAGCCCCAGGTCGCCGATGCAGTCGGCAACCTGCTCGGCGCTCCAGTCGACAATCAGGCCCGGCGGGCTGCTGCGGCTGTCGCGGCGGTGGGTGAAGGTGGTCGGCGTGTGCTCGGTGCTCAGCGGGCCGGAGCTGGTGGGCGAGCTCTCGTACTCGGCGGGCTGCAGGTCGCGCTGCTGCCAGGCGGTGCGCTCAAACTCGTCGTCGGCGTCCGAGTCGTCGTGGTACTTGGACGTGTACGCCATGCTGGCGGGCGGCCGGTGCCCCGGCGTGGCCTCGCGGAAGGCGCTCGCTCGCCGTCGTCTGCGGCCGTGGGCTGGTCGGCAGCGGGCGGCGGGCAGCGGGCAGCGGGCAGCGCGGACAGGCGTCGTGGTGCGGCGGCTGCGAGGCCTGGCAGACGGGAGCGAGGCGTCGCGCGGCGGGGGCGGCGGACGGCGACAGCGACGGCGGCGGGCGGCAGGCGGGCGACAGTCGTGCTGCAGTGGGCGACAGTCGTGCTGCAGGCGGGCGACAGTCGTGCTGCAGTAGGCGATAGTCGTGCTGCAGTGGGCGATAGTCGTGCTGCAGTGGGCGATAGTCGTGCTGCGCCGGCGGGGAGCGCTTCAAAGTGCTCGAGGTGCTCGAGATGCTGGCGGGCGGGCAGGGCGGTGCAGCGCTGCTCGGGCTGGACTGTCCAGGCTGTCCGGGCTGTCCAGGCTGTCCTCTGAAGCTGGTTATGCCGACACGGCGCAGCCCCAACCTTCTCCAGGCCAACCCATGCCGGCAACGCGGCTAGCGAGGCCACCGATGCGGCAAAGCCCGACCGGTGATGTTCATTGACCAATAGCCCAAGCCACACCGAACGCCTGCTTCTGTACTCAACACCGAGCATTGCTGCGCGGTCCGCTGCTGCAACGGACCGTCTGTTGTCGCAATCCTCCCTTACGTACCCTGGCTCCGCCTTCATCTCCGAGTCCTGTGGCGGTCCCTGCGTCTGCTCGAAGAAGCGCTGTTCCGGGACTACGCCCAACACCGCGGCTGCATCACCTCGCAGAACCTCACAGGAGCCGCAGCCTTGGCCGGGCCTCCACTTCCTCCAGGAGGATCTACAGCGACGGCCCTTGATCAAAACTCGGCGGACCACCGCAGCTCCCTGATCGACGACTGTGCGCACGTGCGCGACACCAAACCACGCCAGACCGTTCGGCCGTCAAACCAAACAGCGACTGACTCCATCCGCCGCCCAAGAATAGCGCGGCCGATCTCCAGGATCCCACGTACTACCGCCTGTCTCGACCGGCACCGTTGCGAGCACCTTGTGCCAACACGTGTTGGTATCAAGCCGTCAAACAGCTGCACTGTCTAGAGCACTGCGTGTCGACAAGCACCAAGCGCCCAATACTGAGCCCCAAGCACCAAACGCCAAACACCAAACACCAACACCAAACACCAACACCAACACCAACACCAAACACCAACACCAACACCAAACACCAGCACCAAACACCAGCACCAAACACCAGCACCAAACACCAGCACCAAACACCAAATACTGAGCCTCCCAAGCAGAGCTGCACTGTCTAGAGCACGGCGACACGCACAAACACCAAGCCTCCCAACCCACCAAACCCCCAACCCAGCAGCAACACACCGGCATCTGCACCCCACGACTGGAAAAAATGTCCATCCCCATGACCCCCGCCCAAGCCTCGGCCCTACCCTCGGCCCTGCGGAACAGCATCTACAGCTCCCTGCTCAGCAGCGGGGGGATCCGCAGCATAGAAGGCACCCTGACCCAGCTGCTGCAGACCAGCGGCTTCCAAGCCCAGCTGCGCGCCTACATCGCCGAGCTGTTCCGCACGGGCCAGGCGACGACGGCCCACGACGCTCACGTCCTGGCCATGGCCCGCATACGAGAGTGCATGCGCGACGACGCCGGCACGGGTGACGGCGCTTCGGGCCCGGATCTGCGCGTGCCTGATCTGGTTGTCCGCGAGGGGAGTAGGGTTGTAAGGAGGGAGTTGGAGAGGGTTGTTGATATTGACATGGATTAGCTTTTGATTAGAGTTGCTGCATCGGAGCTACTGGATGGGAACTTCTGGATTGGAACTACTGGATTGGAACTACTGGATTGGAACTTCTGGGTTAGAACTACTGGACTGAAACTACTGGATTGGAACTACTGGATTGGAACTACTGGATTGGAACTACTGGATTGGAACTACTGGATTGAAACTACTGGATTGGAACTACTGGATTGGAACTACTAAACACGCACATTACCAAGCACTTGGATATTGTTGAACATGCATTCGTTCAGTGGAGAACTCGTTGATATTGATATGGATTAGCACTTACATCAGAATTACTCGAATCAAAACTACTAGATCAGAATTACTTGAATCAAGACTACTAGATTAGAACCACTTGAATCAACTACTAGATTAGAACCACTTGAATCAACTACTAGATTAGAACCACTGGAATCAACTACTAGATTAGAACCACTGGAATCAGAACACCGTAATCAGAACACCGCAATCAGAACACCGCAATCAGAACACCGCAATCAGAACACCGCAATCACATCGTTGAACATGCATTCTTCAAAACTCGTTGGAACAAACTTGGACTGAGCACTTTCACATCGTTGACCATTTCTTCAGTATGCGCATCGCATGCTCCAACATGCTTTCGCGCCACAATTACTCGCCATCACTCGCCATCTATTCTGTGTGAATATGCGACATGAAAAGCCCAGATTTGTCACCACGTCAGTCATGAGCCCATATCAATATTCGTGTACCAGAAAAACCGCCCGCCTAGTTGTACAAGTCTTCGTCTTCGCCAGATGCCCCGAATGTGTTCTGCTCACTCGACCCTTGCTCGCCATCGGGAAACCGGAAGAAGCTCGAACCGCCCGTGTTCTTCATCGACTGTGCAAACGCCTCGTAGCGGCGGATCTCGACATCTGTCACCGAGCGACGAGCAGAGCGCATCGCCTCCTCGAAGTGAGCCTTGGTGAGCTCAGGGACAGCATCCTCGCCCTCGTCCTCCATGTCAATGTCCGTACCTTCGGCCTCGGCCTTCTTGCGGCGCTCGATATCGAGAGCGATCGACTGCTTAATGGCGAGCTTGACAGCACGCTGTGTCACAAACCCAAGATCGGCGCCGGAGAAGCCGTGTGTGTTGGACGCAATGAAGTCAATGTCGATGTCGGCAGCAACAGGGGTCTTGCGGAGCTGGGCCTTCAGGATGCTGACACGCGAGGCCTGGTCGGGCAGGGGAACGTAAACGAGCGTGTCGAGACGCCCAGGACGGCACAGAGCGTTGTCGAGCTGCTCCGGTCGGTTGGTGGCACCGATGACGAAGACGTTCTTCTTCGATGTCATACCGTCCATCTCAGTAAGCAGCTGGTTGACGACACGGTCGGACGCACCGCCGGCATCGCCCTGAGAGCCACCACGAGACTTGGCGATGGAGTCGAGCTCGTCAAGGAAGACAACGCAAGGTGCAGCGGCACGGGCCTTGTCAAAGATGTCACGGATATTGCTCTCAGACTCACCGAACCACATGGAGAGCAGCTCGGGGCCCTTGATGGAGATGAAGTTGGCAGCGCACTCATTGGCAACAGCCTTAGCGAGCAGCGTCTTACCGGTACCGGGAGGACCGTAGAAGAGCACACCGCGTGAGGGCGACATGCCGAATTTGAGGAACTTCTCGGGGTGGTCGACGGGATACTGCACGGACTCAATGAGCTCGCGCTTGACCTCCTCGAGACCACCAATGTCCTCCCAGCGAACGTTGGGAACCTCGACGACAGCAACCTCGCGAAGAGCGGAGGGGTTGGAGATGCCGAGCGCGAAGCGGAAATTCTCCATAGTGACGCCGAGCGAGTCGAGGACCTCAGCGTCGATCGTGTCCTCGTCCAGATCGATCAGATCCATCTTCTCACGAATCTGCTGCATGGCAGCCTCTGAACAGAGGGAGGCCAGATCAGAACCGACGTAACCGTGGGTCTCGGCGGCAATGACCTGGAGGTCGACGTCGTCACCAAGCTTCATGTTCTTGGTGTGGATCTGCATGATCTCGAGGCGGCCGGTGGGGTCGGGGATACCGATGTCGACCTCACGATCGAAACGACCGAAACGACGAAGAGCGGGATCAATCGAGTTGGGGCGGTTGGTCGCAGCCATGACGACAACGTTGGAGCGTGCCTTCATGCCGTCCATGAGGGTGAGGAGCTGGGAGACAACGCGACGCTCGACCTCTCCGTTGGTCTTGTCACGCTTAGGGGCGATCGAGTCGATCTCGTCGATGAAGATAATCGCGGGGGAGTTCTTCTCAGCCTCCTCGAAGGCCTTGCGCAGGTTTGATTCAGACTCACCGGCCATCTTAGACATGATCTCGGGACCGTTGATCAGGAAGAAGAAAGCACCGGTCTCGTTGGCCACGGCACGAGCCATGAGCGTCTTACCGGTACCCGGAGGACCGTACATGAGGATACCACGCGGGGGCTTGATACCGATCGACTTGAAGAGCTGGGGATGCCTCAGAGGCAGCTCGACGAGCTCACGAATCTGAGCCATCTGCTTGCGGCAGCCACCGATGTCGTCATAACCAACCTCATTGAGGTTACCCTCCTCATCCTCGCGCTGAATTGGCTCGCCCTCGCAGTGGATGACGGTATCTTGTGCGACTATGCCGAACTCTGGGGGGTCAACCTCGACGACCTTGAACTCCACTTGCCGCATGCCACCGCGCGCGGTGAATGTGTCGCCCTGTCGTACCGGTCGGTAGGCTTCACGGAAGTATGGGGCGAGGAAGACATCGAATAATGAGCCGGTGATGCCCTCGACTGTGTCTGCGATAGGAAGGACGGCGATGCGCTTAGCCTGTGAGAGTATTCAGTATTGAGCTTGGCATGATAGCAGGCAAGACACGTACGTATTTGATATCGGGGCAAGGGTGAATGGTGATCACGTCACCGTGCTTGACCCGCAGGTTGTGCCGAACGACGCGGTTTATCCGTGCGGAACCATCATCGAGGTCGTCGTCTGCGAGCACGATCAAGACTGTGTCCTTGCGCTTCTTGCCCTTGACCAGGACAGTGTCACCGCGGAAGAGCTGGAGCGTCTCCATGGTGTTGTTCGAGAGAGCGATGATCGAGTTGTCATCGTTGACGGCATCGGTGACGCTGCGAGGGTCAGCATACCATTTCGGTCTGAATATTCGTATTGCTTACATCAGGGAGTTGGGCTTCTTCTTCTTCTTGAGGATGGCTGTGGCGATCTCATCTTCCTGTGGCGGGTCAGTGTCAGTGACCTCAGCATCATGTTGAGCGGTACGTACGCCCTTTGGCTCGGCGCCTGAGGGGTTCCTGGTGTGCTGTTAGCAGCTGCGTCTTATTTTCATGTATACTGTGGCGGGCGAACTTACTTGGACAGGTCCGCCTTCTGTGTTGCGTGGCCTGGCTCGGCAGACATTATGGCGATTATCTGACTATGTGCAGCAAGAGTGTTGTTATGTGCGGTGCGGAAAGCGCTGCCGAGAGCTGCGACGTGGTAGAGGTGGGCGGGGGTGTGTGGCGGGTGATGGGGATGATGAGGTGGAGTGCAGGCGGGCGTGGTAGTTTAAGTAAGAGCTCGGGTCTGCGTCGGTGACGGTGAAGCTCCAGCCTAGGTTGCCTCAGCGCGTTGTGGGTCCACGCCGAGTGATTGTTAGCGCGCCTTCCCGCAACACCAAATCGAAACCTTTGGAAAGCCCAGGAAGCGATTCACTAATCCACTACATCATGGAAACCCAGCCGAGCGAGCAACGCGAGAATACCACAGTGCCACTTTCACCGTCACCCGCTATTCGCTGAGCAAAACAGTCATCGCAACGAAAAATGCTTATCTGCATCACGGCTTGACGCTGCTGTGTGAAACAGCCCTGTTGACGCGTTTGCTCTGGTGCCTGCCTGCTCGCCTCACCGCACGCCACCTCGCTCAGAACAGCATAGTGCCAGCAATCACCATCGATTGCGGCTCTGTACATCCATGGCACTGCATGAAACAGTCGCGACCGTCAAAACAGTTATTGCAGACGTGTGAGCGCTTAGTGGACGCGTGAAGTAGGGGCAAGAGATGTTCGGACATAATCGGAGAAGAGCCGACACCCACGAGTATTCTGTGATCAATAACTTGTTGGGCCATCCAATGTTCGAATCAGTATTTGAACCAGAAGTGTGCTTGATTTCAGGGCCATACCAGGGTTTGGAGGTCCTCAGTAGTAGGCTTCGTCTACAGGCTGAAGTATGATTCGCGAAGGTAAACCAAGGTTTAGACACTCATGAATTATTCCGCAGTCCAAATACACCTCAGGAGGCACTTGAGCATTTCATCCATCACACATTAAACACATTCAGAAACTTCCAACTTTACAATTTCACACAATGTCTTCTCTCCCGCAGTCTACCGAGGCTGCTCGCACGGTCTGCGCTGGAGTCAGCCAGGACCCTTCCGAGGCCTACAGCGTTACTCCAAGCCCTCCTAGACATTCCAAGGTTCATTTCGCACGATCGCGCTCCTCAAGTCCTGTGCATGGTGCTCATAATGAGCTGGAAGCCTCCAGTCCTCCGTCAAGCCCTGCAGAGTCGCAGCACCCACGTATTCGATCAGATAGCGTCCAAAATGGGTTGGCTACTTCCAGCCCGCCGCCAAAACCGCAGTCTCTGGACGCTCCGAAATATCCAGTCGAGGCAGACGGTGCTGACTACCTCCCGCCTGGGTTCCAGGCCTTCCCCAAATGTTGTTATAATTACGAGTCCTTCATCCCGCCCTCTCCTCCGCCTGTGGTTCCCTGGTCACGCAGGCAGCTCTATAATACGATAGTGAATACCTCCCCGCCGATATTTCTGAGCTGCAGCTGGACCAACCCCATACACCTAGCCTGTGTCATAGCGCCTGGGGGCAAGTGGTCGGCTACAGAAACCATCGCAGAGAATATGACACCAGCCGTGTACCATGAATATGTGGAGAACCTCCAGGGTTGGAAGAGGGTGGAAGGCGTGCTTGTTGCTGGGCTTCAGCCCAAATTAATGGAAGAGATGGAGGTCTGCACGAGGAATAAATACAGGGAAAGGCACGAGAGGCGCGTGGGGGAAGTTGCGGTGGAAATCGACGATGGGGACGTGATTGATGTTGCTGCGTATATGTATCAGAAGGCACAGGTAGCGTAGTGGACACCACCGGAGGTGGCATTCTGTTCATGATACCCCTTCGCGCTGTAACTAGTACAGCAGCGAACACCATATACTTAAATGCCCAAATTACGTCAGCGTCTGCAGTGTTTCCCTTTAAAGCCTCGAGCATAACAAGAGTGACGACCCACTCGGCTAAAACTGCCCAACCTGAATCTTACATCTACTGAGTTGACCATCATGGTGTTCCAACGTCACAAACTCTACAACAACAATTCCTTTCGACCCTCAATCAGTATTTTCTTCGTTCTACGTTAGCTTATTTCTTCAAGTATGGGACGGACGGAGAAGTCACAAGGTCTAGCACCGCCCGCGATCCGCAAAGACATCCGCGCAAAGCAAGCACGTCACGTTATCAACAAAGTCGTGCCATCCATTCTCGCTTCGAACCCAAAGGCCAGAAGCGGTGCAGACAGTAGCGAGCTCATTGCAGACCCCGGATCAGTGTCGAGCATCGACATCGAGAAGACCATCAATGGTGGCGAAGGCGCCGCATACGTCAAACGCAAAGGCCAGGGTCGACGAAAAGCAAAAGACGGACCGGAAGTGAACGACGAAAACACAGTGCCATCGAAAGGCAAACCCAAGAAGAGCGGAAAGCGGCGCAACGACTCTCTGGACAAAGACTTATCTGTCCTTACAATCGACCCGAAGCCCCTAACGTCGCCACCCAAACCACGTACAGTCAAGGTCATCACCACCGACAGTCTCACAGCCGCAAAAACACTCACTATCAATGCCAAGTCAGCCAAGAAGACTCCAAACGTATGTATCCTCAACATGGCGTCGCCACTGCGACCCGGCGGCGGCGTCCTGTTGGGCGCCACATCACAGGAGGAATTCCTCTGTGCGCGCACAACCTTACTACCATCCTTGAAAGAATCTTTCTACCGCCTTCCTGAGCTGGGCGGCGTCTTTACTCACGATGTTCTTGTTTTCCGCGGCTCTGAGCCGTTGGGTGACAGTACTGGAGAGCTGGGAAGTGCAGAGAGGTTCTACGTTGATGTGATCAGCGCCGGGATGTTGAGGTTTCCGGACCTGGAGGGCGAGGATGACGAGGTGAAGAGATTGAGTAAGAAGGATCGCGGGGTTGTGGAAGGGAAAATGCGGGCTGTGCTTAGGATTGCCGAGAACAAGGGGGTGAGAAAATTGGTGCTTGGTGCGTGGGGGTGTGGCGCGTATGGAAATCCGATTGTGGATATTGCGGAGGCTTGGGGGAGGGTGCTTGCTGGTAAAGAGATAGACGCGAAGAAGGGGCCAAAGGCGGTTGAGAGCTGGCCGGGGCTAGAGGAGGTCGTTTTTGCTATTATGAATGTTAGGATGGCGAGGGAGTTTGCTGAAGCATTTGGTAATGTTGAGGTCGATAGTGGACCGAGAGGATTCGATGAAGATGACGAGGGAGAAGATGACGAGGATAAGGTTATGCAGGAGCTGCAGGCGAAGATTGAAGAGATGGAGAAACAGATCAGCCAAGTGTGGAATCCGGATCTGAAGGCTAGATTGGGATCTGTGCTTGAAGGGTTGAAGGCGCAGCTCAAGGATGGGCAAGGAGAGAGTACTGGCAGCGATGAGGACGGTATCGAGGTCGGTGATGACATAGATATATCAGGAGATCAAGAGGAGCTGGTCGAGAGCGATCAGGAAAACTCCGATGCTGATGCAGAGGAGCCGGGCTCGGGCTCTAATGATGTAGACAATGGTGTTACAGTCAAGTCGTAGCTCATGATAACAGCCTGCGGGGAAAGCATATGCGCAATCAAAGACCTTACATTTATACACCGCCCATAAAATTGACAGAAACCCCCGTAAGTCTTGCACCTTACTCGATGACAGGGGTTTCGAGGCAACACTTAGTTCAGTGCAACGACCTGAGCGATCTAGCCTCGCAACTCACAGAACGCACCGGCCCGGTAATAGGAGACCTAGAACTGACAGCGGGATCACAGACAAAGACAACTCTTTCGAGAGATACTTGCCTGAATGGCACTGTTGGGATCGGTGCATCAATGTCTCTCAAGTCAAAAGCGTCCTTGTTCCATTGTTGAATTCCTTCTATATTTCATCGTCACAGCGGGCGAAGCGACTTCGCTCCCACTTTACAACTACTCAACACGATACTAAAGAACATTGAAAATGACTAAAGGCACAGCAAGTGAAGAATTCAGGTCGTCGCAGCGCTCCCGGTCAATGAGTCCCTTGGTGAAGACCTATCCACAGCACCAACGGGCTCATCACGGGCTATCAAGTCCGCCATATGCATCAACCAGACCAATCCAGAGTGCACCAGCCAGGTTTCAGGAACCAGAGGTATTGCAATTATATCCTTCTTTAGAATTGTCCGAAGATGAGGTCGTCGACGAAGCGGAAGATCCAGTTCTGTATCGGATCTTGACCGAATTAGAGTACACTCGCGCCCAGCAAGCTCAGAGAAGACCAGTCATGCAGACAATGCGTTTTTCTCTCCACGAGTAAGAGCATCTTGGTGTAATGCGTCAAGTACGCAAAAAGGGCATTGCGACCCGCACCGCCATCGGCTTTTCTGACCGGGGCACATACGAACTCTGGTAGATTGGCGTCCCAAGACCAGATTAGGTGACCGAACACGCTTTCGGAGGGCTGCATGATGCTCAGTGGCTCTATGGCATTGATGCTGCGCACGTCAAAGCTGGACCGCATGCGACGGAAGGGGACGTAAAAAAGGCACGGGCGGCATTGAAGGGGGTAAGGACTGGGCAGAGGAACAAACCTGGAAAGTCTCAGGGAGAGCAAGAGATAAATTGGAAGCTATATGAGGGCCGAAGGAGACAGACGTATGGTCTGAAAATGAACGACAGCGATGACAGTGATTCTGTTGACAGCTTGCCAGATTCTTCAGCCAGCGATATTAGTACTAGTAGCGACGACGGTAGCGACGATGAGCCGCTCATTTCAAAATTGGCCAATTGGAGGGCGGCACAACGATCTCCTTTCGCGGCTACTTCCTCGGATCCCAGCCGAAAGCGATCTGTATCTTCAGACGAATCAGATGCTCAGGAGCCTTCCTCGGCGTCAGACATGAACTACAGCGACAAAGTATCGCTTCGAGGTGGTCAAAGGACTGGAGATAGGCCAGTACCACACGACAGTGATCGCAGCGACGGTGAACCGCTTATATTGAAAAAGCGAAGATGGAGAACAGCACAGCAGGGTGAATCCGCGACTGATTCTTCGAACACCTCCGGTGTTGAGTCTAAGAGTGAGAACGATGAGCCGCTGGTGCCGGTATTCTCGAAGTGGAAAGCCGCGCGGCTGTCTCGAGCCAGCATAAGTTCACCGAGCAGATTCAGGAGAAGGCCAGTTGTGGAGTCAAGTTCAAGCGATGAAGACACTCCTCTGACTACCTTCAGCAACAGGCAAACCGCATCGTCCAGAAGACCTCCTCCTGTCGTGCGACGCCTTGTACGTTTGCCTGTTGGGACAACTCGTACGCGACGTCGACCTGTCGTTCTGAACACCAGCAAGAGCGACTAAGAATGAGATACGTGAGGTTGAACTGGGACTTTGAAGGATGTTGTTTTGACGTCGTCGATTGGTTCAATCGCTAACAAAATGAAAGAAAAGAAGACGAGGTCAGCAGTTCGACCACAATGGTTAACGCTGTATACGCTAAGCGTTAAGCATTTTCCTCTTGAGAGAGGTGTCTTGCGGTAATTATCAACTGCCAATTTGAAGTCCTGAAAAAAACGCTGGTAAGACCTCTGCCAGCGCCAAGTGACCTGTAGTTACCCAGAACGATATATACCCCTGCCGGATACGGATTCGAAAACCATCACTTTCACGAACATCAACGTGGCCTTGGTGTACGAGGCTAAGCCAGCTTGCTAACCAACAAGGGCAGAGGGCAAAAACTGAACATCCAGACACACCAGATCTTGTACAGCTTACGATCCAGCATGTTGCTGCCCTTATAGTAAGCCTCCACGGCTGTAGCAAATAGAGGACCACCAAACATCATTGGCAAAAGAGCAGTCATCCAGCGGCCTTTGAAGAAGTGCAGAGGGGTGTACAGCGACCAGAACGCCACCGTCACTAAGACAGTCCAGAACGCGCGCTCACGACCCAGCTCAGTAACTAGCGTACGACGCCCACGAGCCTTATCGCCCACTTCGTCACGAAACTCTTGCGTTTGAATCGTAGTAGCGAGAATACCGAGAGCAAGCATGAACGTCCAATTCCATGCCGCAGCGCTCATAGCGTGCGGACCGAGTGCAATGCTCAGCGCACCGCCGAAGTAGCACGAGAAACCCGCGCCACAGAACACATTACGGACAACACCGGACTTGTTACCGCCCCCGAAGTCGTTGTACGCGGTGATGAAACACACGTAGACCAAGAAGATGGGCATGACATCGAGGTAGTAGCTCAGCAGCCCGGCAGCGATGTTGGTACCTGATAACAGTAGGTCCGCCTGCTCGGAGGTCATACGGCCAGCGGGAATGGGGCGCCAGGGCTTGTTGATAGTGTCTTCAGCGACGGAGCTGGGACTGCGCTGATTCTGCACGCAGAATTGCAGTATGACGAGCCACAGCCAGAGAGCGACCCAAGGGGCACGGACAAGGATGGAACCAGCCCATTGATCTGGAAGATCAAGAATGGAGCCTGAGAGGGCGGCGAGAATGCCGAAGGCAGTACCTGGGATGACGGTGTCGAGGATCTGGTCGGATGTGAAGAGGAACAGATTCCCAGCGAAGGCCCTGCCATGCAGCCCAAGGTCGGTGCTGAAATGATTCATCTCCCTCTGAAGACGAGAGAGTGCATCTGAACCCACAGTTATGAGGCTGAGTTGGCGTGCCATCTTCTTCGACTGGTTTGCTTGGTAACGCATGGTTGCATGAACGGTAGAGGTCATCTTGGTTGATGGATCTGCAGGAAGAGCCATGTTTGTGGCTTTGAGGTGCCTGGGTAGGAAAGGCTTTCGCAAAAGTCTTCAGGGGATATGAGTGAATAAGAGACCTCTTGTGGTAGACAATGCCTGTTTCGCTTCTGGCTGAGTCTGTATGGTGGTTGTGAGAACGAGTGTGATCAAATAGACTTTTATATGGACAAGGACTTCTCTTTGTTGCTGCACAAAGCATTTTCACTGGGCTCCAGTCATTATTGCGATATAAATGCCGATCCACTCATGTCAATGGTGAAAGCCTTGGGGCTAGTGAAAATACCTAGTGGCTACTCATTGATAGACCGCATCTATGCTCAACACGTCCCACCGGTGTCCAGCCGTGTGCTAATGACTTGCTGTTGGCGGGTCGAGGGTTATATACTGGAGTCAATGAATTGACTCGACACATCCATCTCACCATCGCCGAGGCTGCCAAGTAGCAATGGACGGTGTCCAGCTTTTGCCATCAACTGAGAATCTGACAAAGAACCTCAATTGAATTGAAGCGATCCGAGCTTCTCCGCTATACAGATGGCCGTTCGCCGTATCGACCAGGCCGTGTAGACCTCCTGGGTAATATGGCTGCCAAGAATATGTCTATCTGGCCGCGAAGGATCTCGCATGGTGAGCTAACTGATTTCCGGGCTACAACATGTCCACTATGGGTTTCGGCATCTTTGGATAGTTGCGGGAAATATGCCGACTCAAAGGGTGTGGCGTGTCGTTCACATGTTAGACCAGGGGTTTGTCTGGTTTGAATAGCTCTTCTATTGTCCTGATAAGCCTTGCTCCTGGGGTTGATGAATTCGCTCTATGGCAGACTTGGGTCAAGTGCTGAGTAACTCGGCTCAGTACCGTACATACTCGACAAGGCAACGCATGACAGATACCCATCACGAGTGTGTACTTCAGGGCTGACTATACCGTTCGTTCACTAGAAATCCTTAACTGATCTTAGTGCATGTTGGGGGTTTGCTCCCAGAGGTCCTTCAGCCTACCCACACAGATCCTTCAGCCTGCTCCTAGAATCCTTCAGCCTGATTCAGGGCCCTAATTGGCTGCCAAGGTGTCTTCGACCAATGTACTGATGACCCGATCGCGTACAGTGTACTCAATTGTTCCTCGCGATCGCTGCTCGCCCATCACACCCCTACAGGCCGTCGCCGGTGCTTCAGTCGGATCCGGCGCGCAATTTTCCGAGGGATCTATCACCTGAAGAATGTTGCATTGCTTAGAGACCACCGGTAAGCTTCGAGAATGACGCGCAGTGGGGCAAGAGACGCGGCAAAAGCGCGCTACAGCCGCGCTTCAGCTACAGCTGGCCGGCTCTGTAATTATCACAGTGAGGCTCGAGCTTTATTCAACTCTACATCAGGCACCATTGTCGCACGATCGAGACCGTCGGAAACCCTCAGGTCGATTGTCTACCTGCAGTGGTGCTTGTCATGCCCGGGGACGAGAAGAAGGAAGAGGAGAAACTCCGACTAGTACACTACCGGTAATGGCAAAAGTAGAATGCGATGCTACCAAAGATGCCATGTAATTGGGCACATATTCGTTACGATCTCTATGGCACGTCAACTATGGGTCCAATGTGTTGACACAACCCTATTCATGACTCCAGCACACCAGGTCCACACGACCCTTTGAAAGACTGCTACAAACAAAAGCACCTACCCCTCCATGGGTATGTTCACGTTTGCAGGTGCATCTTCGAGCTCCCACCAGACTGATGGCTCACGCAGATTAGAAGCAGCGGTGTCGGCCAAGAACACTTCGATCTTCTTCGTACGCCTGTTGCCGAGCTCAGGCTTGTGCTGGACTGCATGTATTGTGAGTGCTGCTCAGGATGACCAGCTGTCAAGCTGACTCACCGAGTATGTAACCAATACCAAGACCGTTTGGAGAGCCTGGAATGGTCAGCACAGCTCAAATTTCGCCTCAGTCGATAGCGTCTACCAAGTATAAGCGATCCTGAAAGACGTTCCACGTCAAACTCCTTCCACGGGTATGGCTTCAGATCCGTGTCCAGACTAGTCTGAGTCTCGTCTGCGACTGCGTCAAGAGCAGCGGCTATAAGTCGTGACGATCCGCCGTTTGCAATCGACCAGGTGACGATGTGGTTGAGCTTGATGCCTTTATCGTGGAGTGGTTTCCAGGCCAGCCAAGCGATATCAGAGGAAGATCGCAATGCGGGAAGCTGGTCTGCAGGAACGGGAGGTATACGGTAGTTCGCTTGGTGCGCAGGGCTATACCGTTTAGCGAGCACGAGGACTGGGCTTGCGTCAGCATGGTGAAACCCTTCTTGGTACAACGACCTACCTCCGTCTTTCTCGTTCATCGCGAACTGATAGATGGCGCCAGTGGACTGGAAAGATGTCAGCAACCAACGAAGAACACAGACCTGAAGAATTTAATCGCACTCTCAAAGTCTTGCCACCCGGGGCATTGTACGACTGAAGATCGATGGGCAAGGCCTTGCTGTTAGGTTCACCGTGGGTGATCTTGACACAATTCCAGTCCATTTTTTCGGCCGAGATACCCTTCGCTCGAAGAACAGCCTCGAGGCCGTACCCATCCTTGCCATTACCCATGTCGCATTTGGGCTTGTTGATACCCGTCTTCTTGGTGAAGTAGCCCCAGTCGACGAGGTCTAGCTTTTGGTCAAGCAAGCACCGATAAGTGCTAAGACCACTTACCGCTGAGCTCCAGGTAGTCACTTTGAGCCGAATCTCGCTGCGGGTCGAAGAAATTCCCTGCCGGAGCATCATCTGTGTGCATCTGCGCCCAGAGCGTGCACCCTTTGTTCTTGGCCTTCTGAAACTCTGCACCCATAGCCGGAGAGCCGTCCCAACGCCTTAACAATGTACCCTTCGTAACGCGGTCGAAAAAGCTGGGGATAATGACGTTGACAGGAACACCACCGGAGTCGTCGGAGTCAGCAATGTACCCCCCAGCTGGCGAGGCGGATGTGGTGGCCAGAGCCAGGAGCGAGACGAGGAATACGCGCATCGTAATCACAACCGGTTGCTGTAACAGTCTGAACAGACTCTTGCGCGATGTTGACCAGCGATCAAGGTACTCAAGTGGACCCAGTTGACTGGTGAGCGTGAAGCTGGAAGTGGCGGTCCGTCTGCTCCTTCCCCGTGAAGTTTACGGCAGCTACAATGAAAACTACTCACATGAGCACGAGGCCCACGTATGTCTTTGCAAATCTGTCATGCAAACAACTAGAGATCTTTTGTGTTTCGTGCTGCCCGTGAAAGTAACTTGCGCCGTCTACAGTCAAAGTGACGGCAGAACAAGAAAAGGTGACGAGAAGTTGTCGGTGACGAATTAGAATGAGCTCATAGAGAACATCGGCAGAAAATTTAGATACATAGTTGCGCATCAGCCTGTGCACCGAATATTGCGGAAACCGAGCCGCTCTCAAGTCCGCCTATCACTGCGTCTGATCTTTCGACTCTTCCTTCGCCTTCTTCTCTTCAGGGCGAATCTTGAAGCGGTCGAGCTTCTCATCAGCCCAGTGGGGTCGAGCGTCAAAGCCAAACTGAAGAATCTCGGGTCGCTGATAATGTCCAGCAGCATCGATCCAGACCTTGACAGCACCGAGTTGCGCAAAGTCGAGCTCTCCTTGCACCAACTTCTCCTCGCTGCCTACATGAGGACCTGCAACGAAGTTACAGAAAGGGGCTATGATTGAAGACCAGCCTCCTCCAGCCGTGACAAGATCCTGCGGTCCTAGGTTCTCTTCCATCCACTTCAAACACGTGTCGTCTACGTAGTTTGAAGCGGTGATAACGAAGACTTGCGCAGTCAGGGCATGGGTCTTCATCAAGGCTTCGATTTGAGCGTCAGCCACCTGTTCGAAGCCGGCCATTGTCGAGAGAGCCGGCCATGCACCCGCATGAATGTGCTGGTTCTGCATGATCAGCGCCTGGCGAGCGCCATTCATGGTGTGCTCCCAGCAAGCAAGGCCACCGAGGTTATAACCTAGCGACAGGGGCCAGTTGCGCAAAGAACTGCCGTTGCCTTGAGCCCAGATATATCGCTCCACATAAGTTGGCTGGAGCTTGCGATGGACGCCCAAAATGGTTCCGTCATTATCGATCACGACTTGCGAGTTGAAAATAGTATGTCCGTTTGCAACGCGTTCAGAGACGCCGAGATTGATAGCGACACCAGTACGGCGGCACGCATCCTGAATAGCACCAACATCCTCCCCGTTGGGTTCTACTACCACACTCTCTTCAGCGTACTGAGCTAAGGCGCCAACCTGCTTCAGAGGAGCGTAGCATTCGGCCCAGTACTGTGGTCCTGGTCAGCGCATGACATCTCGGAGAGATTCAGCCGCCGTTTTGGCGGCCACGTTGGTTCGCTCACAGGGTAGCCGGGAATAAACGTTTCAGGAAAGACAAGCAGCTTGATATCTTCTTCTGCAGCTTGTTCAATTAGGGCAATTGTCTTTCTGATTGTAGCAATCTTGTTCATGAATACTGGCGCTGCGTGGGCTGCAGCCACCTTGAACTTGGTCTGCTTTGGCGCCATTGTGTAAGCACTCGACTCAATGACGCGTAGGATATTCGCGCAACAAAAACGAGAGAGATATCGCGGTCAAAAGGAAAAAGCAACCAAGGTACGAGTGAGTGAGGGGGCAACGCTTCACAGCTCACCATCTAAGGTCTCCACTTATCTCCGTTGCACTACGAGCCGATCCCTCTAGGAGCCGCCTGGCCGCATCCATTGCTGGTTAGCCTATACCGCATCCGTCCCCTAGCGAAAGCTAGTCGAACAAACGACCCCAGCGTGCCACCTCACATCTTCGTCCCGCAACGTTTGTGTGGTTCAAATGCGGCTAATGGTCTGCAGGCTTTGTCGTGCGAGGTTACGCAGACGTGGGCTGCTGAGCTCGGCACCAACACTTGTGATCATGCTGTCCGATTCTTAGCTGCAATTGACTCTCCCTTGCGTTAATACGGACAACTCACTTCCGAAGCTGGATCTCTCTTTGCGATCCTGCGATCAACTCTGCTCGCAGCTTCCGATGTCTTGCGCGTTCCTGCCATGGCCTTTGACTATTTCGCAAACCCGCCCTCTGATCTGGACTTGACTGAGTCGAGAACCGCTTCGAATAATGCTGTTGGAATAGTTCTGTTCGCCCTGTCCGCGCTCTTCGTTGGGCTGCGACTCCTGACGAGGTTGAGGCTAAAACGGGAGCCACTTGGATTAGATGACCACCTTATGTTCATAGGGTTGGCACTGAACGCAGGGAATTTAGCATGCTGTATAGCCGGTGAGATGCAATCTGATAGGCAACCGGGTCTTCAGATGGAAACTGACCGCAATAGGTGGTTTCTTTGGTCTTGGAAAGCACATATGGTCACTTGATCAATACCAGATGCGCCATATCACCATCGTACGAAAGTCATCTACGCCAACGTTTGCCTGCTAAACTATTTGTAGATCACGTTCGTGTATGTGTTCATATACGCGTGGAGTGTGTGCATCATCAAGTTCTCGATCCTCGCTCTCTACCGCCGCATCTTTGGTATGACATGGATGGGATGGTTCTGCGTGGCGTTGACCGCCGGCTATTTGATCACCAACCACATTGTACTGCCTCTTTACACAAGACCTCTTGACTATTATTGGAACCAGTGGAATGATGACGCTCAAGGTGTTGTTCAAGTCGATGAAGCGAAGGTAATCGGCCATTGAGTGGAACCATCTGCTTTTGCTGAACATGTCACAGTTCTACCTCGGTGTCGGCATAATCAACCTCTTCGGCGATATCTGCATCCTGACCGTGCCCATCTCCAGTGTCATACAGCTACGACTCGCGCGAACCCAAAAGATCGCGATCTCACTAATTTTCTTGCTCGGAAGTTTGTAAGTCAACCCTGCATCACATTGACACCATCGGCCCTTTTGTGGAGACGGATCTACGACTTGGGGTAGATGAATATGAGCATGGCCAATGTTGACTGACAATCCTAGTGTGTGCTTCGCATCCATGTACCGCATCATCACCATCACCCGCCTTGTCAGAACGACAGATATCAGCTGGGCGAAGAGCGACGTCTTCATCTGGTCCACCGTTGAGCCGTCGGTCGGCATCATATCCGGTTGTTTACCCACTCTCCGTCCACTGATGCTACATATACTGCAATCCTGGTTCAACTTCATACCCTCCGAACGATCCTCTAGTGGCAAAGTCTCACGCTCGATCAGCCTCAACGCCATCGAAACTATCGGCAAGAAGCGCACGCGCAAGATCTCAAAGCAGGACACAGTGGGTGGTTCGCAATTCACAGAGTTGAATGATTGTGTCGATGCCATTGAAGGACGGCGCGGACAGCACTCGAGAGAATGGAGGCCCGATGAAGATGAGATGTGCCTCACTACCACGACAGTGCATGCGCACAGTGACAGTCGGCCTGGAACTGAGAGGAGTACGCCGGAAGCGAGAGACGGGGGCGGCATCAACGTCACGAAAGAGTTTGAATGGGACGAAGCAATTACGCATCCGGACAAGCTCTAAGTACGTCAATCAGTTAGCGTTGCTCTTGCGCAGGAAACAAGATGAGCTGTCGAGTTCGCAACTGCCATAGGTAAGCGCGCTGCCCCGACCGACCCCTGCGTCCATCTCAACAGAATCTCTCTCGCGTCGCACACAGATGCAGTGTCCAGCACGCGAGTTCATCATAGCGCTTATACGCAAAGAGGTACCCCGCGCATGATCTATTAGATGGGCCCTTCAGGCTACTGGGACCTCTAGAGGCGGAACCAGGAGGTGCTGGCATAATTCGTCACACTCCAAATATAGAGCAAACGCCCCAATGGCGCTCAATGCAGCCAACACATACCCCTTTCGGCGAGCCGATAGAATTACCTTCACACTCGATCGACTAGCACCAGGCGACCTCGAGCTCCTTCCCACAGCTGTCCCTGCATCGCTTCGTTTACGCATGATTCGCCAATGTCTCCCCAGGCCGATTCGCCTGAGTCCAGGGTCTTTGAGCTCTGCCGTGATACCAGGAACATCCACATCTTACAGGTGAGCGGCGACCGGGGGCGAGTTAATATTGTCGGCGCAAGTACTCGGGGGAGCTGTTTCAGGTTGAGAGGGAGTAGCCAGGAGAGATGTCATCAACCAAATTTGTACGAAGTGGCAAGGAAAGGAAATATGAAAAGCCTAGAGGACACCGTAGATATATTCGTTCGTAACGCATCGTAACCAAACTATGAATGGGTATAATAGCACCAACCTACTCGTCATCATCATATCCTACACGCACATCTGCCCAGCCGCACTGCCATCTCTTTCCCTCTCCCTCACCACCTGTGCGCAGCTCTCTTGCCTTACTGCCTTCCGTCCACCTCCTGACGCGATGATCGTCACTGACACTAATCAGGCTACCATTCTTCGCCCATGAAACACTCGTGACCTCTGCGTCATGGCCTCGCACCAAAGGTGTGCCATGTTCGTAGATAGGAATCGTATCCTGCGAACGGCTGCTCGCCGATCGCGACAATGACAGTCTAAGAATAGGACGGGGAGTAATTTCTGGCAGATCATCTGCCTCATCTTCTTTGTAGCTCTTCTCGCGCTTAAGAAAGGTTTCGTCTGTAGGGAACAAGACGGGGCAGCCATCTGTGCTGCCGACAGCCAACATCTCCGGCTTGTCGTCGAAAGCCTTCCGCAGTGAGGCCTTGACGTAGAAAGAACCGGCGTGAAACTTGCTGTGGCGGAAACCGTATATAGGACCGAGACCCTCTTGACCGACCTGGCAGTACTTCTGTTTTGAGGAGGATGAGACAGAAAGCTCAGGGGCAGTGCCAAGGATGAGGTGGTTGGTCGAGTAAGCATAGACTGTGTTGTCCTTACTTAGTGCATACAGGCGTGATGCATCGCCACTGAGGGTAAGCGAGTTGATGGCAAAGTGCCGGTGTTTATTATGTGATTCAGGGTGTCGCGTCGTGGCGATAGGAATGGCGGGTCCTCGCAAAGAGTATCGGCCGCGGATGTCCCACAGCTTTACGCAAGTGGATGCGTCTGATGCAGTCAGAAGAAGATGCTGGCGGCCCTCGGGCATGAAGGAGAGTGCAGTGACAGAGACATCGTTGCGTCTGCTGATGGCTTCCGTCTTGCTGTTGGGGGCCACTCGTGTAGCTGCATTTGATGGCAAGCCAATGTCGGCATGTGCTGCCGAAAGTGTGCGGACAACACTGGCATAGGGTGCATCCGATCCCCATGCAGAGTGTACCGTGAGATCTCCGCCCTTACAGCGCAAGTCCCAGATCTGGACTGCGCCGTCTCGACTCGATGTTGCAACAATCTTATCGTCGCCGGGCTGGAAGCGTACTTGCTTGACGGACGACTTATGCTTTGCAAGCACACTCAACGTCTGCTGTGTTCGGACATCGATGATCTGTGCTGTTTGATCACCAGAGCCGGCAGCCAGGTACGAGTCGTCGGACGAGAACTGGACATCCATGACCGCGTTAGAATGCGCCTGCCATGAGATGTGCGCCTTCGAGAAGTCGCCTTCAGAGTCGACCAGATGGATGTAACCGTCCTCGTCTCCAATGGCCATGAGCGAATTCGTGTTACAGCTGGCTGTGCAGAAGGGCGGTGCATTCTGTGACAGGGAATGTACGTCCTCCGAGCTGCTGTAGAACTCTGCTGTTTCATCTTGCCATGTTGCGGTATGGTCTCGCCTGAAGCCTCGTCCGACGCTCAGTATCCCACCAAAAGATCGCTGTAGCCGCCGCGATGTGGCACCCAACGTCGCGATCCGGCGAATCGGTGCAGCAAAGACAGGCACCTCTTCAATCTCAGGCTCATCCTCAAACACCTCCACTGGCTCTGGAGTGACATAGCGCGAGCGTTTCGAAGGTGATGAGTGGAATTGTGCGGGAGAGCTCTCAGGTGAGAGGTACGGGTTCTTCCTCTTGCGGGAGCTCGACGAAGGTGTGCGTGTCTGAGTAACCTCGACGTCGACGAAATTGACCGTCTTTCGGGGTGTAGTGCGCGTCATGGCATGGCTGCGATTGATGGCAGCGCGGGTGATATCCTGCAGTTGCCGCCCGGAGCTGGAGAGTGAGGGGCGTGCCGACCCATGGCTCGAGTTTCGCGGGGTGAAGAAGCGTGTGAAGCGTTTCGGGGTGATTGGCGGCGGTCTCTTCTGTTTGCGTGTCGCTGAGGGCGCGGGCGGCGAGGATAACAGGTCAGGCGTGGGCTCTTGGAAGGCGACTCGAGGGGCGCACGGCGAAGACATTGCGGCCTCCAGGATAATTAGCTTTTGTACATGTATATACAAAGAATTCAAATGTCAATCGAGCTGCCACACTCAGACACGCAACACGCAAAGCCAGGCTCAAGATCGAGACATGGGACGGAACGATGAGGAAGATATAAGAGCACGAGGGCGGAGAGGCTGGCTCGGCTAGCCCACTGCGCGTCACGTCTCGCGTTCGCGTTTAAGTGCAGCAGCGGCGCGCACCAGCACAGGATTTGGACGTGAACATCACTCCACTGCGCCTCTTGCATTGCGCAGAGCAGTCTACACTAGCATTTTCAGCACTGAAAAGCATCCCGGGATTCAATTTGGCAGACCGAACACGGCTGAAAGCCTGGAGTTCTCGACAATGGCGTTCCACCCCAGGCAGTGGCGCACCTTCTCAATTACGCTCGGACGGGTTAGCGCAGTCCCACATTAAAATCGTTAGTGCCGTCAAAAGTTCGAACTTTGGCAGGCGCGCGAAGTTTGCTGCTGCCGCTGCGAGCTTCGAAGAGCTTCACACCACCACAATGGGAGCCACAAAACGAAAGGCAGACGCCTCGAGCGCGCCTGCAAAAAAGGAGAAAGGCGTATCTGGCGACCGATCAGCGAAGCGCCCGCGCAAATCAGACGGCGCAGTAGAGTCACCTGCGAAACCGAAGCCTGAGAAGACCGAGAGGGCTGCACCAAAAGCCAGCGTTTTCAAAGACGAGGAGGCATCGTTCCCTCGTGGTGGCGCTAGCGTCTTGACACCGCTCGAACACAAGCAAATTCAGATCAAGGCGAACCAGGATGTTCTGTTCGAGCAGACTGGCGGAAAGCGAACCGGCGGCGGCGATCATGAATTCGGCGACATGGGCTCAGAAGACGAGGGCAAGGCCACCAAGGCAGCGAAGAAGCGACCTGCGAAGAAGAGCAAGCAGTCACACGACAACGAAGAGAAGGAAGACGTCGTGAGGGCTGAGGGTCTTAACTACAAGAAGCTTGCGCTCGGCACAATAATCCTCGGGCAAGTCACTGAAATCACCCACCAAGACGTTGTACTCGCCCTACCGAACAACCTCGTTGGTTACGTTCCCATCACTGCCGTGTCTGACAAGCTCAACGAGAGGCTCGAGAAGCTGTTGAAGGAGGAAGAGGCGGAGAAAGGCGAAGACGAGGAGGAGTTCGAGGACGTCGAGTTGAGGGACATGTTCTTCGTTGGACAGTACTTGAGGGCCTGCGTCACATCCACAACAGACGACACAGCACGAGCACGCAAGAGGCTAGAGCTTTCGATTGATCCCAAGCTCGTCAATAAGGGCGTACCGAAGCGCAAGATCCCCACCAACTTGATGCTGCAAGCCTCAGTACTCAGCAACGAGGACCACGGTCTGGTCATGGATCTCGGACTCGAGGACATGAAGACCAAGGGCTTTTTGCCCAAGGGCGAGCTGGGCGCGAAGGTACAGCATTCCAAGGTCCAGGAGGGGGCTGTCTTCATGTGCCTGGTGACTGGTCTCAATTCGGACGGAAAGATCGTTAAGCTCTCAGCTGATCAGACCAAGTCTGGAAACTTAAGCAAGGGCAACACTCTCACGGACGCACCTACGATCGATGTCTTCCTTCCCGGTACCGCAGTCGATGTCCTTGTTGCGGACACCACAGCCAGCACGCTTACTGGCAAAATACTCGGCCTGATCGACGCGACTGCTGATGCATACCACTCTGGAGCCACAGAGAAGGGTGCGGACATTTCACAGAAGCATAAACTCGGCTCAAAGGTCAAAGCAAGAATCTTATTCACTTGCCCTGACGCAGAGCCGAAGAAGGTCGGTATTTCGTTGGTCGACCACGTTGTTTCGCTGTCTTCTCGCATGTCTGGAAAGCCAAAGGAGCGCAAGACACCTCTCGAGTACATGCCAATCTCCACAATCGTCGAGGAAGCCAAGGTCATCAAGGTAGCTCCGAGGCTGGGTGCCTTCTTTGAACTCGGAGTTCGCGATGTCATCGGCTTCGCACACGTTTCTCGTCTCTCGGACGACCGTGTCGAAGTGCTCTCCGAGGATGCAGGTGCCTACAAGCTCGACACGAAACACCGTGCTCGTGTCATTGGCTACAACGCGATCGATGGCTTGTTCCAGCTGTCGCTAGAGAAGAAGGTTCTGGACCAGGCTTTCTTGCGAATCGAGGATATCAAGGCTGGTCAGGTCGTCAAAGGCAAGGTCCACAAGCTCATTGCTGACAAGAAGGGCGCTGCTGCCGTTCTTGTCAACCTTTCTGAGGGCATCACAGGTCTTGTCTCTGAGCTGCATCTTGCAGACGTGAAGCTCCAGCACCCAGAGCGCAAATTCAGGGAAGGCGTACCGGTCACCGCGCGCGTTCTGTACACCGACCCAGCGAGACACCAGATCCAGCTTACCCTAAAGAAGTCGCTTGTCAATTCCGATATCGAGCCCTGGACAGACTACTCGAAGGTCAAGGAGGGTGGCACAGGACCTGGTATCCTTGTCGACGTTCGCCGCAACGGTGCTACGGTCCGCTTCTATGGAGATGTGAAGGCCTGGCTTCCTGTAGCTGAGATGAGTGAAGCGTACATCGAGGATGCTGGTCGGCACTTCACCAAGGGCCAGGTCGTCAATGTTCGTGTGTTGTCCGTTGATCCTGTAGAGCGTCAGCTGCTCGTTTCTTGCAAGGATCCCGCTGCCGTTGATACCAACAAGGAGGCTGCATTCAGTGCATTGAATCCCGGAGACGTTACCAAGGGCACAGTGGTCGACAAGACTGATGAGTTGGCAACACTCGACATGGGCAACGGCGTCAAGGGCCTTCTCCGTATTGGCCACCTGACTGATGGCTCCGAGAAGAAAGACATCTCCACAATGAAGAAGATTCGCGTTGGCGGTGTACTGGAAGACCTCGTCATTCTGAACAAGCAGCACAAGTCTAAGAGCGTCACTGTCTCGAACAAGCCTAGTCTGCGTAAGGCTGCGCAGTCAGGCAAACTCGTCACCAGCTTTACGAACATCAAGGCTGGCGCAACCGTCTACGGCTTCGTACGAGGAATTCTGCCTGACAAGGTGTTCGTCGAGCTCGGCAACAACATCAGCGGTGCTGCCTTCAAGTCGCAGCTTACTGATGACATGCTCCGATCACCCAACTTCGGCCTACGCAAGGATCAGACCGTGACCGCCAAGGTCACCCACGTGGACGAGACGAAGGAGCTGTTCTGGCTGTCGATGAAGGCCGATGCCGATGTTGACATGGATAGCGCCTCGAAAGTCATAGAGCTGGCCGGTGAGGCTTTGGTCGACCCCATCGACCCTAAGATCACTTCCACGGCCGACATTAAGTTTGGCGTTACAGCAAACGTCCGCATCAGGTCCATCAAAAACACACAGCTGAACGTAGCTCTCGGCGAGAATGTACAAGGGCGTATTTCCGTTGCTGAGATTTTCGACTCATGGGATGATATCAAGGACAAGAAGAACCCGTTGGCGCAGTTCGAGATGAACGATACCATCAAGGCCAAGGTCCTCGGCCGACACGATGCTCGCAACCACCGCTTCCTTCCCATCACACATCGATCCAGCAACAAGACACCCACCTACGAGCTGACTGCCAAAAAGGAGAAGCTATCCAGCGAGTCTGACGTTTTGAGCCTCGAGAAGATCTCTCCCGATGCCACACTCGTTGCCTTCGTCAACAACATTGCGGATCGCTTCGTCTGGGTTAATATCTCGGCCAACGTTCGCGGACGTATTGATTTCCTGGACCTTACTGATGACCTGGAGAAGCTCTCTGATATCGAGAACAACTTCCCAGTCGGCTCTGCTCTTAAGGTCCGGGTCAAGTCGGTCGATGTCGCCGCTGGGCGTCTGGATTTGACAGCAGCGTCCTCGGTGACTGGCAACAAGCTTGCGCTGAAAGACCTAAAAGTGGGCTACGTTCTGCCAGCTCGTGTTACCAAGACACACGACACATCCATCGTCGTCAAGATCAGTGAGGATATCGCCGCACCTATTTACCTCGAGCAGCTCGCGGATGATTACGACAAGGCCAAGCCTTCAGAGTTCAAGACTGGCGATGTGCTCCGTGTATGCATCGTTGACATCGACATCCCGAACAAGAAACTCGGATTGTCAGCTAGGCCATCGAAGGTTCTCAGCTCTTCCCTGCCCATCAAGGACCCCGAGATCAAGGACAGGTCTGACCTGAAGATCAACCAGGTCATTCGTGGCTTCATCAAGCAGATCACGGACAACGGTGTCTACGTGCGCCTTGGCCCCAAGGTCGAAGCCTACGTCCGTATCAGTGAACTATCGGATGCCTACATCAAGGACTGGAAGGCTGCTTTCCAAGTCGATCAGCTCGTCACTGGAAAGGTCATCTCAAACAAGGATAACATGCGCAACCCTCAGTTGAGCTTGAAGGTTTCCGTCATTCAGGGCGAGTACAGTGAGCCTATCGGCTGGACTGACATCGAGGCTGGTCAGATCGTGACTGCCAAGGTCCGCCACGTTGAGGACTACGGTGTCTTCCTGCTCGTCGACAAGTCGAACAATATCAGCGGTCTTTGCCACATCTCTCAATTGGCGGACACACAAGTCGACAAGGAGAAGGTCAAGGAAATGTACAAGAAGGACGATGTTGTCAAAGCTAAGGTTCTGAACGTTGACCCTAAGAAGAGAAAGATTGGATTTACGCTGAAATATTCTGAGATCAAGGGTGAATGCGATGAGGATGAGGATATGGAAGATGCATCTGACGTTGAGGCTGATGATGACTCGGCGATGGAAGATGGTGGCATCGAGCTCGACGATGACGTTGACATGAGGAGTGTCAAGAGCGCAGGCAGCGACGAGGAAGACGCTGCACAGGATGACTCCGAGGACGACTCGGATGCGGAGCCTGTCAAGGCTTCAGGTCCTGGCCTGAGCGCAGCTGGTTTCGATTGGACAGGCGCGAACCTTGACTTCGAAGAGAAGGCAGCATCTGACGACGAGTCGGACGATGAGCCCAGCACAAAGAAGAAGAAGAAGAGCAAGAAGGCCACCATCAAGGAAGACCGCACCGGCGATCTTGATGCACTCGGTCCTCGGTCTATCGCAGACTACGAGCGTCTTCTCCTCGGTCAGCCTAACAGCTCTGAGCTGTGGGTGCGGTACATGATGTTCCAGCGCGAGCTGAACGAGATCGAGAAGGCACGTCAGATCGCTCGCCGAGCGCTCTCCACCATCAACCCTCGTGAGGACCAGGAGAAGCTCAACGTCTGGACCGCTCTACTGCATCTCGAGAACGATTTCGCCAGCGACGAGGTAGCAGAGTCCACCTTCAAGGAGGCATGCCAACAGCAAGATGACCGTGAGATGCACGAGCGCATGATCAAGATCTACATCTCATCCAGCAAGCTCGACGTAAGTTCCCTAATCCTCCTTTTTCATAATCCATATGCTAACACATTCACAGAAGGCAGACACGCTCTACCAAGCCATGACAAAGAAGAAGGCCTTCACCGCCGATCCCGAATTCTGGCACGGTTACGCAAGCTTCCTAATGGACACACTCTCGCCTCCCTCCCCAACACGCGCCCGCACCCTCCTGCAGCGTGCCACGCAATCCGTCCCTAGCGCGCAACACCGCTACCTAACACAGAAGTTCGCTGCTCTGGAATTCAAGAGCGAAAACGGCGACGCAGAGCGCGGCCGGACCATCTTCGAGGGCCTCGTCAGCACATACCCCAAGAAGGGCGACGTGTGGGATGTTTACATTGATTTAGAGAGGAGCCATGGTACCGATGAGCAGGTCAGGGCGCTATATGAGCGTGCGGCTAAGGCGGGTGGAAAGAGCAAGCGTATTACTACTGTATACAAAAAATGGGCAGAATGGGAGAGCAGCAACGGCAATGCCAAGGGCGTCGAGCGCGTAAAGGCGCTCGCAGAGCAGTGGAGAGAGGAGAAGGGTGCCAAGGACGAGGAGTAAATATAGTACAGAGATATGAGATGTTGCATTGGGCGGCGTTGCATATCAGGCTGATAAAAGAATGTTAAGTTTCTGTTCACGTTCCACCGCCGCCTTCAGTCTAGTACAGGGCCTCCTTCACGTGTGTCAGCGCGCTGTTCGACACTGCCCATCTCCTCACTGACCTTAATGACTGCCTCCTTGGCACCCCCAACTTTCCCCAACATCCTACCTCGTTGACACTGGAGTGCGACCAGGCATCTTTATCACAATCCCGTTTTTTAAGCCCTTCAACTCCCGTCCACGGCCCCCTTCAATTCATCACCTCTTCAGCCACGGCCTCGCCCTGAACGCCATCCCCGGTCTCTCGTCCATCCCTCGCCCATCCCTCTTTCCATGCGCCCGCCCGTCCATAGTCCCACCAGGCAGTAGTAGATACGGCCGCTCGTCGAACCTGCCCGGCGCGCCGTCAAACGTGCCAAACGAGCCGGAGACTATTTGTCTCGGCTTTTCTTGCGGCGGAGTGACTGGGGCAGCTTGAGGTGTTTTGTGGACGTGTGGCACCGGGTGGATGTATGCTCCTAGAGGATTTATGGCTGCGGACCCGTGGTGGAAGATGGTCGAGACTTGTGCGGGGTTGCGGGCGCGGAGTTCGGTGACGGGGGCTGGTGGCGGTGCGGGTCTGGCGGGAAGGGTGAAGCTGCCTGGGGCCAGGATAGAAGTGGTAGATGAATGCGAACGCTGCTCTGAGACGTGGATGCTTTGCTGCACTAGGATGTTGCCAGAGGGTTTATCGTGCTGTTCGAGAAAGGAGGCGGCGGAACGCTGTGGACGTCGTGTACGCTGTGTCCGCTCCCGCGTTCGCTTCCGCGGGATCACGACTTCGCCGTCTACGATCTCACCTTGGATGTGTGTGTACAAGGTGCCTTGGTAGGATTTCCAGACTCGGATTCCTTTGCCGAAGACGGTGCCGACGTCTCGTTGGTCGGATGCGACTCTGGCGAGGTAGTGATCTTCCAATTCTGTGTTATCTTCTTGTTCAGTGTCGTCCTCTTTGAATTCTTCCGTTTTGCTTCCTGCGTCCGAGCAGAGATCTTCTGGGTGGACTGGAACTGGTGACGAGGAGCCGGTTGTGTCATCTGCCACGGAGGCCAGAGAGTTTGCTGGCATGGCCTGAGCCTGTTCGGATGTGCCTTTGTGTTTCCGAACTAGTGGTGGAAATCCGACCGGAGGACCGTAGGTCTCTTTGAGATACTCTCGTAATTTGGGCATGCTGCATGCGAGACAATGATGGTCGCTAGCGATGTACGTTTGATAGCAAAAGCACATTCATATCACAGGCGCCGCATGGCGCCTCAATGCACCAAGTGAAGTAGACTAAGCGAGAATTTCTCCCCAGGCAAGATAAGATGCGCCGCTTTCACTAACAGTGTTCCAGTTACTAGCAGCCGATTCGGCCTAGTTCGCGTGAATACACACCTCTAATCAGAAGGCATTCTCAAACAAAGCGAGAGTATTTTCCATGATGTTACAGTCAGGAAAATCGTATCGTTAGGGAGAGAGAATGAATTCTCTTCTGGGTAACCGTGAGAAATTCCCTGAGATGCGTGTGTAGAATCCGGATGTACATATTGTTTACGTTGTTTTCCCAAAACGATTCAACGATTTCGACGGGAGATTCCAAGCTACACTGCGGAATTATGTCCTCGTCATCACAACGGCCCTTGCAAGCGAATCAATGGCCCAGACGACCCTAGAAAATGCCCATCGACGACCTTTTAACTTTTGTTGCCTCCAGAGGAATATCAAAAACCTTCCCATTGGGCTGACACACCAAGTCCCGATGTGGAAGCTCACCCGTCTCCGCATATCTGATTATATGCTCGACTGTACAAGCAGATTCAGTGACAACAACACCATGCTACTACGTGTCAGCTTTGAACCCTCAGGATTAGGAGTATGAGGCGACCTACACCCACAGCATTCTGGTAGAACGAGCCCGATCCAGGAAAAAACTTAATCATATCCTTCAAGCTAGACGTAACAGGATCTATCGTGTTACTGACGAAAAGGATAGGGCTACTGGTCTTCACTTCTTTGTATGCTGCTCTCTGTCAGCAAATGACCTATAACAGCCCACACTCGCGACTGACCGGAAAACTTCTGAGACTTTGGAGGACTGAATCTCAGCTTGCGGCAGTAAAGAGTCATAACCCTGGCCCACGGCGGACCAAGATACTTCGATACGCCCTGCATCTTATCAATATACTCCTGATACTTCTCCGCAGACGAGATGTTGTAGCGGCCATCCATGTCGTTACAGGCCGTAATGTACTTGGTCAATGCTAACGTGTACGCGGGAGTCAGTGCGTCGCATGTTGTATCTCCAGGGAAATCAAAGCCCTTTGATAAGGCAAGCGCAAGGATAGTGCCATTTCTCTGTTCGAGCTTTGCGAGCGTATAGGCCAGAAGCGGGAAGCGGTCGTACGAGCCGTAGGTGGAACTCATGATTAAAGTGTGCAGATCCATGTGGCTGACCACGGCTGGGAAGTCGAACAAGTAAGGGTCAGACACGCCGATTGGATTCGTTTCGAGATCTTGGAGAATAGTGTCGAGGCGCTGCAAGATAGCTTCCGGATTGGAGTCATTGGCGAAGAAACCACATTTGCTGCCTGCGTCGAAGCATTGTGAGGCGAATGCGCTTACTGCATCGTCACCTTGAGTAATGCTCTTAGTCCATGCACCATTGTAGTAGTCGGAAGGGTCCATGACACCATCGATGATCATCCGACCAACGCGGTCTGGGAAGAGCTGGGCAAACGTAGTGCCGAGTATCGAGCCGTAGGAAACGCCGAAGAAATTGAGTGTCGCCTTGTCTTTGCTCTCTCCTCGGCTCTCAGCTGCAAGTTCCGTGAAGTGCAACATATCGCGAGCGACGGCAGGTGTATTGACGTAGTTGACATCATCCGATAGTTTCTGCGAAGTAAAGTCGCCATATGCACCCGCATGGGCGAATGTCTTCTTGACAGCTGCAGGACTCTTGGAATCATATTCAAAGCCTATCTCAGTGGCGTACTCGTTACGCAAAGCTGGGGTATTAATCAGGGGATCCACGTTTGGACCGCTATTGTTCACACCCCGTGGATCCATGCCGATAAGATTGTACTTCTGTCCGAGCAGCGGTCTCCAGCGCTTATAGCCTAGGACCATACCTACTCCGCTTCCTCCAGGACCGCCGGGGTTGAGAATCATGTCGCCGACAGCAGGTTGGGCAGGTGCCTCATGCCTAACAAAGGCTATGTTCGTGCTTCCGAGGGCAGGGTCGTCGTAGTCGAGAGGAACCTCGAGATTGAGGCAGGTGAAGTTTCCTCCATAGCATGGCACCCACTGGACATTTTTGGTCACAGCAACGCCTGCGAAGCTGTTGGCGCTGCTGTTGGTGATAATGTTCTGGCGAATGACAAATGGTGATGATGTGGCTAGCGCTGCCAGATTGAGAATAAAAAGAATGGTCTTCATCTCTGTTTAGTCTTGAGTGTATTGTTAACGTAAGGTATTGGTGTTGATGTAGGTTTTTGATGAGCATTTGGGTGCGAATATGTCCACCTCTTATAGCGTTCATGGTATGTAGGCCATACAGGGCGTGGTTGCCAGAGTAGGAGAAAACAGAAGAGGCTGAATACCAAGTAGAGCCTCAATTACCGCGTTGTCGAAACTTGCGATTTTGATGATTCGATAGGCTGGTGTCGCGTCTAAGCTCCCGCTTACGAGATTCTTGGCCAATGTACTTTCCGAGTTGAGTGGCGATCGACACTGTGGCAGTGTGGGAAAGTAAGCAGCCCAGCATGTCAGCCTCCATGACGTAAGATCCTGGAAGGGCCGCAAATAAGCCCTATGTCGGGTCAACATAGCTGTGTCTTCGCTCTTGGCAGACTTGGCCATTGTTCTTTCCTCCGCAGAAGTGCCATCTGCGAGACAAGCAGGATCTGGCAATTCAGATTGGATGGGGTGCCATTATCCTCAAGACATCAACTTAACGCATCCAAGATGGGTGATCATGCCCTGCTAGGATATTGTATCTAGGTTGGTGGGCTGTACAGGGAAGACTTGGCTGGCGTAGAAGAGCTGCAGAAACGGTGTTGAATGTATGCGATGTAATATGGCAGCGATATTGTCAGACTATAGCCTATGACAGGCGTTACTTGGTTCCTATACAAACCTAGTCAACTTACTTCTGTGATATTGCATCATAACGTCCAGTTGTGTGCTCCAAGCAATGTTTTCAGCCATGGCGGGCGCCTTGAAGTCCGTAAAGCTGGCCTTGTGGCATTGTCGTTTCCATTTGTCATCGAGCAGTCTTGATAACTACGTCAGCAAGTGCCGGTAGGTTGTCCGTAGTAACGTCTGTCTTTCCAAAGACCTCTTCGAGCGGTTCCTTCTCCAACACCGTACAGTACGCAGTCTTGAACCCTGCCCTGCCCGCCGCACTGACGTCCCATCCGTGGGCAGCTGCGAACCACAAGGCCTCATCTTCTCCAACACCAATTTTCTCCTTTACACGCTCATATGCTTTGATCTCCGGTTTACCTACCCCAACATCGTCACAAGTCACAATATGGTCATCGTCGATAGCAATCTCACCCTTGCTGAAGTACCCTCTAACTCGTTCTCGATCGTCGCTTGTAAAAGCCCACACCGTCCATCCGCCCGCTCTCAACTGATCGATACACTCTTTCGCACCGGGCCTGACTGCACAGTTCTTGTACTCTTGTATGAAGTATTCAACATCTTTCTCGCTAGCCACGCTCCTCGGATTGGGTACGCCGGCAAAATGTAGTACGCGGAAGAAGATCGCTTGAAAGACTTTGGCGAAGGGTACGTAGCAGCCAGAGAGCGAGAGATATGTGTATTCGCGCTCTGCAGTCTCAAGCCATGCGTAGCCTAGAAGGCGGCCCGTGATGTTGTAGAGCTCGAGAATGGAGCTTAAGCGCGAGTGTATGATATCATAGAAGTGCTCATGAGAGACGAGCGTGCCGACAATGTCAAATACGATGTGTTTGGACGACATGGCGTGCCTAGAGCTTGCTTCAAGGTTGTCTTGATCTTCTGGTTGGCAAAGTGTTTCTGTGAGCAATTTACATCTGATGTTACGCCCTATAGTATTTTCAAAACTGTGGGTACTGCCAATGACGTCATGCAGCGCACAAACAGGTATGAGCACCGCAAGTCGGTATCAACATCCAAAGAGTTCCAAGCATGACTTTACAACCAAGTGAGCATCAAGAAAAGTACCAATCTCGAAGCACGTGATGCTAAACTAGAGATAAACCTTACACCTCTTTACTCTCGAGCAATATAGAGCGGCTAAAGATCCGCATCCGTCCTCGTGGCAATATAGCAACTCTGTAGCAGATCCCGAGCATTGTCACCATGAAGCGCTCCATGAAAACTTGTGCCTCCAGTAACGCTCGGCAGGCCCCACAAGTTGCATGCACTCCTCCAGAATCTCGCAAAGTCTTGACTGCAGCTCGCCCATTGCTTCTTTGCACACGGCCCGCCGTAAGTGAGGATAAAGTGGACGAGAATGGTATGATAATTGGGGCCAAGGCTACTGTCGTGCTCTTCTGGGGTAAAGGATTGTGTCGGGATGCGATCAACGTCCACTTTGGTCCTGTTCCAGTAAAACGTCACCAGATAGTGAAGAGGGGCATATCGTAACTCAAGTCGCGGATTCTTGACATCCAATTTGAATATTATCATACCATCGTAGTCGGCTACCAGAGCTGTGGGGGTCGAGATAGTGTGTCTGTACGGTAATCAGCAACCATCCACGCCACCCTTGAGTTCAGACAGGATGTGGAAACATTGACAAACCGTCGTACCGGAAGAAGCACATCGGTGACAAATTACTGTCCTGCGCAAGTTCAGTCATACATTGAACCATACTCATCTTCGCCGAAATTCCACCTCCCGATTCAGACTTTAAAGATTTCAGTCAGTCTTACCCTCCAAGTTCGAAACGTGTATATCATGTTACTCACGAGAGATTTGATCTCAGCGTCTCTTAGCCGTTTCCATTTCGAGATTCCATCACTATAGATCAGAGTCTCAGCACGAGGTACCCCATCGTCGGTGTCGAGGTCGAGTGTCATTCCAGCCGGACCAGGCGGCACAGTCAGAAAGCCTTGAGGCGAACTCGAGTGAATTACCAAGCCAGTGTTCTCGCACCGCGCAATACGATGGCGGCCTACATCATGATATCGCCACTCGAATTTCTGGAGGCCCCGTAGATCTCCTCTATCTTGTCTATCTTCAAGCTCTTGCGCAACTTGAATGGTAAATGTCGTGCATCGCCCGCCGTTGGAAACAAGCGCATATATCGTGTCCCGATCCATGTCGTCCTCTTGAACCGGATATCTCCTGAGAATACGCGGGTTTTGCCACAGATCTTCTGCTGACCTTCCTGCTAGATGCAATAGCCAAGACACCATGAAGAAGCTATTGTATGGCTGTGCATCGAATACCTCTCGCCATGCATCGTTTGTGATCTGTTCTGTCCTTCTCAACGCTTCAGCATCAGCAAAGTTGGGCTGTTCTTGGTTGATGAGGGTCGGATCATCGTAAGCTATTGGTCTGGTTCCAAAACGAGCAATATCGCGAGGCCGATGGTAGACTTCTCGCGCATCCTCATACTCATAAGTATCTTCGAAGTTCATGATTCTTATATCTTTGCGAAATGGTCAGGCTGAGAACGATGGCGTGTAGATGAGATCTTCAAATATCTGGCTTAGATCTCTAAGGAAGGTGACGGTCTGCTGGTAACGATTTGGTGAGATTGCTGGTGCAACGGTTGTTGAGTGAAATCACAACAGATCGCCAGAACGCGTAGGTGAAGGCGCGAAGGTGAAGAACGGGTAAGACGACTGATGTCACCAATATTTCCTTCTTAGCGCCAATCCTTTGGTTGGACTGCTCAGCCTACCATAATCTACCACGTTCCGACACTCATGCAGTGCTTACACTCACATGACAGAGCACCCTGGGTGATGTTGAAAGGCTGTATTGCGCATTGCTCTTATGATCACGTACACTCACATCTAGTATATTCCATAAATTCGCGCTTTCCTTTTGTACGACTCTTGCAGATGTGAGGCCATCAGTATGGCACATCCTTTCTGGGCTCATTGCTCGCTTTCGCTCTCGGTATTGTGACGTCACGAGAAGCGTCAATTGCAAGCAAGAAGCAGCGCAACTTAACAGCATCTACATGTTCACAAAGACGTATGCATAATTGTGGGCGGTCCTGAAGGCTCTCGAGGCAAGGACGATTTCGGCGGCGGGCAAAGTTGGACGTCGTCGCCACAATGGATGTGTTGTCCCAATCCGGCATCTCAGCTCAGGCAGCGCTAGACTGCACTCGGAATGCTTTTCGAGATGGACAAGCCTCAATTTAGCGGGGTCAAGCCCAACAATGCAACATGACGGTAGACACATGTCCACCAAATCAATAAGACTGTCAGGAGACGGCCTTTAGATTCTCGGGTGATTCTGTGGGCAGGACTGGACAGGCAATAAAAGCGGCGGATTCAAGCGGAAGTGTTTTAGAGAAGATTTATGTAGATCAAGGATTCAAGGACAAAGTCGCTACAATGAATGGCTAGACTGCCAAAGAGGTCGAGGCCCCATGCAAATACCCAAACTCCATCATATGCCTCATGAGATCGCATCGCTTTTACCAAGCCAACTCGCTCTTATCGTTATCGTTACCACATGCCAGTCCCTCACAGAACGCAACGTCATCGTTACTGATCGCTGAGTTTCCATCCCTCTCTAGTGATTGTCTAGCGGGCCAGATCTGCTTGCCGGCAACCTTCTCTTTCTTCGCATGCTCCATTACGATCTCGCGGCAGCGCTTCTGAAAGAAGAGGGGGCCCTTCTCCATGTGTGGGTGCAGCTCGCCGTTGATGAAGACGCCAGCATTGATGTTCTCTTGAGCACGCTCGCAGAGGACCTTGTCTTCGGCCATGACACGTTTGTAGACAATGTTTAGGCGATCGAACTCCTCGCGGGTGCTGTTGCGATTCTTCCAGACTTCGTAGTACATGACACATCGGTTGGGGCCAGAGGGCATGAACTTCTGCATGAACATGAAGTGTGGACTAGTCAATGTTAGTCGATGCAAAAGAAGCGAACAGATGGAGATGCTTACCTGACGGTGTATGAGGAGTAGGGAAAAAGGTATGTGGAGCAAATGTTGAGACCTTGCTTGACCTGGTCGGGGTTGCTTTTGGGGTCATGGTCGATGTGGTCGGCAGAGCACTGAACATCGTATGTCTCGAGGTTGGCGATGGCAGGGAGATCTGGGTGTGTTGTTTTGCAATGGTAGCATTCGTTGAAGTTGTCTGCGAGGATCTTCCAGTTGAAGTTGCCTTCCAATGTATATGAGTGGTCGAACCCGTAGTCGTCGAAGTCGAACTGCTGAAATCGCTCCTGCTGATCGGTGCCCTCGAACTGCTCGTCCCATGTGACCTCGGGAATCTTGTTAGAGTCCATGTTGACATAGATGAAACCGTTGGGATCAGTGTGAACGTGGATAGGGAAGAGTCCATTCTTCGTCTTGTCAAATCCATCGAGATCCTGGTAGCCGGGAGCCTTCGCAAGCTTACCGTTCAGGCCATACGACCAGCCGTGGTACTTGCACGAAAGAATTTTCGAGTTACCCTCCTCTGCCTCAACGACGGGGTAGGCACGGTGCCTGCAGACGTTGTGGAAGGCGTGGATCTCACCGTTGCGGTCCTTGGAAACGACAAAGTCGTAGTTGGCGCAGTTGTAGCGAAGCCAGTCGCCAGGCTTCTGGAGACGTGACTTGTGTGTAAGGATGAGCCATCGGCGGGAGAAGATGGCACGTCTCTCAAGCTGGTACATCTCCTCTGATGTGTACCAATTGCCTGGCAGAGCGCGAACAGCGCCATTTTCTGGTGTTGGTGTGGCTGAGGCGGCGCCACCAAGTCCGATATAGCTCAGAAGTGATCCGACCATAGTGAAGTAGATGTAGGCGAGACTGAGCTTAACACTCTGAAGTATTGATGATAAGCTGAGAAGAGCCTTGTTCTGTAGAGATGACATCTGCAGTGATAAATCTTCGTCTCATGGTAGCTGAAGCAGTGATATATGATTCAAATAGCGATGACTACTCCTCACCCTTATCGAGTAAACAAGCTCCCTACCCCATATGGGGAAGTGAAATCCACTGACTGTATGGACGGCTGGCCAGTGGGTAGCGCGAACGTAATCGGACTGCAAGCAGCCGTCATGCGCCATGTTTGTTTGCTGCGTCCGAGGACTATCTGCTACTGCCGGACCTGCCATCGTGATCAGAATGGTCGAATCAGAGGCGGGCTGGCCAGGAAGTCTGGGGTAACCATGGCGTTTGGAGGGCAATAACCCAACTCAATCAAAGATTCTACAGGAGTCTAATGCGACAGTCATCGTGATAGCAATCGAGACTGGTCTGGTTGATTGCCCCTCCTGTTGGCACGGACCTGGTATCTACGCTCATGGATCTGATGTCCAAATTCGGAAAGTCAGTACCAACAAAGCCTCGCCCAGCTTATCAGCCACAACCACCACGGGATGATTGCGGTCGAATTCTGCAACTGGTATCGCACTTATTGAGTTGTATCGAGATAGGTCCCGATCACCCAAGACTGCGCTTGATAGTAGTTTTCCACTGACATGCGGGAGCCGCACGGGAGCCGCAACTTCTCGATCAGGGTCGCTGAAGTCGAAGTCAGTGACTCAAACTGCAGTCTGTCTTTAGAGAAGCAGAACTGAGTGTGACCAGGCTCTGGCCCATGCCAGATTGTTGCGTGACATCAGCATGGCCGCAGTGGCTATCGCGTTGTCAGTGCAGTCCAGAGTCCCCTCACCGATGCACACGCGTCTCACTGCATATTCTTACCCCACACGGAGCTCGCTACTTCTATCATCGGAGTACTCGGAATAGAAACGTGTCATATTGTGACGGGTGACTTTGGGTGATAGCAGTCAAGGCTGCATAGACTTCGGCGCAACCGCGGGGCCAGCTCATATAAACGTGTCCGGAGCCTTTTCAAAGCACTGGAATAGCTCTGGGGTCCTCGAGAGTAACGGTCAAGAGCTTCGAGCGAAAGACCCTGGAATCGCAATCTGCGGAAGCCCCGGGTGAGGAGCGGTCATGTTTTCGGCCATGGGTCAACGGCTTTGTCGAGGAATGCGGCGCCGCGGTACGAGCACCAATCGCATCGCACAACAGATGTAGGAACGATATTTGCTGAAGGGCTGAAGACGCTGGCAGATCCAGGGATGGGCATTTGCCTGAGGGTTGTCGCAGGGGTTTGTCGCAAAGGTATGCCTCGAGGGCACGTGTCGCAGTGGAAGTTCGCACACGGAACGTCGCATGGGAAGTCGTCCATGGCGATGTGAATCACACAGCCATCAAGTTGGTGCATGCGTAGATGCATCATTGTAGCCAATGTCCATTGCATTGTTCATTGTTGGTCACTCTGTGAAGAGCCAGGCGGAGACTGCTATGGAGTAGCTGTGTTACACAGCACCGACCTTTGAGATGATCTATCGTTTGACAGATGCTTCGGGTTCGAAGTGGAAGCTGAAAAAGGTGTGGAGGGAGCATGCCCACACACGCGAGGCGGGGTTGTCGCGAGTTAAGAAGCGTTTCCAGAACTATTTTGCGAACCCGACCGTCTAGGCTCGATTTGGCAATCAGGACCCTACGTCCACGCTTGGAACACTTCCCCACCAATGTCGTAAGAGCCGCATGCGGGGTGGTGGATTTATCGTCTCTAGTACTGCAGTTACATGCCACCATGGGAAAGCTTTCGCCGTTCTGAAGGTGTTATCCACGCTTAGCCGCGGCCTTCAAGCTGCGGAGTACGGCGAGATGGGTCGTTATCTTGAACTACAGTCCTGTTAAAAATAGCTGCTTGCTCGTAAAGCTATTTGATCCATTATATCTGAATTCTTTTTCCTCACAATGGCGACCTCGCAGCGTGTTGTCATCGTCGGCGCTGGCATCGTCGGCACAAACCTCGCTGATGAGCTGATTTCAAGAGGATGGAACAACATTACAGTGATCGAGCAGGGCCCATTGAGCATGCCAGGAGGCTCAACATCACACGCACCCGGTCTGGTATTTCAGACAAATCCTTCGAAGACGATGACATTGTTCGCCAAATACACAGTCGAGAAGTTCCAATCATTGTACAAGGACGGGCAGAGCTGCTTTAACCAGTTGGGCGGTCTCGAAATCGCGACAACACAAGAGCGTCTGGAAGAACTTAAGCGCAAGCATGGATACGCACAGTCCTGGGGTATTGAAGCACATCTGATCAGCCCAGAGGAGTGCCACAAGAAGTATCCAGGTCTGAATCAGAGTATGATCCTAGGTGGTCTTCACATCCCAAGCGATGGTCTGGCACTGGCAGCTCGCGCCACACAGATTCTTATCGAGAGCACACGAAACGCTGGCGTAAAGTACCTCGAACACACCGTAGTCACCGGCATCGAACAAGCGGAGGGTCACGTGCGAGGCGTCATAACCAATAAGGGTAGCGTGCCCGCTGATATCGTCGTATCTTGCGCTGGATTCTGGGGAGTGGAGATTGGCAAGATGATCGGCTTGAAGGTGCCGCTGCTTCCGCTTGGCCACCAATACGTCAAGACGACAGCTGTACCGGGACTCAAGGGGCGCAAGGTCAATGCCAACATTAACGCGATGAATGCTGAGTACCCGATCCTTCGACACCAAGATCAAGACCTCTACTACCGCGAACACGGAGAGCAGTACGGTATTGGATACTACGGACATCGACCTATGCCTGTCAACGCCGCCGATCTTGGCGTCACACCAGAAAAGGTCAATGAAAAACACATGCCATCGCGGCTCGAGTTCACAACCGAGGACTTTGAGCCAGCCTGGAAGGCAACACAAGAGCTGCTACCCGCACTCCGGGAGACCCAGATTGCAGACGGCTTCAACGGTATCTTCTCCTTCACACCAGATGGCGGATCGGTTGTAGGCCAAGCGCCCAACCTCGACGGCTTCTACGTTGCCGAAGCTGTCTGGGTAACACACTCTGCTGGTGTGGCTCGGGCCGTTGCCGAGGTGCTGACAGAAGGCCGTTCGAAGATTGATATTGCCGAATTGGAGGTAACGCGATTCGAAGAAGTCCAACTTAGCCCAGAGTACGTCAGCGAGACCTCTCAACAGAACTTCGTAGAGATCTACGACATCCTTCACCCGCTGGAGCCTAAGCAGAGCCCACGCAATCTGCGTATTAGCCCGTTCAACGCCCGACAACATGAGCAAGGTGCCTTCTTCCTCGAGGTCGGAGGCTGGGAACGTCCGCACTGGTACGAGGCGAACGCTGAGCTCGTCAAATCGCTGCCTAATGCATGGAAGCCGGTCGATCGTGATGCGTGGTCATCGAGGTTCTACTCGCCAATCGCAGCCGCGGAAGCATGGAAGGCACGCAATGCAGTTGCAATGTTCGATATGACCACCTTTCACCGCTTCGAGGTCTTTGGTCCCGCAGCCGTCGAACTGCTGCAGCGCCTTACGACAAGCGATATGACCAGTGCTCCTGGTGCCATCACCCACACCTTACTACTCAACACTCATGGCGGCGTTCTCAGCGACATCTTTGTGTCAAGGCTTGAGGACGACGTATTTCAGATCGGCGCCAACACCGCCACTGACCTCGCTTATCTTGCTCGAGAGGCTCGTCATCAATCCAAGACCACACCTGGCCAATGGGTGCAGGTTCGCGATGTTACTGGAAGCACATGCTGTCTTGGACTATGGGGACCTCGAGCTCGCGATGTTATCCATGATATCAGCTCAGATGACTTCTCAAACAAGGGCTTGCGTTACATGGGCGTCAAGAAGCTAGGCCTCGTTGGTATCCCGGTCACCATGTTCCGCAAATCGTTTATTGGAGAGCACGGTTGGGAGATCCAGACAACACCTGAGTTCGGTCAAAGACTCTGGGATCTCTTGTGGAAAGCCGGCAAGCCTCACGGACTCGTTGCTGCTGGTCGCGCTGCGTTCAACAGCCTGCGTCTGGAGAAGGGCATTCGCGCCTCGGGTTCAGACTTTTCATCTGAGTACAACCCGTACGAAGCTGGCATTACATATGCCATCCAAAGGGACAAGAAGATCGACTTCGTTGGCAAGGCTGCGCTCGAGGCTGCGTCGAGACGCACCCCCGCTAAGCGTCTGCGATGTTTGACTGTCGATGATGGCCGCTCGATGGTATTGGGAAAAGAGCCAGTTTTCCATGACAGCAAGGTCGCTGGGTATGTCACTAGTGCTGCCTTCGGATACACCGTCCGTAAGCCCATTGCGTACGCCTGGCTACCAAAGGATGTCAATGAGGGGGATTCGGTCGAAATCGAGTATTTTAGCCGCAAGATCAAGGCTACCGTAGGGCCTGATCCACTGTACGACCCGCAGCACCGACGCCTCCATGACGATGGCCGTTCGCAGAAGCCGGAACTGCAAAAGCGACTAAAGGCATTATTATAATAGCGATGTTTGGTGAATGGCGACTGACGAGCTCATGACCGGGGGGGCATTGCAAAGGATGGGTTTTGGCGTTCAAGCGGTCGGCAGTACAGTATGCACGACTATTTCAGTCGAATCGAATTCATCTTGATAAATCTGAGCCTGTCGTTCGTCGTGAAAATGGAACGCGACGCGACGCGACTGCCCAGATTCTTGCTTAGTCACTATCGATAAGTGCTTCGGGAAGCCGCGGTGATGTCAGCCCCTCTCGCAGCTACCGTGTATGTCATCAACAACACCACCTCCCAACTTCACTCATGAGCTTCTTTACAACTGCAATTCGACGTGCACCATTTCAATCACTTCGTTTACCTATCACAGGAGTGAGACATCCTTGGTCCGAATGCATGACGATCACAAGCTAATCATACGCAGTTAGCCATCTCTCGCGCCATGCATATCCAATCAATTCCTATGTGTATGGGTACCTTGATGGAAAGGGCCTTCACCTTTTTGCTAAACAGTATTAGGGGAGGGCACCGGCAACAATTACGCCTACCTCGTTTCAGACGAAAAGACACGTGAAGCTGTGATCATCGACCCAGCACATCCAGAAGAGTACGTCACTCGTTAGGGCTCAACTCAGCGAGGTGTCTCCAGGCTGAATTTTGACCACAGAGTCCTGCCAGCTCTTGAGAATGCGACAAAGAACGGTCTGAAGTTATCAAAGATCATCAACACTCACCAGTAAGTGGAGCACATTTGGTTCGAGCTACCTTTACTAACATTGCGCTAGTCACCACGACCATGCAGGAGGGAACAAAGAAATTGTGAGAAGCCCCTAGTCTGCTCTCTACTTGTATACTAACCAGTTGCAGCTCAAGCACCACAAACTTCCCATCATTGGCGGTCGTGACTGTACTCTAGTCAACAAGACTCCCACACATAACGAAACGTTTACTATCGGCTCCATTGAGGTCACCGCTCTTCACACACCATGCCACACACAAGACAGTATCTGCTTCTATTTCAAAGATGGAGATGACAAGGCCGTCTTCACCGGCGACACCATGTTCATCGGCGGCTGTGGGCGCTTCTTCGAAGGCACTGCCGAGGAGATGCACAAGGCTCTCAACAAAACCCTCGCCGCGCTGCCAGACGATACGAAGGTCTATCCTGGCCACGAGTATACGAAAGGCAACGTGAAGTTCGCGAAGACAGTAGCGAGGGACAACGAGGCAATCAAGAAGCTTGACAGCTACTCCCAGGCCAACAAGGAGACACAAGGCAAATTCACGATTGGCGATGAGAAGGTGAGTTTGAATGTCTAATTGTTGATATGACTGACACACTGCAGAAACACAATGTCTTCATGCTGTACGCGGACCCCGAGATCCAGAAGGCCACTGGGCAGACCGAGCCCGTCGAAGTTGTACGTACCTTGCGCGCTCTGAAGGATAAGGCGTAGAACGACTATTCATGTAAAGGAATCGACCTGACGGCTTACCGTCAAGATCAAGCCAAGAATTTTCATTATTTCGACACACATGCATTCATTGAACTTTTGAAAGCCAGAGAAAGGGCCGAGAAGGAAGTTGCCGAACAAAAGGCAGTACAAACGTCATTTTACGCACCACAGATCTATCAATTTCAGACTGTCGGCGTGTTCGGGACCATGTTCGGTACGCAGCGCGGTAAGCACGCAATACTGCTTTTCCGCCCTAGATCGCCCGAAGAGATCAGAATGGCTGAATGGAGAGAGGCGTTCTGGCCAACCACAAAGTTGGGGCGAACGGCCATGAACATCGAGACAAAACGACTCAATGCCAAAGAAGATCTCGAGAAGACCACCAGATGGAGGATGAAGACGTGGCCTAGACGAATTGGCAGGAGGATGGGCCGACATATCCAGCACCTTCTGAAACACCACTCTTTTGCAGAGAAAGAGGTGCCCGCGCCTTATTCGCCGTTTTGGGAGCTCACAGAAAGGCCGAACCCCTGGGAGACAAAGGTTCCAGAGGTCATCCAGGTCCTTGAGGAGCAGGTCGCAAAGGAGAAGGCTCTTGCAAAGATTCCGCACAGGGAACCTCCTGCGTCCAAGCTGACGGAGAATCCTTTGACAGAAAGGACTACAAAAAAGAAGTGTCTAGCGACGGATGCAGAACAGAACCCTTCTGAGCAACAGCTTTCCGAGCAGAGCGCTCCCGAGACCAAGCCCGCGGGCAAGAGACTCCGGGTCAGATGGCCTCGGAAGACTGGATAAGCTCATGCGCAGGATTCGTCTCAACGGGCTTGAGGTTGATAGAGTGCTCATTCATACACGCGCGTTCTCTAATCCGCCTCGGCATCAACCATCATCTCTCCACCATGATCATCAGTGCTCCTCTGCGTCCTCGCCAAACTCTCACTCTGCTGTGTCCCCATCACACTCCCGTCCTCCACCCATTCGATTTTCCACCCCATTCCCGCCCATCCACTCCCGGCCGTGCACATGACCAAATCGAAATTGAGATCGCGGTGGAACCAGCGCTCGCGTCGCTTCGACTGTCGCTCCCCGCCCTCCATCGCGGTCCGACTCGCCTTTGTAGTCCGCGCCCTCTTTCCCCTTCCACCCTCACTCAGCAAATTACCGAGCCGTATGCGCTGCGATTCCAAGACTTGTTCGTAGGCCACGATACTACGCACGTAGGGCGCGATATCCGCTGTTAGGAGACGGAAGGGCAGGTCGATGGATGTCGAATGGAGAATATACGAGGAGCGGTTGTCGATGTCGGGGTACGTGTTAAACGGCGATGAAGGGGTAGCGAGGACGTCGAGACAGGAGAAGGAGGAGCGGGATAGGGGTTGCGAGGACGTGGCAGTTCTGTGGGCGAGGATGGTCTGGGTGTAAAATTGCTCGAGCGAGAGGCTTGGAGGTCGCGGCGCACTGTCTGTGCGAGACGTTGCGTGGTTGGCGAATAAGCGGGATGTCAGCGTATGTGTTGTAGTCGCCAGTGCAGTGTCGAGACCGAGGAAGTCGATCACAGGGTCGACTTGGAGGAGAGGTGCGTTGGTGGTGTAGCTCAGTCGCTCTTTGTCGGTTATCGGGGGGAGCGTGGGATCCATGGGTTGGCTGTGCGGGGTCTCGTAGCCTGGTAGGTCAATGCGGGCGTAGATGTCTGCGGCGCTGAGGGCGTCAGAGAAGGCTACTAGACGGTTAAGCTCTGTGAGGCGTGTTTGCTGAGTTGCGTCGTCAGAGTCGTCATGAGCGCTGTCGGGCTGGTTGTCAGCGCCCAAAGACGTGGGACTGATGTCCCAGTCGTTCCAGACTGCTGTCAGCAGCTCTTCTTCCTTGTCAAAGGCAAGGTTGTTCTTCGACTCGAACACATTGTTGGACAGCCAGCCCATACCCGACTGGTATGTGTCTTCGCTTGCAACTCTCAGCAGACGACCATTGGCATCGACGTCTTTGCCTGGCGGCCACCGCTGGTACATCCACTCCAGACCTCCTTTCTTGTCGCCCACCGACATCTGACACCAGAAGTTCAACTCGGAGATACTGGCTCGGAGATCGTGGCTCTTTGAGATATACAAGTCGGTGACGGCTTGTCTTCGCAGTATGTGGCCTTCTCTCCCTGCTAGTGCCAGTAGGTAGTCAGTCGCGAGCTTAGTGGGAGGTGGTGTAAGGCGCAGTATAGCGGCCATTGGCAACGCCTGCGTGGGTACATGCAGTTCGTCATTACAAGTGATGACGATAGGTCGCTTTGACTGCGCAGCCAGCTTGATGATATGTGCCCAGAAGTTCTGATCTTCTTCGAAAAGGATGTCTGCCTCTTCGATGAGGATGAGCGACTGCTTTTGCGACTTGCGCGATGCCCCTACTATTGGCAGCATAGCTTGAGCTGCTGGGATCATCCTAGTCTTTATGGGTGATTTCACTGAGACCGGTACCCTTGACTTCTGTGTTGGCTTCGCCTTTACTGCAGGCTTCACTGTGAAGAATGAAGTCATCGTGCCTTGCCTTCCACTGTCAAGATCCTTTTGGAATGCTCTTTCGCGTTCGTTATCTGTATCGTTGTCCATGGCAATCAAGATAGGCTTTGGCTTGACTATTACATCACCTTGCTGATGGTTGACCAAGTGATTAGCAGTCATGTCTCCGACTTTGTCCTGGATGTCCTTGCCAGAACGCCGAACGCCGGAATGGAGCTCGAAAACCTCGAAGTCCAATTCTTTTGCTACGGCGTACACCGAGGCACTCTTTCCGCATCCATGAGGCCCGCTAAGAAGGACGACGTTTTTGTTCCTTGTCCACCGCGGTCGTCTGATTGAGGGATGCGCAGCCCCTGTGTCTGGCTCGAGTTGGATCATCTCCTCATCTCCATCTTCATCTTCATCATCCGAGAAGACAATGAAGTCATCTGCGGCCGTTTTCCGCTTCTTCTTAGGTGGCTTCTTCGTGTCTAGCGATGCACTGATCTTCGATGGGTCTTGCGCGGTACCCACGGCCAGTACGGTCAAGCTCTTCAGCCAGTCTCTGAGTGCAAATGCCTCTTTGCCTAGCTGCAGCACACGGTCCGACCGCAATGGTCTGTACTTCTGTGCCCACGCTTGGGGCTCGCACCTGCCCTCATCGAAGGGTGTAAGTGTATGCTCGATTTCGTCGAACAGCGTAGTGATTGCTGGATGTGTCTTGGCATACAGTCGCTGTGACAGAGTCTCGATTGGTGCTCGAATCTGAGCGCGCACCCTGTGTTGGATGTCGATACCCGTAGTTAGCAAGCGGGTCGGCAACCGCACATCCTCAGGTGGTGCAAAGTCCAGGTCGGTCGGATTCCGTTCTATTGTCATGTCTTCTGACAATTGGCTAGTCAATCTAGAGATTATCTCCTCTTCGTCAGAAAGCGCGTCGACGTTGTTCTTTAACTTCGCAGGCCTCAAAGTCAAGAATGTCGCTGGATATTGTAGGTGCGGCCCATCGACGCCATCAGTATCGAGATTTCGTACATGCACAATTTCTTTCGAGGGCCACAAAGGCTCGTGCAAGCCGGATTGCCTGGCCAGCCGAGTGTTCTTGGACGACATGCCAAAGGCTGGCATATCTTCGTCATCTTGTTCCTTGCACCTCTCGGCTCTCAGCTTTCCCGGCGTACAAGCACTCTTCCTGGGGTTCACAGGTCGGCGTTCGGCTTCCGGCTTCAGGGGCGCTTCAGCCTTGTTCTGACCAGCTTTGCCTATAAAGAAGGGGTGAGCTGGTTTGGACCATCCAACAGGTTTAGGCGGAGCAATCGATACTTGTTTAGCAAAAGCCGTGCCACCGTTGAGGATGGCATCAATCTTTTGGCCGAGGGCAACTCTCGATGCCTGATCAGCACCATATCTAATAACAGTGATGGTGGAGGAGAGGTTGGCGTTTCTTGCTACTTTTCGCGGACGGCCCCTTCGCTTCGGTGTTGTCGACACTGGCAGATCAGACTTCTTTGGAGGACTGGACACCAGCTTGCCGGACTTTGTGACCTTGATCTGCTTCTTCGGGGTTACTTTGGCCGCCGCGTTATCAGCAGCTTCGGAAGGGACGTTTCCGTTGCCAGTCTGCGTGACGTCTGGAACGGCAGTTGGTGGCGTTACGGACCGTGACTCGTTCGTCGCTGCTTGTGGGAGGGATGATTCGGGCACAGCCTCTTCAAGTTCCTCGGCGACAGGCGGCGAAGACTTGAGTGCTTGTCCTTTGGGTGAATTCACGACCAGTGCATCAACCATGATATCGCCTATGACCTCTTGAGTCCCTCCAGCCTCCGCCTGCAGTTGCTGGAACAAATCTGGGGCCGAGCCTGCTGAAATCTGGTCTGCATCGGTCTCGATTGCATATGTTGTAGGCTTTGGCGAAGCAGTCTTCCTTCTCTTCCTGCGGTCCAAGTTCGGGTCCTCTTCCAATGTTGCCTCTGTCAGTCCGTTTCCACCGGCCTTCACGTCCACCTCGTTGGATTGAGCAGGCCGCCGAGCAAATCTCTCCAGCGACGGTTGATTCTTTGCGTGGGTCGCCTTTCTTGTGCGCTTCTTTCGGGGCTTGGAGGCCTTCAGGCCCGTGTTCTGCACGCTGTAGTCCTCGTCATCGTTCGCATCGTCGTGATTTGTAGCAGCGTCGTCGGCAGGTGGCTCTTGGATTTGTGCTTCTGGTCGACGGTTAGTGAAACAGGCGTTGTAAAATGCAGTGGTCGTACTATTAGATTTGCTGAAGAATGGATGCACGTTCTTCGGTTCCTCAAGATGCATGGCAGTGTGCGCTGCAGTAAGAGCCATTGACCAGAGCTTCAATTACCGCAACATGACCCGTGTTACAATGAACAAACAGAAAAGATAGATACGAGTGGGGTTATTTGCGGGGTCCAGAAGTGGAAGAAGCTGCGTGGAAGCGTGATGTGAATGTCCTCACGTCTACGCGACACGATGATGATGATGCACGCGACGCGTCTTCTAAAGTGACTGGCCCCACTGTTTTCGCCGCAATCAAGCCACAGCTGAGCCACCGCTAACTCTGCTCTGCTAAAAGTTCCCGCTAAAAAACATCTCGAAAGTTGCAATGTGATCAGCGCGGCGACTCTAGCAGACCTCGCACTGCACACGATAGACCTGACACACAGAACACAATGTCGTCTGACAAGGAAATTGGCGCGCCCTTCACGCTGGCGTCGCTGTCGAAGCCAGTCAGCTCCACCAACGGGCGCATACATGCGACAGGCGTGTGCAGCATCAGTGGCATCAAGAAGAGGAAGCGCACAGAAATTGTTGTTGGTGTTGAGGGCGAGTGCATAAGTATTTACAGTGTATGAAGACGACTCACAAGTCTGGAGGCTGCCATCTGACCTCTTGCCAGCTGCAAAACCCTCAACTTGTTACCTCGTATGCGCTCCCGCCCAGCGCATCCTTCACAGCTGCCCCGTACTCGACCTACCGCAAGGGCTCGTCCAAGGCGCCCGCCCACCGCTTCACATACGCCTCGACAACCGAGTCGACTGCCGGCGCAAAGTCGCAGGTGATCTGTTTCCACGAGACCATCCTCGGCGACAATGCAGAGACTGCGAAAACCTCGTACACGCCCTCGAACGGCTCTCAGGTCTCAACAATCGAGTCGGTGCCCGTCGCAGGCGGCAGTTCCAGCAAAGATTCGGCACATGACGTGCTTGCTACCTTCGAGAATGGAGATGTCATCTGCCTGTCGGCTGATCTCTCGACTGTTCGCTGGGTCGCGAACTTGAGGGCAGCAGGCTCACAGAAGGAGGAGACTTTCAAGATTGAGAATGTCACGCTTTCGACTGCACGAAACGTCATGCGAGGACTGTTGCGCAGCAGAGAGGACATTGCAGCTCTTTTGAGCACCGACTCCAGCGAAGCATCTGATCTTTTGGAGCTCACCCAGATCCTGTGCGTCATCGGCCAGAATGCGAACGGCACCAGGACCCTGCAGCTCCTGCAAGTGCAGCCTCGGAACGAAGACCTACCCTCGACGCAGCTACAGCCTCTTAAACACCTGCTCTCGATCAGCCTACCAAAGCCTTCGAGCATTCTGCTCCGCACAGATTCAACAGCCACATACTCTCTCCACGCTACCAGCGGTGCACTGCACATCTTGGTCGATGGCGGCGTCATTTCCTACGACTTGTCGGGAACCGTCCCCAATGTCACTTCCGAGCTGCTACTCAGCGAAGCAAAGATCGACTCCTTCTTGCGCATCTCCCAGGACATTGTCTTCACAACGGCGCCCGGCTCCTGCCGTGTCTTCGACGTAAAGTATAGCTCTCTGCAAGCTTATCTGTCGCTGGGCGCCGCGCCCATCTCGGACGATGCCTCCAAGAAGCGAAAGCACGCTCAGCCAGAGTCTGAACTATCATCCATCACGCCACAAGTGGTGGCATACTACGCTGAGCTCGGCCTTGTCGTAGCTGTCCGTGACGACGAGCTGCTAGGTATGCAGTACGGAGGCACAAACGCACGCAAGCGGGTCAAGACGGAAGGTACTCTGCTCATCGACGCATTGGGCAAGGGTATTGCAAAGCCAAAGCCCAGCGCAGAATCCGCAAAGTGGTCGGACAGGAAAGAGAAGCTCGATCGCTACGCTTCCAAGAGCAAGATTGCAAAATTCGAAGGTGTCCTGGCCTCGTGCTTAGGTATTCCGTTGGAGAAGAAGACAGATGCACAGAGCAAGCAGGAGAACGAAGTACAGGGCGGACCTTTGACCAACGGCGTGGGTCCAAGCATACCGAAGGAAGACGCGATGGTCGTTGAGAAGGTTGAGGACGAGGCCTCTGAGGACCAGCTCCGCAAGTGGAATATCCCCACGGCCATCCCCGAGTCGCAGCGACAGTCCCACCGCCAACACGCCCTCTACGCTCTCAGCAAGATCTTCAAATTCGAAGGCAGCACACTCAAGGTCGCCTTTTTCCCGCCCAACGTCTTCCAATGGCTTCTCCAAATCGGCCATCTAACCAAAGAGTCCATCCGGCGCGCCCACCTCGACGAGGCCCCGGAGCTCGCCCACAACATCCCAAAGGTCACCGACGGCGACATCGTAAAGGCCATCGTAGCATTTGACCCCGAGCTCCACATCCTCTCCGCGGTACTCAACCATAAACACTTCCTACCCATTGGCGAAGTCGTCGAAGCTATCCGCCTTCTCACACAAAGTCTAGACGACAAGCCTTCTACAGCCGACGGCACAATCAAGCTCCTCACTAACGGCACCGCCCCAGCAGACACCGATATGGATCTCGACGTCGAGCTGGACGCCGCAACGACCGAAGTCGACCACGCGCTTACCGTGCTCTCTAACGGCGTAACGCTCCGCTCTAACACCCTACGCCCCGCATTGATACGTCTACACACCTTCCCCGCGCCCGTTATCAGCTCGACGTTGCGCTCCGTGCTGCCGCGTCGCGACCTCGAGTCGCTCATCCGACTGCTTCATTTCGAACTCAAGAACGGCGGCTGGTCGTCTCAATACGATTTTATCCCTTCTCCCTCGGAAGAGTTGCCGGACGACTCCCCAGACGACCACGCGGTGACCATCATCGCGGCCCTGCTGTCCAGCACCTTGGATGCTATCGGTGCCGGCGCCTGGCTGGCGGGCGTCAGCAACCCAGCCGACGCGACGGACGACGGCAAAGACATCATCGACGCGCTGCACGCTGATACTTCCGAAGCGCTCAACGGGTTCTGGGAGGCGAGGTACATGCGTGGTTTGCTGGGCGAGTTCTTGCGGTATGCGGCAAATTTGCCCAAGAGTGCTAAGCCGAGTAGCAAGAGTTTGGAGAACCAGGGCAAGCCGTTTGCAGTCTCGGGGATCAAGGAGGATGATCTGCCTATGCTGCCGCTGGGTGGAAGAGGGGATATGGGCGTTGAGAAGACGAAGCAGGGCAAGGGAGGCAGGAAGGAGGAGAGGAGCAAGCGCGAGATTGGAATGTTGATCTCGAAGAAGGTGCCGAAGTACAGCTTCGAGAGGATCATCGTTTAGGGCGTGGGATGCAGAGATGGGTGGAGGGTGGTGAAGATGGTGAAGTCAATGCCAGACGATTAGATCTGCCACTTTCATCATCTCCCCAAGTCGTCTCGTCTTGCTGTGGACAACATACGACATTACATCCTTAGCCTTGCCATCCCCCCTCCGCGCCAAGAAACCGCAGTGCATTCGGAGCCGCTCACTGCAGAAATCGTCAAGCACAAGCGCCGACTACACCGTCAAATCCCACTCCAGAATCCCACAGCATCGATAGACTTCACAGCACCAACCACGATATTTTCTTCGCCAAAACCAACCCGTCGAATGGCATAGCTCCAGCCAGCAAAGCACCAACCAGAGCGCACCACACCGCAGCGTCTCCCCGGCGCGCACAGCCTCGCAAGAATCCTTTCCATGCCACACGGCGGAGCAAATTCCCTCACACGACCCGCTCAAAGCAGCAAAACCACGCTGAGCGTGCGGAAAACGCGTCCCGAACAGCACGCGTAAGAAGCAATCGCAGTAAGTAAGGAATCACACGCAAGCGGCCCGCAGTCAATGAAACCGCACGTCCGCTTACTGCGCTATCGTTCAGCAACGCAGCCATCGAGCGCGAAGCCGCTGTGCGTCATGATTCACTACAGCATGAGCAGAGCCGCTGCACGCGTCTTGCGTCTTGATCTATGGCACGGCAATCGGTGCGGCTAGACATATATTCGCTCCCGTCACGCATCCCATGTCCATCTTGCATCTTATCTTCTCTTGTCTTCTCTTCTGCTCGTCTGTGCGGCTATCGTGCGTGTCCACACAACACGATATCGTGCCCCGTTTGCTTGCGTCGAGACGGGCCGAGCAGCGGTGGAGAGGCTGCGTGGACGGGTGGAGCAGCGTCTGATCGCCTGGCGGTACCTTGTAGCTATTTGAGTGTGTGCGAGCGACCGAGCCAGGGCGGATGTTGTTGGAGTTGCACGTCTCCGATTTCGTTGGGGGAGGAGCTCGATTCATATTGATAGATTGTATTCGGTGTTTTTGACGTTTGTGCTGGTATGTATGTAATAGAAAGTTGTGGGTATATGCAGTGAAAGACGCCCGTAGGCATGCAAAACCGGATCAAAAGAAGGAGGAGTGCAAAGCGGTCAGCGCTTGACCGTCCTCCATCATGCAACGCTCGCTCGCAATGCCGTGCTTCGTAAATGTCATCAGTTGTTGAATCTTCAATGCCTCTTCCACCCTCGCCTCTCACCCCTCCTCTCACCTCTCCCCTCACCGCCTCCATCCCACAGGAACATCTGGTCTTCCTCTTTGTAACGAGAGTCCACACCCTTCTCTGCCGGCCTCCAGACCCGGGTATAATCGCCCCAGAGTCATGTGGAAGCAAAGCAACTCCTCGCCCAAACGCACAGCGAGGATGTCCTTCGCATCGAGTAAATCTCGAGTAATACGAGCTGGAACCCCCACTCCCGGCGTCGGCGTAAACCGGCTGACCGAGCCTGGACGCGCGTGGAAGCATTCCGGCGGGCATTCCGTCATAAACACGTTTTTCTCTGCAGGTACAATTCTGACTCCACAGCGGTCTGCGCAGCGTGACTGTTGTCACTGTTTCGTGCCGTGACGCATGGCTGGTGTGACCGTTGAAACGGGGCTGAAAATTTTTGCCACCGAGGCGGCTCCGAAGCCATGTGGGACATTGCTCGCTGACCGGAGTAGGTGTTCCGAGCCCTATATCGGAGGATGCAAATGCCTGTGTTTGCGGTAGATGCTGTATCTGAAATCCTGCTCGCGTGTTTCGTCGCACTTCCTACACATTTCCCAGCTCTGCGGTTGTGCGCCGCAAGCGGTAATTCGTAGGAAAGGTCATCTCCACTTGGCGAAGCGCTAGCGCCGCGCGAGGTCATGCGATCCGAGGAAACGTCGAATGCAAGATCATCACTAGGATGTAGCGCCGTCGACGTCAAACGGTTTCCTTGTTCTTCGTGAGTGCGATTTCGTGAACGCTGCGAGGGTCTCGCTGCACGTGTGCCCGACTGTAAATTGCATCCTGAAAAATTCACAGAATGCGGTCCACAGCCTAGCAAATTTGATCCATCTCCTAGTGCATTTGCAAGCGCTTCAGGCCGGGGTGCCAACCCATCGGTTCGGCACACCGCTTGCGCTCTGAAAGGCAGGTGATTTGCAAGAGCCCAATTTCCTCGGCGGGAGCCAAATGCGCGCCTTGCCGACGGCCTTGGTGTCGAGCTTGCCTACGCGGCGCATGTTCATCTCGAGAACGATTACGCGCAGGAAGTCGCTGTTCTCGCGGGGCTCGCGCTGACGGACGGTGGGTGTGGGTGACTGCAAGCGTCCAGCTTCGGAAAACGGATCCGCAGTCTTGCGTCGGCTTCTTGATGACCGGCCACGTCGGTCGTATGTCTGCATCTGGATCATCGGCGCATGGGTGTCGGCATCGGCGTCGATCATGAGCGCATCGTGAAGTTGCATGGACAGCTCCGTGGGGGAGGTGGGAGCAGGCTGTGGGTTGAGATAGCGGCGGAGTGCTGGTGACGGAAGCCCGTCCAGGTGGTTTGGCCGCATTTCGCTGGTGAAGTTGGGTGACAGAATCGATCGAGTAAGAAGATCCTCGGGCGGCACGCTTGGTGCGGTGAAGTTTGAGAATGACTTGGCTGCTTCTTTCAGCGCCTGCAGTGAGGCCGTGAGGTTCGACTTGAACGACTTGAATCTTTCGTTCGATGGCGATATCGTGATGACATCTGGGACATTTGCTTCGGTGAACTCTTCCGGGTCTTCTGCGTTGAAGTGGAGGAGCGGGTGGTCCAAGACACAGTCCTCCTTTGGTGGCGACGAGTAAATCTTCTCGCGGCGCTCGGACAGCGACTTGCGACTCAGTGACTCTGGCGTGCTGAGGTTGTCCCAGTGCGAGGCGTATGAGGGAGAGTCGTAGTCCAGGGAAGGCGGCAATGTCGACAGTGAGTCGCTGGAGATGGATCGTGAAGCGCCAAAACGTCCCCTCTCCTGGTCCAGACTCGGCAGACTGCCGCCATAGTCCGACTCGGATTCGTCAACGCGGCCGAGGAGCAAGTCCATGGGGGACCCGGACAAGGAGGACGCTATCTCCGTGTCGTCTTGCTTCCACTCTTGGATCAGCTCGTCCATGGAGATCCTTCGGTCCGCAGCAGGGCGCTTGCGGCGGCGTTGGGGCTGGCGGGCGGGAATCGATGTGATGGCCAGCAGGGCGGCGACTGCTGGTGGAAGGGCATCTGGGTTGTGGCGCCTGATCGAGCGAGGCGGACGGCCGCTGTTCTGTCCATTCATGCGTACCGTCTGGGCGGAGGATGCTCGCGGCGGGGTGCGAGGCGGTATCACGACGGGACTGGAGTGCTTGAGCATACTTTCCGCGGGCTCAGCGGGCGCGGTGGGCGTTGGGGCGAGGTTGGTGGTGCGCGGTGCGAGTGGCGTCCTCTGGGTTCGCGTGCCCATGGTGTCGTGCGTCTGCTGCGGTCGTCGGCGCGGCGAGGGCGGAGAGTGCTGGAGATATGGGAAGCTTCTCGGCGAGATCATGGTAGGCGAGAGTCCCTGTGAGCGTTTTCCCGTGACTAGCGATGCTCCGAGTCCCAGCACGGCTAGGCAGCTGTGACGTTGCTCGTCTGCGCGTCGGGGACGATTCCTTTACGTTATTGCTGGATCTGGATTGGGTGGCTTGTCTGGCGGGTCAGGGCAGCATCAGACGTGCAGGGTCATGGGCCGGCCGAACGTCCCCGGGCACGCGACAGCAACCGTGAGAGTGATGAGTGGTACAGTAATGTGCAGGAGCGGGCTGGCGAGCGTGTTGGAGTGAGTGTGCGAGCGAGGTTGAGGAGAGACGGGGGGACTACAGCATGATAGACTCATCAGATACGAAGATAGAGCAAGGTCAAGCAGCGCGCAGATGGCACGCAGCGATAAGGCAAGGCAGCACCGCGACGGGTTGCACCGGGACTCAGCGCGCAACAAGGGCTACCGGTATCAGTGTACGACACGCCTGAATAATAACGGCCAGTCGCGTGGGCGAGCCTTCCTATCGAGCACAAGAGCGCACCGGATCAGCGCTGCATGCTACCGTGTCACGGCGCACAGGCGGCCTGTAGACACCCGCCGCTGAGCCTCCTGCCTGCAAGAGCCCAGCGCCTCGCAGCGCTCCACGTCGCGCAGTTGGGCCGATGAGGATCAGATCATCACTGGCAGCCATCCCTGCCTGGGCGGCGCTCCTCTCCGCGATTTGCGACGCCAGGGCTGGTGCTGCCCCACGCTGCATTCCTTCTGGAAGGTCCGCAGAAGCGCTACGACGGGGCCTCTGGGGCGGTGTAGACAGGGCATCCAGCGGCCGGTGAGAACCAGGACTCCTCAGTAGTTGCACTTGCATCTCGCTCTTCCATGACTGTTGCATTGCATCGCTGTTGTCCTCGAGATAAAGATAAGAGCCTGACTCCTCCAGCTTCACGTCGCTATGACCGCATTGTATAACACCGGAGAGCCGCCCGTAGCGTGGGCTAACACGAGCTACCATCTGGCGCTGCTGGCCTGTCAGGTGGCGTCTCCTTATCTCTCCTGCACTCCTGCACTGCGGAACATCTGTCTCGCATGCGCCAAGCCTCCAAGTCCTATCTTTACCCAGTCTTTACCCCAAAATCGCGTTGTGGGGTGCATGCGCGCCATGCTGAAAGCGCCCTGGCCGTCATCGTGAGCTGTGGCTCCTGACCTGGGAACTAATTCGTTGGACATGTGCATGCAGCGGCGTGCCTTTGTTGCCGTTGTATACTTTCTGGTACTTCATGCGTGCCTCCACGCTGCTATAACTTCAAACGACTTGGAAAGCTTTACGCTGCGTTCCCACACGCTCAAAGAACACCTGTCACTTCATCGCACCGACCTTCCGCTTCAGTCCAAGATCTCCCGTAACCCAGAAGCAGAAGGTCGCGCGGTAACAGGCTCCTCAATAGGAAGGCCACCACCCGCATCATCTGGAGGTCTGCAAAAAAAAAAGGCACAGACGTTACACGACCACAGCATGATGGAAAGATTTTTGTATTGTCCTGCGGCCCTCGGCTCAGCCATAATAGTACACGTCTCATCATTGTCAATCAATCCTGCTCGCGAGGATTACCATATGCATCTCGCACCTCGCTACACAAATAAGTGACGACCAAAAAGCAATATCACAGCACAGTGCCCAAGTCGCTATCCAAAACGCCGTCGACTCGCAGGAATTGCGCGAGGACCAAAAATGCAAGAATGGCACGACGTCGGAAACGAAAATTCTTGCCACTGCGGAGGCCGCAGGTCGCATCCTGTGGGTACTTGCATAAGTGACATGCAACATTCCTTGGCTACGCTGGTACGTGGCGATTATCGCTGTCAGTCTTGTCTCGTGTAAAGAGACGAGTCCAAGTGAAAATTTTCAGACACCCAGCGGTGAAAGATTACAGCGAAAGGAAATTTGAAAGCCGTTGCAACGCGTCGAATGAAAAAATCGACCCTCCCAGCATGCCCTCGAAGGATTGTTGACCCAAGGTGTATGCGGTAAGGGTTGCAGAATAGTTTGCTCGGAAAGTTGAGGGCAGATCAAAGCCATCGGCACCTCAGTACACGCTGCCGTCATCAGTCCAGCCAGCTTCGCTGCAGCGAACCATGCGGCCGTCCTGATCCATCATCATGTTGCCTTGGTCGACGCTGCGGATCCCTCTGACCTTCTTGCCTTGGATAGCTCGCGGTGTGGAAGCATGATCAGGCGTCATGCGCTTGGTCTGACTGCTTCGGTAGCTCTGGAAGTCAATGTCACTTTCAGGCGTGTCGTCGGACTGGTCGCTGAATGTCTCCCAATTTTCCGACGCTGCCTGCCCTGAGCCTGTCGAGGATGCTTGTGAAATATGCCGGCTGCTACTCGATGATAACGACAGGGCTGGCGCGTGTGTATAAGATACAGGGTATTCAGGCCGCATCGTCTTCCTGAGTCGATCGTCGTAGGGGTCCTCCGGCGGTATACTGCGGACGATGCTTTCACTGCGCTCGCTGCGGTTGAACTCGAAGCGATTTCTGGGTGTGTCATTTGGGTCAGGTGGAACAAATAGATCCTTCATTCGTGGCGGTGGCGCCAAGGGCGGACCCATCCTCCGCATCGTCGATGATTGTGAGTCTGCCCGCGAGTGCATGGATGCCAACGAGTCACCTCGAGAGTGCGTAGAGTAGTTTGACTCGGCTCGAGACAAAGTAGAATCAGCGCGGTGGAGTGTACCCGGTCGTCGCTCAGGCGAGCCCATTTGCTTCGGTGGCGCTCGTGTAGGGAGTTTCGAAGGACTCTTGGATCCAGATGCTGCTGAAACAGACTGTGCGAAAGGATTGCCACGCATTGTGCTTGCGCCGAAGTTGCCTGTCACTGGTGTCTTCGTTCGAGTGGGTGGCTCGTGGAGTGTCTGACGATGGTTGGTCTGGACGCTGATTGATTGTCCGTGGATGGTGCCAGCACGAGGGCGAGCGGAAGAGTTGCCCCTGGTAAGTGTTCCTTGCTTTGGAGGCATGCTCATATTGGATGGCGTCTTCGCTCGAGGTGGTGGCCCCTTCTGTTCAGCAGCGTACAGCTCATCCAAGTAGCGCTCGCCGTGGACAAGGAACGGTCGGCCCCACTCGCTCTCATAAGCCTCAAGTGTTGCCCTGAGATCTGCTTCGACCTTGGGCAGATCCTTTGCAATGCGTTTACGCATCTTCTCCTCGCGTAGCAGCTTCCCAGGATCTCGTTTCTCGCCCTTCTGGCCGCGGCCCATGAGTCGAGAGGCATCCTGGCTGGATTGCTGGAGCTCAGTGCGCTCTTTGATCAGCTCACGGTGGCGGTCAATCTTCGAGATAACAGGGAGGCGCTGCTCCTTTAGTCTTTCGAGCCTGGAGATCTCTGCCTCATGCGCTGAGAGAAGTGCGTCGCTGCAGACATCAGAGAAGGCAGGTGTGAAGTCCAGCATCTCCTCTTCCGAGAAGTACAGTGCATCCCATAGCTCTTGCAACTTTATCCGCGCTTCCTCGACGAAAATGTGTAAGTTCTGCTGCTTCAGCTCGTTCAGCCTGGAGAGCTCAGACTCGAATTCGTTGATAGTGCGCAGACCGCAGCCACGGTTGCTGGCAAGGAAGTGCTTCCGCTCGCCTGGGTCCACACTGAGGCGCTCCCAGAGCTCCTCGATAGTTGCTCGCAGCTGTGCAATGCGTCGTTCACGGTTACGCTTCTCCTCGATCAGACGGTCTTTCTTCGCTTGCAGGTCGGCCAAGTCAGACTTGTGCAGGCCCAGCTGCTCTGGCGATTCTCTGTGGTGCTGCACTATCATAGAGTCTGTTTGCGCCTGTGGTGTTCCCAGCTCAGCCCAGAGCTGAATAATCTCATGGCATATGACCTGGACTTGGTCCAGACGCTTTGTGTATTCTTCATATACGCGGCTGAATTCGCGGTCCAGCTTGGCGATGTAGGAATCGGAGATGTCGAACGAGGGCGAGATGTTGGCTTCTGGTGCGGTCGGCGGCAGCTTGATCTTTAGGAAGTCGGAGTCGAGATGGGATGCGTACGATTCGAGAGCCTCGGCGATTTCTACACCTGGTCAGCATGGGTGCACGTCTCTGGGAGGGTAGACTGACTCCGTGTCTGCTCGAAGCGCTCCTGGTACTGCTTGGCGACTGCGTTGTGCTTCTCCTTCAGTGCTTTCAGACAGCGTGTTAATGGGTAGGTAATCTGTGTGTCATCGTTCTTGAACCTGGTGCCGTTCTTGCTGTCGTCCATGGAGTCCTGCATCTGCTTGATTGTCTTGATCAGGTGCTGCGCCTCTTCCGTCATCTTATGTTTCTCGTTGGTGACGGTGCGCAGCTGGCCATGGAGCGTGTCTGACAGCGCAGAGAAAAGCTGGAGCAAGGTCAGTCGTGCTTCCTACCGCCATACACGGGCAATTGCGCACCTCTGCCTCGCGAGAGTCGCGCTCATGGCTGGGAACGCCGATCTCGTCGAACAGGCCGTGCAGCTGGCCGATAATGGTGGTGACCTGCTGAGCGAGGTAGCTGGTGTCCATGTTGGCTGCAGACCTGCCAGCGGAGTCGTCCGTCGCGTATGCACTGTGACTGCGCAGCGCAGTGGGGCTCTCCGGCAGTGGTCTCGAGTCTGCAATGCGGCGTGGAGTCGGCCGAGGATGAATGTCGATGCGCGGACGGGGGAGCGCGATCCAAGCGAGGAATCCCGGTCGTCGCAAGAGCTGCAATTAAAGAGAGGAATTGCGCCGACCACGCACAGCACGACCACAGTATGAAAATGTGGGCGCGTCAAGAATACGTTGTTTGCAAGCCCGGAGGTGATGCAATCTTGAACATGGCGATGGGCGGCCTAAGGCCGATCCGCGCGTTTATTTTTGGTAAGAGCACCGTTGCTGTGGGCAACCACCCGCCCGTCAACACGAAAGTTCCGTTTCATCCACATTACCTCCGCTCCACTCGCTGCGCAGACAGCGTTCAACAGAGAAAACTTGGTTGTACCGCAGGGATGTGGTCTTATAGCGTGTGATGCCTCAGCTGAGTCGAAAGTGGTTCTTAAAGACATGATGTAGAAGTAGGAGTGAACCAGCTGCAACCTCCTGAGTGGCCTACATCTGAAAAGGCCCCCTCACCATAACACCACATTCTCGAATGCCATCCCCACTCAACATCGACAAAGACATCGTTCTTGCGTGAACAGTTCGCATCGGCATGATCTCCCGATCGCCGTCGTGTCTGTGCCTCTTGTGCCGTGCCGCTTCACGCACCAACCACTTGTCTGACAGAGCCCCGCTGCACTTGTACCTGCTCCTCATGTTCGCAGCGCCAGAGTGGGGAGGCTGAGGGCGTCTCCCAGCAACCATCGTGACCTTGCTTTCGTTGACCTCAAGAAACTTGGACAACCCGAATACCTGCATAATAAGACAGCCTTGGCTTGTGTCCATGCCTGGACTTCGCAATGTCTCGTGCCATTGCGCAGGGCAACAAGCATGTAAGCGCGTACAATCGGTCTGATGATTCATCTGATGGTTGTGTCGGCACGGTGTCACTGCTTGAAGGATGCCGGACTTACCGCATCGTTGCCTCCACCTTCATTGATCAGGTGGCCTGGAGACAATTATTGATATGCATCAGACGTTTGCACAGCATTTTAACAATAGAAAAATCCTTCTTTTGGCGTGCTAACAACATATACTCCTCAAAGGCTCGGGAGCATAATTCGTCAAGCTTCCTCAGCGACCACACACCTTGTGGAGACGACTTTTAACCCTCAGCAGTCGTCAAAGGCGGGGACCCCGACATCGATGCGAATCTCAGCAGCTAAGCTGCTCTTAAGTACCGTGCCAAAAAACTGGATCGAAGTCTCTCTACTTCTATCACGACAGCTGCAAGTCTCACGAAGCTGACCCACAGACATCATGGTAGTTCAAGGGCTAGGTCCGCTCCAGCGTATGGTGCTCGCGTGTGAGCTGCGTTTCTACCGCGTTTCTACCACGTTTGTAGAAGGTATTTAACATCGAGGCGTCAAGCCAGCCGTGCTCATGGGCGCTGGAGTAGGCTGATTCCACGCTTGACGGGCTGCTAGACTGCGCCAGGGTCCGGTAAGATCACTTGATTCTCACAAGGCGGCGAACTTAGTCATGCGCGAGACTGCCAAGGTAAGCCTCAAAACTCGAATGTTAGCGGGAGAGGCTGGGGCTGTGGGAAAAGGTCGAGATCGACTGGGTCGGTGTTTCCCGGCGTCGCCGGCGAAAGACAAGCAAGCATCCCCGCAAAAGCAGCAGCTTCACCAAACCCAGAACATCACACGATCCTCTTTCGCCTTCCGCTTCGCGTTGGACGAGGCCAGAGCGTCGGATGCCTCGCCGCGACACTTCAGCGCATTTGACCACGAGCTAAGCGTCCCAGTGTCGGACTTCTCAGCTGATGTGCTCTAGAACAGCCACCCTGCGATAATTGCTTCGCTTCACCATGCTTGGATCAACGCAGAGAGCGAATGATCTTGACGACTTGTCCTGTGCCGCTTGCTGACCTTGCAGCGGAGCCGGTATCAAGCTGCGAAAGTCTACGCTTGATCGTCCGGGCGTTCCTGATGCCGAAGAACTCAGAATAGGCCATCATGCAGCTGGGCGGCGTTTTGAGCACAGTTGAAGCTGAAGTGTATCTCGTAAGTACCAAACCTGCAGCCTGGCTACCTCTCTCGTGTTCCATCTGTTGAGACACTGATGCCACTCCGCTTCTGGCAAGGTCCAACGGTCCTGTCGGGAACAGAAAGTAGAACGAGGACCAACAAAGGACCTCGCAACACCCAGTTCCTCAGTTACCATACCGTCGACTATATGTACTGGGGCCTAGTCCACGCTGTCGGCAACCTTGGTGATACCCGGAGCATACTGACCGAATACGAGGTTTTCTTGGCAGTCCTCAGCCTCACGGGTGGAGACTTCTATCTGGGTATACACAAGCTGCGCCAAGGCGTCGAGACTAGCCTCTGCACGAAAATGCTGGCCTTAAGCCTGTTCCGTAGAAGCTTGACCAGGTACACTGGCTACGGCGCGAGCCCGTAAGCTGCTGTATCTGATCCAGCCTCGCACTACCACCTGGATGTACGAGCATGTTGGCCTCTTTGGGTAACTGAAGCCTCTCAAGCCTCGTCAAAAGTCTTGGAAAGTATTGATGGCGGACGCCGGCATCAAGGTGGCATACCCTGGTAAGCTTGATCTGGTAGCCATGCTTGCTTGACTGTTGACCCCAGAACGACTGGATTTACACTATCCGTGGAACCCTGCACGGCAGGCATCGGATGGTCGACACATGGCAAAGTCGCGCAGCTAGAACTTCAATCGACCTCGTTTAGGCCTTCAATGTAGGGACCAGAACGCGAGAGGACGATAACAATGAAGCTGTGCAGGTCAGATATAAGAATCGCATGTCATATCCCTTTAAGACTCATCACAACATCTTTGCTCCCCAACTCTCAAGATGTCTCGTCTTACGCAGTTGACTTCTCTTCTCTCGCTGGCCTCGGCTTGCTTAGCTCAAATTCCCAGCATCATCCCTTTCCAAGTCACAGGATCTCTCGATGGGTAAGTTTCTACTATGGTATTCGTCTTAACTTCGCTGACGTTCACATAGCTGCTCAGCTGGAACAGAGTTCAATGCGGGAGGCACAATCAGTGTCAACGAGTTCTCGATCACTGTCCCTAAGAACCTGATCGTCCAATTTCCCACCGTGTACACTCCCTTCCCAAAACTCTGCAGCGCAGGGGCGGGAGGTTTCGAGACCACAGTCGTTGGCAATATCATCAATGGCAGGCCCATCGCTGGACAGATCCAAGTCGCAGCTCGTTTCGGCCTTGAGGGCAGCCAAGGCTATATTTCTGCCATCAATGATGGTGTATTACAGATTGCCGGAGGACCCAGGGTTCGAATCAACGACCCCGAGGGTGCATTTGCACCCAAAGTCTCACAACAGCCATACTTCGTCATGGACACACAAAACCCATCCGTCTCCTCATTCTCCGGATTCCCCATGTGCATTCAGCACGCTGGCAACGCAGATACTTGCAAGGATTCGAACCGCCCAGCTGGACAGACGAACTTCGACGCGCCTGATCCACTAACAATGGTTCCCTTCAAGGTCGGCGACTTTATCGAGTACTCCGGTCTTCGTAACAACGGAGAAATCCTGGCCCAAACCGTGACAGCTATCAACGTCCAGGTCACAACTAAGGCCTCAGATACTGTACCCAACTACATTCGTGTTGAGGATATGCTCGTCGGTGTTCAAGATACCGCTGCCAACGTTGAGGTTGCCGATATCCGTGTTATCGGTTTCCTCTCAAGCTGCTTAGGTGCTGTTGTCACCATTAGCGCCATCGATGTCGACCCTTGCACAGGCACTGAAAGTTACCGTCGCATCGGCTCTGCTACACCGAGGCAAGAGACTCGCTGCAAGTGGGAGGCTCGTATTGCGACAACCGCACCCTACACCCGCGACTACCTCATCACCACCAACACACCAGTCACTGAGACCAAAAATGGCATCAGGGCAGGTCAGTTCGTCCAGGCTGTCGGCGAATGGATCTTCCCCGAGGTCGACATTCCCGGAACCAATCCACCCCCACTCATCTTCAACGATATCCAGGGCCTTGTCCAAGGTGACTTCCTGGACAGCCAGCAATTCGGACAGCTGAGCCCGTTCCCCGGCGCCAACCCGCCTGCACCCAAGAAACAGTGCAGCGCCAGCGACATTCCTGCCAATAACCCCACGACGCCCTCAACTGATAATCCTTCCACGAGCCCCAACTCACCCCAGACCTTGCCTGTAGCAGCAGCCGCACAATTTGCTGCGGTGCAACGTGTCGGCGCGCTACTTTCATTGGCAGGATCTAACACCGCTCAGGGGCTCAACGATGATGCGCTCAACTTCGCTTGGACCCAGACCGCTCCCTCCACGCCCGCTATCAGCATCGCCAACCCTAGCCAAGCAACTGCTACCTTCACCGCACCAAAGGTCACCACGGAAACGACTTTCAGCTTTACCCTCACAGTCAGCCTCAAGTCCAACGCCACCGCAAGCAGCAAGATCGTTGTCCCCGTGAAGATCAGCCCCACCGCTGCAGACGTCGTGACTATCGACACGTACACATGGGAGTCTCGCCAATCAGGCAGTATCTCCGTATCGTGTAGCTCCAACGTTCGCGACGGCGATAACAAGAAGATGACGCTGCTGATAAACGGTGTGTCCAACATCCCAATGGCAATCAGTGGCGGCAATGGCCGGTGGGCGTACACGGCGAGAAGTACCGCTCGTCCCAACAGGCTGCAGTGTGTGAGCGATCTTGGCGGTAAAAGCGCGGAGAGGACGGGGACGCAGACGACGAGGCGGAGGAAGAGGGGTGTGCTGGGTCTGTTCTAAACTTTCGATGCACATATTTGGAGGCGTCCGGGCTTGTCTGTCACGACTGTACATATTACTTGTCAGGCGTCCGTCGCATGACTGTCCTCAGTAGATTACGATACACCACGAATTCATGATTACCACTTCAATTTTCGTCTGTTAGACTGTGATTGCTCACGTTCCTCCGTTCTTGAAGGGCTGACCAAATGCAGAATACTGTGCAGTGAGAGTCGAATTCTGCGATATCTCCCGTCAGATGGCGATCGCCCCGAGGGCCTCACAAAGACCAGCACTGTGATGTCAAGGCTGACATGTGAGCGGCGAAGCAGCATATACTGTGAACTTCGGCGCTGGCGAAGGGCTAGTGGTTGTTGTCGTCAGCAGCCAGCGATGAGCAATGGGAGTCGGCGACGATAACGATAGGTATGAGCCACACTTGTTTGACCTGGTGTAACTTTGCTCCAAACGAGGCTCAGAACAGCTCTACGCTCCACGTTACCTTCAATCCTTAGGGCAAAACATTCTAAAACCGTGGATCGCCCGGAAGACGGTGCATGGTTCAACAACAGATGTATTTCTCATGGTTTTGCCGTATAAGGAAAGTCCAAATAATGTTGATTGCAGCATTCCGGCGGTATGTCAGCCCTGAGGTTCTTGCAATGTTCTCCCCAATCAGGCGCTAGCGCGTTGTGCGCGAGGAAGTCGCAACTCGCTTAGCCCGCACCCGGAGATTGCCCGGCCTGCAATATTGAATCTCATCAAGTTCGACTCTTGCAGAACGAACCCGTGAACGCCTCAGCCAACGCCCGCTAACCGACAGCCAACTTTTGTCAGTACACCCGCCGAACCGCGAGGATCATTGCAACAGAGTCAGAGCTGACTTTGCCGTTGCAGCGTCACCGAAAACCCCAAGCAACAACACATCATGTCTCACGAGTCGGTCTGGTACTCCCGCCCTAGGACTTACGGCAAGGGCTCCCGCGAGTGGTACGTTTGCGAGCACACATCTTTGCGACAGTAGAGGGCACTGGCAGGCAGCGCACCCGGTGCGATGTGCAGTTATGTGCAGGGGAGTGTTGGAGGGCATACATGGGCTTGAAGGAAGGGCTTAAGAGAACGAAGGCTGACTTGACACTCACAGCCGTGTCTGCACCCATCCCGCTGGTCTCATCCGCAAGTACGGCCTCAACATCTGCCGTCAGTGCTTCCGCGAGAAGGCCGCCGACATTGGTTTCGTCAAGGTACGACCCACCTCCTTCCGCTGCGCCCGGCGCTGCACGCACGTCGAACGCAGAGCTGCTGAGTGCGTTCACAATGCAAGAGCATCGACTAATTTCCCACAGCACCGCTAAATGTACCCACGAGTTCCACGACCGGAGTAGAGGAGGCGCAATGGTGACGCGATGATTCCCTGACGATACGATCTCGACTCGCTTCTCTCCCACAAGCATGAGGGGCGGAGAGCGCCGAGGATGGTCTGGACGGTTCTGCATGGCTTTTAGGGACTTCTTTCCGGTCGACATCGTGTCTGGCTGCAAATAAACAAAATTCCATCCTGATACCAATCGGCATACTCGTGGTTCAGAAATAGTGAACAAGGGCATGCGTAGTGCCAATATCCGAGACCAGACCAGCTAGGATGTATGTGTGCCTGAAAGACGAAGGCCAGGGTTAAGGAAGATGCAGATGAGGGCATGATGAGGGCTGGGCGCATGGTGCGGTGCCGAATGCTATAAGCGCACCGCTCTGCCATCACGGTGCTCGTCCTACACACTCAGGTACTCACAATATGCAGGCCCGGCCCAACGCACCACCAATCACCTGAGGGCGCTGCACCAGTATCCTGTTCCTCATCTTATGTGACAGAGAATCACTGCTGTTGGTTGAACAAACCACATCTCGACCATCGTGGCCGGTTGTTATATTATTTTGGTCAACAATAAGACGCACGCCTGTCGGACCTAGTTGTCAAAGCTTCCCATATCTTAGGACACTGCACACGAGTTCCATCCTCGAGACCCATAATGTGCAAGAAAAGCAACAACTTACAAGCCAGCATAGCATCAGTGGTATTGTACATTCTAAAATTAACGATATGGCATATCTGTATTCGTCCAGCACTTCTCTTATCCATGTTTAGTTGCTCTCCATACCCTCCAGTCCTTCTCATACGTGCCTACGCTTTAACCCAGCCCCGGTCACAACTTACAGCGTCCATTTCCCAAACCACTCCAAGATGAGCGGCGTAGCATCCCAGCTCGTCGGCCCACCGCGCAGCGTCTCAAACGGCTCCCCCTGATTCTTGATGCTCGGCCATCCGTGGCCAAACGCAGAGATGGCCCTGTGAACCACTGTGTCCTGCTTCCCACCGCAGGTCCACCCATACTGCGTTACCGTCCCGCTCTCGACGACAGCGCTCGACGGCCGTGGGTCGCACGCGCTCCGCGTTGCCCAGCCCGCAACCCACTCAGGCACGCGTATGCTAGCAGGCGGCGGCGTGTTGGTCCCGTTGTATGCCACCACCGTGTCCGCGAGCCCGTGCAGGTTTATATACGGCAGGCTCCTGCCGTTCAGCGCAGGCTGGCAATCGCCCTCGAACAAGGGCTCGGTCAGACTCGCGTCGGGGTAGAACGCGCCCGCCACCGTGGCGAACGCAGCGAAGCGCTTGTTCAGCGCGGCGTCGCACATGGCCAGGCCCGTCAGGCCGCCGCCGTTGGACAGGCCCGCCGCGTAGACGCGCGATGTGTCGATGCACAGCATGGCGTTGAGGTGATTCAGCAGCTCGCCGACCAGGATGCGGTCGTCGATTGTCGTGCTGTTGGGCGCGAGCGGGTCGCCGAGCCATTGCACACCGGGGGCCTGGACGTTCATGCCTTCCGGGTACGCGACGATTGTGTTGTTGTTGAACGCGGGGTTGGAGAGCTCGCTGATCTTCTCCATCGACCATGCGGGCTGCTGCTGGCCGTGAAACGCGACGATCAGCGGGGTCGAGACATCGTTGGAGGTCTTGTAGTTCGCGGGGATGTGCAGGATGTATTCGCGCTGTGTTATCTTGCCGATTACGGATTTGGAGGAGAGTGTCAGGTTGTGTGTTGAGGCTCCGGGGGTGAGGTTGGATGGCAGTGTGGTCTTGCAGCCGGAGCTTGCTGCGCTCGCTACTGCGAGGAAGGGGATGAGGTTCAGTACAGAAGATTTCATGATGCTGATGGAGTGAAGAGAAGACACAGGATCATAATAACACAGCAGTTTCGGTGCTATGTATATACTGTCGATACTCTGATGACATTCTGTGCATGTTTGAGCGATGCTCCACTACGGTACAATACGAGCAGCCCAGTCTGTGCTTGCGCGAGAGTGAAGTTGGTGTTGTCAATAAGTAAGGCCGACGGAGATGAAGCTCATGCTGAACCGGGCCGTTGCGGTACGTTGCGGAAGGAGCATTACAGCATCGCGTAAATAGAAGCAGCGCAACCATGGCTGTGCAAATGTTGATATTCATAGATGATGCTAGCTAATGTGGAGATTTACCATTGTGAGTAGTAAATAACGTTGTGTTATAAACGTTGTAATATGCCCGTCTGAACGTGCGCATAGTGTGAGCATTCAGCAAGGCTCTGCAGATCCACAGAAGATATAGTAGAGGAAAAAATAAGGGATCCTGTCCTGTACGATGTAAAGCAAAGATGGATCAAGCTGATCTTACACTGCGAACTGAGCGCCAAAGAGAGGTGTTGCGAGGCTGACTGGGAGTGGCTGGAGATATAGAATTAGTTAGAGATATCAGCTCTGAACTGGGTGCTCGGACGTATAGGTATTGGACGGTCTGTGCAAGCCAATGATTCTCGTTGAGATGGGTGAACAGTGTGATGAGACACGCATGGACAGACCGGTACCAAGCTCGCGAGAGCTGTAAGTCCGTTCGGTACATGACTTGATCGCAGGAACCGTCCTAGAGGATAGGTATCCAATCGATTCAAATCCGTATAGCTTCAACACCCACACACTCGCCCCGAACCATCCATACCCAACCCGTTCCAAGTCTTGCATCCAGAGCCGCCCTACCTCCTCCCCCAGCCCATCCTAAACTCATTCTGCGCCTCGACCGCAAACTGCACCTGATCCTTATACAAGCGATGCAACTTCCTAATCTCGCCCTTATTCTCCATCTCGTCCACAATCCTTCTCGCCTCCTTCTCCCTTTTGCGATCGCTCTTCTTATCTCGTTTGACCAGCTTCTCCGGCGTCAAGTGCCCGTTGCTCTCCAAGTAGCCCTTGACCCAGTCGTTCAGGTGGTACCGCCAGTGGTGCAGCGTATGTGCGACCTGTGCGTTGGCTTTGCATGTGCTGCCGAGTGTGAAGGTTTTGCTCTCGGGCGGGATGCGCTCGCCGCGGGCGTCGTAGGTGGGCTTCTCACCGTTCAGATTGGCTTCGGAGTCTGCGCTGAGCGAGGACGCAGATGAGTCGGAGTCGGAGTTGGAATCTGAGTCGGGCTCCAGCGGCTCGAGGGACTCGGGGTTATACGGTGCGCCTGTGAGACTAAGCTCAAACGTCGCGGGGTGGTTTCTGCGGTTACACGCCTCGCAGTGGTCGTTGAGGAAGTCGCGTCTGGAGCCGCCAATCTCGGTGATGAGGAGTTCGGGCCGCGCGTTGATGGCTTTCGTGAAGTCTGAAGTCCAGGCCGCGGAGGTGAACTTGGAGGACGCGAGGCCCTTGACTTCGTCACCGAGTTTGCGGAAGGTCAGTTCGTATATTTCGTCGGTAGAGTTGAAGGCGGGGTGGATCTTCTTCATGACCATCCATTCGACGGCGTACTTGAAGAGCTCTTTGGGCTTGGCGCGCGACATGCTGCTGAACTGCATGGGGAGCTGGGCTTGCTCGGTGTCGGGCTCGCCGATGATGGCGTCGGGGTCGTCGTCGATGAAGCCCGTGTCATCTTCGTCTTCTTGGAACATGTCGTGTGCGTTTGCGTCGCGGTCTGACTCCTCCTCGTCGTCTTCGAGCGCGCTCTCCGGATCGCCGACTTGGTCACTGTCTGGCTCCTCCTTGATGATCTCGAGCTCAGATTCAGAGTCGGACTTGATGACTGCACGTGTCTTGCGAGCTGGTGTAGACGATGGCTCCTGTGTACTGCCGGCGCGTCGCCTCTTGAGTGCTTCGAGTGCCTCCTGGCGCTTGTTCTTTGGCTTGTCGTTTGTGATCCGCAGCGGTGACGATTGCAGGAACGCCAGCTCCTCCCTAAGCTCTTCGTGCTCCTCGTTGTTGCCGCTTTCTGCCCCATTGCCTTCCTCTTGCACCCCTTCTTCTTCCTCTTCCCCGTCCATCAATGCCCGGTGCCTTCTTGCCCTCCGCCGCGTGCTCTTTGGTGGTGACTGGTGCTCCACCTCCTCCTCTGGCGTCGCCGTTCGCTTGGTGAGTCTCCGTCGCGTGCTCCGCGGTGGTGTGGGCATCTCCTCGTCGCTCTCTTGTGGCGTTGTCTGCCGCCGCTCAACTCTCCGCCGCTTGCCCGGCAGCCTCAACTCCTCTTCCTCCCCATCCGACTCGGCTTGTCGCGCCCGCTTCCTCTGTATGACCGTAACCGTGCCTTTGTCTTCATCGCTGCTCTCTGCGCGCTGCCGCTTCCGACTCGCTCTGGTCGCGTTTGCCCTGGCTGGCTTCTCTGCCTCACTCTGCGGCTCTGAGCTGCTCGCTTCCGACGCAACATCCACATCAGAGCTGCCAAACATGCCGTTGCTCTTGGCTCTCACCGGCAAGCCCACGCGCATGCTTCTGTCCCCCTCAGCCTGCAGCTCATCGCCGCTCGAGTCGTAGGTTGGCGTCTGCTTCGGCACTCGTTTCGGCGTGCCTTTCGGAGCGATATTATGCAGGTCGATCTTGGACTGCCTCTTTGCCCGGGAGGACGTGGGGCCCATTGCGTTGGTGGGTGTTGTCTTTGCGGGCGACGATGTTGCGGCTGGGGAGAAGCTGATCTTCGTTTGGCGCTTGAGCGCGCTCGCTCGTTTGCGCCCCATTTCCGGTGCCTGTTCCGGCGGTGAAGGCGATTCTCAACCGTCTCCTCTCTGCGCGCCGTTGCGCACTTGTCGCGTCACGGTTGGGCGCACAGCTCGCTCGTGGGAGTATGTGATCTTCTGAGATATGCAACTTCGTAATCAGAACTAAAATGAATGGCAGGAAGGAAATGGGTATATGCAAGGAGCCAAAAGATAACGTGTCGTTGGAAGTCGCAGTGTTAAGCAACAGCTGGCGGGGACAATGCGTGAGGCAAAAAGTCGTCAGGGTCCAGCACGCGAAAGCAGGTGACGTGACCTCATCGCTCACTTCAACTCCTGCACCTGGACAGCACTCACCTCAACACTTGCACTTCATCCTCTCGTCCATGATTAAACACTCGGAGCGCTGATTGGGATACTGGCCGAGCCATCCGAGTTCCAGACAGGCCCAATGGGAGCCGAGATGCTGAACATGCGGCAATGAAGCAGGTGATCTCGGCCTTGCGAAACCGCTCTTCTGTGCTAAATATGTTAGTGCAACGTCAACGTCCAATATCCATAGACCACGAAAGTACCGCTAACAAGAGTCAAGATAGTCGGGCACGCAACACACACCGTCTTCTAGCAACTCGCGCGGCCACAGATTACACGTCCGCTGTCACTAACTCCAACAATGAATCAGACCAATGCCAACCGTCATAGTGTCGTTATTACTAAACTCAACTCCATCACGGACTCGTCATGCTACGAGTTCAGTGCAGCATCGAGAAGGTGGTGACTGTACGCAGTGACAGTCATCCTTCCACCCCCTACTTCACCTGATTTCTATAGATATACGAGAGCGCCGCCTGTCATTGATTTGCATACTTGCGCGCATGGTCGATTGGCCCTGTTCTTAATGCGCTTCCTTACCTTAGAAGAGTGCTCGGATAGCGAGTTGCACTGCGTATATCACGACGCTGAAAGGACGATCACAGTTCTACATCCTCGCACTGCTTGCTCGCTGCAAGTCTATGCTCCCGAGGAAGACTCACACGCGCCATTTCTGACTTTCCACACGCGTAGGCCGAATAGCATTCACTCGTGGTGGCTGCAGCTCCTAGACATTGCCGGGAGCCAGCTGCTCGGTCTCGCCGCCGGAGCGGAGCGGGACGTGGGCGAAGATGCTAATCGTGCGCAGGCTGAGCGGCTGCAGGTTGATAGGGATGTGCTGAGGTGGCATCTCATGAACGTGCGTTCGATTATCCCTGCCCGTGAAGTGCTCGATGAAGAAGAGCACCTCCAGACCATCCAACCCCTACCCTCCCCCTGGTCCTGGCCGCGCAACACGTTCTACCGCGAAGCCCGTCGTGGCTACGCGAACCATCTGACCGAGGCGCTTATCGAAGAACTGGTCACCCACGGCCTGCTTCTCGCCAACGAGACGGGCATACGGTGGAAGCATCTCGACCAGTACGTCTTGGTGAAAATCGAGGAGCCCGTGTTCAACCGTGCCAACCGCTCGAGGTTTGAGAGGCTTGACACGCGCGCTTTTCGGCGGGCGAGAATTGGCCGGCCGGGCATTAATGGCGAGCCGAACGAGGTCGATGAGCGGCCTGGACCGCCTATTGTGGAGGCTGGCAGTCCGCTGGTGAGTCCCGGGGAGAAGAAGGTCAGACTGTGCTCTAAGAAGGCTTATGTCTGTATTGATGGTGACCAAGCTGTAGTCAAAGAGGAGGATATTGAGGATAATGAGGGGAAGACTGTGGGAAAGGCGAGGAAATTGCGATGCGGAAGGTGAGGTCGAAGATTCGGTAGGACTCTGATCGTGGATCCTGAACCTTCCTGTGAGTTATTGAATGTGCTTGGGCAGTCGGAAGGGCACCTGGTTCATTGTGATGAACGTTGTAGGTGGTATCGAGGTTGAAGTGTCCGTGAAATCTAGGCTGAAGACGTGATCACACGTCCGAAAAAAGTGCGTGTCTATCCAGTCAAATGCAATGTGTGTTTGAGAAGATAAAACATGTATCCGACTACGAATCAACACCGCTACATGATGTTGCAAGATACAACGGCAGTCCCAGCTGCGACAGTGCCCATGACTGTACCAGTCTTGCCCCATCTCACACCCTTTTGGCCTCGCGAAGCTGTTCCTTCACAACACCTGCCGAGGCATAATGAAAGTAAACCTTGCATTTGCGCGTCCTGTCTGCGCTGCTCAACTTCTCTCTACTTCTCTTGCAATTGCAGCTGCATCTCAGCCACAGGATCCCGGCTCACCGAGCTCGCACCGCTGTAGCCGCTGTAGCCACTGTAGCCGCTGTAGCCGCTGTAGCCGCTGTAGCTGTTGTAGCTTGATACAGGCGGGCTGTACTTCTGGATATGCCGGCTCTGCTCTGCTTCAATCTGCTTTTCGATCGCAGCCACACTCTCTTCCGACACTTTCTGAAGCCTTGCTGTTTAGTTTTTGGCAACGGTCAATAAATCGAGCGTCTGTTGAAGCAGATCATCAGTTCTCTTCCTCATAGTGTCCAACTCTACATCCTTGGCTTGAAAGATTCGCTCACGCCTCTGCTGCAGGTCAAGCTTGACGGCTCGCAAGTACAAGCCAGCCTTCCATCTGATTGAGTATATGCGTCGTCCATCTCGCTGCGACTGTCATCAAAGCCCGGTGTGTCGATCAGTCTGACTGCGAGGCCTCTTTACTTGAGACTCCCATTGAAGAACTCGCTTGTCTCTGAAGCAAAGGTCCGACAGCATCCTTCATATCATATTTCGGGATGCATAGGGCACTGTTGTTGACTTAGGAGAGTTCAGACTGTGTCCAATGCCACTGTAGTTTCCGGTACAATGAGCGATGAACGTCAAATCACCGGAACCGGTAAAACCCATCACCGCAATCACGATTTCCGCCTCAAGCAACCTTATAAAGAACACGCGAAGGACGAATGTGAGGCAACATTGACCATGAAATTCTTTTTAGGCACGTTCTGTGATCGGTGCTCGAAAAACTACTCTCCGCCTGGAGATTTCTATGGTTATACCTATCGTCCGATATCCCTGTGACACCACTGACTACTTATGTTGTCATAGCGTGCCAGGCATGCATTGAATCTGACGAAAAGCCCATGGACCCGACGATCGCGGGAAGCATAATCTACGTATGCAACTCCTGCAAAACAAAAGATAAAGGATGCTACTTCCATGGCCTACTACATCTCCGAGTCGATTCCAGATGAAGATACCAGCCCTGAAATACTGCCAAAGATACACAGGGACTGTAGGCTAAGAGGCTCTATTCAATGCGACAGGTGTCTGAAACATCTGTAAGGCGATGGACTCTACATTCGTAAGTACCAGCGACTTCGAAGGTTGCTGATGCTGACTCACGTTTAAAGATTGCTGTATGTGTAGCTAAAATGCGGATCTTTGTGTGAGTGTCAGGGAATGGGAGGTACGTGCCGAAACAAGCACCAAACTTACACGTAATCTCGCATTGTCCCCATAGGATGTCAGTCTCAGCTTGAGCGATCACTGTCAGCATGGAGACTCGAATGTAATAGGCAGCTTTCGTCCCGAAGGTCGCCCTTGGTTGTTCGATGGTTAAACTGCAAGTACCAAGATCCTCATCCGCCAGCTGGTCAGTAATCAGATGATAGTAGTTCTGTCCCGCTTAGCCTCAAAAGGTATATCCTTTCTCTCTGCTGGTGCGCTGAAGGATTCGACTCGCTTGAAGTGACGTATACTCTAAGGGACGCCCAGGTGCACAAGACTATCTTCCTACGCGTCGTTCGTCCAAAGCAAGCAGCACAGCCCGTGGTGATCGCCCCCATGGTATTTGGTAACACCTGCGGCGGTGCACGGTTAGATGCCGGACGCAGTGAGCACTTCTGGCTGAGCCCACCACAACCGGTGAGCGAAGAAACACAACACCATAGTAACCGGGCTTACACTTCAAGTTTATGCTGCGAAAAATGAACAAAGGCGATGACGAAGCACATGGGGCCTACATCTGCATTACAAGACAGTCGGAGCTGGCATTGTGGCCGTGCCAAAAGTGGCCATGTGCCTCGTGTTTTGACGGTATACAGGGTTCCTGCACTCTGGATCTTTTGCGTAGGATCGATTGCCCAAAGCGGAAAGCGCAGTGGAAGTGGCGGGTCACGTGATGTGAATTCACGGAGTCGCCGTGAAGACGTTATGCAGCTGACGATCGATGGCAGAGCATAATCGACGCGTGGGTGTAAAGAACTGGCTTCTGATATACCCATCCACGCTTGCACCAGTAGATCGATGTTCCAGAGGTCAAGCCTTAGCTAATCCTTACGGACGGCATGTCCGAATCGTCCGCTCGGGGGTCCCCGCGGAAAAGACTAGAGACCCGTAAGCGGCACGACGTTTATTCGCAATCTAGAAACGATTGACGTGTGCAGAGATCTAAAGAAATTAATGCGAAGGTCTTTCGCGAAGAATTGCTGTGCGTTGGGTAGCCCCATGGAAGATCCGAGTAATTAATGGTCAGGGCTCCCGCGTTGTCGCGTCTCGGAGAGGCCGGGGAGGCAAATGATCGCAATGACCGCACTCCTAAGATGAGACACCTATGAGATTTTGGCCAGCTGTTGAACCAGGAACTGTGTGCAGGACAAAGTGGGCTTATCGAATTCGGCTTCGGCTTCGCTTTCGACTGAAAATTGAACAAGGTGATGGGAGCTCGTAAGCGGGTTAAACGCTCACAATATGGGTGTCAATGAACCAAACTTCGTCTTGTAGAGCCATCCTGTGAAGCCATGCAAGTCCGAGCCGTGGGCAGCAGTTCTGTTTCGATGATTCGATTTCGATTGCATCTCCAACGGTCGCTAAGGTATCAGATCTCGCTAGCCCCTGCAATAACAGGTACGATCCTAGTATGGTGTCACGACACCAGGTGCACGCAGGTCTTGGGCCGCTCAAAGGATATTTCTGGGTCGCCCAAGATCACGGAGCTGCAGATGACGGTAGCCACCAAGCTATCTCGCGCACTGGAGCCGCTACGCTGTGGGGTTTGCGAAGAATCTCTTCACATGGCAGTTACTGGCTTAAAGCTTTACTCAGAGCAGCTTCATCTGGCAGGATCCCCGCACTTGGTGAAATGAATTGCAACATCATTCATTTGGCTGGTACCCGCTCATGTATCGAAGGCGTAACGCATGAAGAGCACGGAGATGCGCAAAGCCTCGAGGCGCGTTACTTGGTGCGGTAGTGTTCGGTTGGCGCCCACTGTCCGAAGCTGAGGCTGTCGATGGCGATGCGTCGCGCAAAATAGAATGCGAACAATCAAGTTTCAAGCTCGCCAGATCGGAGAAAGCTGATTTGTGGCGGTAGAGCTCTCCGCGTAGATGTGCTGATGTCAGGTCGCCGTTGGCAGTTGCGACCGAGCTCGACCAGGCTAAACGCGTCCAACTAAGCCACAGTGGACGCCATCGCTCGTTCTCAGCTGAAATCGCTCCCCAAGTCGTATCCAAGACTCCAGATACTGGCTGAGCTGCTGAAACCAACCACACCATGCCTACCCTAGCACCCTACTGCTGCAATGTTCCCAAGGGCGCGAGTCGTTGCAGCTGAGCAACACAAACATTTTGTATGTCGATCATGGCAACGCAAACTACCTCGCCATCATCAGCGCGAGTGTACCACGATGAAGGATCCTACCTCTGCTAATGTTCCGCCGTGCGGGTAGCCCCTTAGTATGATGGCTAGGGTGCCGCCCAACTGCCGCTGTAGCTTCATAAACAGAAGCTGGCGCACTGCTCGTTCTTGACAAAGCATCCGTCTTCAATAATTCATCTGGAGATACCCTTGCGGCGATCTTATGGCTAGGAATACGCACGCAAGTATTCTACACTGACACAGACAGAGCGTCTCAATCTAGTGCTTATGCCAACGACTCTCCCGCGCTTCTATGTGAGTTCTATGAAAGGAGTGACAATCCTCTCTGTACCCCGTACTGACTGGTTCATAGCTTCGGATGCCTGCAGCACACCACTTCACCTCGCCTACGCGCTCGCTTGTGCTTAGGCTCTTGAGCCTTTCAGTTTTCTTCGTTCTTCCTACCACTATGCCACCGCTCTCAGGTCATGAGAAGTTTCAAGATGCGGGACAGATTATATCGAATTTTAAGCAGAGCCGGCTCCTCCAGGCCTTTCTGGTTGTATTAGCCACCGCTACCGTCATCTTGACCGTTGTCATCTACATTTCGCAGAGGCAAAGCCGGACTATCGATGCCAGTATAGACACTTCAGAGAAGCCCATGATCAAGCCTTTACTCGAAAGACAGGACTCCGCGACGTGCCACAACCAATGGGAAAGCGATCACAAGAACTACCTCAACTCTTTGAAGCTAGAAATCCTCAAACACACCGAGGAACCTATCTTGCCGTGGGTCTCACCGCCACAGGCATTGCCTGGACCGTACGATCCCATGTACTACCCTCTACCAGCGCCATCGTTCCGGTGCAAGACCTCAGAATCTCTCGCAGCCAATGTGGAAGGACGGCACTCGGCATTTTGCACGCGACTTGTTCCCAAATTTGGCACTCCGCTTGGTGAAGCTGCTCTTTACGGCACGATGACAACTTCAACACATGGCTGGCGACGGTCACACTGGAATGTAACTGGCGGTTGAACGACCACAACAGCCCCAACATCATTCATCACTCTCATTTTCTCAACCATGCCTACGAGGATACGCATTTCTACCCCACTCGCGAACTCTCACGCACACATGTCACATGTGCACAGAGCCAGACAGACACAGCCAGTTCGCAGTGTGGCGCTTGAGCGCCTAGAAAACGCTGCTGGTCGCGAGTTAGGACTGAGAACTCATCCTGAAGCTTGGTCGGTGGCGTCCGCTTTGTAGCTGAAGGGGTAGACTTCCTGTGGGGCGGGCGCGCGGATGTCTAGGATTCGTTGTTCAGCGATGTGTCATCGCAGTAGTACCAACGGACGTCAAGATCACTCAGCATTGGCAAAAGTCATGCGCGCACTGGATTTCCATACCCTAGTCTTATGTGGCTGGCTGTAGACTGCGGATTGTGCCGCGGAGAGGCACCGCTTTAGGGTTCGAATACCAGTATTAGAACTAAGGATCAATTTATCCAAACTTACCCCGACACCCCTCTTACACTCTTTCGATACACGTCCGGAAAGTCATCATTCCGTAGTATAGCTCCGCGCGGTCCAGGCAGACTTGGCTGGCGTCCGTCCTCAACACCTGCAGGTCACTAGCTCCCGCTCAAAATTGAGGCTGAAATCTAGATGGCAGAAGGTGATCGTAGCGCGCGACTACGGGCGCGAAAAGTGTAGTGAACAAGAACAAGGCTAGCTGTTGGCTATTGGTCGTATGATGAGCCCATTTGATGAAGGTTGGAGAAGCCAACCTTGCGCTGGAACCATTGAGAATAATATACTGGACAACCATGCGACGTCGGTCAATGCCGCCAACCTCGGTCCACATGCCTGACCAGGGGTCACAATCTATCGTGGAAAGCCCCAATCGGTAGTAGCACAAACACGCGCAATTCTCGCAGCTCGTACCGCTCATCTCAAGGTAAAAATGTACTCGAAAAAATCATCTTCACCACTTGTCAAGACCGATGCCAGGACTTCGTGTGTCGTAAAGCCTCGTGACGGCATACCAAATCGGCATCATCTCGTAAAGAAATGCTGTCTCCACAAACCCGAGCTTTCACCTCAATCCACACATCTCATGGTCTCTAAAACCTCTCAGTCTTAGCTCCAGGGTCCGTGTCCTTCAAGGCCCCAAGCTTGCAAATGATTATGGATTGTAAATGCGAGCATTAAGCACCGACACTGGCGCCTTTTTGTACAGTCTCCATGGCCTGCAGAGCCACCACACGCTATCATCTTGCTCTGCCAGTATACCTCTCAGTCTCCGTGTAGAACCTGATCAGCGCTTCAGCGCCCACGTAATCGCCCTGTCTGAACAACTGCGCAATGTCAACATTGAGTGGACTGTCCGGCTCTGCGCTTGTCAGAAGTTGATGTATGCTTGTCATTGTCGTGGCGATGGTGTATGCGGGTGTCCAGTTTGTCTTGAGGAGATCGAGGCAAATCTCGCCGGTCTTGAAGTCGACGTTCGGATGGCAGATGGGTGTGATGAAGCGGATGGAGGGAGGCGAGTTGGGATATGTGGAGGGGATGTGAATATCGAGGAGCCATGTGCCGCCTGTAAACAGTCAGTGATGAAGTGGGAAGGGATGTTGCTCTAATGTCGACGCAGAGGAAAAGAGCGACCTAGGACAAGACATACCTTCGTATGCTGTGCCTTCTACGCCCTTCATGACTGCTCTCCAGTGCATCACATCTTCGTCTGCCGGCCCAAGGTCCAGTAGCTCCTCATTTGGGTCCTTCTGGTAGGTCTGCAGCTCGGTCATGAGCCGCTTGGTTGCACCACGCGATGAGCCTGCCATGATATGAACCTTGGAAACGGATCTCACAATGATATGTGAGAAGTTCTTGACGGACTTTGGGCTGATGTAATCCAGCAATGTTAACAATGTTGCGGAGGCTGATACGCTGGCACTTGATGATCGCCAGCTTTCAGCTGCACCTCGGCCCAGCGCACCTGCCACTTTCTGACCCGAGCTCCGGATCCACCAAAAGTTTGGGAAGTCGCATTGGTGATCTCATCTTCGAGATTCAGTTTGCAACATTAAAGCACCCTGAATACGTTAACGATGGTTGCGCCCGGAGCCATACTCACACATTTGAACCGTGCAGACGGCTCGGCAACATATACGCATAATGGCTACGCCATCATTGGGGCCGTCAATGGTCCCATAGAAGTACAGCGCCGCGATGAGCAGCCAGAAGAAGCAACATTAGAAGTCAACATCAGGCCTTCTGCTGGTGTAGGAAGTAAGTGCATGAAACCAACTGTCATACAGAGAGAGTTACTGTATTAATTTATCTGCAGCACCTCGTGAGCGCCATCTCGAAACGCTCCTCTACAACACACTGCGCTCAATAATCCTCACGCGGCTCATCCCCCGCACACTTGTCCAAATCACGTTGCAAGTGCGGAGCTTGCCAGAAGAAGACACTTCGGCAGGTGTGAACACCAGTCTCACACTTTTACCGCACCTCCTCCACACAGCATTCCTCAGCTTGCTGTCTGCGTCGATACCACTCTCTACAACACTTACCTCCGTACTCGTCGCCTACCCCTCGCACATAACGAAGAGCTCAACGCCACTTCTCACACCGACAGCGAACGAGCTACTGCGCGCGAAACCGATTCGATCGACCCATGTCTTTGCGTTCAGCGGTGACAGGCGGTTACTGCTGAATGAGAGCGATGGGAAATTCAGCTATGAAGAGTGGGAGGAGGCCTGTGAGATGGCAGAGGAGATTTGCTGCAAGGAGGAAGATCAGGGTGGTGTGAGCCTTGGTGATAGCATGGAGGTCGATGGGGCCATGCAGAGCCAGAACCTAGAGAAGTGGCTGAGGGAAGTCGTGATGAGAAAGGTGGAATACGAGCAGCGTTGGAAGAGCGCTACCTGAAAATTTGGTCATGCGGGTTGTGTGTTTCCCATGAGGGCGCGGTCATCCTTGCCATATCACAGGCTAGCATATGACAGGTAAATACCATGCGCTTTGTAGTAGGGGGATTGATGCCGAATGAACGGCTACAGAGGACCATCAAACTGGTGGAGCTAACAAGGAATGGTAAGATGGGCCAAAAGGCGATTGTATTAATGACATGGAATCATGACCGCGCCGAATTTGAGCGGATAATCCGCATAATGATACACATTGAAGGTACGCTCAGAACGCTATACATGCTAGCTGCAAAATCATCGTTCAAGAAAAGCAAATGGTACATGCTCAAAATTACTGAGCGTGTTCCATGTTCTATCATGCCATCGTGATGGGTGTAGTTCGTAATCGTGATGTCGTTTCATAATTGCGTGTCATGCTGGATGGTCTGCTGGGGGTTCTGTTGCATGTTCTGCTGGTTGTTGTTCATGTTCTGCAACACCTGATTGTGGGCGTCCAGTCCGGATTTGCCTTTCGGCCTCTTGCTTTCCTTCTCTTTCTTGAGCAAGTATTGGAGATACCCGACTGGATCCCAATCAGGGATCTGCCAGGTCTTATGTTCAGCTTTTGCTTTTCCTGCCTTTTGGAAATCCTCATCGTTCATAGGATTCATATACTCTCTACTGCATGATCTCGCCATATGAAGCCAATCGTCCCAGACCGCCGTATCTGGGCAATGGTCTTCCCGTCGGACCCAAGTCGCATCCTTGCTCGCCACTATAGCCTTCCACAACGCCTCGGTGAACGACTTACTTTTCGAATATGGATATTTCTTGTATGGCACGGAGTCGGAGAGGGCCTCTGAGATAACCGAGTAGCACGAGGTGTCCCAATGCACCTTTTGTGGCAGCGCAGCGACGATCCAATAGGCGGACCCAAGCAGCATATACGAGCCCGCCCATGCAATTTGGCTCTCGATCCTGGCGTTGGCGAGACAAATCACACCCCCCATCAACATCATGGTGCCCACTAGACTGAGAAGGCGGTAGATCCATGCGTCTTCGACCAGATACTCAATCTCTTCTGGTGCGAAGTAGAGCTCGCGGGCAACATCCTCGTGGCAACGAACAACAAGAAAGCTACCTTTTGGGTATCTGATCACCATGTCTCCGGGGGGTGCATGGTCTTCGACCCTCTTCCTGTTGTCGCCTTGTTCTGCCATCGCAATTTCGCAACTTGTGCCGCTCTTGCTCTGCTTGTCCTCGATCTTGTTGTTGCCTTTACTCCTAGAGGGCCCAAAATACAACGTTCGCCCGCTTTGCTTTTGTTGGTCTACAGATTTACGTTTCGGAAGTCGAAGAGTCCAGTAGTTGCCCAGGCCGATTAGACTAGATAGCAGCGAGAGGAGTACAGTAGCAATGATAGACATGCCATCGTGTAGATGTATTGACAGTCCTAACAGCATCGCAGAGAGAGTAAAGCCGAGCCATGCGACATATGTGAGGGGTCCAAATTCCTTTGCCTTGATTGGGTCCTCGTTGATGCGTTTGATCTCAACGACGCGAACGGAGAAACTTGAAAGGTTGTTGGCATTGCTGCGCGGCAGTTAGCATCAGAAGAAACGCCGAGCACTACTAGATGAACTGTCTGGGACCCAAGATGTGGGGAAGAGGTCTTGTACGCGCTAGCGTTGGGACGGACTGTAAGGTCACTCACCAGATAATGTTCCCAATGTGGTTGATATGATCTCTGTCGTTGCCTGACCATACACCGGAGACATTACCCTTGACCGATTCGAGGTCTAATGGTCGTGTTGGGCGCATAAGTGCCTGGGGGGCGGGAATCAGGCGCGGGAGAAAAATCCATGCGGAGAGAGTTGAGACTTGCGCGTTGGCGAGTACTGAACCTTCTCCGAGAATGGCTAGGAAACCGACGATATCAAGTTGAAGCGATTGTAAGCTATAGGTCCCGTCCTCCTCAGTCTGGAGCCAATGCATCCTGAGCTAAGACTGGCGTGGCGGCTGTGTGAACAAGGGCGACTTTAGAAGACAGTGCAATACGGCGCGGGAGAGAATCATGGGTGGAGACGGATGTGGCTGGGATCCTATATGACGGCAAGACGCCAAAATGTACACCTGGGGCTTAAAAGAGATGACGAGGCATGAGAGCTGTGCAAAAAGGAAATCATTTTGAGTCGCTTGGCGTTGGGGGCCAAAATGCAAATGTTCTCTGCAGGAATCGTCCCACGAGCATGAAGGCGAAGAGCTTCTACGGCACAAGCAGGAAGTCGGCAGCAGTCCGGTGACCAGGTGCAGCGATATCAGTTCTCATTCGAGGAGCACGGGAGTTGGTGCGCTTCACAGCCTCAGCGGTTGACGCCTGGGCGGCGTTCATTATTGGACCACTGACGTGCCTCAGCGAGGTGAGGGGCAGGAGAGCTGACAACTTGGTTGCCAGGTTACTAGGTTCGCGCCGGAGACCGCACTGCACATAGCCCAGCATTTGACATTGAGCATCAACTTTAACATAGTCCCGCTCTACCGTTGCGTCGTCTGGCGTGTGTTGAAACGCTGCGCCTCGACTGTGGAGCTTGACCTCTCTGATCGCCCGCCCATCGACTGTACGACCAATATCGCAGCCGCACGCGCCCAGCCTGGCGACTGTTGAAACACCAAGTATCGACAACCGAACGCACGACTGGCCTGCGCTCGAGAAGTTGTCAGGAGTATTGTCGCATAAATTGCGAGCTGCGAAGAGAAGAACCAGAAGCGCCGAAATAAAGTGTGCTGATGTACGTGGGTGCTCTTTCCATCTGTGCCTGAGGCCTTCGGGCACGCAACGGCTCCCTGCTCTTGCCAGCTTTGGATTCGTTGTCTGGAGAGTTAGCAGGACCATGTCCTGATGATGGAAAAGACCTTGACTTAGTACCACTTGTCTTTCTGTTGTCTGTTGCAAGTTGCGACATCCATCTGCAAACAAAGTCATGTTGCAAGGCATCAGGTCTTGCGATAGAGTCAGCCTTGTTTTCTACCTGGTACACTAGGAGGGCGCAGTCCCCCACAATGCCTCACCCTTGCGCTGGGACACCATAGCGATAATTCAAAGAATGGTACTAACTATTACTCAGGCCGAGAAGCGGATCACGTTGGATTAGTACTACAACGCCTTACGTTGCGCCTGGTTAGACTGCGGCCTCTCATCGACGGGCACCTTGCCACACATAGTCACCGCCTTTTGGGAGCAGAAGACTTTGCGTGAACACAAAAGTTGGCGGTCGTCATCAGTTTTAGTCTTCGACTTTAAGGTCTTGACCGGTGAAGGCAGCAGCACAATATACTTGTGTAACCTGCTCATCGACTGGACCTGCAGATTCTAAAGCTTGCATTCACCGGCATGATACACCGGTAACGACATGCCAACTGACGGAGAAACGAAAGCTTTGAGTGATTCTGAAAAGTCTGATCCCACGTGGTTGACGAAGTGTTTGGCACCATTGTGAGTCTCGCCCCTTTGCCGCAGGGACGCGTGTTATCCCTGCAAAAGAATAAGCCACTGATTGATGATAGTAGCCCTGTACGTAGAAGACACAAGTCTCCGGGGGAGAGCGAGGGGCCAAACATGACGGTAGCTGACTCTCCAAGAAAGAAAAGAAGAGCTTCTGGTCTGCTGCCTAACAGAAAAAAAGCAGCGTCTCAAGCCCCAATAGTGAAAGAGAAAGGGGAACCTATGGAGATCGATCATATGGACATTCGAAGCACCTTTGAACGGAACCTTGAGCGTACCAGTCTCGTGGAAGTCTATGACAGAGAGCGCGATGATTTGGTGAGGAGAGAGGAGGCCGACGCCTGGGATCGTGATGTAAGACCCAAAGGCACATCGAGGTCCAAGTCAAAAGTCGAGGCGATCGAACAAAGGGCGGCAACCATCATACATGCCATTCGGGAGTATGAGCGAAGAGTGACTTTTGGTAACCTCCCTTCAGAGGCTCTTCCTGCCCCTGGTACCTTGGACATGGGTGGGCAGTTCTTGACAAACAAGAAACACATCGACACTTTGAGCAAGCTATTTGAGATAGCTAAGATTGTACCAAAAGGTGCTCTCTTGCACCTCCATTTCAATGCCGAGCTCAACCCCGAACGACTTTTAGAGCAAGCACAGGGAATGGACAACATTTACATACGAAGCATCATGCCCTTGCTGCAAGACAGCGATCTCGACGAGACTGAGATGGTCTTCAATATTCTCGATCCCAACACGGTCAATCTGGATGTTGATATCTTCTCGCCAAGATACCCTGGCACGGCAACTAATTGGAGGGATAAAGACAAGCAAGCGGAGATCTGGATGAGCTGGAAGCTTTTCCAGGAGAAATTCATCGAGAATGTGGAGACGGAGAAGTTTCCCAAACGCTATGGTCAGCATTTAGACACTGAGCCAAACAACGCGGACAAGCCCGTTCGCGGATGCTGTCCTGAGAATTCCGGACCCGTGAAGCTGAACGCTGCTGAGAACTGGCTCAAGTCAAAGATGATCCTGAGTCCAAGAGAAGCGTATGGAGAGTCACAGACTGTCAACGGGTATGCTATTTGTGCGGTGTTGAAATCACTCGGTTGTCACTAACCAATTTGCAGGGTTTGGGCGCGCTTCAACCAAGCTACAAGATGTTTCAAAGGTCTTTTGAACTACCAGCAAGTCTACGAGTGGTACATCGGTAAAGCTATCGACAAGATGATAGAAGAGAAAGTCATGTATGCGGAGCTTCGACCGATGTTGCTTGACAAGTTCATCCCTACCAACGACGGCAAGGGTAAGATCACCAACGCCGAACAGATGCAGATGGTCATCGATGGCTATGTAAAAAAGCAAGAAGAGCTCAAGAAAAGAGGTCAGCTGGACAAATTCCCATTTGGTCTGAAGATCGTATACTGCACGCCTCGTTCGATTCCAAAAACGATGATGCGGGAAGAGATGAAGCAGTGCATCGAGCTGAAAGAAAAATTTCCAGGTCTAATCTGTGGTAAGACATCCGACACAGATTTCGTCACATGGCCCCGCTGACATTGTGCAGGATTTGACCTTGTTGGTGCCGAAGATCGACCTAACCACATCGGCTTCTACAAAGAGGAGCTCGTTGCGTTCAAGGAGACGTGCAAAGCTAAGAAACTTCATATTCCGCTATTGTTCCATGCCGGCGAATCATTACTAGACACGGGCGGCTCGGGCGATCCAAGCAAATCTAATCTGTACGATGCGGTTGCTCTAGGAGCTGAACGTATCGGCCATGGGTTTGCGCTGATGAAGCATCCGCACCTGGTCGATAAGTTCAGACGGAAACCTGGACAAAAGGGCATCTGTGTCGAGCTTTGCCCCATCTCTAATGAGCTACTGCACCTTTGCAGAAATATCAAGGAGCACCCGTTTCCGGAGCTCCTCGCAGCAGGTATCCCCTGCACAGTCAATAGTGACAACCCTTCCCTGTTCACGTAAGTCTAAACAGTGCGGTGCGGATTATCTGAGATGATATTTTCTGACTTTGACTGCAGTAATTCGATGAACCACGAATTCTACCAGATAATGGTAGGTGCTCCTACAATGTCACTCTATAGCTGGAAGCAACTTGCACGCTGGAGCATTGAATACAGTTGCTTATCTAAGGCCGAAAAAAAAAGGGGCCTCGATATTCTGTCAGAGGCTTGGGTGGAGTTCTGTCAGATCATCGTCGATGTCTGCGACGATGAAAAGACTGGTCTGATGAAGGGCGACAATATTGACGACACGAACACTGGCACTGAAGCCGAACCAGACAGCAGAGTCAAGGCATTCTTCGGAAATAAGACAGACTGGACAAGGAAGACGGAAACGTCTTGAAGGTAGCTGTCAACCGGCAGTCTCTATCATCTATCTTGATCCTGGGCACCATTATGAGCTCACATATGATGATTTTGTGGTATTGTATGCCGCGAACTGATCAGGCATGTGGTTTGCACCCTCAAGAGTAGAATCTTTTCTGCGAAAAGAATGCTTCAAGTCTCCAAGTTCTAGATCGTCCATCAAAGGACGTAATCAGAGCAATGACGTGTCGAGCCAGCAGGATGCTGGTACCAAGAAAAGGCAATCTATGAGGTCAAGGGAGTTGAAATTTGATTGATGCTTTGAAGAACAATGGCGGAATGGCTCATACCCGTGGCAATGATTCATGTAGAGATGCAAGAACGATAACTATAGTCAACGTAACAATGTATTGTGGATTTACAAGGTCGGTCCCGCTGAACTACTGGTGAAGAAACGAAGATGATAACAGACCCATTCATCGGCCGATACCACAACTGGAGCTTGCGATCATGACCTTGCGCAGATGTAAGTGAAAAGCCCGTTTCGAGACGCAGTCGGACCAATAATTCCCCCGACTCGGCCTCACCAACGACAACAACTCTCCGCCGGCCTTGATCGCTGCACCTAAATCTACAAAGCATCAGAAAAACCTCGCGACGGAACTCGTGGAAGCGTGATAGGACAGGTGATCCCAGGGCTGCGCCCCACGCTTGTGAAATAACTGCGGTTATGGGATAATAAGCAGCCACCAACCCCTGTCGCTGGTGTCGTGCTCACGGAGAGGGCGAGATATATATGATAACCATACAATCACAACAAAATGGCACCAAGCATTTCAACACAGTATTACCTACTATTTGAGCCCTCTCGCAAGCGCCGCACCTGAAAGACGCAGTGAACCTACAGATCAATATGTCGAACGTCCTACGAGCAAGCATCGAGATCAACGCATCGCCAGAGGCAGTTCGCGCGAAGGTACATTTCCCCACAGACTACGATTAGGACTCTCGCAAATGTGCCTTTTGAGACTGCAGTATTGACACACTTAGTTCCTAGATTTCTCCGCTCTCCCATCCTACAGCAGGTTTTTCGAGAAAGTCGACAGCCCCAGGCCCGGAATAGAACTACAGAAGGGCGACAAAGTCTCCATCAAGATCACGAACTCGCCAACTTTCGCGGGTAGTATAGTGGTAAGCTCCCCGCACATTCTTGCCTCTACACCCATCTCCACTCGTGTTCTCTGTCCAGTCTCCATGACTAAACACCTCCCTTGTTTCCTTACCCAGCCCACATGCGCACCATGTCACTTCTTGCCCTCTCAACTAACATACCCCAGACCAACACTCCCGAACTCTTCGCCTGGACCGGCAGTGTTCCTCTCATATTCACCGGCACACACACTTTCCACTGGACGCCCTCCCAAACCACACCAGGCGGGACGACATTCATGCAGGAGGAGAAATTCACTGGCCTGCTCGGGGGACTGCTTTATAGCGATGGAGCGATTGCCAAGAGTGCGGGGATGAAGGAGAAGACGCGCAAGGGGTGGGAGGGGTTCAACGTGGACTTGAAGAGGGCTGTTGAGGCGGGGCAAGGGTAGTAGGTAGGGGGAAGTTATGGGTCTGGCATATAGTGAAGCGTTGAGGGCGTGTTAATTTCGGAGGACGAAGTAGTGTGTAATCATTTCTCTCAGCATTAATCTCTGGCTCTGAATGCGGAGTGCTACTCCACCCGCAGTCGCCGAATGGCCCCGCTGACAGGGTCATCTGCGTTCAGGCTCCTGTGCGGGCTCTCAGCGCCGCTGCCTGGTGTCTTTGCATCTGTCAAGACGCGCTTGTCTGGCCCTGTGACCGTCTGTCCCTTCGCCTGAGCGAAGCCGGCGGATCGTTCGTGCGCAGGGTTCGCCGAGTAGAAGTTGTCGATGATGGGGTGGATCATGACCGTCTGCTTGGAGATGGTGAGGGTGCTGTTTGTGGGGACTGTGACCCAGTTGTCTAAGCAAATGTCAGTGCCGCGCGTGTGAGTTCAAGGAGGCGTACGTACCCCGCTCAAATGTGAGCGGTTCGCTGGCAACAAGCACGATGTCTGAGCCTTTGTCACGGCGCTCCATGACATAATTTCTGTCCTCGTCTTCTGATCTCCCGCTGTCTGAGCTGTGCTCGCCTTTGAGCTGTTTCCAGCTTGTGCCGCTTGAGAAGAACAGGCTTGCGGCTTCGTCGGTCGTGGAGCTCACATACCGCGTGCAGACGACGCTCTCTCCATCTGTAACTGCGAAGTTCAGCAGGCTTCTGCTGTCCTCGTTGCCCATGTTTTCCTCCCCTACCACGTCGCGAATGAAGCCATTGATGCGTTCGATCGTCTTTAGTATAGCCTTGCGCAACACCGAGTGTCCAAACCCGCCTGGCCCTGGTTCAGAGTCAGGCGATACACCTGCCTTGTCCAGGGAATCTAAGAATAGAGCAAATGCCCATTCTGAGTCTGTTGAGCCCTGCACGAGTGTGAACCACTGCTCATTCAAGCTCATCGCCAGTCGCCTTTTGATCTGCTTGAAGCAGCCAATACCGCCGTTGTGCATGAACATAAGGCGCTTGTGCGAGAAGGGGTGGCAGTTCTGTTCGGACAGGTTGCCTTCGGTTGTGGCGCGGACGTGGGCGAAGAGGAGGGAGGAGGTCGTCTTAGACGCGATGCGCGACAAATTGATGCAGTTCCATGCTGGGATCGTGGATGTGAATACGCAAGGCTCAGGGCCAAGGGAGGGCGAAGTGTAGTAGCCAATGCCAAAGCCATCGCCGTTATGAGGGCGCCGACGGTCCTGTGGTATGTGAGTCGAAGCTACTCCGGTGTCGCAGCAGGAGTGAACGGACCAACCGAAGGCGCGAGTCGAACGACTGTGTGAGAATCGAGTGCGAGGGATTCAGGATGAGCTCAGACAGCAGAATCTCGTCTTTGCCTTTGTATACCTGAAGTTTGTGAGCCTCGTGCACACTACTGTAATTCCAGCTGCATACACACCATGAATCTGCACATGTTGGGTGCTTGAGAGGTGACCTCCGGATATCTTGTATGCTAGCAATATGTCGACTGACCTTGTAGAATGAGTGAGGGGTTGTCTCATGAACGTTGGTTGCTGACAAAAAGTAACGATAGGCACTGCGTTCGCTGTACAGTCATGGCGGTATGGCGCCATCAGACCAAGACATGGTGCAAATTTGGCTATTGAAGTACAAACATCTTGTAAAGCTGGTTTGCGAAAGAGAGGAGAACACGAAAGACGTATGTCAGCACGCGGCACGCGACAAATGTCGAAAGTTGAAAGGCGCACCGAGGCGGAGTGAGCTGCGTTGGGTGGGGGTCCGCGGAGTGGCGGCATGACGTGGGGGGCCGTTCTCACATGCTCTTGGTCAATTGCGACTGTCGCAACCAATCATTGATTTCGCGATACTCATGACAAAGGCTTTTAAACCCGAATGCATTCGGTATCGGACAGCTGATAGCTGCTACGCAAGAGCTGAGCACGCAGATGTGCTCTCTCAAGATCCTGTTCGCTGACGCTGCAACCACCGTACAGACAAAACTACCCAGCCCAGCCAGTCCATTCTTGCCCATCAGCCATACAAGATAGGGATAAGCAAACAGCAACGCCGGGTTTATGATGCGGATAGTAAACATGGTGGGGTTACAAGACGGTGAATCTTTCGATGCTTCGTAAAAACAGAGGGGAAGAGGAAGGTGAAGACTGGGGGTATTGCGAAGAATAAGAGAACTCCCAAAGGCGCGCATAACTCGTAATATTCCAAGAGTCGTGTTACAAATCGTCGCTGATCGTGATCTCAGGTCGAGGTCTGGCAGGTACGGTAGCTGCCAGAGTAGCTCTTACGGCTTGCTTACGCAGAGGGGAAGCACTTAACGTATGCTTGGACTGGCGTGTAGTATTGTGATTCGACTGAACCGCTCACATATCCATCGAGTCACCACCGTTGGCGAAGTTGAAATTCTGTTGTTGTTGCTGCTGGTTGCCAGCGCCGAAACCGAAGTGACCCTCCTGGTTGACGGCAGGGTTGGTCTCGGCCATGTTCTCGGCATCACCTTCCTCGTCTGAGAAGTACTTCTCGATGATGTTGTAAGCCTTCATATAGATCTCCTCGTTGGCGTTGTTCTGGCACTCGTGGATCTTCTCCATACCGCCAACCTCCTCGATGAAGAGAGCGTAGCGGTTGATCTGCTCGGCCCCATCAGCACCAGACTCCTTGTCCATCTCACCGACCTTGAGGATGTTCTCAAGGCCATCAAGAGCGACCTGGATGATCTTGTTATCCGGGCACGCGAGCAAGTCGCACAGAGGCTTGATGCATCCACTCTGGACGAGGTAGCGGATCTGGGCAGGTTTCTGCAGTCCTCCGCTAGTAGCATTGGAGATAGCCCAACAAGCCTCCTTGCGGGTCTTGAAGTCGCCATTCTGGAGAAGGTGAATCAGAGGAGGAATGATGTTGGCATCAATAACCGCCTGAATCTGTGTCGAGTTGCCAGCAGTAACGTTGGAGATGGTCCAGCATGCCTCCTTGCGAATGCCATCCTTAGTGGAGCTCAGCAGAGAGAGCAGGGCGGGCAGGGAGCCGCAGTTGATGATGACCTGTGTCTGGACGTCATCGCCAGTAACGATGTTACCAACGGATCGGAGAGCGGGTGTCTGGACCGAGGTGGAGGCGTGCATCAAGAGCTCTACAAGACGACGGGGGATACCGGCCTCGATAACGGCCTGGATCTTGTCGTTGGAGCCATCCGAGAGGTACGAGATAGCCCAACAGGCATCGATGAGGACCTCGTCGTCGAGAGAGTAAACAAGCTTGGCGAGGACGGGCAGAGCGGGCTGGATCTAGGGTTTGTTAGCAGATGCAGGGCGCGGGAAGATTGTGGGTAACATACTGTCTGCCAGTCGGGCTGAGGGGTCTTTCCCCTGCAGAAGTTGCTCAGGGTCCAAGTAGCGTTCCTGAGCATGCTCAGCTTGCGGCTGTCGCCCAGGAGAGCAAGCAGCGGGCGGAGGGCGCCGGCCTGAAGAACGAAGTCGCGGCATGCGGGGCTATCACCGGCAATGTTACCAAGTGCCCAGACGGCCTGTTCCCTAACGTCCGGCTCGTGGCTGCTCAGAAGCTCGACGAAAATGGGGACGGCACCGGCCTCGATGACGACCTGTGTCTGCTGTGCGGAGCCGGAGGCAATATTGGTGAGGGCCCATGCTGCCTCGAACTGCACCAGTGTGTGGGGAGAGCGGAGGAACTCGACGAAGCGGCTGACCACGCCGGTCTCGATAACGCGCTCGATGGGAGGGTTGCGCTCCTTCGACAGCAGCTTACGGAACTTTGTGGTCGCCTGGATCTGCTCGTCGATCTGCTCGGAGAAAACGCCCTTGACCATCTGGGGGAGCTCTTCGTTGAGCTAGCACGCGGCGTTAGCATACCAGAACAAAGACTCGGTGCGGAGGGGTATACGGACCTGCCCCTCGATGTTGCCGCCCTCATCGTCGCTGTCCGGCGCAGCACCCAGCGACGCACCCGGTCGGTCAGCGCCGCCGCCGATACCACGGCGCTTTGCGAGGTTCTCTTCACGCTTCGCCCGGCGGATCTCGACCTGCTGCTCCTCGCGGCGGCGGCGGAGCTCGTCAGGCTTGAAGGCGCTCTTGGCCTTGAAAGTCGTGCGGCGGTGCTCGGGGATGTACTTGTCGGCCATGTCTGCGGCGACTGTGTGTGTAGACGGAGCGGTGGTGAAGGGCTGCTTAGAGAGTGGCGGAGAGACAAGCAGTGTTTGTTTGCAGGGGATGAAATGGATCTCTGCGTGGGGCAAGGTGAAAAGGCGGCGGCGGAAACGGCAAAGCGTCGGCCTTAGCGCTAGCGCAGTGGGCACTTTGGGCGCGTTCGTAGCAGCCACTCTATTCCATTGGGACGCGAGCATGTGACGTGTTGACGACGAGGCCGACGTTGAAGCCTTGTCTCATTGTGGTGAGTTGGTGACGTTATTTTTGTGTGTGCTCTTTCACTGCATGACGCACACGTTGCACACATGTCACTGACAATGGACATAGTAATCTCCATGCCAGGATTACCGATTGGCTTCACGGCTGTGAAGGACTGCAAGGCCGATGGGGCTGTAGTCAGTATACTCGGGATCGTGATGAGCTTGCAAGAACCACGAAAGACGCGGGGCACAGACTGGTGTCTCAACTTCAGCATCCAAGATGACTTCACAGCCGGCCCAGTCGGCGGCAGCTCCAGCATGGGTTGTCGCGTATTCAAACCGTCCCAGACCAGCCTGCCCAAGATAACAGCCGCTGGCGACGTCGTCATTCTGCGCAACTTCAAGCTCAATCCTTGGCAAGGGCGCATGGACTGTGTTAGCAACGTCGCGAGCGACATCCTTGTCTTTCCAGCGAGCAAGATTCCTGTACCAGAGCTCAGCCAGGCGTACTTGCTGGGCACGCAGCGACTATTGTATCATGCCACCCCCGGAGCGAAAGAGCCGTCAGTACCGGAGCAAAATGCTGTCCTGACTTTGAAGCATTCATCTTCAGGGTCCGCAAAAGATGTTCAACAGCATGCATCCTTGGCGACTTACAAGGCTACCGCTCGACGTAAGGAGCACTTGATCAAGGACCTTGCCGACGGCATATTTGCCGACATTCGAGCACAGGTGCTGAATATCTACTATTCTAATTACGGCACAGTAGAGCTCAAGATTACAGACTACACGCCCAACAAAGATCTCTATCTGTACGCAGACCCAGAGCGAGAGCCTGACCTGTTCCGCAAACGAGAGTGGCCTGGGCCTTATGGGCAGGTCACACTGGAAGTGCGGCTTTACGAGCCTCATGCAACCTGGGCACGTGCGAATCTGACTCGAGATGACTTTGTCTACCTGCGAAACGTACGCATGAAACATTCAGATGTCAGAGTTCTGGAAGGAGCAATGCATGAGGACCGGCAATTTCCTGATCAAGTCGATGTCCACAAATTACGAGACGAGACTGTAATTGAGGAGATCCGTCAGCGCAGAGAAACCTACGAACAGCAGCGGTCGAAAGGGGGAACCACACATCTCGTCAACGCTCCGAAGAAGTCGTCTGCGAAGGCATCTGCCAAGAAAAAGCAGGAGAAGAAGGAGAGACAGCGTCTGCAGAGAGAAGCGGAGCAGAAAGAGCTCGAAGAAAACCAGGAGAAATGGGAAGCCCAACGCAGTGGTATCAATCGGAACGGTAGGGCACTGTCCTTGAGAGTGTGATCACGTCGCTAACGATGTCAGTCCGTGCTGGCTTTTCTGAAGCCCAACGATCGACGATATCAGAGATTCTCAACAACCCTCACATTCAGGCAAGGACATCAACAAAGTGCAACTCGTTCATACTGCCCTTCATCAATTGCAGGCATCGGTCCCGTGTCAGAATCGTGGACTTCTACCCACCAGAACTCGAAGACTTCTCGCATTCTCTTGATGATCCTAGTTGGACACCACGCTCAAAGAGTCAACGATGGGAATGGGGATTCGTTCTCCTGTTAGAGGATGCGAATGTTCCTCACGACACAGTGCCTGAGCAGCTGCGTCTCATCATAAACAATGATGCAGCTCAATACCTCGGATTGGGGAATGCGAGAGAGTAAGTCCCGATCGTATATGCAGTCACGTACGACACTGACGATATACAGCCTAAAAGCCGAGCCAAGAATCCTCGACCAGCTGAGAGAGAAGCTCTTCATCATGTGGGGTAATCTGGAAGAGCTGAAAAGCGGCTTGAGGGCTCGCGGCCAAGACCTCCCACTCCCACCAGGAGACAACAGATTGGATAACAAACCCATCGATTGTGTCATCGAGGAGTACGGAATCGAATGCTCCGTGACCGAGGATCACCCATTTGGATATCAGCGGCTGCACAAGCTTGCTTTGACGAAGATCATGAGCTGAACGTATCGGGTACATTGCATTTCCCACGCCGGCAACATCACCTGACAAGCCCACACTATTCTGCGATTGTCGATTGTGGAATTGTGTCCCCATCTTTCTTTACTGCATCATGATACCCAAATAGTCCCAACAATCATTGTTATAGCGCTTAATCTCGAGACGTTCACTCTTTGACATTTGCTAGACGAGCGAAAGAGCGAACGCGCGGTTTCCGGTCGTTATGACTACATCCTAGCACCTGCGGTCTGCCACACGTACACCATAAAGGCACACGAACACGATTCGACTTACCTTGGCCGCCCGAAATTTTGTCAGCGACGGCACAAGAAGTAGTTTGAAGATACTATACCAACCTGATAATGGCGGTGAAATTGGGTATAAGCGCGGTACCGTGGTTGGCGGTGAAAGGTGCAAGATGGCGTTTCTGGATTGCGTGATCCGACGTGCTTGTCAACATGTCACTCATAGTCAACGACAAAATGGTACCGAGCATCTACTCCGACCATACACATTCGCACCAGCAACAATATTCGAAGAAACCATTCCGCGAAATTCCTTAACTAATCAACCTTCATCCAAAAAGTTGACGCGTGAAGGGCTAAAATCAATTGGCGAGGACGGGCAATTACAGCGAAACACTGCCGAGCAAGCGGCAACAGTCTCGAAAACACATCGACACCCAGTCTGGACAACAAGACTGCCATGGAACCTGCAGCAGACATCTCCCGGTTCCCGTCAGTTCACGACCCTCACACCGCGGACACTCTTCTCTCAAAGTCACTTGCATCCGCCCAAGTCTACGAAGTCACCAATTCCACTCCCTCGCCTCAGCCCGTTCCCTCCCCAGGATGCAAGAACTTCGTCCTTAACCCATCCCTGATAACCTCCGACTTCGACGCTCTCCGCTTCAAAGCCGCAGCGTACAACCAACTCCCCTTCCCAGACTCACGATCCGCAACACCAATCTCAGGTTCAGACTCGGACTCGTACTCCCCTTCACCAGCACACTCTAATCTCCTGATCTCGTCACCCTACAACAACCCCGGTCACTATCTAGATCTATTAACTCTACCCCTTCCGTCAAGGCTCTTCGCACTCGCGCTCACAGCTCTGCGGCCTGTGCACGACAACTACGTCGCAGCGGCATTTACACAGAGTCTCGACTTTGACGCCGTGCTGGGCGTTTTGCGGCAACTCGTTGTAAGGGAAGAAGTAACGTGGAAAGAAACCTCGTTCTACGTTGTCCTGTTCCGCTCCCAGCTAAGGCAAGGCGTGGACCAGGAGTGGCTGTACAAGCTCGACTACGAGAGCCATCGCGAGGCGTGCGAGAGTGGAGGACTGCTGAAGTATTGGTTCGGGAAGGCAGATTTGGAAGGGGAGAGGAGGAATTTGGCGACGTGTAAGTGCGCCCTCCCACTTGAAGCTGATTAGACGTATCGAGGCTGGAGTCGGAACAAGCGGTTGATGAGAACAGGTTTCTGGCATTCGCGCGAGGATGCGTATAAAGGAGGTCTAGGGCCGTGGCACAAGAAGGCAAGGCAAGCGGGTAGGGAGTTGTATGAGAGTATTGTGTTTAGCACACATCGATTCACGATTATGAACGGCGCAGAGGAATATCGGTTTGAGGACTGGAGAGACTGAGCACCGGAAGGCTAGAACCGGAGAAGATCGACATTAGCAGGGCACCCAACTTAGGGAGTCCGTGGATAGCAAAAGCGCCACTGCGTGGAAGATGGTGGGTTCGACTTTTCTTCACCTTGCATTCACTGCTTGGGACGCCCTCGACCTGGAAGAGGATCTAAAGGGGTACTGAAGGCTATCTGACTCCGAGAATGAGAAATACTAGGCCAAGAATGGAACCAGATGACGAAGAGCTCGAAGTCACCATGCTCATGATAAAGGAATATTACGATCTCTACTTACACCTGTCGAATGAAAACGCTGCCCAGATCGAGAGTATGTCAAGCAAGAGCGTTAAAAGGTGCTTGCCAAGGAGATAAAACGTCTTGAATGGTTATGGTAACACAGGTGGAAGTGACCCGACAGTGTACGCAACCAAGCACTGAACAAACCGAATGAGCACAACTTCTCAATATGGATGAAAGTATACAGTACCACATGCCGCGTGAAAGCACTGACAACGCTGCAGTCCTGCCGATGAGTACTAGCTGCGGAACAACCAGTAGGAAAAAGAAAGGCACAACACGGTACATAAGGCGGACTACTTTACTCTACTTAGACATATCTGAAATTTTCACGGCGGACTGCAGATATACCATCCATTTACCCTCACGCACACACATCCCTAGGGTTTCTGACTCACCGCGTAACGCCAGCACCAAACCTCACCCGCAACCCACAACTTCCAAATAACGACACCCGCCTCCTCGACCCAACCGACTGAACATCCCCAACTCCCTGCATATCTTCAGCCCAGCTCCCACAACATCACTCCCGATCGCAGATTCTCGATCGCGATGAGGCTTTGACTAGCAGCGTAAAGTTTAGACGCGCTGTCGGCGTTTCAATGCCGCAGCGTCGATGCCATGTGTTTGCGATAAGGTTCATGATTGTCATGAGCAAGGGAATTCGATAGGGATAGCGGAGGCTGATCATCAGAGGCGGGTGGGCGAGTGAAACGGTGAGCTTCAGGACGGGAGTATGTGTTGCATGGGGCGGGGACGGAGAATGGTAGGTTATGCGGTGGGCTGGATCGAGAGACGTGCAAGCGGGTGTGGACGTGGAAGATGGTGATGATGTGCCTCATGGAGAGAGGTAATGTGTTGATTCTGGCATGGCATGCGGGTATAGCCCAGACACCCATGCATGCTGGACGTCTAGAAAAATGTTGGTCCAAAACGACAGCTGGTTGACGCCAGCGCGCCAGTTGCCCAGAAATGCAAGTCTATATCGCTAGTAAAACATAACAGAAAGGAAGTCATCGATCGTATGATCCATCAGCTGCAGCAAAGCATACGTAAAAATGCTTCAGTGAGGAGTCTTCAGGTCGTGCAGACAGCAGTATGTCGCACCGGCATAGAAGCTCGTCTGGCACCAGCGCTACGGGGCCGAGCGTACGAACACGCGACATGCCGACAGACGATGTCTGAGGGGTTGATCGTGCGTATTATAGTATTTATAGAATGCGGTGCCTACAGGGTGTTAGTCAGCTGATTCAACTACACTCCGCGGTACAAATGCCATGATGGGGGATGAGACTGACCTTCGGAACGCTGTCTCGAGGCTGACAGCGCTGAGTTCCGAGTCATCGGGCAACTCGTTGAGAAGAGGCACAAGGCCAGCGAATTTGTCGCCGCCTTTGTAGGCGAGGACTGCCGGTACGCCTTCCTCTTCCATCTCTGCATCATGGTTGTGCAGCTTGATGAAGCGGACTGTATCGTTACGCTTTGCGACTTGGCGCATGCACTCCTCGACCATGTTGGAGATCTCAGACTGTGGCGTGTTAGACTTGCAGGTAGCAATTGGGTGCGCCAACACGTACCAGGTCGTTGTAGATGAATACGACCACCACGGTATCTGACGGTGTCTTCTCGATGGCGTCAAGGTACCCTTCACCGTCTACCGCAGGCATACTGCCATATACCCGCCTGCTGGGGCTGTTTGTGCGTGACCGTATCCGCTGACCGGCGTTCTGCAGCTCTCGCAATCGCGACTCGCGCCATTGCTTCATGAAGCCGCCGTCGTTCTCCTCGTCGGACGATAACCGCTCATCCTGGTAGGCTGTGACGTTGTACTGCTGTGGCGATGCGCTCTTCTTCCATGTGAACCGCTTTGCCTGCTTCTTGGCCTGCTCGAAGGCCTGGGCATCTGCGATGACGCCCTTCGGCCCCGTGTTGGCCTCAGAGCGGATGTGCGAGGGCATGTAGTAGTTGGAACGCATGTCGGCGGGGAGGTCTAGCTCGTCGTCTGTGTCTACTATCTCGTAGCGGTCCTTTTCGGCGCCTTCAGATTCGGGGTCAGAGTGGTCGCTGTCGTTGTGTCGGTCTTCTGGGTGTCTTTCTTCGTGGTCCTTGTTTCGCATAAGCTCGTTGAATTCTTCCTGGGCAGCGTTCGTCATCGTGAAAAAAGAGTTGACCGGGTCGCGGGCAGGCGTGCTATTTGTATGGGCGCTGCGGTGTGGTGAAGCAGGCGCGGCAGTAGAGCATCCAGAGTGTCCGAGCTGGATGACAGCTTGGCGGTGTGCAGGGGTCTATTTTCGAGGAGACGCCCCGTTTCAGCGTCATGATTGGACACACAGGTGAGGGAATGCCGGCAAGTCTGACGACGACCTTCAGGCCACAGAGGCATTTGCTCGGGCACGGTGCTGCACCCGCAAGGATGACGAGGGACGTTGCATGGTCTAGGGCTGAGCTGCGGCGCCAACGCCAATTTGACACGCGACGTCTCCCTGGGATCGTCAAAGATTGGCGCGAAGGAGTCACGTCTCCTGAAACGAGCTCGCGGTCACGAAACAGAGATGCTGCGGTCCACCGAATCAGGTGATGGCACGGTGAAGTCATGGACGACGCTTGCACTTTCGAAACGAGAAGTGCTACCGAACTCGGCATCTACCAAGTTGTCACATCAGCATCATGCTGCAATCATTGCCAGGTGCATTGAGGCTGCCAGGCTCGACTCCTTATGCGGTGGCGTATTGGTACTGCCTGCTGAGGCATCCTTATTCATGCAGTCTGGAAACAACCTAGGACACCCGGCAGCTCTGATAAGAAACGCCAGCTACCCCGGACACGAAGAGCTTCTAAGGCCTTCCAGAAGCGCGTTCGCCAAACCTGTTCTGCATTGGACATTGAACGGTGAGTCTCGAGTGCCTTACGCACCGGCAGGAGCGCGTTGCATGAGTCGACCAGAATAACAGGCACAGCCATCTTCCATAGGTACGGCACCACAGTGAGCCGGCAGGAGGTGCCACGTGCTTTGCATGTTACGGCCCCTGCGCCCGACTTGGGGTTAAGTAACATATGTTCTCGGGCTGCATGACGGCTCCAGCGCAGGGCCGAATTCATGTGTTGTCTGCTTCGTGAAAGCGGAGGTTGTGCAGCCGTTGCACACTGTTCACAAGATGCTCTTTTCGTCGTCATAATTTCCAAATCTGCAAGCAGCATGTCTGTCCGTTCCGCGTAGCGCCGAGTACGAAGTCGTCTTCACAGCGTATCCACTGCGTGGTTTGCAGTGACGTGCTCGTCCGAGAGATCCGACAGTTGATGTAAAACAAGTTGACTGCTATCTGCATACATATCCATCCCTCACATACGAGCGCAGGATCGTACATGAAATCGAAACCCACTGACATCACCAAGCCACCCGGTAATCCGAAAAGTACATGAAAATTCGTCTTTCGCAACTCCGTCAAGTCATCCTGCTTTTGAACTGCGCACAGTGAAAGGAATAAAGCCATGTTGGAAAAGTAGTGAACGCGTAAATGAGCTTGATATGGAGGGATGGATAGAGTGTTACTATGAGAACAGCCAGCCCGCATCTCTGAGACGGAAGACGAGTACAGCCCGGTTTGTTGCGAGGAAGAAGTAGATGGGAAACATTGGTATGAAAAGTAAACGTGTCGCAGCACAAGATGGTCCCGGGCGCCTGTCCACCAAGTTGACGCAATAGCCGCCGCTTTGTAGCTTCCAAGTGTGGTATATTATGTCGGCCGGTGCGATTTCGCAAGGTCCAAACGTCTCCCAGAGGAGTAGGTGTAGTGGGTATGTTAAACAGATGAGATCGGAATGGGAGTTCGTGGGACGGCCAGATTAGGGATACGTGCATGCGGCCGTGGTCCAACTGTGTATCGTAACATGACGTTGCATGCTTCAACGCCGCTCGCTTATGCCCAAATGCGCAGCTATAGAACGTCAGCCAAACGGAGCTTGAGTGTTTGCGGAAAAGACTTGCCATAGAATCCCACGAACCAGTGCACAAACTGAGTGCATCGTTGCTGACACCGAGACAGCTGACACGGTTGTCGTGCCCTTGCAGCGTGCCGACACGCTCGCCACGGAGAACGTCCCATACCTGTGGCATTGTTAATGGAGACCTCCAAAATGGGTCGTAGCTGCTTACTTTGCACTCGAAGTCGTCGTAACCAGCAAACAACAGACGGCCGGACACGGAAAAGGCAACGGAGGTGATACCGCAGACGGGCTCGGGAATCTAAAGGGTTGGAGGTTAACTTGAAAAGCAGCAACAGTGTGGCTGGCGGTGTACGTACCTGGTACGAGGCGAGCTCGCGGTCGGCACGGATATCGAACAGACGGCAAGAAGCATCGTCAGACCCAGTACCAAAGGCATTACCGTTGGGGAAGAACTGGATGGCGTTGATGTCCGAGTCATGCGCGGCGAAAGTCTGCACGCACTTCTGCTGACGGATGTCCCACAGCTTGGCGAACGCGTCGCAGGCGCCGGAGACAAACTGGTTGTGGTCCAGAGGATTGATGCTTAAGCTCATGACGTCGCCAAGATGGTCGGCGAACTCGTGTACCTTGGAGCCGGTTTCCAGGTCCCAAAGCACGCAAGTCATGTCGCCGGACGAGGTCAGGATGCGCTTGTCGCTGATGAATCTGCAGCAGGACAGGTATCCTGAGTGGCCAGAGAGCTCGCGAGCGACGCGTGTGGGGCCTTCTCGCGCCGACAGGTTGTAGATGGAGCAGATGTTATCGAGACCACCGCACGCTACGTAGTTGCCAGACGGCGAGTACGCGCAGGTCATGACCCAGGACGACCGCAGGGGGATGGCGTGGACCTTGTTCGTTGTGTAGGCGTCCCAGATGATGAGCTTGCCGTCCTGCGAGGCGGAGACGAGGTGTCGGCGGTCGGTCGACCAGTGCATGGCGTAGATCTTCGCAAGATGGCCCTTGAGCGTGCGCTTCGTCTTCATGGTAAGGCGCGGCAGGGCCTCGACACGGTCGCGGGCGACATCGCGGACTGCAGTCAATGGTCAGCATGCACAGTGCAGGGAGGGCGGCGCTGCTGCACGTCGAGGGCAGCGTGGAGGCGTACGGGTTGTGTCAGCGAGCTCGTCCTTCTTCCGTTTTATCCTGTCCTTCAGGGCCTCGGCATCGCGCCGTGCGACCTGGATCTTCTGCTGGATAGACTCTTGGTTCATGTCGGCCATGCTACTCTGGTGCTACCGGGTGAGGGAGGAGGGGGTGTCGCTGCGGGCGCGCGACAGGCGACGAGCTAAAGCGGCGATGCGGCAAATCCAGGGGGGCCTCGCAGGAAGCGCAGCAGCCCGGGGCACGCAGGCGGACGCGGGGGCAGCAGGCGGGCAGAGGCAGCAATGGCGACGGGCGCGCGCGGTGCAGCTGCAATTGCTTGCGCTGAGAGGTGATGGGCGGCGGCGGAGGGTGGTTGTGGTGGAGAGGGCTGCGGGTGCAGGAGGAACTGAGGTACGGCTCGCAGACGCTTGGCTGGACCGAGAGCACCAGCTGGGGTCAAAGGAAGCTGCCCTGTCTCCCGGAATACCGCAACAACGGGCTGCGTGGCTGGCGAACAGTGCGGGGCTGGCGGTGCGGCTGTTGTCTGCGTGCGGCTGTCGTCTACGTGTAGCGTGCCCTTTCGGCGATAATTGACTGTCCTGCTGCGCTGCTGCGGACTGCCCACGAGAATCGCGCTGCTCGCTGTGCTCTTCGACCTGACGAAGAAGGCGCGCGCAATCTCCTGCAACGCACCTCCTCCTTTCAGCAAGCCCGCCCCTGATTCGCCCGATAGATTTGGCGCCCCGGCTAGCTTCACCTTTTCCCAGACGGAGCCGCTGCTAGGCCTAAAGCACCTCACGACCAGGCGCCGCTCCGAAGTCTATCGTTTTCGATTTGCCCTTCGAGAAACATCACCTGCGCCACTAACACTCAATTGCAATCATGTCCGCTGCTGCAACGTCTGTCGAGAAACATTTTGCACGCCGCCTACCAAAGATCGAAGTGAGCAGCGCCAGCCTCCCCCGAAGCCAGCCAGCGCTTGGGCAACCGTTCACAGCACTAATGCCCCACGACTCAGTTGCACGCACACCTGACGGGTAGCATCAGTCGTGCGTGTCTGCATGCCATCTGGAGAGCGAAGAAGGCCCAAGATGCTGCTTTCGACGTCGAAGACCCTCTTGTTGCCATCCCTTCTGACAAAGTCGACTACGACCTCGAGACGTATGCTCCCTCGATATTTGATTTGATGTCACGATTCATGTTCCCGTCTCCTGCCTCCCGTCTCCTTTTGCTGCAGCGCGCTAGCAGATTTATCTTCATACCGAGGCTCCGTTCTCATACACGTTCTTGTGGTGCCTTGCATCGTCTCAGCGTCCCCACATCTTGATTGCTGCAACCAAACAACTCTGTAGTCAACAGCCTAGAACTGACAGTCAGCACAGTTTCTTCCCTTTGTTCTCGTCGTACATCTACAAGCTATGCAGCGACCTACCGAGCATAGAGTATGTGTCTGATCAATTGCGAGTGCTGCGACACGTTCGTTGACTGTGTGAAGATACTCGACCAAGGCAGTACTGCAGGACTTTCAAGCAGATGGCGTGGTCTACCTTGAACTTCGCACTACACCGCGAGCAATTCCTGACAAAGCCATCACCAAAGATGACTATGTCAAGACTGTTTTGAGCATCCTCAATGCGTGGAACTATGATGCTACCAACACCCTACGAGCCTACCTGATCCTCTCCGTTGACCGCCGCAATACAATCGCTCAGGCTGAGGAAGTCGTCGATTTATGCATCAAATATCGGCCAGCAGGCGTCGTGGGCATTGATCTTTGTGGTGATCCAGCGAAAGGCGATGTGCGAAGCTTCACGAACACCTTCACGAGAGCGAAAGCTGCTGGCTTGAAGATGACCCTTCATTTTGCCGAGGCCAAGGTATCGGCGACAGACCTTGAGCTAAAGACACTCTTGTCATGGAGGCCAGATCGACTCGGCCATGTCATTCACGTAAAGGAAGAGTATTGCAAGATCATCGAGCGAGAGAACATCGGCGTCGAGCTATGTTTGAGCTGCAACGTTCATGCCAGAATGATCACCGGGACCTACAGCGACCATCACTTCGGAATGTGGAGACATAAGAACGTTCCTGTAGCACTCTCTGTATGTCTTCGCTTGTTTGCTGTTGGGCTACACTAACATCGCGCAGACTGATGATGTAGGTGTCTTCTGCAGTCCACTTTCAGTTGAGTACGAGCTTGCTGTAAAGCATTTCAGCTTGAGCCCTGCTGAGGTATGCAAGCTCTGCGAAGGAGTTGTGGGGTCTATATTCGCTGGTGAGAACGAAAAAGACCGTCTCCGAAAGATATATGCAGAGTGGGATGGGTGGATGGGGTAGGGGCTAGTAGGCTACGATATGGAGAATCTGGCAACTCAACCCCACAATATTGTCTCGAGTAACCTTTGCTCCTAATATCGCCAAGCTCTAGCTTGTGCTGTGCGCGTCTATGTCACTCAGTACGTTTCGCAGCTGGTCACCAACAGGGCAATCATCGACAGTTATGCCAAGCGGTTACAGGATTGTATGCCTTTGGGTGCTCGGACGACGTTTGCAATAGACAGCTGTCACTATCGTAGTCAAGCAAGCCAGGTCCAGTAGCGTGTGCAGTTGAGCTTGTACTAAGACATTAGCGCCCGGCGTCTAAAGGTATCCACGCCCCGCTTCGCTTATGCATTCATGTTCTCGACCTACTATGGGGTGCTACAGTACCTGTATCCGCCGCAGTGCTCACACTGCCCTCGCTCTCTAGCTTCCAAGAACATCTACAATATATACTATTTTATCAGCAAGGTTCTTATCGATAAAACGGCCTCATGGTCTAGTGGTATGATTCCTGCTTTGGGTTCGTTCTCAAGTCTGCAGGAGGCCCCGCGTTCGAATCGCGGTGGGGCCCGTTGTTTTTGCACTTTTGTCACACCAGGTCGAGCGCGATGGTCAGAGTAGGGGGTGATTGATGTGCAACAAGTAGAGCGCGAAGAGTTGTTGTAGAGGCAGGCTGAGGTTCACAAAGAGCTGCATGTCTCAAAGATGTGGGTTACGTTACTAAGTAGCATGCGTTTGTGTTGTGATAAAGAGTCAACAAATTCGAAAGAACACCTAAGCCCAAAACGCCTGTGAACGTATATCCAAACACACAGACGCCCAACGCCAGTCAGTGCGGACGCCATACCCCAATACTATCCTTGAGACACTGCCTCACATGGGAAGCGGATCACTTCGCCTGTGATTACTAATATCCACGACGCCCATACATGTCGTAGCCTCCGTACGCGCCCCCTCTCTCCCTCTCGTACTCGCTTGCCCTGCGAGTGCGTCCGTGCAGGGGCCTCCTCTGCTGCTTTCTGATGTGCTCGATGGCATCGTGGAGCTCGTGGAGCTGGAGGTTGTCCTGCACGGGTCGCTCTGAAATGTATTGCTGTGCGTACACGGGGTCCTGTGTCTCGGGTCCAAATGTGTTTGCACGTCCGAAGCGGGGTGGGTGGCGCGAAGTGTCGAATGGGTTTCCTTGTGGCGTCTGGACGCTGCTGCAGTGGTGTAGTGCAGGCCCAGGATTGTAGTCGCCGTCGAAGTATGAGTCGCGTTGATGAGGGTAGTTGTCCGGGGTGGGGTGCGTACTCCTGCATGGGTGAGGCTCTACTTCGCCATAGATGTGGCTGGTATGTGGGTAGCCGAAGCTATCATTTCTGTGTGGCAGATTGCGGGACCTGAGCTTGGGCGGCTGTTCGATGATGTCAGAGCGATACATGCTTCTACGGCGCTCGGAATCCGAGAAGACGCTGTCATCTGCTGTGTGAATAGATGAGTTGTCGTTCAGCGAGGCAGTGCCGCTGTGTCTGTCCCACGAACCTTCGCGCGACATAGACTCCGCGCTGACTTTCTTGTTGCGGTAGTCTGGTGATGGGGCACCAAAGCTACTGCGACGAACACGGTCATTGGCGCGTGTTGGCTTCTCGGCTGCGGAAGCATTCATGTGGATGTGGATTGGTGGCAGTTGCTGTGTTTCAGGCCGAGTATGGCTTCTGCTGCGGCTTCTGACCTTGCTGAGCGATTTATTGCGTCGAGCCTTCTTGGATCGGGACGGGTGACGCGAGCGTCCACGCTTTGGCTTGCCAATGTGGACAAACTGGCCATGCTCAACATTGCGAACACGAAAGCGATCAGGACCCGAGTCGCCGGACTCAGTATCCCACTCGTCACTGTTCGAATCTGAGCCAGACGATGAGTCCTCATGGTGGTCCTTGTGTTTCTTTTGCTTCTTGGAGGAAGATGGATCGAGGATCCCGATTGGTAGTTGACCTTGTCGCATCGAGGGACGGTGGACGGCTTCCGGAAATGTACCAGGCATTGGTCGTTGTTGTTGACCGTGACCTGGTGGACGCGGCATACTGTGGATGGCACCCGGCGGGGGAGGTCGAGGAGGTGAAAGATGTGCACCAGGCGCACCAGGCGGCGGTGGTGGTGGCGGACCTGGCATGCCTGGTGGAGGTGGCGGCGGTGGAGGTGGCGGCGGTGGAGCGCCTTGACCATGCTGAGGGTGAGCCTGAGGCGGTGGCAGCCACATATGTTGTGCTTGTTGCTGAATGTGCCCCACAGGCTGCTGAGCTGGGCGTTGAGCGTTCCTTTGCTGTATGATTTCATGACCGACCAGATTTTGTTGTTGTGGATAACCCTGGGTTGGTTGCAGGGGCTGACCTTTTTGGGTTGCAACAGTTACTCCCCTGATGGTCATCGGATCCTCGTAACCGGAGGGGCCGGTTTGCAGAATGACTGAGACACGCTTGAGCTGTCGCTGCCGGCGACAGATATCCTTCCATTCGATGTCTATAACAGCAATGTTCCATTTCAGGGTCCTGTTCTTGCTCTCAAGCTCATGGTTCTGGTCTTCGACGAGCTCATTGATCAATCGTCGGCAATTCGCCGATGGAATTAAGTTGAGCTCGCGCTTGACAGAGCCCTTGTTTCTTTGGAACCTTTTCAATTCGTTTTGAAGATCCAGAACAGCCACATGTTGTTGTTCGGCTTCGACATCCTCCCAGCTGTCAGCACGTTTCGGCTTCTCGAACCTGAAAAGGGCTAACTGCGGGTCGTAGTTCGCGAAAGATTGAAGCGGCTGTTGTCCTTGCATGCCTCTTTGCTGGCCCGTTAGACCTTGCTGCTGTGACATAGGATTCTGCTGCACCATGGGATTTTGTTGTGCCATGGGGTTCTGTCGTTGCTGGCCGATGTTCTGATGAGGTGGCATCTGACCCAGATGCGCTTGATGCTGAGCTGGAAACTGATGGGCCATGATGGTGTCAGAGTAATTTGTTGGAAGAACAAAGGCGAAAAGAACGCAATAGACTCAAGCAAACATCAAGTCTGCTTTGAGTATTGAGAAAGCTGCTAGTGCGTACAAGAACGATTGAAGATGCGACACTGAAGGAGCAAGGCAAATGAAGCGTTGGTAGGGCCCTATATAGACCTGCTTGAGTTGATCCGTGCCACTTCGAGATGTGTACGTTGCCCTCTACCCAACGCAGTGGTTGCACTATTCTGATGCAGCAGGGGGAGGTCCCTCTCGGGACTCGACCTTGTCAATTCGCTACTATCCGGCAAACTCAAACAAATCTCCATTGGTCGCAAACGGGTCGATCGCAAGCCCCGTTTGGAGACTGGCTATCATAGTTCTGAGCCAGACACACCGAGGTCTGGCAAATCAGCCTGGCAACTTTCTTGCCAGGCTGCTACACGTTGCAAGGCAGAGCCTCAAAGGCTCACCGGATGCTTCATGGGTCCTTCAAGCATGCATGCAGCCGAAATGCCATGCAGCAGAAGGACTCGCGATGGTGGGGTAGCCACGACCTTGATGCAGGCTGGAAGCGAAAGGCAGCCGCGCATGGTAGGATCTCACTGGATCCGGTGTAAAGTGTCAGCACCACTCTAGCGGCAGATCATGACTCCTTCGACTGTCAAAGAGTGTTGGCGGATTTGACAGCTGTTGATGGTTTGGTGGAGACGTGAACGACATGCCTTCGTACGATCGCGCTTGCAGCCCGCATAGGCCACTTTCCAGTCCGTGGTGCGCCTAGCTATGATCACAACTTCCGGCGTTCGACGCCCTCCCAAAAGAAGGCAACTGACTACGACAGTTCGCAATTTGCCTGATAACTCGACGAACTGGGTGGCTTGCCCTGTACGACTTGCACCTGATACACCTGCATGTCTGCTTCCCCTCGCTTGCAATCGCCAACGCATCAGACTTCAAACAAGATCATCGACGTCAGGTTCGCCTTGAGCGCTGCGAAAGCTCGTGGAGCACAGCGCATGTGCGCAGCTGCGTTGTTGAGACACGAAAGGTTCGTCCGCTGTTTGTTCAGGCAATTGCATTTCAGCACGTACACTGCGCCCATGCTGCATGAAAGGTCGACATTGTTGTCTGCGTCAAATTCTGTGGTTGAAGAACTAAAGGACTCCTGTACGCATTTGGGCCTCTCCTGACGCGGCTCGACTACAATTCAGAAGGCTCTTACGTACTAGTGACTGCTTGCTATCTGCGAACTTGTTCGCAGACTGCAGTGCCGATCTCGTAGCCTGCTTGGTCTTCCGCTCCACTCCCATGGGGAAGTCAACGCCCCGCGTCAGCACACTTGTCGTGCACTCCAATACTAACGTCTGGCCTTCTCCAATGACTATTCGACGGCCCACAATTCATCAGACGCAAGCCATGGATCCCATTTCGAGGACACCGGACGACTTGCATGCGTTGTACTTGTGTATTTTCGACAGATCTCAGCCTTACGACCACAATTCCTTTGGTAGGTAGTACATGGCTGAGAGGCTGGGTTTGATAGGTCTCGACTGACAGGGACCCTTGTAAATTCAAATATCTTGTCTTACAAAAACATGAAAGCGAAGGACGGCTCTACCGGACGGCGCGAGCCGCCCTTCTCACCTCACCAACATGCCGTCCTACTGTACTAGAGTCCTTCACTTGGCAGTATCCGTTCGAGCCGTTTGTCCAAAGCTCCCGTCAGCTCGCTATCTCGGATCGTCAGGAAGGCTACGGCATGCCAAATTGTACTGCCCCGGTTAATAACCCGCAGAGGGCCAGCTGATCAGAGGCTCACGTAAACATTTGTCAGAATGCATCAAGTTTCTCGTCGGCCACTCTAGACACATGCAAGCATAGCCCAGACTGACTCGTGGAGCAAAAGCTTAATCTTGCCGCTGTTCGCAGCCGGGACCCATTGCTGCACGATCCTGGACTCCTGGGTGGATATGGTGACAGCTTTATATTCTCAGCTTTGATATGAAGGGGTGGCGTAAAGTAATTGATGCTCGCGGGTTGCATATCAGTGAGACTTATCGGCACAGTGTAGCTGCGCAAAGCCTTCAGGAATACGCGGAGATGTGACCCATGTCCATGACCTGTAGACCCGGGGCTCATCTGGCCGTAAGACGCGAAGGCTTTTGCCAGTGCAGCAACCGCAAGCGTCTCATAACCCTTGAAACCAAAGCCTGTGGGCCTAGGGGCTGTCTCGCACAACTATGCTTGTCTCAGCAACATACGACTGCCCGCAACCTGTAGATAGCAACAGGTCTTGTGCCGCTTCAGCCTTCTCCTCAACGCATATTTTGCAGGCACTATCCCCAGCCACGTCGGTTAAAAGTATGTCTCCCTCTTGCAACTTCGCAGCTGCCTCGTCTGCTTTGCAGCCTACCTGCTGTACCTTTGCCCTGTTGTTTCGTTGGCACTGCATTGCAGTCGTAGCCGTGCACTACCGTTTCCCACAAGCACGAAAAGAACACAGCCTTGTGCGGCACGCTTCAGGTTGCAATGACACGCCCCATTTGAGTCTCAATGACATTATTTTCAAGTGGATCTTAATGCTTAGCATGGATGATAGAGAGCACTGGGTCCATTTAGCCGCTGCTACGCCACCGCTGCTTCCCTGCTCCTTGCCCACTCATCCTAGCTAACAGGAAGATTTGACATATCACGACTCAAACCCCACACGACCTTTGCCATTCAAATGGTACCAACTGCCTATTTGTCTGTATCCCGAGGGTTATTCAATCTCCTAAATTACATACATACACCCTTTCCTGCCATGCAGAAGATGGCCCTCAAGAAGCCGGGCATCGTATCTAAGCCTGGTGATGGATGGTCAGCACGGGCACACATTAATTTGGCGGCTGACTTACACTTATACCAAGGGTGCATTTGTATATCTATAATCCCTGAGAAGGGATACCTAGCGTTCAAGCTGACCTCTCAGTAGAGCGTATGTATCCTGATTTTTTTACATGGGACTGGCAAAGGGTAAGGACCTGGACGTGCAAATTTCGCATGTCGAGAAATGCACTTTCAGCTATCCGATGATTATGACCAGAGCACCCAAATCAGGTACAGGTGAAGCCCCAATTGTCTTGTAAGACAGCTCGGCGATCAGTACGTCGCTGTCACCATGTAGATTGCGGAACATTATCCGTCTATTGTTAGGAAGTGCTTTGACAGTATCTCGTATGACCCTGGAATTAGGTGTTGTTTCTGAGAAGAAAAATGCGTTTTCATCGTTCATACCCGTGTCTATGACAAACAGAGGCTCATCCGTCAATACTAGACTACCGAAGCGATTTGTGGTAGCTGTCAGGCCACGGCCAGCGACTGCTATATCTCGGTCTGGCCTGCTAACGCTGAACAAAAACTTGGACTGATGCGACAGACGATTCTACGGGTCGGACTCCAGATGTGTTTCCTTCTTGGCGGATTCGCTGGTCGCGCTGGTCGCATCGTGGAAGAAGTGGTGTATTGGCTTGGTACCGTGGAATGTTGGCTTTACATGGGGGCCTTTGGCTCATGTATGCCTGGTTCGAGAACGGTCAAGATAGGGCGCGCATTGTGAAAGATTGTCTTGCTTTGGGAGTACTCAAAGATCTACCAGTCTTACATTCGACATTTGGGTCACGAGATAGGCTTTATCGTTAGCTGTGCTTGCATTCGGTATAGATTCTCGAGGTGCTATGGCCCATTGTTCAAAGCGTGTGTAGAACTAGTAGGATGTCAAATCTATTGGAGACTACGAACCAGAGCGTGGAGTTTTTAGGACTGCGAAGCGACTCATTTGATTCTCCAGACACTCTAGCTTCAATCAGCGAAAACTAGAGAGAGAGCTCAAAGCTGAAGTGCGTCTTTACTGACTACAGTTTTTTTGGGCCTCAAGGGATTCTAACAATCAAGATTGCATGACCTCAAGCTGCCCATCTGTCGCCTGAAACGAACAACTTCCTTGCCGCAGTTAGCTGTGCCGCGCGACATAACGCAGCGTCTGACGACGCCACAGCTTGTTGATCAGACATCGTGCAATACATGAGACTCCGTTTTGAGACAAGGAATTGACTAGAGCCACAATGAATTTAGACAAGCAGCGAAGGATGATAAGTTGTGAGTTGTATCAGTGTGTGAAGCAGAGCCCGCAAATCAAACAGCCGTACCTGCCAAGTCATGCAGACCCTTGCGGAGCCCCACTCCCGTCCCAACCCGCCTAAACCACCTGACAGATGCAACAACAGAATGATAGGCCCTCGGTATCTTTGACAAAACTCTAGTCATCTGTATCCGGATGGCCAGTCTAGAAATAAGTTCTGCAGACGTCACTCGCCAATCCGTAAACGAACGGCAGCGGCATCCAAGCAACATGAGCAAGCTACGAGCGTCCAACGCACGCGACCGGCCTAGCCCTCGTACAGCTCGAGCTTTCTTGGTTGCTGGTTCCGCGCAGTCTTACTGGGCGTCAACACGCGCGCTATCGAATGCTTGTGCAATGACCTCAGAGGGGCGCTTTCTTGTGCACTTTCTTAAGAGTGCGAGGGCTGTTGCTGAATCCAGGGTTTCTGGTAGTCGCACTTTACAGTTTCACTAACACCCCAGCTGTCCAACATTCTCTTGTCGCTGTTTCCGCTTCAGCTTAGTCTACCCTTATCGCACACTGTTGCTGTGAAGATGCTCCACGAAACGTGCGTGCTTGTGCTTGGCCTTGTGGCTGCTGCGTCTGCGTTGGAGTCGACCTGTGAGTATTTCAATTTCAGAGAAAGGGCCGTGTATTGATGCTTGTAGATACAGGACCGATGTTCAACCCCTCAGAGGCACCGTACTTTGACTACAGCTCTCTCGTCATCCCAACACAGACCACCCTTCCTGCCATCCAACCCACGGCCGAGTTCAGCATGGCGACCACAATATCTGGAATCATACTGCCAACCACACCGCTTTCGCGTTCTTCCACACTTGTGTCCCAAGCTTCCAGTCACTCTTCGAGCCATTCGGTTTCGTCCACAGCATCAGTAAGCTCATCGGTATCTTCGAGTGCATCAAGGAACTCCGCAGCTACCTCGGCATCGACATCTGCTCCTGCACAGCAGAGCACTGCCGCTGCCGTTGCGAACCGTGCCGGCGTCGTGGGTGTTGTTGCTGGAGGATTGCTCGCCGGGCTGGTACTGGCTTGAACTGGAGGGAACTGCTCTTGTGAGGTGGATGAATAGCATGGAGTACCGGAATGGAATAATCAATTGTGCATGAGATCAAAATCGGCTGCGAAGGGGATACTCAATATGCCACATCAAATTGAACGACGGACGTAGGAAAGGCGTCAACCAAATTTGTGTATATAGTTCAATTCGACTTAAAAGCTTGCCCTTTAATAATAATATGCAACACGTGCGCAAAGCCGTCCTTGTATCACCTTGACTGAACCAAAGGCTAGTAGTGTCAACATAAGAGGGTATATTGATGTTAAGCTCGTGTAGATCTGACAATAGTAAGCGGAACTATTAAACTTTTCCAGAACCCAAATCAACGCCTTGCAACGCCGCCCAGATGCATATACAGTCTTGCAGGAGCCTTAGTCCTCCATGGCGTCAACCTCAATGACGGCCTCAGTCTTCTTCGAGTAGTATGCCTTGATGTCGATCTTGAAGTCTGCCATAGCAACGCCGAACATCTTCAACAGCGCAGTCTGGTGACTGTTCATGACCTGACCCTCCTTGCACACTGTGTAGGGCGCATCGAGGGTGACCTTGCCCTGGTCTAACCTGGTCGGCATGCCCCATTTCCTAATGGTAGTCTCAACGCTGTGAGGCAGCGGGACGTCATCGTCTGCTGGCACCTCACCACCTCTCGAGTGCACAACACCGGCCGGGATTGTGAAGGTCTGAGTGGCGGTCACACCAGCGCGCGCAAAGTCGGTCTGCGAGTATGCGGCAAAGTACTCGAGGACATCAGCGGGCTCGCGGTTCGTGAAGAAGAGACCGACGTTGCCAGCGAGGTGCTTGGTGAGCTCGGACAGGTTGGTGAGGTGCTCCTCAGCAGGCGTGATGCCCAGGGCTTTGGCCATGACCTTGGTCTTGCCAAAGAAGAATCTGCGCAAACGTTACTAAAGAACTTTGTGCCTTATGATTCGCGACCTAGATTTACCGGCTGTCAGAAAATTCAGCGCGCACTTCCTTGAGGTACGAGTTGCGCATGTTCTCAACAGAGAAGACAAATATGTGCTCGAAGTTTTCAGCGGCCTCTTGGACATTGGCGAAGAGCTTCTGAGAGAGCTCCTTGCCCTTCTTGTCCGTCTTGGTGAGGTGAACGACCTTGGCACGCTTTGACTTGGGCATTTTGGCGGTGTTGTGGTATTGCGTGAACTTGGTGTTGATGCTCGAAGAAGTTTCGGCAGTCGCATTCGAACTTTTTGTGCAAGCGCGGCGGGGACTAGCGCCCTGCAGCCGCGGCTAAGCTCCACGCTTGTCACTATCGCTCATCCCTCTGTTAAGCAAGCTTCAACTCTCGATTTTCTGCGCGCCCTCAGCATGATTCGCTAGTGACAGCGACATGTTGGATTTCATGGAGAATGTGCAAAATGCATTCTACGATGCTTCGCACTGGAACCTGGACAATTCTTATGGCGCGTTGAACACTACAGCACGAGGTAGGCCGCAGCACCTGTTGCGCATCATGCCTGAGCTCACACACGCAGCACTGCTCGACTTTCAGATACCGCAAGGCCTGCGCCTACAGATCTCGTCTCTTGCCGCGCCGAACTTCGCCACATCTTACACACTGGGAAGTGTAGGCGTGGTAGATGGCTCCGTGTCATACCTGTACTCTTCACTGCCGCTGAGGAAGGAGTTCAAGAGCTCCCACATCGACTTGAAGAATGTCATACGGGGCTACAAGCATGTTCAGGAGCTAAGGCGGCCTGATGAGAATTTGTGGTGGGAGCTCTGGCATGCTGGAAAGCGGGTTGATCGCAAAAGTAAGTTCTCCGCGACATGGGTCGGTACTCCAGGCTGATAAGAGCAGACACACTGCTGTACGGGCGGGTGTTCCTCCCTCAATCGAGACTCGAGGCCCTGTACTTGCGCCGCCTGACACCCACGCGACAGCTCCGGATCGCCGCTGTCAGTGACTCAAACTTGAACAACGGGGGGACCATCCTTGCCTTGCTGCAGAACGATTTGGGCAAATACAGCACCGAGTACATGTACAGCACGGACTCCGCGCTGATGGGCGTGCGAGGTCTCTATAACTTCGGCCCAGATCCAAGGATGGCGCCGACTGAATCGACATCTGTCGATCAGGTGGAACCGGTGCATGGCCGCTTCAGCGCAGGCGCGGAGCTGTACTATGGCTTGTTGAATAAGAGTGGAGGTATCAGCACAGGCTTACGGTTCACGACACTGCCAAACCATCCGGGATTCCCGTACACCATGACGCTAACGCTAAACCCATTGATGGGCAACCTCTCTTCCACCTATGCCGTGAAGGCTGGGTCTAGTCTGGCTCTCTGTTCCCGATTTGACTTCAACTTCTACTCATATGAAAGCGAGCTGCAGCTTGGGTGCGAGTTGTGGCGGCGACGCAACACCGCGGATGTTGACTGGGCGGTAAAGAAGCTGCGCCGAGACTGGAAGCAGCAGACCATCTCTCCCGACGACGACGTCTCTGGTGTGTTGAAAGCTAGGGTCAACCAAGACTGGCACGTCGGAGTGCTTTGGGAAGGCAGGATCAAAGAGCTGCTCTTCACATTGGGTGCCAGTCTGGACCTCAAAAAGAGGGAACAGATCTTCCGATCGGTTGGCCTCGAGCTGCAGTACTCTTCATGACCAAGCCAAACGACGCAAGCCACAATGTAGACGACAGCACAAATCAGTAGTGGAAGCGCGGCATACACCGCTGCTCAATCTGGCGGTCAATCGAAGCTAGGACAGCAGCGATGGCCCTCCTTCTGTAGACCTTCTGGAAACGAGATGCGAGGTCTTTGCACGTCACAGCCCGTTTCCAAAGAGTCGCGTAGCGTAGGTGGATGTTCGGATGGTGCTCGCATTTGTCCGGCCGAACCTGATTTTCATATGGACTTCGATCACGGCATTGACATCCTGGTCCGGACTCGAGCCAGTGGTTGGTATGACTGCATGCTGATTCCGACGGCGTGACACTGAAACATTTGAGGCTGTCGGGATCATGGCTGTCCGTGAAAGTGTCAACACGGGGCTGTTTGAGCAGCCTCTTTGATTGCGATAACGGCGCCGAAACAATCGATTGCAAGCTGGAACATGAAGACACGCGTGCCGGAGAAGGCGTGTCAACGCTACATATGAGCGGCAGAGAATGCTCGAGGGAGCACGCCTCAGAGCTCCGTCTCGTGCCGAGCAACAAGGACGGCCTGGATTGGACAGTGGATTCCGGATGCTTGGGTTCGTGTTGTGTTCGCTTGCAACGCGTCCCGCCATTATTCATGCTGCTGTGAGCCTTGCCGGTGGCAGGGAACTCGTAGTACGCTCAGATTGACAGCTGTAGGGCGACTAGACGCCCACTTCGACTAGCCTGTTTCCCGAACAAAGCCATCAGGGTTAGACAAATTGCAGCTGACTCGACTTGAGTCTTGACGATGGCGAAGCTCACCAACTTGGGTCTTTTTGGAACGAGTGCATCAAATGCGGCACGATCAGTCTGAATCTGACGTTGCACGGGCACGATGCTCAATCAGGATCTTTCTCGCTATCGGCTCTCCCGAGCGATCAGCGACGAGGGGCTGTTGAGAACCTGCGACATGCTCACGATGTCAATGCGGGTCTTTCTGCCGCTGGCTGGCACAGTGCCACACACAGTCGAGAGACCGAACGTTGTGCCGCAGATGCAAGGCCAGACTGGACAGCCAGCCCAGGTCCCGCCGTGCAGCGCAGTTCGCACGATGCGTCGATGACACCACGAGTTCCGCTGCATGCGGTGCCTTAAAAACCACGGTCCTCGACTGCAGAGCCGAGGCGCCTCAACCGTGTGGTGGATCGCGGATTCTGGTACGTACCTGACGCCAGCCAGCATAGCGCCCAGCCAGCTAGTGTCTGCCGCGCTCTTCACGCAATGAAGTGTGTTATGCGGCGTCACTTCAAACAACCATCGTGTGCTGCAGTGACGGCAGCGCTGAGGTCGGCTCCACGGCAGCCGTCAGGCTGTCGGCGAGTTGTTTTGCGACAAGGGTGGCCCAGTGTGAACGACTCCTGAAAGAGACTTGTCCGGCGCGCGCACTCGCAAGCTTCCACTCACTCGCGCTCGCAGTGACCAGGGTGCCCGAGTCCGACACGCCTGGTTTCTCAGCGGAGCAATGCCCCCCTGGCCGTTGCAGGCGGCGGCGGACAGCATGCGCTCAGCCTGTCGAGCGCGGCACACAGCACGCACACAACACTCACCGCTGCAGCTCAACGCGCACCAGACGATAGGTCACAGTAGGGCACAATAAGCGTGGCGAGCCTCGTCCAGCAGCACCCGCCGGAGCGTGCAAGCGTTTCCAGCGTCACCGCCGGCCTTTGGCGCTGGCGTTCCAAACGGCCAGCCGTGGTGCTAAACTTGCAGCCGGTCGCTTAGTGGCAGGCGCCAGTCCGGACGCGGCATGGCGTCTGTTCTCCCCCTACTCATCGTGCTGATACAACCCTTAATTTCCCCCTTCCTCCCCACGACTCTGTCTTAATCCATCGCCTTGTCGGTGTCAGCAACCTCACGTCTGGTGCGATTGCGAACTCTCGTAACATTCCCTTCTCTTGTCGACTTCTGCGAAGTGCCGCCATTCCTTTCGGCCTTTGCCCACGTTCCTTTCCTCTCCACCCCATCCTTAGGCCCTGCCTGTCCGCTCCTTAGCTTTCCCCAGCCCCGTTCCACTCCTTCCCGGCTCAGAATCGCTTTTGGACGATCATCTTTCGACACCTGCTCCCCGGCTAGCAGACTTACTTCCTTGAAGACTCAAATACGCGCCTGGACGGTAGCTTGAGCCTCGACTCCCACGTGAACCCCTTTGCACCCGCGCAATTGGAATCGTCGCACGCCTCGCAACGCTCTTATACCTTCGCATATCCGCTTGCCTAGAACCATTACTCTATACGACACCTCACGAACATTGATACAAAGAAGCGCGTAGCTTGACAGCTCCCTTCTATACCCCCCTGACCCTTTTACACCATCCGCCGATCCCGGTCTGGGTTCCTTCACATCTTCAAAATGCAATCCAGCGACGAAGTCATGGAGTCCTCCACTCCCTCCCCAACCGCCACTGGCGGCGCCGCAACCCCCAACCCCTCCTCCAGCTCGGCCGCACGCCGTCCTCCTCGCAAGAGCACCCTCACCCAGCAACAGAGAAACCAGAAGCGTCAGAGGGCCACCCAGGATCAACTAGTCACCCTAGAGATCGAGTTCAACAAGAACCCTACTCCCACCGCCGTCACCCGCGAGAGGATAGCGAGTGAGATCAATATGACTGAGCGCTCAGTCCAGATTTGGTTCCAGAACAGGTGCGACAGTGCGTTGTCAGATTGACGGAACCATTCCACTAACACGACCACAGGCGAGCCAAGATAAAGAACATTGCTAAAAAGAGTATCGAGAACGGCGACGACTGCAATGACATCCCTGAGTCCATGAGACGCTACCTTGCCCTTCAGGCTATGGAGTCTGGCAAGTCAATTGGCAGCAGCTTCCTTGGCCGTACTGGTGGCATACCGTACGGCAGTGGCATGCTTCTCAACACTGACACCAGTTCCTCCAAAGTTGGTACGTGATAATACTGCATCTGCCTTATAGAGTGGCGCTAATGAGCATCAGTCATCACTCACTTCTCAGTCCGCTCTCTGAGCGTCGGTAGTTGGAGGCGAGTTGGCCAGTCTGCTATGGACTTAGTCATCTTCTACTCACCAGAGAAGTGCTGCATCACATATTACATCAACAACGACTCAGCTGGTTACAAGATCGAGTACCCATTTTCCTACATCAAGAACATCACCCTTGACCACGGAGATATGGCCACAAACGCGGAAGGTGCTTCTCAGCGACCAGGAGGTCTTGTTGTGGAGCTCAACCGCCCACCGAACTTCTTCATGGACTCTTCTGGTTCCGGAGGCTTCTTCCAGTGCGGCGATTTCACCGAGGAACAGCAGGCATCGCAAGTTCTGGTCCACCATCTTGGTGGCCACCCCAAGGTGTTGAGCGGACAATTGGCGAAACTCGTCTCACTGGAAGCGTTTCAGAACCGACATAACATGTACGACCCCCATGCCATTGCGGTTTCGGCACCCGTCTCGCCAATCAACTTCCGTCCTGCCTCACAACCCAACCACCTGGTACATCCCCACAGTGGCATGTTTCATGACTCCCACCTCGCGCCAGGTCCTTTCCCACCGCGCGGGCACAAGCGTCAGCGTTCTCGCTCTGTACCTGTGGCAGTTGACTTCTCGATGCTGCGTAACCCTATGCCGTCGTTCATGATCCAGCCCGAGCCGTCACCGTACATCCCAAACCCAGAGATCTTTGCCCCTGTTCCTCACTCTTCATCAGGGCCCATCGGCCCGCATCTGAGTATTGACACCTCCGCTGGTTATGGCCTGGGCGATTACCGCCAGTACCCCATGTCAGCCACAACAACCAACTCACCGTCGGAGTACGGCACACCATCATTCTACTCGTCTGGACCTCAGAACGATAGCATCCCTGCTTCCAACTTTGGTCAACAGTACAACATCCCGCCGTACGTACACACACCGATGGGCCCACCGCCCCACTCGGCAGCCTTGAACTCGCCAATGCCACCAATGGGTCACCATGACCCTATCATCGCCAACCAGTCGCCGCCCCTGAACTCGTTCGGTCGTGATGGCTCAGCGGATGTATATCCCATGCCTCACGATCAGGGCATGTCAGATGAGACGCTTCACATGACAGACATGTACTCGAAGCAGAACCTCAACCTTCCGTTCCGTTCGCCTATGATGGAAGAGAACGTTGATGACCTAGACATGCAGAATCTAGTGTCATTTGGCTCGCTCGACCATTCGGGCCTGTCGCCTGAACATCACCACCAGATGTAATGACGGCCTGGTCTCTGGATGTTGTCATTTTGCTCGCGCTAATACCCTGTCATCGTTGCCTTTGCGAAAGTGTTGTGTCGTCCAGAGCTCGCTCTTAAAACAGATGCGAGTACGCGCAGTGCCGCTTTGTCGGTCAGCCGTACCTAATATGTGTTTGCTTTCCCTTGCATATTATATTGGCTTAGAGCGCTCGACATATTGCATCCTCTTATTGGATTTCTTCCTCTTCAGTCTCTTGTCGCTATCGACCAGAGGACATTCAACCTACCTCCATTTTTACAGATCCAGTAACGCAACCTGAACGAAAACCATAAACGGTATCGGTTACATACATGGCGTTGCTTGGGTTTGGAAGGATGGGACATACAAGGGCGGACTGGTGGAACCTGCGCCACCACCTCAAAGGGTGGTTGTCGGGTCGCGGTGTTTGAGGGTGCTATGTGGTGGATTCACTGCGGATTTATTGTTCAATGTTGGTGGAGTTCTTTCTTTGCCCTTTTGTTGCAAGCGTTTTCCTTTGTTGCGATTTCAAACCCTTTGCCGGCGGAGGAGGATTTTGAAGATGATGGCCGTTTCGTTTGTGACATCTTCTGGGGGTTGGAAATGGACGCAGCCGCTGGGCGTGCTGAAAGCTTGCTTTCTTCGGTTCTAAATAAATAGTCAAATATCTCTATAGCAGATTTAGCAAAAACATATCATTTCAAACGCACACGACGAGCCACGGCGCCTGAAAGTGATGACGGAGTGAAGATGTTCGTTGCGGGCACGACTATCTTATATCGTGCAGACATTCGGTGGAAATTGAGATTGACCCGCATCCCAAAAGATGGTCTATTGATGGCAATCCCAATAATAATGTGCAATCACCGGATTGCGAGTGAGTCAAGCGAAGGCCATGCAGGTCAGCGATTGGTCTGCGTAGAATTACTCGGGGGTGATAAATTTGGTGTGCATTCCCCCGTTGTGACTCGGCGTGGGACGATGTGGTCTCATCAGAGACGACACGATTCGATGCTCTCTGCTCGCAGATCAGATGCGCTCGTCCTCGTACGAAGGCGGGCCCTGCCAAGTGCGAAGCGCGTGACTTTGTTCAAAAAAGGCAGGTTTTTCGCACAGAGTCCGGACCGCCGGGGGTTCCGCGTACAATCTCAAACGAGGGCATGGTGATACGGCAGTCAGGCACCTGGGTAACGAGGGCTCACGGCGGCAGGCCGTGTCACTGTGATTGTTGTGGAGCGTACACCCAGAGCCGGCGGAGGGTTGCGGAGGGCTGCGGAGGGCTCGAATTTCGACGGCGATGGGCGCTTGGCACCAATTCCCTTTGATAAGCAAATTTGACCGTGCGGTTCTGCGTGTCATGACGTGAATGCCGACATGGTGCATCGACAACGGTGGTGCGGCATCGAGGTTCTGGGCGCGGACGCGATCAGCGAAGCTTCGACTCTTTGAGCCCAAGTCAGGGGCGCTGCGAGTGGCGACGGCGGGCGGGAGCACAATGGGGCTTGCTCATTTCGCGCAACCATCACTTGGTACTGGCAATTTTGCTCCTGAAAAGCGAGAAGCCCCTTTGCAACGGCCACACTGCCTGCTGAGCTTCTGCACGCGACACAGTCCGTCTGCAGCCCACTTGCATCCTCGCCGTCCTGCCAATCCTGCCGGAGTGCGCCGCCAGCACCAGCACCAGCACCAGCCACCAGCACCAGCCACCAGCACCAGCCACCAAGCACAGATCGTGATTGGGGCTTGGCGCGAGGCGAAGTCCGATCTGAGCCTGTGGAGCAGCACAACGGCCCTGCCAGGCACGCAACCACCGTATAGACTGCAGTAGCAACAGCAGCAACAGCAACAGCCTACTGCGCTTTCTGGGGAAGACACCCGCCCTTGCAGTTGCTGCCCATACGTCACCCACACATTTGCAGGGTCAATCACGTAGGTGGACTTTCTTAGCTTCCCGTCGAGATTTGCTAGGGTTGGGGCTCGGAAGTGCGCGGCATGAGGGTGCCGATGCTGCATCGGTGCATGGACACATGGGCGCATCCATAATCTGGCATGCACCGTCTTCTAACGGGCCCCCGACCTCCGCCCTCCGCCCCTCCGCTTCATGTCTTCTTGCGCTTCCCCTCTGCACCTCACCATCGTCCCCACTGCCGCCAATTGCTCGCCCCGAGTCGTGTGCTGATCGTCGCCCGCCAGCAGTCAACCCCCTTTCCCACCGACACGCCCTGCTCGCCGCTCGCCGCCCGACGCAGACGACCCGAGTCCCCAGCCCGCAGTCTTCGCCCGTGAACACGCTGGGACCGCTGCCATGCCGACCAGAGTAATCAATCCGTTCGCGACATCCTCCCCCATCTCTCCCTCGGCCGACGCCCTCAGCGAAAAGCGCGAAGAGCCGCGCCGGGCCTCGTTCACCAAGGGCAACAAGTTCACGAGCCTGTTCGGCGGCAACTCGCCCAAGGCCCGGTCCGAAGCTGCTGCCCTGCGCGAAGCCCTCATTGCCCAGCAGCAGGCGCTCCTGAACTCGCCCTCGCCGCAGCAGATCAACACGGCCTCGATATCCCTGCCGTCCATCAGCCTCACCACAGCCACCGGCGAGAAGATGCCCGCTGAACCCAAGACGCTCTTCCAGCCTCTCTCGCCCGAGGAACAGCGGCGACTGGCCCGGCAACAAGCACAGTTCGGCCCCCTTGGTTCTCAGGCGCATCGCTACACCAGCAAGTTTGAGGGCGAGTTCGGCGATCCCATTGAAGACGAGCCGCCATACTACTTCCTCCTCACGACCTACATCAGCTACCTGATCTTAATAGTATTCGGACATGTGCGTGACTTCTTCGGCAAGCGCTTCAGGAAACAGCACTACAGCCACTTGCAGGAGAAGGACGGCTATGCGCCGCTCAACAGCGATTTTGATAATTTCTATACTCGCAGGCTGAAGATGAGGATCAACGACTGCTTCTCACGGCCCACCACTGGTGTCCCCGGCCGCTTCATCACTCTGCTCGACCGCAAGTCGGACGACGGGAACAACACCTTCACCATGACAGGCACCACAACCGAGACACTTAACCTCAGCTCCTACAACTACCTCGGATTTGCTCAGTCTGAAGGTCCTTGCGCTGACGCAGCCGAGGCTGCCATCAGGAAGCACGGCATCACAATGGCCAGCCCACGCGCTGACGCAGGCACGTCTGAGCTTACAGTCGAGGTTGAGGACCTGATTGCCAAGTTCGTCGGCAAGCCGGCGTCAATGGTCTTCTCCATGGGTTTCGTCACAAACGCCACCACTTTCCCCACAATCGTCGGCAAGGGCTGCCTCATGATCTCGGACGAATTGAACCACTCCTCGATTCGATTCGGCGCCCGTCTCTCTGGCGCCATGGTCACCATGTTCAAGCACAACGATATGCGCGATCTCGAGCGTAAGCTGCGCGAGGCCATCTCGCAAGGCCAGCCCCGCACACACCGTCCGTGGAAGAAGATCTTGGTCGCAGTCGAGGGCCTCTACTCAATGGAAGGCACCATGTGCAACCTGCCCGGCATCATCGAGCTGAAGAAGAAGTACAAGTTCTTCCTCTTTGTCGACGAGGCTCACTCTGTCGGCGGCGTAGGCCCCCGCGGACGCGGTGTCTGCGACTACTTCGGCATTGCACCCAGCGAAGTTGACCTTCTCATGGGCACACTCACCAAGTCCTTCGGCGCAAATGGCGGCTACCTCGCAGCCGACAAGGCCATCATCGACAAGCTCCGTACCACCAATGCCGCCATGCTGTACGCCGAGTCCCCCACGCCCCCAGTCCTTGTCCAGATTGCTTCCGCCCTCCGCATCATCAACGGCGAGATCATCCCCGGTCAGGGTGAAGAGCGCCTGCAGCGTCTCAGCTTCAACTCGCGCTATCTCCGCCTCGGCTTGAAGCGCCTCGGCTTCATCGTCTACGGCCACGACGACTCGCCCATCATCCCCATTATGCTGTACAACCCGGCCAAGATGCCCGCCTTCTCGCACGAAATGCTCAAGCGCAAAATCTCCGTCGTCGTCGTCGGATACCCCGCCACCCCGCTCGTGTCGTCGCGCGCCCGCTTCTGCGTCAGCGCGGCCCACACCAAGGAGGACCTCGACCGCATGCTCAGCGCGTGCGACGAGGTGGGCGACATCCTGCAGCTCAAGTTCAGCTCGGGCGTCGCGGGCGGCGCGCTGCCGGAGGAGCTGGTGGAGAAGACGGGCACGCTGGGCGAGCCCAAGGAGCCGGCGCCGCCGCGGTGGAGAGTCCAGGACGTGCTCAAACGCGGCGTCGAGGACGTGCAGCGGCCCCTCAACTAAACCCCGTTTCTGTCCGCCGTCCTTGGCACGTCGAAGCTTCAGCTTTGCATTTTTCTTTTACCGCTTTGAGCATTTCTGGCGCCTCAGTGGCATTATCTTTTCTTTGAGAGGGACGCGGTTCCTGTACGATACTCATCTTCATACCCTCGCTGTACTACTTTACCTTCTTCTTTGGCCGCGTACCGAGCGTCCACAACTTCCCGTTTTCTCATTCCCTTTTCAAGATACGTCGCTATGCGGCGCCTTGCTTGGTGGTTGCTTGGTACAGCGACGCGGTAATAGTAATATGGGTGGCGCGGTTGTATATAGTCACGACCTCTTACGACGCGGGTCCTGCGGCGCACGAATGAAGACGTTCTAAAGATTGTGTTGGGCGGTGTGTGTGTGTGTGTTATATATGTGTGTATGTGTGTGTATGTGTGTGTTTTCAAGAGCGCTGAGATTGGAGTCTTCTGTACGAGCGTTGGTGTGATGAGATTCTTGGCGTCGTAGTCGCTGTGTACAGGCACAATTACAAACGCAAGGCTGTCGGCGTCCAACCACCACCCCCTTCTCACATTGCCCCCTCATTCCCTCCCAGCATCCAAAACCCCCTCTCATCATCCCCCCTCATCCCCTCCCAGCATCCACCGTGTTCCGCCGCGACACGACGCGCGGATCGCGCTTCCCCAGCGTCACCTCCAGGGCCTGCACCAGCGCTCTCTCATCGTACCTGACCACGCCGTCGTCGGCGTCCCGCCGCCCGTAGACGCGAATCGCCTCGATGCCCAGCGCGCGCAGGGCACCCGCATCCACGGCGGGCGTCCCCGGGCCCGCGAGGTGGATGACGTGGGTGACGAAGTCGCGGTAGCGGTCTCGCGGGGCCTCGGGCGGAAACGCGTTCTGGCTGTTCAGCGCAGCCTTTGCGATTGCGGCAACAAAGTCCAGCGCCGTGTAGGGCGCGGACGAGGGCCCTGTTTCGCGGTCGAGCGTCGAGTTGAGTATCAGGATCTTGACGCGTATCGAGGGCTGCGAGAGCGCGGCGCCGATCCCTTTTAGCACCAGCGAGGGCACGATGGATGTATACAGCGACCCGATGCTGTATATGACTGCTTGCGCCGAGGACAGCGCGCCCAGCACGGCGGGGTTCGCGGCGAGGCGGATTTCCTGGCCGTACGGGTTGATGTACCACAGCCGCTCGATGCGGGCGGGGAGCTCTTCCTCGGCGGCTTTGGAGAAGGCGATGTACTGTTTTCGCAGCGTGGGGAGCGAGCCGGGCAGGTTAGCGTCTTCGATAAGGTCGTGTTCTTCCACTTCGTCGCGGGTTGGGGGGAAGAGGGCGTCTAGGGCTGTGGACTGGGAGGGATGGGAGATTGAGTTTTGGCCGCTGATGGTGGTGCCGTCTGCGAGGCCGACGGAGATGTGGTGCGAGAAGTTTGTGTTTATGGCAGGGAGTACTGAGGTGTGCGAGGGTACGGAGCAGATGCTGGAGAGGAGGTAGATGGCGGATTCGAAGGAGCCGGTGAAGAGGCGGGCGCTGTCGACGTCAGCATCTGTTCTGACGTTGATGGCCGAGGGATTCGTGGTGATGCATTGTTTACCCAGTTAGGAACAGATTTCCGATACTCGCACCTGAGAAGTCAAAAGTGGAAGACGGCCTGAGGCGTTTGATGATCTCGAATGCTACGTGGTTGAGCATCGAACGTATCAGCTCCTTCTTCGCCGTGGAGATGTTGGTCCAGATTGGATGCTGAGCTTCTACGATCTGAAGCCATTCTTGCTTTGCTGAGACGTGCTCTTTTGGCAATCGGTGATTGAAGAAAGCTTTGATGGCGGCTTTCTCGCTTTCGTCGTTGTCCGGATCATCTGGAATCAGACGCACGAGACGACCTGCTGAGGTGAGTATCACGCCCTTTGTCTGTTGCAGGGGCACACGTACTCCGTACATCACCAATACCTGTCTTCTATCAGTAAGCTGTACAACTTGACGTGGTCTTCACTAACCAGGGCCTCCGAAGACGCGTATAAGCTCAGAGGAGCTCCCGCCGTTGTCACTGATAGGGATCACGTAGCTCAAGGGACACGTCTTGTCTTCTCGCACGGTGTTGAAGACATCGACCAGATTGTTTGCAGCACTTCCTCCAGAAAATACGACAATGCCTTTGGCTCTCAGGGGGCCGTTGGTCGTTGGGGTCGATGTGCTGCTGCTGCTGCTGTTTAGGGCAAGGAAGAAGTCAGGTGCGGAGGCCATGCTGAGGCAGAGGGGTTCGGCAGAGAGTGAGTGACCTTGAAGGCCGTCGCTGGTTTATATCAGATCATTTCCGTAGGGATAGAGTGTTATGTTGAGCATTCACGAAGTACCAAGTTCACATGTCGTGTGGCTAGGGCAAGAGTCATGCGCACTAAGCACTCCCTTGGACTCTGGACTCTTGGAGCAGCAGCAGCAGCAGCAGCCACAACTTGCTGGATTAGGCAATATCTCGCACTTTGAGGCTGAAGCTGTACAGCCATGCTTTCGGTTTGAACAGGTATTTTTGTATTCTTTGTTTCGAGGATTTTGTACAGAGCGAGTCCCCAGCTCGAACGCACGATAAGAGTACAAAAGTAACGCCCTCTCTCCTGCCGTACGTGTAGACGTGCCCCAGCGTGCCATTGAGTCTGGCGAACGAATGCTGCAGATTCGAGCTCAGTCGCACGCTTCGTGTCTCATCACATGCAGCACAGGACAGCCAATGGCCTGCCTCCTGTCTCTGATTACCCTCTCGCACAGCATCCACGGCGCGGGTGCAGACGTGCATCCTGTCTAGGGTGCATCTTGTCTAGGAGTGCTCGGCCTCCTCGCGCTCCTTCCTCCTTGCGCGCTTCTCGAGCAATGTGTCGCGGCGGCTAGCCAGGTACTTGTATTGGCGGTGCTCGACGCCCATCAGCCAGTAGCCGAAGCTGCCGCCAATGCCGGCATAGACGGGGTAGACCCAGAGCGACTCGCGGTTGAACAGCGGGCGCATCTCAATGCCGAGCTGCCATAGTCGTGCGGCGATGCCTGCGAGGGGAGGCGGTGGTTAGCAGGCCGCAGGCGGACGGCGGATGTGGAAGCCTACCGAGACCGCTCCAGAACAGGACCTTGTGGACCATTGTGAGTGCGAGTGCGAGTGCGTGCGCGGGTCGGTTCGGGTGCTGCGATTGCAGGAGTAGCGGGTAGGACGGCGGTGTTGTGGTCGCGACGCTCCTCACGGTCGCTCTGGGTGGAGTCTCTCGCGCGGGAGCTCAGATGGACTTTGCCAAGGCTGACTAACGCTCCACCCGCGCAAGGGACCATCAGCGACGTGATTGCGCGCCAAGGCCATCTTCGACGACTTCCTCCCCCGGAGAGCCACAGAGCAATCTCCACGCACTCACTCGCAGCCATGCGACCCAACACACTCGCTTGCACATGACCGCCGCCTCCTTCACCAGTCCAGCACCTGGCGGCCACTTTTAGCACGAGCATCCACGCACCTCGGCTCCCTGCGCCCTGCCTGCGCCCTGCCCACTCGCCATGGCAGATGTCGGCCGCAAACGCACGCTGGACGGCGACGGGCCTGCCGCACTCCGCAAGAAGCTGCGTCCGTCAGAGCTGCCGCTGTCGCAGGCACAGCGCACTGCCATCGACAACCTCGCGCACACCTTTCGCAAGAAGGGACACTATGACAGCATCCGTAAGGACCTGTTGGCGCAGTTCGAGGCCAGCGTACGTCGACGTGTATCAATAGTGCTGCTCGCTCTCAGGCTAATTGCTATTCGCAGCCTGCCAAAGCCGACCTGCTCGCGGCCCTGGAGGAGCTCGTCGACCGCGAGACCGACCGCAACCCGTCGCTCCTGTCCAAGGACCCCAGAGTCGCTGCCACGCTGATCGAAGGCGCCGGCGAGCGCAGCGATATCTACGGCAAGATCACGCACACCGTCAACACCCTGCTCGCCAAGTTGATCGAGGAGCAAGGCCTGCCCAGGATGCGCGAGCACCGCATACAGGAAGTCGGCGCTGGAGTCGCTGCCGAAGAGGAGAAGCGCGGAAGCAAGACGGAGGAGCAGTGGCAGCACGAGGCCGACGCTCGTCGAGCAGAAAGGGAAGCCAAGCTCGAGCAGGAACGTGACAAGGAGCGCGAGCGCGAGCGCGCAGAGAAGGCGAAGAGAGAGGAGCGGAAACGCCGGCAGAAGGAGGAGGAGGAGGCACGCGAGAAGAAGCGCCAGGAAGAGAAAGAGCAAAGGCGCAAGGCACGCGAGGCCCAGCAGAAAGAAGACGAAGACCGTCGGCGGAAGAAGAGGGAGCGCGCAGAGAAGGAGGAGGAAGAAGAGCGTGCGCGCATCAAGAAGGAGCGGGAAGAGCACGAGGCCACGCGTGAGGCTCGTCTCAAGAAGATCCGCGAAGAGGACCGCGAGCGCGAGAAGCGCATCGAGGCCGAGCTGGCTCAGAGTCGCCCTGGACGCAGCCGCGGAGGTCGCGCACGCAGCAGGACGCGGAGTCGCAGTCGAGACCGGGACCGCGGTCGAGACAGAGACAGAGACCGTGAACGGGATCGCGACCGAGACAGGCGCAGAAGCCGGAGCCGCACGAGGTCACGCGAGCGCACACGACCGGTCAGGCCCGAGGACATCAAAGTGGATGATGATCTTGCGCTGCAACTGCTGCTACAAGAAAGCGAGGAGATGAAGAAGTCAAGACAACGCCCTACTCTCGAAAGGTCCGAGTCCCTCGAGCCGCCAATCAAGAAAGCACAGCCCCCAGGTACACTCAAGCCCCGAGACCCAGCCGCAGCGAGACTGGCAAGACTCGACAGCAAGCCGCTTTCTCCAGCTGCCAAGTCTTCAAGTAAAGAACCGCCCACGCCCACAACGCCCCCGCCTGCCAGTAAGGATGAAGACACACCAATGGAAGATGCACCGCCAGTTGACGACACCAAGTCACGATGGGACCGGCCTCCGCCTCTGAAGCCTGACAGAACACGCGGTGGATCGCGCTCACACAGTGTCGCTCAGAGCACCAGTGCGCGGAAACACAGCAAATCTCGATCGAGATCCCGCGGTAGCCGCCATGATAGGCGCGGTTCTTTCGTCGAAGGTGACCGCCGTTCTCGCCGCGATGATGACAGACGTTCACAGAGGCCACGTGACGACAGTAGACAACGAGACCGTGACAACAGCAGACAACGAGACCGTGACAACAGCAGACAACGAGACCGCGACGACCGACGCCGAAGCCGCTCTAGAGACACTCACACCAGCCGTCGCAAGTCTCGAGTATCACGCAGCCCCGAGCGACGGAATGATCGTGACCGCGACCGCAAAATTTCTCGTTCACGATCCCGCGACGCCCGCCGAAGCCGCCGCCGCCACCACTCACGTTCAAGAAGCCCTGAAACCATCGATCGATACGTTCCCCGCAGCGAACGGCGCGATGATCGCGACCGCAAGCGTCCGGACAGTCGAGATCGTAAAAGGGACGACAGCCGAGACCGCAAGCGCAGCGATAGCCGTGACCGTAAACGGGATGACAGTCGGCGCCGGCGCGACGACAGCCGTGATCGTCCGCGCACCTACAGATCCCGAGAGTACGATCGCTGGGACGCACGAGACGGGAGCGTGCGTGAGAGTCGAGATTCTAGGAACACTCGTGACGCAGAGCGAGGGAGCCGATTCCAGGACTCTGACCGCTATGTACCAGGCGGTGGCGACGATAAAGAAGTTGATCCTGACGAGAGACGCGATAGCAAGAAGCGGGACAGGGAGAGAAGCAGGAGCAGAGACAAGGACAGAGACCGGGATGATCGTGACCGAGATGACCGCCGCGGCAAGGATGATCGCGACACAGACACGAGACGGCGTCGTAGCAGGTCGAGGAGTCGAGATCGTGGCGGTCGAAGACGTCGTTAGCAGGGCCTTACAGACCGATGCGTACAATGTAGGCCAAAGCTTGTATTATCACCTACCAAGATTCCCTCCATGTGGAGCTGGGATCACTCTATCAGATTTGAAGCTTGTATTACTACAGAGGTGCACGCTTGGAATTGAAGGCACCACATACGCCCTGCACGATGATGAAGAACAAACTACGAATCATGAACACTACGTGACGATAACCTGGCCAAGGCCAGGCAATAGCTGACACAAACCTCGGCATATCTTTGGGAGTGATCCTGCAATGCACGTTCATGAAGTTATGCGAATAAACAAGAGTCATCACTCGCGCAACTTTGTGAACGGTCTAATAGGTCTTGGTTCTGACAGCCTTGATATACATGCAACTCGTTGGCAAGTACCCGAGGCGCAGTCTCAGCCATACATCCACCCTCTTCCGTTGAGCTCGAGACACGCATGACGTCGCAAGTCACGGCAAGAGCCACAGAGGCTGTGCGCACCGCCTGGAAACCGACAGAATCGGCACCCAAGCCTCACCAGACACCTCATCTTCTTCGATGATCGCTTCCAGAACGCTGGCGAGCCCAATACGAGGTGGTTGATGGCGCGCACTCATTGGTCAGCTTGGTCTGCGCAAGCGCCGGATCCACATCAACGACCAGCCTGTCACACATCAGAAACTGACCTCTGGATATCAATTGGTCGCGCCTGCGCCTCACTGCACGACTAAAAGCAGAGTCATTGTACGGCGGGAGCTCCTCGAATCTCTGCTCGTGGAAGTGCTAAGATGCCCGATGGATCACGGCAGAGAGCCAACCGGAGCGGAAGGCGGCTCAAATGCAGCACGTTGGATGGTGCCCTGGCCCTTTCTTGTGCTCATGCATAGCTTATGCGGGTTTGATGTGGCAGATATTAGCTCTTGCGGCCCTCTTGATGTTGGACGTCTACATCCCAGCTGTTCGTTGTTCAGCCTCGTTCTCACGACAACCTTTGAAGCGTGGCGAAAGTGTCACTTTGCTGATCAGCTATTGACCTCCCACGCATACGGATCGACTGCTCGTCAGATAGGAACTTCTATTTTGGCTGCTTGTAGTCTAAGCCGAGGTGGCCGTACCTCTTGTCTGGTACATCATGGACCCTCGATTCAACACATACCCGCAACGACAGGCGCAGCAACCTCAGCCTCAGGTGACACAGCGCCAGCATCAGCGATTCTCATGGCAGGCTCCTGTCGAGGAAACAACACAACCTGCGCAGAGGTTGCCGCAGTATCAAGAAGTACAACTTCAGCCGCAGTATCAAGAAGTACAACGTCAGCCGCAGTATCAGGAAGCTCAACGTCAGCCGCAGCAGCCGGTCGTCAACACCAACGTCACCTTACAACATCACAGGGGCTTCTCATACGCTCCGACTCCAATCGAATACAATGGATCAGCATACTACACATCATCGAATGACCCGACGGTTCCGTCGTCTCCGGTCTTCACACCCATCGATGATCGACCACAGTCCACGTTTAACATGCTGAACACGCCAACACGACGCCAATCACAGCAGGCTTACGGAACCTCGTCTCACCCCCGTGATGAAGAAGCTCTTCTATCACCGTCATCGCCAGAGGCGCAGACCCTGCCATTTATGCTAGTCGAGTCTGTGGTCGGCGGCCAGGACGACCCAGCCCAGCCCGCGCAGCAGCCAGAACCAGCACCACCCGCACAATCGCCGACTCAACAAAGCCGGCACGCGCGCCAAATGAGCAACCTCTCCCCCATCAATACAAACCTCACACAACCAAGCATGCCCACAATCCCACAGAGCCCACGCTCCGGACGCGAGCAGCACTCCCCCGGCGCGCTCCCCTCCAAAACCCCAATCTCCCCCATCTCCGCCGCCCCCATCCGCAAAGACACGCCAAACGCCTCCTACACCTCGCACACCCGGCACGCAACCCATGCGCTCCCCACCGACGAAGCACCCTACTCCCCACACGATTTCCCCTCCCACAGCGTCTCAACACCGCACGCCGTCTTCTCGCCCGCCGCACTCAGCGGGCCCAACGGCCTGGACTTCTCCCTACACCAGCCGGGCCAGATCCGGCATCCCAACATGGATCTGGACGCGAGCAAGGACTGGAAGCACGGCTTGTGCAGCTGCACACCCGACGTGACGTTGTGCCTGACGGGCCTGTTCTGCCCGTGCGTGCTCTCGGGCCGTACGGCGTACCGGCTGGGGCAGAAGAGTCGCAAGGCAGACGCGACAGATTTGCTGGGCCACGGGGCGACGAATGCGCACTGTGTTGCCGTGGCACTTGCGTGCGGCGTCGGGCTGGGCTGGGTGCTCCCGATGCTGCAGCGCACGCGGGTGCGGCATTTGTATAAGCTGGACGGAAGCTGTGGTGAGGATTGCGTCAAGGCGTGTTGTTGCTGTTGCTGTGTTGCGGTGCAGAATGAGCGCGAGGTTAGGGGGAGGGAGGAGATGAGTAACCGCTGGGCGGGACCGGCGGGGAGGGATGGATATCAGCGGAGTGGGGGGATGGAGTATCGGCCACAGCACTGAGGGGGTAGGTGGGAAGCGGGTGGTCAAGCGATGGGTGTGTGTGTGTAGGTCCCGTTGCCAGATGAGTGGAGTGTAGGGCCGTTCAGCTTGCTGTTTAGATAGTCTCGATGATACCCTCCGCACTTTTCTTTCTGTATGTACAATCTAGTTCTTTCCAGCGGTCCAAATGCCACGGTCTTTGTGCCTTACGACAGTCCGAAACAAAGGTCGCAGCGACCCGAAGTTAGCACGGAGTTTGTGCCAGTAACGAACATGTAAAGCCTCAAGACGCATCCCAGTGTACCCCATCACGCATGTCTGCGAGCGCGCCTTCCGCCATCAGAGAACCCCCAATCCAATCCTCACCCTCATCAATCCGCCACGAAAAGCAGACCACATGCCTCACCGCATCTTCCGGCGTTTTCAGAACACAAGAAGCAAAGTCCTCAGTGCGGGTCCCGCTCGGCCACATCGGTATCAAAGGGTCGAGAAAACACTGAGTGCCGAGCTATACCCTTCGAAGTCGATGCTATGTCTCTGCATAAGCATCGAGCTGCTTGATCGTCTTTGTCGGGTTCGTCGCGGCTTGCAGGGGTGAAGTCGCCTTCGAGAGGAAAGGGTTGGGACTTTAGCACATGGTCCCAGATATCTGGACATTGCGGGGTCTTCCAGCCTTTTGGGAGAACAGAGCGGAAGTGTCGAGGTGAGCGTGGCTTGGCTTCTGATGCTGCGTCTAGTGCCGCACACGGTACTCGGAATTGATTGAAGCAACTTGGGCATGATCGCCTGCGAGCTTGGTGCCGTGATCGTCGAGGGCCAGCTAAGAGGCCAGTCAGATCCCTCATCATCAGAATCATGTCAAACTCATGTCAATTCGAGGATCGAGGCTACCTGCCTCGGACCGGATGGCAGAGAAAGTACGACGGGACGCCGTCTTCCATCCCGAAGTCAATAGGCAATTCAAACGCCTCGCGCAAGACATCTGCGAAACCCCTCAGGGTGTAGTTACCAAAGTCCATGTTTTCAACCAGGGTGTCGTTACCGAAATCCATGTCTTTAAAGCCAAGGCGCTGCTGCTGTCGCCTCTCAAAGAGCTGGAAAAATAATGTTGATACTGATTGTGAATAGTCGACGGTGATGGGATAGGCCCTGAGTTCGTCTTCGGGAAATAGTCCCATCAATCCAAATACACAATCACGGACGTCCGCACACTGTGAAGATTTGAAGGCTCCAATGAGTCTAGAGCCCTTGGACCAATGGTGGTCTTGCGTGCCACGCAGGTAACGAATGATGATTACGTGCCACGCTGGGACGGAGAAATGAGCATCATGAACATCAAGGGCAGTCAGTATGACTGAGGAGTCTTCCAAGCGCTGAAAAATGGCGTCAACGTTGAGACTGCCTCTGCCCGACTTGATCTCGAGCCTCGAATTGAGCACGAATTCCTGGACAATCCACAAGCGAGTCCAGTATTGGCTTCGAGAGATACGTTCAAGGCAGCCTCTGAGAAGTGCACGGGCTACTGTTTCTGGCGCTTCCTCGTTGAAGTCAGGTTCAGGCTAAAGCTCTGCAGTGGCATCGTCCAAAGCTTTCGGTAGGTGATTCAGAGCGTCATCATAACCGAGGCCGAGCCATGCTATGACCAGCTCTGCACGACGGTAGATCTGACCCATGATGCCTACTTGGTGGTTGCATTCCTTCACAAAACACTGATCGATGCAGAGCGCGTCGATCCAGAGGTAGCCCTAGAACCTAGCTCTTTGAGATTCGGCTAAGAAGCTCCACAAGTTCGAGCGGATGGGCACGGTCACACCATCAAGATAGATGTGCTCAATGTTCTCTTCAGAACCCCACACGTAAGAGAGTGCTGTGTATTTCGGAGCATCTTTGAGGAATACCACGTGGAGCTTGCAAGAGATCGGTGGGTTAGTCTCGCTCGGATGGTGGTCGTGCAGAAGCTCGATTACTCGTATATTTGTGTTGTCGTCGTGTACTAGTGGATGTGCATCGTATGCTGTAGCCATTGCGACTTTCATGCGGTCAGATTCCGCCTGGAAAATTGCAGGCGGCACTGAAGACAGCTATATTGATGCCGCCTGTGGTTGATTCTGAGATGACTCGAGTTATCTTCTCAGTGTGAATTTGCGGTCCTCGTTCGAGGTATGGCGGAGATGAAGTGATGGGGAGCAGACAAGGCTGAGGGTGTGTTGGCTGCCTAGCCAAGCCACAGCTATCAGGACCGGGCTACGACCCACTCGGCCAAGCAACCTCGCAAAAGGTATCAATGCTCGCTCAGATAGTGAGCCTGTGGCCGGAACAGTACATATCGTCATCCCACCTCAGGTCAGAGGTGGCCTGTGGCCACATGCCCGAGGGGCCTGACAACAGCTAGAAATAGCTAGTGCCTTTCTTTGGGTTGCACTTTTAGGAGTTCTAGGAGCGACTAACTTGCATATAACGAGTGGAGCAAGCGCGAATTACATAACTGGGCAGGATCCCATCCAGGCAGCCAAGACAGCCTGGCCGTAATACACCCACACGCTCTCAGCGGAGTGCAGTGATTTGAGAAGACGAAAAGTTGGTGGTCAAAAGGAAGAGCACAGTGGTTTAGGCGGCCCGACGTTGTCACGGGGGACTTGCGCTGATATCTCGCTGTCGATGTTCCATCCTCTCTTGCTCCTTGTCCCGTCGCTGCAGTAGAGATACACCCCAGATGCGCAGACATCGAGTTCCACTGTACCTATGAGATCTCGTATAGAAATGGGCCAGCCAGAAAGCATGCTTGCTCGAAGTGACCAAGCTAGTCCTCGTTCCCTTGACAAAACTATTAGCAACAGCTTTCAGATGAACGAGTAAAGCAAAGAAATCCAACAACTGGGTTTAGACATTCATACTCAATCGGTGAACAACAGGAACCGAGCTAGGTGGCAAACCGCCGTACTCGGTAATGACCATGTCAATGTATTTGGCTGGCGTAACGTCGTACAGAACCTGAAGATGATGCAGATTCTTCGCCTCAGCAATCCACTTCAGCACGTCAGATGTGTCTGGCTTCTCTTCTTCGCCGGCGGCAGCTTTGTCGTCGTTCTTGCTGGCGTTCCTGCTGCTGGGCAACATGGACTTGAGGGGCAGCAAGTCGCGGCGCTCGGCTTCGGACAGTAGCTCCTCGGCCGGCGCGACTTCGTTGCCGACGATTGAGTCAAGTGCGACCTTTTCCGTGAACTTAACAGACTGACAAAGAACGATAACAGGAAGCGAATGTGCGCTCGCGAGCATCGATACGCTGGCTGTGCCGACGCGGGAGTACAGGCGACCATTAGACATCATGGCGTGTGCGCCCAAGAACACCTTCGTTGCGTCCTTGATGGCATGTGACGCTCCAGTGATGAGATAGTAGCGTACTTTGACGCCAGCGTTCGCCAGCTTCCGGGCCAATTGCTTGCCCTCAAAGAGTGGCTTTGAATCGACGACGATGACGGAGAATGGTGTGCCAGCCTCGTGAGCACGCAGAATGGCCTGCTCTACGATAGAGCTGGAAGCGTACGTGAGGATGACATCCCCAGGTTCGATCTTTGTTGCGGCAAGGTCGCGGATGAGTCTATCAGCTGCTGTGACGCGCTCACGAATGAAGATGTCAATCTCCTCCAACAAATCACGCTTTGCTTCTGCCTCAGGGGTCGAAGGATCGATCTTGATGATGATATCCTTCAGCCATCGAATAGCATTCCCCATACTGATGCTAAGCGGTCTGCAGCTTCTGAGATACTCGATCTGAGGACTCAGGTGGTGGTTCGTAAGATGCCGTGCCAGACTGGTGCCCGGGGGTGTTTGATATGACTCGATCACAGCTTTGAAAGACAGAAGCATCGCCACCATGCGGGCAGTACTACCGCAGATCACGTAGCTGCTATACTGCAATCCCAGAGACAGGACTGCCGGATGAACATCCTTCCCTGCTCCGTTCATCGACTGTTGCTTCGGTTGACTGTACAGATGCCCAAAGAACAACCCAACACCAGCCTGCCTCGACTCCTTCTTGCTCTTCTTCTCGGGTTCCTTTTGGATTGGGACATGGGACTGAGAAGGCCGTCTCCTAATAGGCATAGGCCTAGCTTGCTCGTTCTTTGCGCCCTGTTTGGGCTCCTTCGATTGTTTCTGACCATCCTTGGGCGCTCCTGGCTCATTTGGCGGTCCCCCTGGACCTTTTTGCTGCGCTCTCCGCGCTTGTTTCTCGGCTTGCTTTTGCTTCTTCAAGTCTGCTGGTGAAAGCTTTTTTGGTGCTTCCTCGGCTGGCTTTGTGGTCTTGGCATCTCCGTTTGTTGTGGCAGCCGGCGCATCCTGAGGCTGTGAAGATGGTGCAGCAGGAACAGGCGCTGCTTGTGTTGTTTGATCAGACATGGTTGGGTTGACCGGGAACTCGGCTGGCATCTCCAAACGTGGCGCGTCGACAAGGTACACTTTGCACGCTGTAGTGGGGTACGTTCAGAATTCCTGGACGTTGAAGCTCCGTGCAGAAATTTGTTATATCCAGGCGATATCTGTAGCCAAGTCGAGTTTGGTGTGAGTAGTATTATGTCCGTCGTCACCACTGGGCTGGCGTCGCGGAATTTTGATAGGAAGTCGTGAAGGCCATTGACTCAAAAGTCGTGTTAACTAGGCCGGAACGGTGATGGCGCGCTTGGCAGGTGCGACCCACTCCTGCCTGGCCACTGCCCGCAACGTCATCTGGCAGCTGCGACTGACAGGGTCCAGACACAAGGCTGCAGCGTTCGTACACATGTCTTACTGTAGATTGCAAATGATGATCTGAACCCCCCTTTGACTCTTACACTCTGTATTGATTTGATTGATTCTCACTATGGCTGACAGGGCCACATCCATAACAGATCTGCCGCTTGACATTCTTGTTCTCGTATTCCCGTACCTGGACGCGAAGAGCTTCCTGTCACTCTGCAGCACATGCAAGGCTTTCCAGCAACCCTCCATTCGACTTGATCCCGCGTACTGGAGCTTCGCCACACGCAGTGTCTTCCGTGTACCGAACCAGCCAGTTGTTCAGCATGACGGCGTGCGATGGCAGAAGCTATATCGACGCATGCTAACTCAGAGCCACGTCTTTACATGGGGCAGCAACGTTCATAGCCGTCTGGGCCATGGCTATAGCGAGGTAATGCCTCGAGGTCCTATGCTTCTGCCCCGACGACCTGGGCCAATGAGGGGGAGAGGCAGGATCAGTTGCGCGTTTCCAACTGAGATGGAGGATACTCGACAGCTGGGCATCATAGCGGACATGCAGTGCGGGTAAGTGATGGAGTTTGTGAGACAGATGTTTGCGGAGTAAGTTAACAATACACAGCGGTTGGTCAACAACACTCCTCACCGCGAACGGTACCCTTCACACCGCCGGCGTACTCGACGGTCAAGTCACTCTGGCTTCTCATGATCGAATAGCTCCTCTTAAGTTCCCTGCAGGGTTCCCCTCTTCAGCCTCTGGGTCTCAGTACCACGAGCCTTCGACTGCGATCCGCCAATTCTCTGCGGGCAGATCACACATACTTGGGCTTTCAGATAATGGAAAGATTTGGTCATGGTACCACGCAAAGAAGGCCGCACTGCAAGTCAAATTCGCTCATGTCGACTTGCGCGAACAAGCTAGTGAAAGTTCAGCGGTCAAGCAGCCTTCAGCATTTGGACACGTACAGCAGGTTATCGCAGGTTGGAGTCGTAGCTCTGCTTATGTCCAAGGTGTAGGCATTGTGGTCTGGGACGTTGTGGAACGAGGACCTAACGATGGCGATACCGACACCATGCTTGTACTTGAGAATGCCGAAGTACCTAAGACAAGCTACCGACGTCCGAAGGGAAAAGAGCGAGAGAGTGAGGACCAGAGGGCTCTTGGTCAAGAAGTTGGGGAGGTGCTCAACTACATCATCCTGGAGCACTTTGCTGTCTTTGCTACTGACACCGGCAAAGTGTTCTGTGGACTCTTCGGCGATAAGAATATAGTCGACGACGTTCTCGAGCTGAGCGATCTGCGAAGCGCAAAAGGGTCGTCTGTCGACGTTCAAGGCTCTTTCCGTCGCTTTGCAGTCTTCAAGAACGGGGAAGTCATCACTGCCGACCAAGAGTATCTGCATCGATGCTGGGACGCTCGAGGCACAAGCTCCACATTTGGAGGCCTTCAAAGGATCCCGGCGTTGCAAAACAACGATGTCATCTCCGTAGCCTTTGGAGATTACCACTACCTCGCGCTTCACTCAAACGGCAAGATTACTTCGTACGGGACCGAACTACAGGCATGTGGCGCCCTCGGCCTCGGAGAAGAAGGACCACAAGGACAGGCGCGAGGCGTGACGTACGACCGCTTCAACCGCAATGGGCGTATATTACCACACGCGTACACGTACGGCCGACAAGTATGGTTCGACCCGAGAAAGAAGGCCTGGATCGAACAAGTCATCCACAGCTCGCCCAACGAGGATACAGAGGCACGGCAGCGTGAGCAGCTGTTCAGCGAAGACCCAGTCGTGCAGGGAGAAGTCAGCGAATGGATCGAGCAGGAAGCGCGCGAATGGGACAAGGATGCGGGTGAGGACGGTCTCGGTGCGTACTTTTCCCTCAGGGTAAGCGCGGCGGGTTGGCACTCTGGTGCTCTGGTGCTGGTCAACGAGGATCTGGCGAAGAAGGAGCCATCGTATTCATACGAGGGCAAGATATTTCCACGGCTGCGGCTGAGCAACGGCACTGAGATGCCTGGATCTGGAGAGTTGGATGCGTGGAGACAAGGACAGCCGCAGTGGCAGCTCGATGCTGTGGCATGAGGAGAATGTGGTCTTCAGCTCCAGATGTAAAAATAAGCATAGTCGAGTGGTTTGTACTCGATCAGAATAACACGATATCGATCTCGAGCCCTGCTCAAACAGCTCACCCCACACCTTCTGGCATCTCATATGTTTCTCCTTATACGTCAGCACCAGCTCTCGCATGTGCACTCTGAGTGCTCTGACCTTGCTCTGGTACCGTGTTCTGTGCCAAATGAGTTTTAGTCGTAGCATCTGTGGCTGTGCTTGCTGCTGATGAGGTCGCCCCTAGCACGTCAGCATTCCAAGGATAGAGAAATGGTTGGTTCAAGACAGCATGACCCGTGTCTCCACAATGTCGCCTGAGCTGGAATAAGTTCAGTAAAATATGCACTTGTGAATGATGTTGATTTGGGACTATACAAGCAGTGACGAGAGGGTCGTTCGTCGCTAGGGTACTAATATGACGGATGTGGTATAAGAGCTGTGCGTCGAACTCTTCTTTACGCGTCCTTGTCAATCTGGGACTTGCCGCGCTCCTCCTTGTTCTCAGCACCAGGTCGGTCGGTGGAGACAGTGCCCTTGAGCTTAGCGGTCTCAGCAACACCCTCGCCCTTCTTCGACTTCTCTTCATTGTTGGAGATGTCCGTGCTGTGGTGGGTGTCGTCGTTGGACAGGCCCTGCTGCTTGCCGGACGTCTCGTTGAAGCTCTTGGGCTCCTTGCGGGGAGAGGCCTGGAGCTGTTAGAGCGGTTTCCTCGATGGCGTATCAGCGCTTACCTTATCGGACTTGTCGGGAGAAGGGTCGGACTCGTCGTCGGACTTCTCTTGGCTGGCCTGCGCCTTGGACTCCTTGTGCTCCTTCTTCTTGTCCTCGGCAGCCTTCTCGCGGGACTCGGAGTGCTTGCTGGAGTCGTCCTGGCCGTCGCCCTTTTCGGCATCATCCTTGCTTGCGTCGTCCTCGTTGGCGTCAGACTTCTCCACCTTGGGCGCGTCGACGTTGGTTTGATCAGTGGACTCAGGCTTGGACTCGGACTCCTCTTCTTCGGCAGCGGGTGGCTCCTCCTCGGCATCCTCATGCTTCTCGGCGTGCGCGTGCTCAGCGTGATCGTCGTGAGCGCCGTGACCGAAGTCCTGGGTGAAGACGAGGTAGAGACCACCGGCAGTTCCGGCAACAGATGCGGCAATCCTGCGCGGCGGTTAGCTGTGTGCCAGCAGACAATGGCGTCGTCTGCCTGTGATGACTGCTGTGTCTACTCACCATGGGACGTCGCTGCTCTTGGCCTCGCCGTGGCCGTGGCCGCTGGCATATGTCCTGCGCTGGATGCTCTGGCGAAGAGGCTGGGCAGCGCGGACGGCCGGGCGGGCGGCGCGCGCGACAGAGGACGCGCGGAGGGCGGTGGACCTGAGGAAAGACATGGTGAAGCTGTGGAGATATCAATTGACTGCAGCGAAGAGCAATTGATGGCAGAGCCGAAAGGCGGATTGGTGAGGTTGCGGCGTCAGTCGACTCGGCACGTCATGTTCACGACGAAAAAGACCCGTGCGTGGTCGAGCTTAGCCGCATTGGAGCTGGGTCACCAAGCGCACCACCTCGGAACAGCCTCAAGTCATCCAGTATGCTGGCGAGATGCATCGTTGAGCTTCCAGTTGTATCTACGAGTGCTCGGAGCTGTGCAGGGACTGTTTGACTGCCGTGGAAGGAGCTCCACGCTGGAAGCTACGTCCAGGGCAAGCTACGTCACAGCTGTCGACATGTTCGGCAACATTCGAGACATGGATGAATCGATACTAGGCGTGCAAAGTACCATCAGACGGAGGGAATGCTCTGGAGACATTCAAGACGCATTATAATCATCAATTTCAGTCATTGTCGTTTGCTCGATGTCCTGTGAACCGTGGCCATGAGACCGTGCGTTGTGTCGAGCTCTGGGGCAAATAATGGGGTACAAGCAACAGGCACACCAGGCGGCAGTGGTCCGGCCACACCACAGCAAACCTCCCCTTCACTCGCATAGAGAACTTGCGCGCTGCGAACATAAACGCGCTCGCCTCACGCGTTTGCCGTAGCAGCCACTCCCGCCCAACACCGCTCTCCACCACACCCCGCCACAGCTAAGGTACCCCGCCACGCGCATCCACTCGACCAGCGCAACAGCTCACTCGCACAGGCTGAGCTCCCAGCAACACACACAGCCACCATGGCGCCCTCGTCGGTACCGCCAAACCCAACCGCCCACAATGTCGCGCAGCTGCTACCGAAGCTCTCCGACACGGACCCCGACTTTCGGTTCATGGCCCTGAGCGACCTGCACGACACTTTGGTCGTTGCGCACGCTGGGTTCCTTCAGCACGACGATGTCACATGCGCCAAGACCGTGGAGGGTCTCCTCGCGACGCTGGTCGACACAAACGGCGAGGTGCAGAACCAGGCCGTCAAGTGCTTGGGCCCTTTCGTGAACAGGATCCCCGACAAGATACTCTGTCCTATGATCGAGAAGCTCTCGAACCTGCAGACCGACAGCGCCGTCGACCAGAGCATACCCTCGCTCGCCCTCCGCGAAGTTGTCGTCTCCCTGCCACGCCCTGTCGCTGGTGTCGCGCGGATAAAGCCAGTCCTCGATGCATACAGCGCCATCAGCAGGGTGCTCATCCCGCGACTGGTCGGATACCATGTCATTCAGCCGGCACAGCAGGGTCTGCCCAAGGTGCCGCAGGGGATGCTGCAGGTGGACCTCGAGAAGGGCACAGACAGCAATGCCATCGACGTCTTGATCGAGATTGCACGCTGCTTTGGGCCGTTGTTGCAGGATGTTGAGATCCAGGCACTGCAGAAGATCACATTCGAGATTCTCGAGAACGACCGAGCGAGCTCCATGATGAAGAAGAAGTCGGTCACAGCCATCTCCACGCTGGCGGGATACTTCCCAGACCAGTTGCTGAGCAGCTTCCTGTCGCGCGTAATCGAGCACCTTCGAGACGCCCACCTGCTTCGCAGCAAGCGCAAGTTGTACATCACCATCCTCGGCTCCATGGCCAGGTAAGCCCTCCGCTTCGTTCGCTCCGTCGCCGCGCTAACACGCTTAGGTCTATCCCTCGCAAGTTCGGCCCATACCTGAAGACACTGGCACCCTTTGTCCTGAGCGCAGTCAGCGAACAAGAACAGGAGGATGGCATGGATGTATCCGACGATGAGGGCGAGCGCGATCCCGAGATCGACGAGGTGCTGGAAGCTGCGCTCATTGCTCTCGAGGGCTTCCTCGCCTCTTGCTCACACGACATGCGCATGTACACGGACGAGACCATCGCCGCAGCCACACGACTCCTGAAGTACGACCCGAACCTCGCGCAAGACGACGATGAAGACGAGGACGCTATGGAGAGTGACGAGGAAGATGCGTTGGAGGGCGATGACTTCGAGGAGGAAGTTGGCTACGACGACGATGAGGATGCCAGCTGGAAGGTCCGGAGGTGCGCAGCCAAGGTCCTCTACACTTTGATCTCCACGCGAAGTAACGGTGATCTCATGGACGACGGGACACTCTACAGCAAGGTCGCTCCAGCTCTGACTGCACGCTTCAAGGAGCGGGAAGACAACGTGCGCTTGGAAGTGCTTGCGACACTGTCAAACCTTGTCAAGAAGTCGGGCGATGGGCCTTCACCTGTCAAGTTCGCCGATGAGCACCCTCAAGGCGGGACGATGATGCCACCACCGAGTCGTAAGCGCCGTAGGGGTGGTAGTGACGCCAGCATGCTCGACCTGCACGCCAACTCATCAGTCTCACTGGGCTACTCGTCTCCAGCGCGAACTGGAACACCGCCAGTCGGCCCACGTGCCAGCCTGGGTAAGCTGAGCCCTGAGATTGTCAAGGGTGTAGCGCAGCTTCTCAAGCAATCATCCTGCCCGCCATCAACAAAGCAGGCTTCGATTATTCTAATCAAGGACATCGTCATTACCCAACAAGGCGGCCTTGAGGGTTACCTGTCACAGCTACTTGAGCCTGTAATAGAAGCCTCAAAGACCAGCAGCGGCTTGACAAGCAGCGCATCAGCCACAGCAAACAGCCTCCGCATTCAAGCGCTACAACTTCTTGGTGCCATCGCCGATACACATCATGCTAAGGACATCCAGCCGTATCTGTCGAGCATCGTTCCAGCTCTCCTGAAGGGATCGACCGAAAAGTACAGCAAGCTGTCCATCGAGGCGCTTGCAGCGACTGAGCAGGTCATCAAGGCTCTCACACCGCCACGATCTGCGGCAACAGGAGCACAGAACCAGCAGTATCTGGAGCCACTGTATGACACATTGGTTAGCCGCATTTCGGCCAATGATGCAGACCTTGAGGTCCGCCAGAGCGCCATCCATGTGCTTGGGCTGCTGCTTGGCCGCAGTTCTGGCACAGAGGGACTGCTCTCACCACAGAAACGTGCGGCTGGCCTAGAGCTGTTGGCTGATCGCCTAAAGAACGAGCTGACACGTTTGGCATCTGTACGTGCCATTGACTCAATCGCAGCTCACACCAAGGCTCAGAACGAGTTGTCCGCGAACTGGGTGCAGAGTGTTGCTCTGGAACTGGGAGCACAGCTCCGCAAGGCCAGCCGTGTTCTCCGCGGCGCGAGCTTGAGCGCTCTTAGGACACTGGCTCTTAACGAGCATTCACGGAAACAACTCGACAGCAAGACCAAGGCTCGGATTGTTGATCTGTTACTGCCTCTCCTCAACGCGTCTGACCTTCACCTCCTCGGACCCGCGCTTATCATCCTGGCCACTTTTATCCAAGATGACGCCAATTCGACATTGACGCCTGAGCTCAATGACGCGCTCTGCCAAGTCGTACAAGGCTCGATTAGTGGGTCGTCTCTTGATGCGCTGTTGAAGCTCGTCCGTACGATTGGAGAGCAGCAGGCTGGCCAAGCCCTGATGAAGTCGCTGCTGCAAGACGTTGGCGTTGGCGGTCACCCAGAGGTAGTAGGCAAGGTCATCGGTAATCTTCTCGTATATGGAGGCTCTAGTGTCGGCGTCAAGCTTGACCAGTTCGTCACTGAGCTCGAGACCGCCCAAGACGATAAGCGCAAGTGCCTTGCGCTGGTGGTACTAGGAGAAGCAGCACGTCGTCTCGGCAAGCAGTCATCGGTTGATCCCAACTTGTTCATCAGATACTTCTCCGTCAAGTCTGAACAGGTGCCTCTGGCGGCTGCTGTTGCTCTCGGCCGCGCTGGAGCTGGCAACATTAGCCAGTATGTGCCTGTCATTCTATCGACAATGGGCAAGGTATCGGCACCTCAGTACCTTCTTCTGCACGCTATCAAAGAGATTTTGCAGCAAGAAGATACTGAGTCCGAGATCATCCCGTATGCTTCGACACTGTGGCAAAACCTGGTCGCCGCATCTCAGCTTGAAGACAACAAGGCGATCGGTGCGGAGTGTGTCGGCAGGCTTACGATCATTGACCCCAAGACATACCTGCCTCAGCTTCAAGTAAGATATGTCACCATTGTTACACATACAAGTTTGCTAATACATCCAGGGTTTCCTGAACGATCGCAAGGCTGCTGTCCGTGGCATGGTCATCTCTGCGCTACGATACACCCTCGCCGACACCGACGAGGCTTACGACGAGTACCTCAGGCCCATTGTTGTCCCTATGCTCACGCAGATGCTCAATGAGGAAGACCTCGATAACCGTCGTCTGGCACTTACGACCTTCAACTCTGCCATGCACAACAAGCCCGAGATCATCCTGCCCGCTCTGGATCAATTGCTCCCTCTTGCCATGAAGGAGACCTACCAGAAGCCCGAGCTTATCCGCGTAGTACAGATGGGTCCTTTTAAGCACAACGTCGACGACGGTCTCGAGCTCCGCAAGTCTGCCTACGAAACCTTGTACGCACTGCTGGAAACGGCGTTCACTCGCATCGGACCCATGGAGGTGTCAGACTGCTTCGAGCGCATTGTTGCCGGCATCACAGATGAGCACGATATCCGCATTCTATGCAACTTGATGCTGACCAAGCTGATGATGATCGCGCCCGAACAGGTGCACAGCCGCCTTGAGGCCATTGCGTCGAACTTCCGCACCGTGCTCAACGTCAAGCCCAAGGACAACGCCGTCAAGCAGGAGATCGAGAAGATCCAAGAGGGCGGGAAAGGTGTGCTCCGCGTCACTGTGCTGTTGAACAAGCAGCTGGGCACAGAAGGTGCAATTGGCCAGGACGACCCTCAGTCGCGGACTTGGGCGCAGTACTGGGAGTGGGTCACAAAGGAGCACGCACAACGTCTCAAGGATGCCATCGATGAGCTCAAGGAGCGTGATCGCTAGACGGAATCACTTGCCATGAGGTACTACAACAAACTTCGCTACAATGCCGTGATGGCCGAGCGAACGGTCCATGATTTGCCGATCGGCGTACATAGTGGTCGCATAGCGGGGAGTCCAGACGTGGAAAGCTTGTAAGGCTAAACAGAGAGGCTGATACCGGCAATCAAAGATATCACACCATGTCTCGTTCCTTGCGGTAGCAGCTTTGAGACCTACAGGCAGAGCTAAATGCATCGTCAGCTTGGACTTGACAACTCGCACCATGCTAGTCCAGATTCACATCATCAGATGACGGCTCACTAAGCCAGAGGTCTCGTTCAGCCAAGATTCAAATCTATAGACGGTGTTCGCGGAGCAGCACGTCGTGGGGATGTCAATTACGGATGCCTTAGCGTAACGCACAGACGCGTCAGTTGCACAGCCCGACGACATCAAACGGACTGAACGCCGCAAAACGATCAGCAAGGATGACCATTAATCATTAAATACGGGCAGCGATGATGAGCCAAGCAATTGAGAGATCCTTGACATTGCCTTGAATTCCCACATGTACCGTTCGCTCACTCAACACTGGAACTAATCCGTACAACGGGCAAGTCACATCACTCGCCACACCACCCACAGAGCACCACAGCTCAACACCATGTACCTGAAGAGCGCCCTCCTCTTTCTCGCCGCCGCGACAGGCTTCGGCACCGCCAACGCGGACTTCATGGTCTACACCGAGCCCCCAATCCCCACCACGGCCATCCCCTCATTCGCAAACCCCTCCGACGTACGTCCCCCCTGCCCTCGCAAACACTCGCACTAACAACACCCCCCAGGCCTCGTCCTGGACAACATCCGTCTTCCTTAACGCCAACTTCGCATACCGCAGCTTCACGAGCGCGCTCGGCGCGCCCTACAAATCCTCCTCGTCATCCGCGGCATCCGAGATCGCGGCGTTCGTTGCCACGGCGAATTACAGTGTCCCCGCGCAGGTGACGGGCAGCGGGACGACGACGTTTTTCGGCGCGCCGACGTGGTATTCTGCGTTGCCGAGTGGCGCGCGCGCATTCAAGGAGCAGCAGGTTGCCGACCAGTTTAGTATTGTGCGGTCTGTTATTGGGAGGCAGACGACGAGTAGTAGTACCGGGGCTGCGGGTCAGCCGACGGGGAGCCCGTGGGTGAGGAAGGAGTTTGGGGCATTGGCTGCCGCGGCTGCGGCGGCGTTCTTGTGAGGGGGGAGCATGATGGAGGCGTGTAGGACCCAGCACTGTCGGTTGAAGCCGTGCGAGGAAATATGCAGATCATTCTGATTCTATCAATTTACGCAGCGCACGCATTGCTAGCTAGTTCAACGTAGCTCTTCTATTTAGTACAATCTAGACTGACGGCACCTCAGGCATGTCACTACCACCTCCAGCCCACTCGGTGACAACGTGGCACCTCCTACTCGAACCATTTCAAACAAGCTTCTTGACAAGGTCTGCTGTAAAGGTCGCACAGTTACAGGACAAGTAGTGCAACGTCTTCCCTACAATACCGGTCTCGGCTATTCACAACAGCGATCAGCATCTCAACGCGGTTGCACAACATTGTGAGTTCGAAGAAGAGTAACCACTCACCGACAGCGACGATGGTTTTGAGAGTCTTCCTCCCTTCCTTGGCCTGGCCCTTACTCTCAAAGACCTCACGCCCGGCCTTGACCTCGATGTACGCTCTGCATATTCGCTCATACTGGCACCGTCGCCGTCCGGCTTGCTGAGCCAAGTCTCTTCGTTGAACTGCAGCCCGTAGTCCCAGTATCCCTTGCTGTTGCCGATCACAACGTCTTTGTGCCGACCGCCAGTGTCTTTCATGAGCTAATCAAGGCCTTCGTGGCTCGCACCACTGCGGTCGTCATTCGTAGTTGGACGCTCATCTGAGCCGATCCACACATGCAGTCTGGTAGCGTCTTTGCCCTTGGGTACGGTCGGGAGGGCTCGCTTGGGCAGCTGCGAGGTGGCTGGTTCGATGCTCGTGCGGATAGGGGAGTCGAGGGTGGGAGCGGACCGCAAGAGTAATGGCAGCACCTGAAATGTTGGCTGAGATGGAGCCAAAGAAGCTCATGAGAAGCAGAACAGGCCCTGTAAGCTGTACTATGAAAGTTTGCAATCTTGGTAAATGAGGGTATTGAAGTGGCATTCGTGGAAAGGGTACAGATGTGGCAAGCTCACTTCTCTGAGAGCGACCAAGCGGACTTGAAGATTGAAGCTAGAGGAACTTGACCGGAATCTTTACTGGAGGCGTTCGGTGCATCGCGCCCTTGGAAGCTTACGAGTGTTACTGTGGGTTGTAACGTCGATCCAATCTTCGCCTGCCTACCGGTACCGCCCCCAGAAATCCGTGAAGATACCATCAAGCCAATACCGAGAGGTTCCGAACAAACCTCCAATCATTCTGCACATCCAGAGATCGTCGTTCACCCATACATGACATGAGGCCGTTTGCACTCAGTCTCTTATCGCTGACCATCGCCCTGAGGATCAAGCTTGAACGCCGGCTTCGGACCCAAAAGCAACGAGCAATCCATATCCTTAACCCTCATCCCCACTGCGCTGTGATTCTCACAATCCAACGGACCCGAGCTCCAAAGCTTCTCGCGACACTCCCCACAGCTCTTCCACGACTCGTTATCGAACCACTCACATTCCGCTCCCTCATCCTTCTTCCACGGATACCCAAACTTGACCCTCGACCCGTCATAGTCAAAGTCCACCCTGTAGTACGGCGCAAAGCCTGGAACCCTGTGGCCGACGAGGTTCAGCCTGTCCCTGGTGAAGTTGAGCGATTGCGCCATGTTGCCGTTCCTCCAGACGCCGGCCGCCAGCCGCGAGCCCGAGAAACAGTACTCCCAGACTTGAATGCGGAAGGGGAAGACCCAGTCTTTCTGGCCTTTGGGAGTGTTCGGAAGGGCCGTTATGATGACTTCCGGTCTCAGTGTGAAGGTCGATGCAGCCATGATGGTTGGCGTGGGCTGCAGCGACTCAGGAGATTCTGGCGGGGTGACGTCGATCGGTTGAGGGGGCGAGGTGATCATAGGGGGCGTGAGGAGGGAGAAAGTAGTGTTGTCTGGGAGCGTGGAGGGTAGTGGTGGAGAGTCGATGGCGCGGCGAGCCTTCCCGTCCATGTGGTTGTCGACGAAGTAGCAGGTACGGTATGATGTACGCTGGTATCCAGGCTGCAAGGTCTGGCAATTGAGAGCGTCTGACGTCCACGGCTTTGCCTCGCACCATCCACAAGGCCAGCCGCCCTCGGAAGTCCACGCACATCCATCATATTCTACTCCAAATGCGTGCTGGTCGTACGAGTACGGGCCAATCAGTAGATCGCGCCCAGGGCGCAGGTTGATTGGGATCTTCTTTGTGACGTCCTTGTAGAAGTTCAGCTCATGGCCGTTCGTCCAGCCGCGTGCTTTGAGAGCGCCGTTCTCGCACCATTCTGAGTGGGTGACACCGAAGCGGTACAGGTTCTCTGGAACTTTACCGTCGGCAGTGATGCCGCGAACCTTGAGGGTAGAGGCTCCCTCGGAGGTCGTCGCGACATTGTCTGAAGCTGGAGCGTCGGCTGCGGCCGCGGCTGCGACAGCAGCGGCATTCGGGTCCTCGCCAAAAGGAAGCCGAAGCAACGGAGCACTTCCAGACTGAGTTGTGCGCCAGAGATAGCAAGTGAGCGTTCGGTGCTGGAGGCTATTAGTCCGTGGTCATATCGACTCAGAGTCGTTGAATTGACACTTACTCTAGACAGCTGAGGGCGCGCGGAGCAGTCGATCTGGCCATCACTCTCAGGGCCTCTCCACGGCGCGTTTTGGTCGCACCATCCGCAGTTCTTGTCGACAGTGTTGCCATCCTTCCACTTGCAGTCACCATACTCAAAGCTCGTCTCGGAGGTGTCGTAGTCGTGGCGGACCAAAATGTCAGTACTATCCAAGAGGGATACCTTAGTCGCACCCTTCACGATTTCGAAGCCGTGGCTTTTGTCGTCGTCGTGGAAGAGCTCGGCGCGAACGTGCAGCTCTGGCTTGGCGGACACAGACTTGCCGTTGATGTTGCAGTATTCGTTGATGTACAGGTCGAAGCTGTGCTTCTCATAGCCCTTGCTGAGCTCGGTGACGCTGGTGTCGTCAGGCCCAAGATGGGAAGACGCAGTCGTATCGGATGGTGGCGCTGGTGCTGCGATGATGCCCGCAGCGAGCAGAGGGAGAAGACTGGAGGCCTTCATGGCGACCGTGATCAGTATCGCTGTGGTGTGATGAGCGCAGCAGTACCCGCGATGTATTGAAAGCGGCTGGGTGGCAGTGAAGACACGGTGGTGATGATGGACTTGCTTTTGTATGGTATGTGCGCCAGCTTAGGCCTTGGTGTGGAGTGAAGGTGAAGGCGGGCACAGCACAGCGCTAGTAAACAGACCATCCTGACCGGGAGGTAGTCTGCACTTGTCAGTCGTTTCTGTGCAGCGCTGATGAACGCCACAGTTGACTACTGGAGGCCTGGATACCATATATGATGTATCTGAAGGCCTTGAGGACTGGACTTGCAGGAGGAAAGTGTGTCAGAGTCGCGCAGGACTGGATTGCATGCCTGTAATGGGTATACTTGGGAATCTGTGTGACGTCGACTAGTCACAGCCACGGCGTCAGAGCGATGAACACAGGCTGTATGAATGAAGTAGTATTACAAGGACTATAAGTACAGCTGACTGAGAATCTTGATGGGTATCTGTGGAGGGCTTCGAAGGCCAAAACAAGCGCTGTAACTCGCAACTTGGTACAAGGATGACAAGGAGATGACTGTCTATGCAATCTTACAACGAGACAAGGGAAACGACTCTCTACCGCCTGCTCTTATGTGTGTTTTTGCGGGTAGCGCGGCCCATCTCCTCGTCAGGGATTCTATCCCTGCGGCCAGAATACGCGCGCTGAGGCTGACGAACATCGTCATGGCGGTCGTCGTAGGCACCGTGGCGCTCGTCCTCTTCGTCGGAGACATCGATGTAAACAGACGCGGGGCGTGGGCGACTCTCCCTGGGCAGCTTCGAGTTCTTAGCCTTGAGCTCCTCGGGCATGTAGACCTTATCCAAATGCTCCTCCAGCAAGCGGACATTCTTGCCGTTGCACTTGTAGGCTGCGTCTGCAAGATCGCCAACGAAGGGGACAAGACCGATAACGAAGTCCAATGCAAGATTGAACATCATCATGAGCAGGACGCCATTTGGTAGACCGCATGAGACTTTGCGCATACTCATGATGAGCTTGAGTGCAAGCAGTGCATCGGCTGCGTCACCGATTGCGGGCACAAGACCAATGACGGAGGACCAACCGAAGCGCATGCCCATGAAACTGAACAGGGCAAAATCAAGTCGGTAGGCGGTCTTGCGGGCTCTGGCGAGGACGTTGGCCTCCTGCTCTGGGATGTAGGCTGGGATTTGCTTCTTGACTTTCTTCATCTTGCCCGGCCTCCTGGGGTGGGGGATCTCCTCGTAGTATGGGTCCTGACTCGCAATTAGCAGGAGTTCAACGCAATGTGTGGAGGCAACTTACATATGGGCCGGCAGCGGCCTTGTCGGCATACTTGCTCATCTCGCCTGCGAGCATCTTCTTCGCAGCATACTTTGCGACGAGCTGGGCCATGATTGCGATGTTGTTGGTGTGCTGGTGAGGAATGCACAGAAGTGGTGTGAAGGGGGTTCTTGGCTATGAATACAAGCGTAGAGGCGTCCTGCAGAGAGTCCTTATATGTGCGGCGTTTCTCCGCGTTCTTTGAATCTTTTGGCGGTGCGTCGACAATGCGCTGCGCGGCGGCTGTCTCACAAAGGATGCGCGGAAGCTGGTTGGACGGCGGCTGCTCACTCAGGAATTCTGAAACGGGCGCGTCGCTGCCTATGAATAGACGGCGAGTGCGATGGCAGACAGCAAAGAGTGCTGAGCTGGCGATCAAAGGTCAAGATGCTACAGGCCACTCGAGAGCAGGTCCGGCGGGCTCTTAAGGCATCGAGACTTGGGCGGTGTGCTGCTGCCCTGATTGCGCTGTGACGTGATGGTGTTTCTAGCCCTCCGCTGATCGTAACGTTAGCCGTGGCGACGATTGAGTTGTGGCGTACACAGCCACTAACTACACGTCGAGCTTGAAGCTCTGCTCGCTATCGCTGGTGGTCGACCCCCAAAGTCTGCATCTAGAAGCACCCGCGCACGTGTCCACCACCGCATTCTTCCCCATTCTCTCGGCGCGGCAGTGCACGCCGATCACCGTTCCTCCTCTCGCAGCACTCCGGCGACTCTCCCGCTGCAGCGTGCGACGCGCCCGCCGCCCGACGACATCCCCGCCGCGCGACTGACCAGGTGCCCAGAGCATGCTGCGCGACACCGGCCAACATGACCACCACAAATACCAAGATGACGCTCGTTGATTGGCTGGACGACCTCTGCGTCCGCTTCATCGTCAACCTCCCTCAAGAAGAGCTGCTGTCCGTGGAGCGCATATGCTTCCAGATCGAAGAGGCGCAATGGTTCTACGAAGACTTCATCCGTCCGCTAGACCCCCACGGCCTGCCCTCGATGCACCTGCGCAGGTTCTCGCAGCTGATGTTCCAGCACTGCCCGCTGTTCTCTGCGTACTCGGCCGAGCTGCACCAGCAGGCCTACGACCAGTTCCTCGCCTACAAGACCCGAGTGCCCGTCCGCGGGGCCATCATGCTGAACCAGGACATGACACACGCGGTGCTGGTCAAGGGCTGGAAGAAGGGTGCCAAGTGGAGCTTTCCACGAGGCAAGATCAACAAGGAAGAGGACGACCTCGACTGTGCAGTGAGAGAAGTCTGGGAAGAGACAGGCTACGATCTGACACAGGCCGGCCTGGTGCTGCCAGCAGAGCAGATGAAGAGCATCACAGTTACAATGCGCGAGCAGAGCATGATGCTCTACGTCTTCCGCGGCGTGCCCATGGACACATACTTCGAGCCGCGGACGAGGAAGGAGATCTCCAAGATCGACTGGTACAAGCTGACAGACTTGCCTACTGTGCGGCGGAAGAACCAGGTACGGCAGCAGGGCACCGGGCAAGATTTGATAAAGGAGAGCAGTTTCTACATGGTGGCACCCTTCCTTGGGCCATTGAGGGCCTGGATCAAGTTGCAACACAAGCTCGACAAGCAAAGAGCTCGCTCTGGGCAGCACGTGGTGCCACCGCCTGCCATTACAGATGACGAGGATCTCCAGGCGGACATTTACGAGGCTACAGGCGACGAAGGCACCGCGCAAGCTGCTATGCAACCCCTAAACGACAACTTTGCCAACCTGCTCGCACGATTGGAGCAGGGCCAGCCTCCAGAGCTGGCAGTGCAGACGCAGCCCTCGACAGATCCGGCAGAGGAGCTGAAGAAGCTATTGAGCGTAGGCAGAGGACCATCGGCACCTACACCGCCTGTAGAAGCACCGAGCGGGCAACCTCAAGCCAATCCTCTGCTAGCCCTGCTGCAAGGGAACAGCGGCCCTCGTGGTCCTTCAGGCTCAGTCCCCCAGACCCCGCTTGAGCAAATCGTGCATACTCCAATGCAGCCTCCACAGAGCCCACGCGGTCAGCATCATCCATTGCCACCGCAGATGGGTCCGCCGCCTTCATTCCCTTTTCCACCGCATCAAAACATGACCTTTCAAAGCCAACAACAGCACCCGCAGGATATGCCATTGCACCTCCCACATCACTTCATGCCGCCTCCACCGCCTCCGAACCGAAGCTTTCAACAGCAAGAAGATTACGGACGACCGCCGCTCCAACATGGACAGTTCAGCGGTGCCCATGGGAGAGGGCCAGAGGTGCCTGCTGCGTCAGGCCTGCCCACACCTAAGCTTACTGCACATGCTCTGGGGCTGCTGAACTCCTTCAAGATGAACGATTCGAAGCCTACTCCACAGCAGACTCATGCCTCGTCACAGCAACAGCAGCAGCCTCAGTACAGCACCCCACTACTACAGCAGCCGCATCCGCAGTATCCGCCCCACGAACTTGTGTCGCCCACACAGTTGATCAGTCCACCTACGTATCAGTCGCCTCCGCTCAGTCAACCACAGCCCAAACCAAGGACTGTGCATCAGGATTCGCTACTTACTCTGTTCTGCGCCACACCGCCGGCAAAGTCTCCAGCACCTGCGGAGCCGGCTGAGCTTTCTGCGCATCCTCTCACACCGGCCTTTGTACAAGCTCAGCCAGCGACTACTCACGCGAAGGCGCCTAACCGGGCCTTGCTCGACCTCTTCACCAAGCAGACGAAACCTGGACTCACTTCAGCTACTGTCAGTGGGCCAATGCACGAACCAGACTTCGACACAGTGAAGAGGCGCAAGCAGCCCTCCATGAACGGACACTCTCGTGGCCCATCGCCGGCAATCCATCCTCGTTCTGGACGCAACGGGTCGGATGTCACTGTCATTGCTGCTTCGAAACACGCTCAGCAGACGCACGGAGACATTAGCACAGCGCCCGCACCAGCATTTCAACCTCAGATCCTAAAGCGACCCCAACATGGCCCTAGTGCACATGCACAAGGTCTACTAGATGTGTTCAAAGGCCCCTCCCCACAACCTGCACCTGCCCAACCTGCCGCTGGCACAGGACCGACAACGCAGGCAGAAGGCTTGTTGAGCATGTTCAAGGGAGCGTCTCCTCAGACGACAGCTGTGCGACCAGCGCAAGCCGAGAATCTACTTTCCATGTTCAAGGGAGCTTCGCCTCAGGTCGCTCCTGCACAGCCCGCACCCGCAGCACCCTCCCTCTCCAGCCAACCATCAACCGCACAAGCCCAAGGTCTTCTGAACCTCTTCAAAAGCCCTTCGCCCCAACCTCCATCACAGAGAACCCAGGTCTTACCAGCCGGCTCTCCCGCAATCCCCACCTCCCAACCCGCATCTTTTGACCGCCGCGAATCAATCCCCACCGATCAACGCACCGCGCTCCTTGGGCTCTTCAATAAACCTTCCCCTCAAACCGCACACCGCGCCCCAATCCAGCAATCCCACAGCCCTCTCCCATTTAGCAGGACACCTAACCCGCCCACGCCCAAGACCGCAATGTCCGGCCTCGTCAGCCCTGTCAGTCCGCTGCAGCAGGGGAGTCGCACGGGTACGCCGGCGGATCTGGCGAGTCGGAGTAGGATCAGCAGTATCGGGGAGCCTGTGGCTGCCTCGTCTGTCTCTGGGCACTATGGTTTGCCTGGTCTGCAGGGCGCACAGGGAGATGCTTCGCGGTCCAGTGAGGCGAAGAGTCCGGTGGACAAGACCTTTTTGCTCGGGTTCTTGGAGGATGTTGCGAGGCGAGGACGTTGAGAATTCTAGTCAGGGTTGAGCAGTGAAGGGTTTGGCGTTTAGCATGGGCGTGTTTGGGAGTTTGATTGGAAGTTCATGCTGCAGATTTGAGAGTATCGATAGCTACACACCTGGTGGTGTATAGGGTAACTGGAATGCCACACAGCCCATCCTCGAAGGAATCTAATATCGACTCTGTCACATGTATCACTGGGGGGATACTCGAAATCATCCATGCCGTCCAAAAGTGTAAACACACCACTGCTATCTACAACAACTTTACTACCTTCATTGTCGGAGGCGGCCCGGCATGCATCAAGCCATTCGGTGCCTGCCCCCACAGCTTTCTTGTTCCTGCACCGTGATCTTAGCTGTTTGAACATAGAACAAAGTCAATAAGCCGCTCTTTATAAACACCAATTTGAGACGTCTCACACCCATTCACCCCCGTGCCATATTAAGGATCTTCAAAATTTGATCCTTACTCCCCGCCAGACCGTCTTGAGCTCCGAGCATCTCCGTCAAGGTGCTCTCAGCAACCTTCTCAATCACCTCATCCTTGGTCACTTCGACCTCCCTCAGCGTACGCGGCAAGTTCAGCATCTCCACAAAGTTTTCCACTGCATCGGCAAGACTCTTCTCGTCTGTCTTGAGAATCTTGTTCCATATCTGCAACAATTTGTTCTGTACTTCCTTCTGTTTATCATTGCGTTCATACGTGTACCGCAGTACAGGTGCCAGCATGATGCAAGATGTCACTCCGTGCATCACGCCGCAGATGCTGCCTAGCTGACGGCCAATGGCATGCGACGGACCCATGGGTATGCTCCAGAGCAGCAATCCCATCATCGCGTTTCTGCTGCCAAGTTGGCATTGACTGATGCCGTCAACAAGTTCCTCGTGATCCCTATTACTTTCACCTTCTCTGTAGTCTTTGAGGCCTTTGAGGAGAACGGCAAGAGCGTCTTCCATGTGATGGAAGGCGTCAAAATTGCACTGATCGTTGACCATCGTCTCCACACAGTGGTCCACAGCTCGTATGCCAGACGCGAGCCATAGCTTCCTTGGCGATGTCGAAGCTACCTCTGGATCTAGCAAGATGAGATCGGGCGCCGCGTTTGGACTGGAGAAGTGCTGCTTCTTCTTGGTCGTGGGGCTCGTCGCTGATGATGTGTTGTTCCATTCGCTAGCGCTGAGACTGGTCGGTACAAGTATGAGGCGTGTTGTGGGGTTCTTGAGATCATCTACTGTGCCCTTTTCTTGGTTGACGAGAGCTTCCATCGCCTCTGGTGTCAACTTCTGTGGAGCCAGATTTGTCTGCATCAGTCGCGCGATCTTGCAGGCGTCTGAGTAGCTGCTACTCCCTATGCTGAGCAGACAGTCCGCTCCTCTCTCATTGAGGAGACTCGTGATCTCTAAAACATCCTGGTACGGCGAGTGTGCACCAACACCAGCCTTGTTGCCGACGATGAAGTGGCCGAGCTTTTTTTTGAGCTCCGACACAACGTCTGTGTTAGCGTCAAGTGCTTTCGAGTAGACGAGAACCAGTCGCTCGCAGCTCCATTCTCCTATTGCGTGGATAATGTCTTCAATGTAGTTTGCCTTGAGAATCGCATTGTGGCCCTTTCGTGATGGGATGGGCAATTGCTGAATCGTACGTTTGCCGCTGTGAGAGGTGTACATTGTAGATTAATTGTAAAGCGAAATAATGTTTCAGGGTTCAGTAAGGTACAGAGACATGCAGCAGTGGCTTCGGAAGTTAGTTCCATCATGCACAGATGCTGTGTTCCTGCGAGTCATCCTCGGTGACGCAATTGCTACCTCATTCTTTGCAAGTTGCAGGTTGCAAGTGGGCGGTCAAACTGACGACCCGCGGACGTGATCATCGCGATCACAACATTATACGATAGGCGCAGGAAGGGTTATGTCGGTGACATCGGGAGTACTGTTGCGCAGCACGGAAGTGCATTTCACGGTAAACAATGCCGGTGAGTGTTATGGTGCAACGGTCCTAGATCAGGGTCTCGCTTGAGGTATATCCGAGGCACGTTACCTACGTGGTTAGTTGCCTGACACGACAAGTCAAGTGGCCGCTGGTGATACAATTCGGTTTGCAATGCTTCATTCAATGAGCTTGTGGGGCTGTGTTGGTCAATCTGCGCCTAAAAGCACAGGGCAAAGCATGAGGGCATCGTCTCTGCCGGAGGCCAAGAGCATCTACGTAATTCCGCCCTTCATGTACAGGATCAGCCCATGAAATTTGCGGCGGTTGTATGTATGAAATATGGTGACTTACTACAGAGCAAGGCGAAAGCAGGGACTGTTCGGCCGTGGGCGCTGGCAACATTAGCAGGCTTGGAGTGAACTACAGCTTCGCCGTGTTGCATTTAGCGTTGCCTGGCGTCTCTTGGAGGCTCTCGCAGCTGTCGGTCCCAGATTCATCCTTTTCGATCGACATCATATGAACTGGGTCGAAAGCGCGATCCTTTCGTGCGAGAACTTGGTGTTTTGCTGCTGACGCGGGGTTGGTGGTAGTCCGCCCCTCATCGTTCGCGGGGCGCGTTCCGAGCTGAGGATGAGGGTCTTTTCGAATACATAGTTGTATCTCACGCAATCCTTCGAATGATTATATCATACAATTCCTGGTTTCTCAAAATTTTCTATCAAAATGCTGCTGTCCGAAGACGTCCTCAAGAATCTCAGGAAGACCGTTGAAGACGCTGTCGCCGACCCCAAGTCTGACATTCCAGGAGCAAGTGTCGTTGTAGTGGGCAAAGATGGTAAAGAGCTATTTGCGCATGCTGCAGGTCAGCGAGGTGTCAATTCCTCGGATCCAATGACCCTGGATAATGTGTTCTGGATTGCCTCATGCACAAAGATGATTGCTGGTCTGGCGTGCATGCAGTTGGTGGAACAGGGCAAGCTGCACCTGGATGACGGAGACGAGATCGAGAAGCTGCTTCCTGAATTCAAAGATCTGCAGGTGTTGCAGGATGGCAAGCTGGTGCCCAAGAATAAGAAGATCACCCTGAGGATGCTACTCACCCACACTGGTATGTGAAGACAGCCTTCGAATTGGGCATGGAAACTCGCCGACTGACCAATTCTAGCTGGCTTCGGATACACATTCTTCAACGAGGGATTGCGCGACTTCTCTCACCCCATTGGTTTCGATGAGTTCTCCGGTTATATCAAGGACATTCTGCAGCCATTAGTGTTCCAACCGGGAGAGGGCTGGGAGTACGGGGTCAACATTGACTTCGCTGGTATCGCCCTCGAGCGCGCGACTGGACTGTCTCTGAATGACTACTGTCGCAAGAACATCTTCGAACCGCTGGGATTAAAGAACATCTCTATGTTCCCAACTGCCGAGATGAAGAAGCAACTTGCGTACATGAACCATCGCAACGAAGATGGCTCGCTCATCGCTCGTGATCATCTTCTACGCAAGCCTCTGGTTGTCGAATCTTCAGAGGTGAAGGACGTCCTGAATAGCGGTGGTGCAGGCTGCTTCGCAAAGCCTTCGGACTACGCGCGTAAGTCGTCCGATGTTCGGTGTGCTCGGAGCAAGCTCGCTGACCCCGTCTAGAAATAATCGCAACACTACTGAACGATGGCACATCGCCAACGACCGGTGCAAAGTTGCTTGAGAAGGCCACAGTAGATACCATGTTTACAAATCAGGTCGAGAGGTTCCCCGACTTTGCTCGTCAAGGCATACCGGCTGCCAAACCGGATCTCACGAACCCCGTTTCCGAGATCTACCCAGTCGAGGGAAACCCTCCTCAAGGTTGGGGACTGACGTTCATGTTGTCGAATGGAGGTCCGACGGGAAGATCAAAGAGCACGGGCTTTTGGGCGGGACTTCCGAACTGCTGGTGGTGGGCCGATCGTGAGAAAGGAGTTGGTGGCATTGTCTGCACTCAAATACTTCCCTTCGCCGATGCCAAAGTTCTTGGCCTGTGGTTCAATGTCGAGGGGCAGGTATATCAGGCTCTTGATGCCTAAGACGGAGCGAACGGCCAATTTTTGACATCGCATGGGGCGGCACATTGAAGCTTCTCCTCGGCGATAACCACTCAAATATCAGTTTCGCATTGCACGTTAATGTCCCATACCTATCCCATTCTGAGGGGTTTTTAGGGTTCAGTAAGTAGGTTCATAATGTTAACTTGTGTCTTTTCATCGGCTCGCCTGTGCCCTTCGCGGTGGAGGAGATATTGAGCCGAGAGCGGTGGATTCGTCCTGGAGCGTTGAGCCCACATATCGCGGATCTATACATTAGCGCAGGCCGCATCGAGCGAGCTGATGACGCGCACGGACGACAATTGGTGCAACCGCGAAGATTAAACGTCCTTCGACTCGTTTTACGACTGAAAGGTCCAATCAGTAGAACAATTCCGCGTGCTTCCGCCGCGCGAAGAGCCGTGGAAGAAGTGCTTAGCCGCGCATTAGCTTTCCCCGCAAATCCCAATCAGGGCATTGGCCCACCAGAACCTAACCCGGTAAGCTGCTCGCGCGGGGTTGTGCATGGCAAGTGTCAGCGGCGTGAAAGCTGCTTTCGCTCCTCTGTACGCCGCTCTTTTTCTCTTTCCTATTTCCGAAGCGCAGTCCAATGTGGAAGTATGAATTTCGTTGATGTACAGCCAAAATCGTTCCTTGATTATGCATGGACATCGCCCACGCCTCCGGCGCTGAGTGCCCCGAAACCTTTGAAGACGAGCAGGAAACAGAACCGATGTTGCGATCAATGCCGGCGAGGCAAGCGTGCGTGCGATGCAGCAATACTAGAAGACTCTCTGCTGGATGAGAGCAAATCGGGGGACCATCCGAGTGTCTTCCACTATAGTGGTGAGCTACATTTGCTTTGAGGGCGGCACCACAGACAATTGACCATGTAGATGTCTACGGACCTTTAGCAGCGTGCGGCAATTGCGACAAGACAAAGAAGAGCTGTACATTCGAATGGCTGCGTTCGCAAAGGGTGTTGCAGGCGACACAACCTCCGCCAAATCCGGCCCCACCAGTGAAACGTCGCCGGACGAACAGCGGAGCCGTGGTCTCGCTTCGAAACTCCAATGGATCATTATCGCAAATTCAAACCGAGAGAGCGACATGTCAATCCGATAACACAGGGAGTGGCCATTCGACAAGCCCAGCGCAACTAGGAGTGACGTTCGGTGACTTCCCGGGAATCCCGGTGCCTCAAGTGGACGCATTTTCAACGCTTGCGCAACGATCAACGCCTGCTCTGTGGTATGATGCTATCGAAATCTCCATGAAAGAGCATCTTGGACGTTTTAGTGATGTATTCGAGGACGATGGCAGCCCACTGACGTATGATTCCGGGCAAGGCTCGTCCCTTGAAACACCCACTAGCGGTCAAGACACAGTGGAAGAAGGAAAGAGCGACGATGCCAATTGTAGCGAAGCTGAATCCAAACTGGATGGTGCTGTCATGCGTACAGGACGCAAACGAAGGCGCCGCAGCTCGTCGGCGTCGCTCTCAAATGGTGCGCTTCCTTGCCCAGCCATCTCGTTTGCAGCCGAATTTGTGTCATCTGCAAACAGAGCATTTCTGAGAGAGGGGTTACTGAAGATATACCATGACAGCTTTGAGAACGCCCTGTCATGCTGGCTCACTGAAACGACTTGCCCTTACACCCTGAAAGCAGACATCTCGTCCGCAAACGAGGGCGGACCCGATTGGAACCGCATGTACCATCGCGTTTTCCGGCTCGATCTTCTGGCCTCCTCGATCAGAGGTAGACAGCTTACCTTCCAGGAAGACAAAGTAGTTGGCAAAGCCCTCAACTCGGCAATATTCTCCTTTGCCACTCAGTGGGCGCAATCCTCCCAACGAAGCCAAGCAAAGTATCCCTACGACCATAACGGTAATCCGGGAGCGTTCGCAGGACAAACAGCTGATACCTCTTGGAACGGCGTGGAATTTGACAGAACAATGCAAATCACTGCTTGGAACGAGGCACGTGTAGCCCTGCAGGAAGCCGGCGATATCGAATCATTTCGGCTTGTTCTCGCACAGATCGTGTTCTCTTTAACGCAGCGCCCACATGATTCGAAGAGCGGACCTGCAAAGACAGCAGAGGAAGTGGATCTATCGAAAGCGACACCAAATGAAGGGGAAGCCACAATCGAGGAATGCGAGGACCTGATGTCCAAGCTCAACCTCGCGATCGATGCCGAAGACCCCCCTGTACATTTGGAAAAAGGCGTCCGCCTTATCCACTCGCTGCGTTCACGAATGACGATGTGCGCGAGCACGCCACCCCTTAAGCCCCGAACGAACCGACGGGGAAAACAGCATAAGCCATCTGCAAGTCGTGTCGATGCTGCGGATCGTGCTACAGTCGATCTGCTGTTCTGGCTTGGAGTTATGTTCGATACCTTATCTTCAGCAATGCACAAGCGGCCTCTCGTGCTATCTGACGAAGATAGCAATGTATACGCTACTGAACCAAGAACAGCAGCAGATCAGATGCAACGCAATGTAGGTTCAGTCGTGCCGAGAAGTACCGATGGCGTTTGGGACCTCCATCTTTTTGCTCATCAGCGGAGTCGGCTGCAGCAGGACCTTGTCCGTTGGCCATGCTCCTTCGAACAGGCTGCTGCTCTTCTGTGCGATGCAGCTCCGGTGAAAGTTCTCCTTTTCCGCAAAGTCACGCGAATTCAGACGCTGCTCTCTCGCAGCTGCCGTGGTGAAAGAGTTGAGCAATCCATAAAAGCGGCTCTCAGTGTATGCGAACATTGGGAGAGGCTGTATGCTCCGTTCATCAGGGATTGCGTCCAGTATCATGATACTTTGCCGCCTCGCATCCAGTCGTGGTACGTTTGCCTGACTGGGCACTGGCACCTCGCCGCCTTACTTTTGGCAGATCTTATCGAAGTCGTAGATGATTCCGATTTCGGCCTTGAGACACAGCAGATGCTCCGTACTTCGACAGATTTCGTAGCTTGCTTTCGCAGGAGCAATTGCCGGGCTCTTTCAAACCTGGCGCGATCTTCGTGTCCCCGAGAGGATGCTTCGTTCGCCCAGTCTCGAGACTTTCATTTCGCTGTCAGTCAGGGAGCTTTATTGACAGAACCTTGGACTGCTGTGTTGATTCGTGCATTTGCTAAAGCTGGAGTGGTTATGCTTGAGTCCGAGCATGATCTGTCCTCATTCTCAGTTGATGGTTCTTCAGAGTCGAAAGAAGCGTTTCAGGCAGCAAACAATTGCGTACAAGCCCTGTGGTACTTGGGGAGAAAGTCGGATATGGCAATGTCGGCGGCGAAGATCCTAGGGGATGCCTTGAAACAAAAGCGCGAGGGCGCAGAGGAAAAGTTGAAGCAAATGAGCTCCTACCTGGAAGTGGAAACTTGGCACGGCTTCGAGCAGCTTGACGACTCCGCTGGTTGGGACTGTTCGATTTAGTAAATCAAACCGTATCCATTATAGATACTTCGAGTAGCTCTTTATTTGCCAAGTGCGTTAATTCAGCAATTTTAGCGTCGCGCCGTTGTTTTTGCTTCAAAAGGAGTTAATGTCCGTCATCTTCACCACCTACACTCCAGGAGCATCGTCACATACCACTACTGTAGACACTCAACGTGAGTCGTGGAATATACGAGAGATGTGCCGGAGCGAATTACGTCGCGGGAAGTTGCACGACCTTGCATGGCTTCGAAAATCTACGCAAACACGAAAAACGCGCTAAGACGCGTTATTCGGCCAACAGGACTGGCCTTCATGACACGTCATGGGTATTCCCGAGTGAGCCCTAGATGCACATCCTTGATCCGTGATATGTATGCTAACTTGCCGAAGGCTCTGGGACGTCATCCGGGAATATGGAGAAGTCATACCTCTGGCTCAGCTTGCGGAAGAGCATTACAAGCAACATGGCAGATCCCTTAGGATCGCTGTGGACGAGGCTGATTGGCGATTCAACAATTTAACCCGAGAGCAGGTCTACGCTATCCGTGACAGTACGTCTTAAGCGAGGCAGATCTTCTAGGTCTAATCCGTATAGGTTCCGGAGAGCAAGCCTTCCAAGGCATCGAAAAAGCCATGTTCTGGCGCATCTGCAAATGGCTTACTCATAGCATCCAATTGATCGTCGTGTTCGATGGCCCTGGAATTCCTTGGAAACGTGGTAAAAGAGGCGGAGGCAAAATTGACTACCGAAAACGCGATCTGTTAAAAGAAGTGCTACACTGCTTTGGCATACCATACCAAGAAGCGCCTGGTGAAGCGGAAGCCGAGTGTGCTCGCTTGCAAGTACTGGGCATTGTCGATGCTGTATGGTCCCAGGACTCGGACTGTCTCATGTTCGGTTGCAACTTCTGGATTCACGATGATCGAGTTGCCAGACAGCCAGGAAACAAGGATCGTAGTAAAGAGAACACAAAGAAGAGCGACAAGAATGTTCGCATCGTTCGAGCCAAAGGTATGAAGGACAAGCTGAACTTGGATCGTGAGGGTTTCGTGCTGTTTGCCATGCTGGCTGGTGGCGACTACAATACAGTTGGTCTGCGTGGATGCGGTACAGCAACCGCTCTGAGCGCTGCAAAAGAAGGTACGCTCGCACACTCCCTGTGCTTATGCCGCAATCAGAGGGACTGTGCGGAATGGAGTTACCACTTGGCCGATTTTTTGCAGACCAAGCCACACATACGGACCCTACAGATACTCACCAACTTCCCAGATCACAAGATCTTGCAGAAGTACTACAGGCCCAAAGTCACAAGTGATGAGCTCATGATTGCGATGAAACGGCTCGATCTGACAAATCCGCGCCCTTTACATGAGCAGAAACTGCTTGAGGTCACCAGCAAACGTTTCAACATTTGGGGCAGATTGTACATGAACTGGGTGGGGCCAGTTTTGCTCACGCGGTCATTGTTGCTAAAGAATTCTTCACAATCGGAGACAGGAGACGTTGTGCATGGCATCACGCTTACAAAGCAGCGCGCAAGCACAAGCGAGGAAGTCATGGCATTACGTTCTTTAGAGCGTAAAATTACACTCCCCCTTTGGCCTGACTGCCCTGCGGAGGGACGATCTCGAGGGTGGGGATCGCGAAGGCATGTGGGATGGCAAAGTAGGTGTGCCCTTCGACCCCACTTACCGTGTCGAGTGCGATTATTTTCCGGCTTTCGTGCTTCGTCAGGCCCTTCCGACAAATGTTTTCGATCCGCCTCCACCTGCACAAAAGCCGAAAGCTGTGAAGCGCAAAGCGCCTCCGGAGGTCGATACTATTGGTAAGATGCTAATCTCACCTGCAAAGAAGAAACAGAAGCCCTGCAAGAGCGGACAGGTAGAAGCCAGGAACCAGCCATCATTGGGGCGTGAGCCGCATTCGGCTTCAATTGACAAATCAACAGCGAATGGGAAGCACAAAGACACAGCAGTCCGCTCAAAGCATCTACAAGCATATGCCCATCAGCAAGTACACGCCGAGCCTCGCAAAGTCATCGATTTATCAGAGTTGGACGATGGACTGGTCCTGCGCCTCCCCCCAGTACGGAAGTCTAAACGCTCACCGTTGGCACAAGAGTCGCGGGGCGGTATAGTGGATCTTAGTTCCCCAGAGTCGTTAAATGATGAGGACGAAGACCTGGCTCTCGCAATTCACTTGAGCGTGCAACCTCCACACTCAGATCGCAATGCGGAAGACATCGCAGCCCCTTCGGCAGCTCTCAGCGTTCCACGAACGCCACAGGATGTAGGACACCTTCCTCGAACCGACGCAATTTTGGCCTCTGCTGCTCCAATTAGCAACGACAGCAATTCCAACCAGCTTGATGAGATCCGCAATGCCCGTCTCAGACATTTTGCGTCGAGTCCACTCGCAGCTTCTCAACAGGCTACCCCGAACATAAGAGCTCAACGACCTCCGGCGGCTATTGCTGATTACATCGATCTGACAGAAGACTGAATTTTCATGTCAGGTCGTGTATCGAGCTTGCGGTCTGGTTTCACCGAGCACCAACCCGATGAAAAGTCTTTTCGTAGGCGAGCCGGAGCTCACACTTCCACCAATTGTACATTGGTGAGATTCTTGGGATTCCTCCAAGTTATCAAGAAAGTACTTGCTCTTGTTCAGGCTACTATGCAGATACCACGCCCACGAGGCATTATGGACATGGACCGAAGTCTTCGACAGGACTTGTTAATGGCCCAGTGTCGGCGCTCTCAATCCCGATTCCAGCTATGGTAGCAACCGAATGATGACTTTGCTACGAAGCGCACGGGAAGTCCATCTCGAAAGAAGAAAATTCCATATCCTTCCAAGACCTCCCCTATCATCACGCGTTCATGCCTGACGTCGTTCAGCCTATAGCCACACCGTGTGACCATCATTTCTGCATTCTCTGCATTGGCAAGTGGCTTCAGGAACAATAAATATGTCCAATATGTCGCCAAACGGTGGGCCTGCCAGTCGCCCTGGACGAATCTGAAGAATATCGGTTGCCTACTCAAATCGAAGCCTTTATGCATGTCTACCACGGTTTAGAGTGGCAAGCACCAGATGTAGTGCATTATCTATCGGCTCAAAGCACGCCAGTTGCTCATCGCCCGTGGACAGATGCCAGTAGTCTGGTCGCCTGTGAAGTTGGTATTCAACGTTTCTAGAGTGATGGTTGCGATAGCTAGACGCTTCCACTACAAGTCGATCGGGCAACCGGTGATCTCAGATCTGTCACCACTCAAGTTGCGACCTGACAAGGCTGAGTTCAACGGTTTACACCCTGTTGCAAACGACCTACATTGCTCTGCATGGTGAGACTGGAGATGCCTGAGCTTAGTGATGGCCTCTCAACTGTCATTTGGGATAAATATGTCTACTGCAGTCTCCGTGCCTTCTTCGTCTGGGAAGCCTTTTGCACGCGCGTATGAATGCTCGGTTGCCCGGGCATGGCCGACAATGAGGTATCCCGGACTGTTTGAACGACAGGACCTTATTCCCAGACAATTGGTGTTGCGGTGATCTGGAACTATTGTGCAAATTATCTGGGCCGTGACAGCGTTTGACCATGATACCCAATTCGGTACGTTAGAGTCAACCTTCACTGACAGGCTACTTTCATTGCGAATACACAGTCATTGAGAGATGATAGGGTGCCAATTCTTGCTCCGTCTCTACCGTCCCACCTTCCATCAAATGTTACCTCAACCTTCAGTCCCTTCTTCTTCAACGAATCAACGAGATCGACAGTTCGAAAAATGAAACCGGCAGCATCGTCCAGCAGCTCATCGTATTCTTCGTCGTCGCAAAACCCCTGCGCCAAGTCCGCACGGATCTCGATTGCCGTATGCGGAGAGTGGAGGATAATTAAAGACTCTAAAGCTCCACGACAGATATGTTCTTCTTGATCCATTGCGTTCAGCTCCCGTAACTGAGCATATTTGAAGGGTTGAATCTGAAGCTGCAGCCTTCGGACGTAGTCGGCTGGACGCATGGCGAGACCGAAGGTGTCCGCCTCAAGGAATGGTCGTAGAGTGCTCAGCTCATCATGAATAAACTTGAAGGCACGATTCCTATAGTACGCTTCTAGCAATTCTCTGGCAGCCGCCACCCCGATCCGATTTGGCCCCGATTGCTGTAAGATCGGGTCTTTGACCCAATGGTACGAGTGCGGGCCTGCGGTCTGTCGTACTAGCAGATTCAGTCCTCTTTCGGTTCCGCGGCGGACAATAACTTCATTGTCACAGAATCCTTGCACGTAGAAGGTATGTATGTGGTTACGAAGTTCCCATGGCAGGGACGAGTATCTGCTTAGAGCTGACTGCTCCTGTAGAGACAATGACACATCCACTCTGCCTCTGCTGCGGTTAATGTCAAGCTCTGAATTGCGAGTGCAGACTCACAGGTTTGCAGGCTCCCACTTTTGATGTGCAATTGCATTGTGAGGGTTGCGTTGCTCCATGGTTCACACACAAAATCTTTTATAATAATTCCTAGATTTTCAGGGCGAACATTCGTCAATATAAACCACCGCGCACTGTCTCGGACTTGCGCTTATTCCCAGAGATACTTTGCACAAAGCACGTGAGTACTATGCTGCAATGAAGCTGTATTCGCGAACAGTTTTCGTGGACCGGTCCCGATGGGGTAAATTGGAGGCCGCGGTGTGTAAGACACGGTACGCCACCGCGCAGAAGCCGGGGTGATTGACAAATCGGGTGTGAGATCTGTTCCCCAAGCGTCAATTGATAGGCGATTCCCCACTAACACCCATCCAGCTCACCTATGAGATGATCCGCTGCACTGTACCTGGCACTAGGTGTCAGCTTCAGCCTTGCAGGCCTCAGAGCCGCATCAACACCCTACGACACAGGCACCCGTGATGAGCCATACATCGTTCGCCGCCCCCCATACGCGCGAAATCTTCCATTTTGGGTGTCTGACTCCTGCAAGGCGCAGGAATCTTTAGCATAAGGCGACAACTTATTCCTGGAGGGTGAGGGTGCGATAGATCCACCAATCGCCGAAAGAACGCCTGAGGTGCACTTCAGCTTAGGTAGACGCGAAGTAATTAGGCGCCTACAGGACCTCTATGGCTCAATCCTCAAGTCGGTCGTTCAGGTCGGTCGTTCAGGTCGGTCGATGATGTGGCTCGCAGCTGCATCGCTTAGTCGCTTCTTTTCTCCGCAGATATCTAGATGTGACGATGCATCGATACAACCTCGTTCCAGAATTACGGTCGCATGCACTCCACCGACGTCGATGCATTTCTGGAGCGTGTATCGTAATAGACTCAAAAACCAACACTTGCCAGCGAACGCCCCGGGGGTCTATCATGCAGTGTGGCTGTAGCCGCTGAACGACAATCACGAATATGGCGGTTGGTGCGTTGTGGAGGCTGATGGCATTACCCGGACCTAAATCGGTGTGGTCTGACTGAGACGACAGGATGAATCATCCGCATTTGCGCGTACTGACATTGTCAAAAGCCAGCTGTTTGCTAACAAAGCGACATTACTGGCCACATTTGCTAATCAGCAACAATTGCCTGGAGGCCTTGGCCAAAGGATCTCCTTCCTACAGACACACACCTTCCGGATCACTATTTTCTGATGTTTGTTGAGACCTCTATTGGATGCGCGGTGAACGATGTGATTTTATATATCCGAATAGGCAAAAGCGACGACCGGCTCTTAGCTCCATTCACGTTCATCAGCAACACCCATTCTGCGTTCAAGATCCGAGCTCGTCCGGCTCGGTAACTGTAAAGAGATGGCCGTCTCTAGCTCCTTCGTTATATGCGGCCTCATGAGGCCAACCGCTAGCGTTGTTTGTGCAATCATTGGATAATCCGTTCACTGCCTTCCTTCAACTATTTTTGATAGGTCATCGCCAAGGAGCAAGATGGCCTATTTCTGCGCGGACCGAGTGCCTGTATGAGAGTATGAATCATCCTTCGGCTCTACTGCATTCCTTCAGTCACATTCTCGACGACCTGAGCACGGGTTTTGCCTCTGATGGTAACATCAAGCGAACTGTAGCCTGTAACACTAGGTTTTGAACGGCTTCTCCCCACGCCATGCTCTTATCTTCATCAGGTCAAATCACTCAGCCCCGTCTAGTCGCCATGGCAGTCGCCCAAAAAGCACTTCCCCTAAGCACTACCTAACTGTTGTTCAACTTATATGAGGGTTGACGGCATGCTCTCTGACTGATCACAGCATCACAAGTACACGATAGCCTTTCTTGGTTCATCCATAGAGTCGTCTCATATCCTTCTGTGTTACTTGTTTCCTTCACCATGAATTTCCCCATCAGTAACTCTGTGTATATCACAGGACTGGCACATCAGTACCCAGAGTACTCTCAGACACAAGAGCAATTTGCTGAACTCGTCACGAGATTATTCCCTGAGCACATCTCGTCACCAGGGTAAGTGGACCACAAGTACTCTAAGCACTTTCAAGTCTTCCGTTGCTAATTGACAGTTAGGTTTCGAAGGTTGCTACACGTCAATCAAAATACAAAGATCTCTTCACGCCCAACAATCTCTGACTACTCAACATGGACGAAAGATCATGCAAATCCTCCGACCATCGATGAACTTTCGCGAATCTTTCGCACAACCGGTGTCGACCTCACAGTATCAGCATGCAACAAAGCACTGAAGGAGGCACAACTATCGGCGGCAGATATCACACATGTTGTAGCGGTCACGTGTACCGATCAGGGCAGCCCAGGCTACGACCTCTTTGTCAGCCAGGAGCTGCAGCTACCTGATGATGTACAAAGAACACTGTTACATGGTGTTGGCTGTGCTGGTGGTCTGTCTGCTCTACGAGAAGCCGCGAATCTCGCAGCGTCTGCCTCGTTAAGGGGTCGACCGGCTCGAGTCCTCGTCTTCGCAACCGAGCTATGCAGTCTTTTCTTTAGGGCGGAGCTTCAAGCTGCTTGCAAAGACGATAAGAACCTACACATTGCTCCGGCACTGTTCTCAGATGCATCGGCAGCATTGGTAGTCTGTAACGGTCTCGCAATGAAGGAGGAGCAAAAGCCGATCTTCGAGCTACAAGAGTGGGGCAGTGCACTCATCCCAGGCACAAAGAATCACATGTCCTACTCAGTGAGTCCAAATGGCATGATAGCGACCATCACCAAAGAGGTGCCGAAAGCCACCGTCGGCGCCATAAGCTCCATGTTCGACGAGGTTTGCAATCCGACCGGTGCATCGCTCGATCCAGCAGCATTCGACTGGGCCATTCATCCAGGTGGTCTCGCGATCTTAAAGGGTGCACAACAGGCGATGAGCCTGACCGATGACCACATTCGAGCGTCCCTCGATATATACACAAAATTCGGCAATTCATCGAGTCCGACAGTACTTGTTGTGTTGGACAAGCTGAGGAAGATGGGTACTGGAAGGGATGATATTGTGGCTGCAAGCTTTGGCCCTGGTTTGATGATCGAGATGTTCCGCCTGAGGCGGTGTCGAGATGTCGAGATTCGACAGGCTTTGAGTCTAGGTGTGCTGGCTAAAGCCCACGGACTGGGCATGTCGGTGATTTCGAGGCTTTCCAGGCCAATTAGGAAGTATTCTATGGTTCATAGGATGAGAACCCATAAGGCCGTGTAGCTTGTCTTGGGGACTAGCCGATCCATAGTCTCGTTCATCATTGATTCTAGATCTAAGGGTAAATAGCATTTCGTACGATCCACTCAAGTTGCTGCATAATGTGGTAAAACTATAGTGACACGAACTTGTGTGAATTTTCCTTCACATCCATGTGCCTTCATCTCCCGAATGCTTCTCACCTCACATCTACGGCAGTGTATACGCTCGAGATGTCTCCAATATCGGCGTTAAGTGCTCGCAAATCTCATTTTATGGACATAGTAGATTCAAATGGTTCCCTTGGTCGAATACGTCTGATCACGCCTTGGGAGAGTATGCGCATGTGTCGAAGAGAATTAGCCTCATATAAGCAGCCTAATCAAGGGTTAAGTAAATTCTGTATTTTGCCGCCTTTAGGCTGTAACAGTATGCCACATGTCTGTCATTTCCATACTTGCTCATGTTTGTTCTCCTAGATGTAAAGGCCGGCTTCAATACTTGTACGTTGATAAGATGTAACCACGTGGCTTAGATCACATGATATTTTATTGTAGCAGGTACTGCCCGGTGGGCAAGTGCGCTTACCTCAGAGCTGAGAGCTCCTGTAACAGAACATCACAACACCACAACAGATAGCAATACACTCGTTGATCACAGTCTCCGACCGATACTGCTCACGCAGTTACATAAGACGCGACTCATGTAAGTATCACTACCTCTCATGAACTTGACTGTTCAAATACAGGCTGGCAATCGTCCATGAGACCTTAGATATAGTAGTCCCCAACCAAGTTATAAAAGTCTATCCTAGGGCTGCCATGCGCGGACTTGATCGGTCGCTCGTTTCCGCGCAAGACGAAATATGTTCTTGTGCAGTCAAGGATGTATACATAGTCGCCGGTCTGTATATCCTATGGGCTACGCTGCTCATTCGCAGTCTCTCTGAGAGCAACAAGACGTCGAAAGCGCGTCGCTTGCGTACTGATCGTTGTATGTCATCTTTTCCTTCAAAGAGTGATTCGAGGACTGGGGGATTGTCAATGTGGGGATCGCCTGGTAGGTCAGAGGTATATCGATAGATCCCCCTGTAAATCAGCATGAGAAGACACTCCCAGAGCGCATCTACAACGTGGGAAATCACCACCTCATTGCTGTGCAAGACAAGACGGCAACTTAAGACGTTATGAATGAGATCGGCAACGGAAAGACAAGCCTTCAATTCCGATGTACGATGTTGATCATTAGCGTAAATGCCAGCGCTTCTCTTCGAAACACCCATCTGAAACCTCAACCGTCGAAGAAGAAGTACCGCGCAATCTTCTCAGGCGCGCGTCCTCCACTGGCGCGCGCAGCGCGGACATGGTCAAGTCCTTGCAGAAGATGGGAACGTCGAACTTTGGTGCTCCGCGGATATCATCTCTCAGTCGTTCCATGCGGCTGTGTTCGCAGATCTCGAAGGTGTACGATATAGAGGGTTCGGTGCGGGACACTTAGCAGGGTCATGAAATGGAGTTAGTCTCAAAATTTACAGAGCAGGGAGCCAAAGAGCGAGGCGTAGGTTCAGGTGGTGTTGGAATAGCATTAGGTAGATAAGATATTTTCGCTAATTCAAGAACAGTATGCACAACGACACCTATAGTTACAAGCTTGCAGACATGGTATAGCAAGAAATTCAAACCGCGTGCGATCGTTCCATTGGAGCATCATATACCCGAGTCACATGACTGAATCATTGTCCTCCTTGATGCGCTAAAATGCTGATGGGTACTCAAAAAAAAGCTGATAGGGAAGTTGGTATGCCGTAGCCTACTGTCACCTGAGCACCGAGTTCTTCCGGCCCATGTCGAGGATCTCGGAGGATACGGTACTGTGTGTGCTGAAGCGAACTTCTGTGCCGGGGTGCTGCCTGAAGACCGGCGCAGTGCCGACTGAGGTGTTGGTATGGTGGCGCTGGTGCTTGATGTCTTTGCCTGCAAGACCACCTGTTGGCTTGTAGTTCTTTGGCACAGGAGGCATTTCTGGAACCACGTCGTCATTCACATCCTCCGAGTACGCAGAGCTCTGTGTCATGCGGTACTGTTCCCTAAGCTTCTGCTCCTCCACCCGGGTCGACTGCTGGTTGACCCACGAGTTGATGGTGCGGAAACGAGGTACTGAGGATCGGTTTGTCATGAAGCTATCGCGTCCCAGGGGCTGGTTCATTGTGTCGCGATTGGGATCGTGTGGCGTTTGTGGTGCTTGGGAGTTAGTCCAGCTAAATCTGCTGCTCATACCCCCGAGTCCAGGCCGTTGCGAGATAGATGGTCGGTTTGACATGAACTGCTTGAATGATGGAGGTGCCGGTTGTCGAGGCGCAGTTTGCTGTTCTTGCAAGTACTCACCCTCATCGTCTATGGATCTCGTGTTATGTGTTGATTCGCTGTTCCGCAGGCTTTGGTTTCCCAGGAAAGGCGAAGATGGTGTTGCACTGTTGTCACGCTTGTGAGAGTTCATTCGTGATGGGGGGTCTTCAAGCAAGAACGTCTGCTGAGTCATGTCGGAGGGACCACTGCGGAAGCTATGCGATATTAGTCATGATATACAGAGATAAACGTGATATTGTCGTACCTATCGCTGCGACCCAGAGGCTGCACGCGTGTCTGCGAGGAAAGAGAACCAGATTGAGAGCCCTTAGCCGCCGGCGGAGGAGGGTAGACCGCATCGTTCCTTACAGAGTACCTCTGTTCGACGTTCTCTTTGTTGTCCCAATCGTACTTGCCTGAACCTTGGCCACCGCGGCGCGTGACTTGGTTCTTGCCTTGCCTGACCACGTCTAAGAAGGATAGTCCTCGCCGGCGCATTGTGTAGAATGCCAACACAAGCATCACGACAATGATTGTAGCACCTAACCACAATCAGTAGCCATAAAATATTGCAGAAGACCTCTAACTTACCGATCGAACCAGCAGCAATGAGGAGATGCTCTGTCGTCTGCGATATCCGCCCACTACCACCGCCATCGTACAGAGGCTTTGGAGGAGGAGGCGGAGGCTGCAGCGACACAACAACAGTTTCTGTAGGGTCGTCGTTTGCCAGCGCTCCAACGGAAGCCTGGGCTTGGGGTAGCGTCATGGTGATCAATAGCTACTCTCGTCAGCTTCTGCATGTATATCATGCGTTCCAATTCAATCATACCGGTGGTGGTGTTTCAGTTGATGTTGTGGCAGTCATGGTAGTCGTTCCAGAGTCACCGTTGTCGTCGTCGCTGTCTACCCCGTCATCCGTGGTTGTCGGTTGCTGTCTCTTCGTGTACGACCGTGACAGGATCTGAGTAATGGTGGGTGTCGGTGTCGCATTGAATTCGTCCTGCTGCCCGCCTCCAACCACACCTTCCCTCTCTACCACCACATATTTCACTTTGTCGTTCCACCTGCGATGCTTCGGCGAGTTCATTTTGCGCGATTCACGATAGGGTAGGCCCCTCTCAGTCTTCCTGCCGCTTAATCGCTCCACCAAACAACATCTGCAGGTCGACCAGATGTAGACGGTTGGATCCGGTAAAGAAAATGTATAAGCCCGAGCCTGCTAGGACCGCCACCAGGGTGGTATGAAATGAATGTTGAAGTGAACGAAAGTATGGATGTGGTATTAACAACAACAAGCCCGCCTGCGGAATGAGTGACAGAAGGAAGGCAAGTCAGCGGAGACGCAGCGAAAGGCCAGGCGAACGCTCTGGACGAGACACGTTCATGCGACAGCGCGAGGGGTGCATTTGATAGTGTGCATGAAGGACGCTAGCATTCGGTCCCTTCTGAACCCATGTCGGTTTGAGGGTTGACCCAAGAAGTGAACGAGCCCCTAGTGACAGAATGACATATTTGGCTGCGTCCACGGCTCTAAATGGCAATTTCGAATAACCTGACGGCTCCAAATGGCAATTTCGAATAACTAGAGAGAGCTAATTCGCTGTAAAGGGGTTTTTTGAGCCCTGACCTGAAGCAAACATATTGGGCAGGTCCTGGCAGCTCGTCTTGAAGTTGTCTCAAGTCATGGTGGTCGCGTTTCAACATCTGCATCCCGTACGCTTGGTGGACCATGGCGCAGATCAGACGCGACAGGGGGCATCTTGAGACCCCTGAAAGCTATGCCGTGATTGGGCTCCACACGAGGTCGTTCGAGCTGTCGTGATGTTGCATATCTCACCAACAGTTCCCCGCATAAGATGTATCTCATTGCAAGCGCGCCTCAGAGAAATACTTTGTTATGCAGGTTGTTGAGTCGGCGCAACCTCGTTTACGAGTGTGGCTGCGGTCTACGAGTGTGGCTGCGTCACACTCGTAAACGAAGATTCGAGGCTCGGCTCCACTAAGCCTCCGCGCTAGATACCTACTTGTGGCGACGCATCTCGGCCGACGCGCAGCGCAGACATTGCGCAAGAGTCGCAAGCGTTCTGTAGACAACAATTTGAGGAGGAGGAGCAGGAGGAGGAGGAGTCGATGTTCACGGGCAACTGAGGGTCCCGCGAAGGATGTCGGTGTCAGCAGCGGTCTCGCATGTCTCTGAGCCCGGCCGAAGGAAGGAGACTAGGGAACGCGCAAGCGAGCGCTGAGCAGTTCGGATCGTGCGGCTGTGCCTGTGCTTGGCCATGTTATGACCGGACAGGCCGTCAGAACCGGACGAGCTGATGTTCTTTGCTATGAGTGGCTTAGGGCTGAGTAGGACTCGAAGATTCGTTGGCTGCTCAGCCCCTCATGTGGGAACGGGTTTGTGAAGTCATCAGAGCGGATCGGAGTGGCGTTAGTAAGAAGCTGAGCTTATTGAATAAAGGCGATTGATGTTCCTGTTCATTCGTTCTTGCTTCCACTCAAATCACGACTTACGTCGACCACCCGCATCTCCAGCTACCCCGCTTCACAAGCCACACAACTTTAAGACAACATCTTTCGACCTACAAGTTCCTAGTTCCTGAAACACATCAACATGTCTGGCTACGATCAATACAACCAGGGTTACGGCCAGCAGCAGCAGTATCCGCCTCAAGGCCACAGCCCGTACCCTCAGCAAGGTGGCTATGACCAGGGAAGCTATCAGCAGCAAGGTTACCAGCAACCTCAGCAGCAGTACGGCCAGCAGGGTTATGGCGAACAGCAAGGTTACAACGCGCAGTACGGTCCTCCTGCACAGGGTGGCTTCCAGCATGGTCAGCAGCAAGTAGGTCCGCACGGTGACTACAATCAGCAACAGCAAGGGTAAGCATAACGGAAATCATTGTTTCAAGATGACAGGATCTAACACCATTATCAGACAATATGGCCAGCACCAAGAGGGAGGCTACCCCGGCTCGCAACCTCAGAACCAGTTCCCCCAGCAGGGTCCGTACGGCCAAGATCAGTACCCACAGGGCCAGAACCCTCACAGTCAGCCGGGACAGCAGCAGTACGGCTCCAGTGACCCAGCTATGCAGCAAGAGGGAGACCGAGGCCTGATGGGTGCTCTCGGTGGCGGCGCTGCCGGGTACTTTGGTGGTAACAAGATGGGCGGCCACGGCATTCTCGGTGCCATAGCAGGTGCCGTGCTCGGCAGCAAGACCGAAGACCACTTCAAGAAGCCCAAGCAGAATGATCAGTACGGCGGATACAATGGCCACTGAGTGATGCTGCCGGTTTTCAATTGTTTGCTTCTCGGGGTTTCAGCATGTCAACATCTCGGCGTCTTGGAGACCTCACAATGTGTATGGATATGACCATCACGACTTTCGCATAACGATCTGGGAGAGGTTATTGCTACACGGCGTTTAGAATAAATGACAGCCACGATTGATCCCCCACAACAAAAGTTGCCCTCAGCCTCACTATATCGCATACAAATGAGCCACTTCATAATACACATATCGCACGGTCAGCATCGAAACGACTTACCGTCACCAACGAAACAGACGTTCTTGCAAGGGTATGCTATCGTGTTCATTGGAGGAGGGGAGAATATTTATGGGAATTGTCATTCGCGGCGTCTGAAACATACCGCGTTTGGCTGCGCTCCAAGAAAGCTCTAACTTTGCTCCAATTTCTCAGGAGCGATCATCAACTTGAATGTCGGCTCTTGAGTCATGCTGCCGTGTGATCTTGACTAAACATGTTCTTCGCTAACCATCAGCTGCAGGTACCCGCACTACGATCGACTGACCATGACGCCGCGCCCATTGTTGCCATCTCAGGTGACAATCGAAACCGTCTCGTGCAGCGCAAAAACTGCCACCGAAGCTCACGTTAGTCACATGCTCCCCATCGTGGTTAACCCGCTGAGCCGTTTATTGTGCCGCCCTCACCATCACCACCAAACACAACAACTTTGTTTCGATAACAACGCACAATCCCTGTCAAAATCGAACTACGGTGTTGTCCTATCGCCGAATGAAGAGTGGCAAGCGAAGTACAACCATGTACGAACTTTAAGGACATGTCAACACGTCAATCTACCTGACGTGGCGAACGGAGGCGAACGTGACAGGTACCTCATGTCGAAACAGCGGTTCTCAATCCACCAATGACCTCCACAAGTCAGTGGTGAGAGCGCGGAAACAAGACACGGATAAGACTTTTTTCTTTTAGGCGGTCTCAAACGCGCAGGTGAAGCGACGCCATCGCCTCAAACGTTGCTGACGACTACAAGACACAGCGCGCGTTATTCACGGGAAAACCCACTACTGGGGCTATGCCACTGCCGCCGCCAGAGCCGATTGAAAGGCGTACGTGTCGCCTAGGTAGTTGCCTGAAGACAACCAGGACAATGACGCTTGAGCACAGCAGCCCACAAATAAATTACCAAAATTAGCAATGGTTGTGCGTCAAAGCCCAGATTTGCTATCTTGATGCCGAAGGCTGCGACCTGTGTAACAATCCTGGGCGGTAGAGTGTTGCACTCATTCTTGAGAAGATGGTAGACTCGCTAGCCGCCTTGCGGATAAAGGCACGGCTCGAGGGCTTGCGTATGATCTTAGCCCCAACCTCTCCGACTTTAGAATACTCTTCCTGTGGTATATTGAGGTTGAGCTGTGTTGTGACGATGCGGAGAGCGTGCTCCTTGATGATGTCTTCTGAGGAAGCGCAGTGTTGTAGCTGGGTATGCCCCTCGTTCTATTTACCGGCGCTCTTGCACCCGGGACAACACAATCTTTGAAGCAAAGTTCGCCCTTCAACACTGTGTTCTGGATGTGGTCATTCCTGCAGCCGATTGTGCTATTGACTCGTCTCATGACACAAACAATGGAGCCCATGCCTTCTTTGACAGCAATAAACCATGACCGCAGGTAGAAATCGTGCAGTGTATGATCTTCCATGGTGCTCGACGTACGATTCTCAGCGCTTCCAGATGCCGTGCTGTTGGTCTCTTGTTCTTTCGCAAGGCAAAGTCCTGGTTGAAAAGCTGCTGCATTGGAGATCAAGTTCGTGCCTAGGTAGCGCTTGCCGCTGCAGGATATCTCTGACACCAGCGCCGAACATCTTGCCATTGAGTCAAGAATGGGAGCTTCTGTCTTCGGAGACACTCCTTCCCAGCGGTCCTGTTGTAGGACCGAGCATCATCGCGACGCCTTTGTCGCGGAACCCCAAGGTCATAGCTCCGTGCTATGCTTTGACAAGGGATATGTTCCACGAGGCAGCAAGCATATATGGTGTGAACCAAACTGATACGCCAAGAGGACCTATGGGAACAATCAGTACAGTGTGTGGTGATAACACGCCTCCGGCCTACCATCGGTGACAGTGAACGGTAGGTATCTTGGTGCGACACCCTCGCGGACTATGTTGCTCGCAAGCTCCCGAGTAGTCCAAGGAGCGATCAAATTCTCTGCAGCTTTGCAGGCAGCATCCCAATGACAATATGGCTGCTGGGCAAGCGCTGAAGAAAATAGTACAAGGGCAGCAACGATGGCGCTATATACAGAAGCAGTGCGTGAGAACATAGCTGCAAGTACTTCTGGGTCCGATACCATAGAACATCACTCACAAGCTGCGACTGCCTTCTCCAGATATCATTTTGGTCATCGTTTGCCTTTCATCCTTTTCCACTGTTTACCTCCGGGGTGGCTTCCAAGATAGCCGTCGCCATCTGTACTTTGATTTACCAGGCAATCATTGCGCTGAATGTAGACTCTCAACGTCTCGATTGTCGTGATACCGTATTGGGCGCAATATTCCGATATCTTGTATCCCCACACACCGCAAGGCTCTCTGCGCTGAAGGAAGCGGGCCAGGATTGACTACAGGTCAGTCAGTCAGATCTCCCTCAGCACGAGTCTGGCTTCTCGAAATTGGTGCTCCTCAACCCGAAGTGGTGGTTAAAGCTGCTGGAGTGCGTCGCTTGATCATAGACCTAATTCTGTATGAGGTTGGTAAGCTGATATTGAATCCTCAACGGCATATATTTGCGCTTGCTCATATATCGGCAAGTAAATAGTTAGTCGTACCGAAAGCCCTCGATGGACCTGCAAGAGCTAAGCCGAACATAGGGCGATCAGAACCCGCTCTATATTACACCGCGCAACGAGAACAACTGGACGAAGGTACAGGGGGTGACCACGTTGGCTCGTATATATCTAGGTCCCAACGTGTTTGTAGCAAGTAGGAGTTACTCCTGACGCTGAGCGGTGGGCTCACACTTCTGGTAGCTGTATAATGGTATTCGGGCTGTTCGAATCGAGCTGGCCACGCCCTCTAGGCTGATGGCGCGTAGCATAGTCGTTCAACATGTACTCCGTAGTGATCTGTTTGTCTTGGGAGCACACTATACTGCGGTGGCATACACATCAGACACTTTCAACGTTTGCCACAATTTGCTCTGACACCTGAGTCACTGGCAGCAACCTGGTTTATCATGGCATGAATCTGTCTGATGACAGCCGTCTTGAAACTTTAAACTCTGCGCAAATTTTCTGCTCTCGTCGCGCGTTATTTGCAGCAAAACTGCCAACAGACCTCTAAATGCCTGCGTTAACCGCTCGTGATGGTGCCGCACCGTGGCGCTTCGCAAGCTCCAGGTTTTCATCAGATCTGGACATGGGTCTGAATGGCGATAGGACCCAAACTGAAGGACTCGTAGACTAAAAACTTGGAGCGCATGCCGGGCCGTAATTTCGTCGTAATGTTGCCGGCTGCAAGTGATTGTACATGTCAAAGTACGATCGGGTGGCGCGTTCCGCTTCGTTATGCAATTCGCTCTGCAAGTTCTCCCTATTCACGGCTTGTTTCCCGCAAGCGAACGCAACCAAGGTATTAGTCTTGCCGCCAAGTGCTTGCTCCTCGTCTATTCGTCATCGATCTGCATCAGCTGGGTCGCGAACTCCAAGGGATGGCTTCAAGGGCCATCTTCGGGACTTGCCGAGTATGCATCACGATTCACACTTACCTACCTAGGTATGTGATGTAAGTAAGAAGTGCCGAATGCGACACACACGGCGAAGTCGCAGATTGGAGCGACAACAGGAAAAAAGTGGAATGTTTCAGTAGAGCCGGCAACGATTGAATTAGCCTTCTAGCAAAGCTACACGATATTTGTGAGTTTGATGCTACGAACAATTGTTGATTCGTTCAATCACCACGACGCCAACTACAGATCACATACACGGCTCTGAATTCCCCGTTCATACACCTCATCGAGGTATACGACTACGTCGCTGTAGCTGCCTCATGCTCCAACAAGCGACTCGTCTCGTATCTCAGTGTGCAGCTTCTCATCCTTCTCCATGGCCGCGGCTGCCGCAGCAGGATCTTGCATGGCGTGGGGTACAAGCTGGTCGCCGAAGAGCTCGTCCATCTGCTCGAGGGTCTTGCCCTTGGTCTCGGGGAAGAAGAACCAGTAGCAGAAGAATGCGATGACGTTGAAGACAAAGAAGACGTAGAAGTACTTGAACTCGATCGTGCTAAGCGCCTGAGGGGAGAATTGGGCGAAGATCAAGTTGACGACCCAGTTCGTGAAGGTTGTGATAGCGTTACCGAGCGCGCGGACTTCGACAGGGAAGATCTGAATCAGTGTATTAGCAGACATTTCTAGTGTGACTGAGTGCGTTGCTGCTTACCTCGGCGGGGTACACCCAAGAAATGATACCGAGTGGTGTGTAGAAGAACGAGAATGCAAAGTTCATGGCGACCATACTACGCAATTGCGCACCATTGCTGGGGTTGAAGTATTGTCCCTGTACAGCGTTGACAAGGAGAGCTGCAGCAAGACCAGCAGCAGAAATGAGCAGAGGCTTGATGCGACCGAATTTGTCCAAGATGGCAAGACCGATTGTACACCAGACGATGGACAGAGCTCCGCTAATGCCAATGATCAGAAGAGACTCGCGAGTCGAGATACCAAGGATGTTATAGATGCGAGGGCCGTAGTAGTTAATGACATTGATGCCTGAAAGAGGGCCGAAGGCCTGGACTCCACATCCGAGCAACAGCCTCTTGCGCCATGAAGGTTTGGTAAGGATTGAGAATACGGTGATGTTACCAAGGGCCCTGTCGGCCGCAATAACGTCGCGGATCTCCCGGTACTCGAGGTCGATAACCTCGGAATCGTAGCCGCTGCGGAGTTTCTGGAGCGAAGCCATGGCCTCCTCATGACGGTCCCTTTCCATCAGCCAGCGTGGCGACTCCTGGAGGAAGAAGATACCAGAAACAAGGATGAGACCTGGGAAGCACTGGAATGCAAGCGGAAAGCGCCCTGATGAAAGTCAGTTCGCGATCGTTGATGTGAGCTTGGAGCAACTTACAAGAGAATTGTGTGTTGTTGAAGGAACAGCCATAGCCGAGCCACTGAGCAACGAAGAAACCCCAACTCAGCATCCACTGTAGGAGGCCGGAGAGCACACCGCGGGATCTGGCTTCCGACAGCTCTGCGGCGTAGAGGGGAATGGTGGACGTGAGTTGACCGACTGCAACACCACCGATGAAGCGACCGACGATGAGCATAGCCATGTTGACTGCGCCAGCCTGGAGAGCGCTGCCGAAGACCGACACGAGCGCTCCGACCATAATGGTCAAGCGACGACCCAGCTTGTGCGCGAAAAGCATGTTGAAGATGGTGCCAGCAATAGCTCCGCCTTGAAAGGCGGAGACGATGCCACCGGTTGTGGTGTCATTGGGATTGGCGAAGTACTCTTTGAATGTATCGAGAGCGATGGTGGAGGTGATGATACCAGAATCATAACCAAACAAGAAGCCACCAGTAGCCAGAAAGACCGCAGAGAAGACGGTAGTGGCGAGACCCATCTTGTTTGCGTAGAGAAAAAGCTGGCGGTGCTCTTGTCGGCAACAGACACCGTTCAGGTTTATATACCGCACCACCACCGCAGCGAATCATCAGGACCTAACTCTCTACCCCGGACTGAGTCACGCCGACCGACTGGGCTTGTGCACGTGGAGCAACATCTGCTTCCGATCCCTCGGGGCACCATCTCTGAATAACAGGTAGCGGATTATACATGACCGACTGATGAAGACGGCCAGACTGATCGTTGCATGGCCAGAGAACGTGGGTCAACATTTGCGGTTAGATCATGCGAATTTAATTCGCCGCAGTGGAGACCGTCACCGCCCGTTCTCTAGACTCCAGCATCCTTCCCCGCACAGAGTCAGACTCTAGTCAGGGAGAACTTCGGCAAGCCTTCGCTTTGTCGTGTTCGGTGCAGGTCGCCCCGGACCAAGCTGCGGCTCTCCGTGGTGCGGCGGCAGTCGTACACGCTAAGAAGATGCTTTCTATCATCTAATATCCACATCGTCGACTGCCGAACCCCAGCAGACCCACCTTGTCGGCAGCAGATCTAGTTTTAGCAATCCAGCCTGCTCGGGTCGGCTCACTGAACTGCAAAGCACGATACAGCTTGCGATGGGTTACTAGTGCGCAATCCCGACAAGCCTCAGTATCTTGCCATCGTCGAGATCGAACTTGTCCACTTACCACACCGATTGGATATTCGTTGGATTCAGTCCTGCACAAGCATCATGGCGTTCCAGATCACGCGTTGTGGCATTCACGCCTTCCACGAGACCCTTGGGATCGACACCGACAAGATACGCGTCTTTTGGGTCTTGCAATCAGACTTTGCCGATGCTCGGCAAACAGCATACCGTGTTGAGATATCGGCAACGAAATCTTTCGACGCCATCTGCTGGGATTCTTGCAAAGTAGAGGGAAACCAACAGCGTAACGTCCTTTGCGCACCAGATGGCGGCTTCCAATCAGCATCCTTCCACTACTGGAGAGTGACTGTCTGGGACCAAGATGGCAACACATCACAAGGCGCCACCAATGAGTTCTTCACCGCATATCCAAGGTCGAGTGGCTTGCTCCCTCCCTACAGCATGAACCAAACCTACATGCCTCACACCAGCCTGATCTTCCGGACCTGGTTCGAAGATGAGGCCAATCGATGGAAAGGAGTATGGATCGGCGACAATGGTGATAAGCCCATCTACGTGCGCAAGGCAATCCATCTAGACCGACAGCCGTCTCGTGCCATCGTGCTCGCCAGTGGCCTGGGCCACTTCAATTTCGTCTGTAATGGCGACCCCTCGGCGGCAAATGGCCACAAGCTCGATCCCGGTTGGACCAATTACCACCGCACGGTCCAGTTCACTGCTTACGACGTTTCGGGCATCCTGAAGCAGGGTGAGAACGTGCTCGGTGCTCACATTGGCAACGGCTTCTATGCTGGCGATCAAGGAGATGATCGCTTCTTCTGGCCTTGTTACGAAGACAACACCTATGTCCGATATGGCAATGAGCTGTGCTTCTTCGCTGAGCTGCACCTCTTCTACGAAGACGGCAGTCGCGAGACCATTACTACTGGCCCTGACTGGAGCCTACGCAAGAGCGCAACGACACTTGCGAACATCTACTCATCCGAGACCAAGGACCTTCGTGCTTATCCACACGGCTGGGATGCACCAGGATTCCAGGAAGATGTGCAATGGAAGAAGGCCACGCCAGTCACAGGCCCAAGGGGCAAGCTGAAGTACCAGAACCAGCCCCCGGTGGTTCTGCACGAGACGTACACGCCCAAGACACAGAAGACACTTGAGCCCGGTGTTGTCGCCTTCGACTTCGGTCAGAACATGACCACCATGGTTAAGGTGCAAGTTTCAGGCCCTGCGGGCTCTGAGGTCATCGTGCGCTTCTCGGAGACGATTGGCGAGGATGGCAAAGTCCTCATGCCAGACCCTCTGTTCAAAGCCTTCGAGACTGATGTGTTCTGCAAATTCACGCTCGCGGGCACCGGCGTCGAGACCTGGGAGCCCGACTTCTGCTTCACAGCCGCACGCTACATCCAGATTGAGGGTGCAGCCATCGAGTCGGATAATCCCAACGGCCTACCAACAATCATATCTCTCGAGAGCCGCCACATCTCCTCTGCCGCCCGTCGGCTAGGCACCATGACAACAGACAAAGAGGACTGCAACCAGCTGCTCAGCATGTGCTACTGGTCCTTTGTCTCCAACCTCTTCAGCTACCACACCGATTGCCCGCAGATCGAGAAGTTTGGCTGGCTCGAAGTAACCCACCTGCTTGCGCCTGCAACGCAGTACATCCGGGACATGGAGTCGCTGTACAGCAAGATCCTCTCCGACATTGTCGACGCGCAGGAGCCCAACGGGCTGTGCCCGACCATGGCGCCCGAAATCCGCTACATGTGCGGGCCACTGCACGACACCATCACCTGGGGCGGCGCCGTTGCGCTGCTGCCGGAGATCCTGCGATTCTACTACGGCACCACGCACGTCTACGAGAAGCTCTTCGAGCCCTGCGTGCGCTACATGGAGTACATTGCCACGCAGGAGCGAGACGGCGGGCTGATCGAGCACGGCCTGGGCGACTGGGGGCGCGACATTGCGTTCGGGAACAACCAGGCCAACATTGAGACGGCGATCTACTACCGTTGCCTACGCAACATCCAGGGCATGGCGGCCGAGCTGGGCAAGCCGGAGCAAGAAGCGCGCTTCAAAGCCTGGGCCGAGCGCATCTACGACGCGTACAACGCACACCTGCTCGTCGCAGACAAGCAGAAATACCCCTACGCCTTCTACACGTCCCGCGACGAGCCGGGCGTACAGGACAGGAACATGGTCGCGCAAGCCTTTGCCCTGCAATTCCATCTCGTGCCCAGCGCGCACATTCCCGACGTCCAGCGCGCCTTCCTCGCCAGCTGCACCGACTCGGGGCACCGCATCCAGGCCGGCGAGATCGGGCTCAAGTACCTGTGGAACACGCTCGCAGACGTGGACCGCCCGGACATCGTGCTCGACATGGCGCGCCAGCAGGAGCACCCGAGCTACATGCGGTTCCTCCGCCGCGGCGAGACGACGCTCAACGAGTTCTGGCAGGACGCGTGTCGCTCCAAGTGCCACGACATGCTGGGCACCATCTACGAGTGGTTCTACGAGGCGGTGCTGGGCGTCAAGTGCGAGGCGGTGGCGTATCGGACGTGGACTGTGCGGCCGCCGCTGAAGTCGGAGTTTGGGCACGTCAGGGGCGATGTCGAGTGTCCGTATGGCAGGATCGAGGTCGAGTATTGGAGGGATGAGCCGAGTGGGGGGGTCAGGATGAAGATCTCGGTGCCGACGAGTACGGTTGGGTATTTGTTGCTGCCGGGCGATGAGAGCGAGGCCGACGTTACTCGGCAGCAGAAGGAGCCGAGCACTATTGTGGAGAAGGGCAAGAGGATCGCTCTGAAGCCCGGGCGGTATGATCTAGTGCTGAGGCCATGAGATAGCCTCACTCCGCATCATCAGAGAGCTGTCTTTGTAGATATCGTCTATCGACATGGTGTGGGTATCATCGCTAAAGTCAAGGTCCTATGCTGCAGTATCACACCGACATGTACTCGGCAGCCTCCTGTGCCGCCTCGGCAGCCTCCCTCGTCCGAATCTGCTCCTCCAGTCTCTTTTTCTCTGCGTTCTTGAGCCGCATCATGGTCACCTCTTCCAGACTAGGTGTTTTGGGACTGAATGAGAACTTGGGCGTGCCGAGCGGAGTCGCTCCGGCCCCGGCACCGAGACTGGACCCGAAAGATGCCTTGAACGACTTGGCTGCTGGCGTCGCGGGTGCTGCTGGCGTCGTGGGTGCTGATGGCGTCGTGGGCGATTCGGCGGTGGAGGTGGATGCGCCAGTGGAGGTGGATGCGCCAGTGCCGTTGGCGACGGAGGATAGATCTGGTTCGCCGTTCGCCCAGGCTACGAGGTCAAGCGCTGGGTGATCTGCCTTTGCGTCTGAGACGGCGGCGTGCGCGTGGTCGAGGCGTGCGTAGACGACAAACACTATAGCCACGAGCTTCCTGTGCTTCTCGCCCTCAAGCTTGAGCTTCTTATCCTTGGCCATGATGATGCTGTCAATCTTGCCATACTTCCCAAACATGTTCCTCACCGCATCCTTGTCCCACGTCGTCGTCTCGCCGTCACGATGAAACCGTATCTTGACCGTGCGATCCAGCTCAGCAGACTCCCCCGGCCTTGGCGCCTGTCGCTCAGGGCTCTTGACCGGCTCCGCAGGCGCCGAATTCGCAGCCTCTTCATGCATCCTCGCCCTATCCTTCCTGTCCTGCGCCTCCTTCCTCCGCCTCTTCCCATCCTCGGCCAGACGCTGAATCTCCTGCTCCCTGCGCTCGGCCTCGGTCAAGTCCGCGGCGCGCTTCCTCTTCGCGCTCGCGCCGAAATGGGCGCTCTCGCGCTCCCTCCGCTCGAGCTCCTCCTTCATCTTCCGCCTATTCCCGCTGAGCAGCTCATCCTGGAACGCTTTCTCACGTCGCCGTGTGCGCGCGCGGTCGTACTCGCCCTTGAGTTTGGGGTCGATCAGGATGTCGCGCGCCCAGCCGAGGGCGATGAAGCGGTCGGCGGCATCTTTGTTGTCAGGGTTTTTGTCGGGGTGGTACCGGATCGAGGCTTTGCGGTAGGCGCGCTTGATGACTGATTCTTCGGCGTCAAAGGGCACGGCGAGGAGTGTGTAGTAGTCTTCTGTTGTGGAGCGCGCGAGCTCTTCGAGGTCGTTGTGGTTGTCGCCCATGGCGGCGGCGGCGTGGTTGTTCGCTATGCGTGGATGATGGCCACGACGGTGCGATTCAGATCAAATACTCGAGAGGCAGTAGGCGCCTCACGTGCTGTCAGGTACAGGGTACAGGGTACAAGGTGTGGAGTGCAGTCACCACGTGCAAAGGCCGCAGAAACACTTCACATGCGATCGTCCGCTAATTCGTTGCCTACCGCTGGTGTTCTGCAGGCTTGGCGTCGTCAGACGTCTGGAAAATGTTCGAGGCTCCCTTGGAGCTGTCTCGACCAGTGCTCACCCCTCCATGTCAATTGCGTCCAACATTCGACGCGCCATGACTACACCTCCCACAGAAAGCGCCGCCGCTGGCCGGAAGGTGCTCGAGGGCATCTTCGGCATCAATAAGCCGCAATGGGCGTCTTCAGCGGGCGTTCTGCGCGACCTGCAGACGGAATTCGCCAAATCGGAGCTCTTCCAGCCGTGGCTCGAATCGACACGTCGCCAGATGCTCGTCTCGGGATCGAAGAAGAAGCACATGGACCAGCTCAAGGTGAAACTTGGGCACGGCGGAACCCTCGACCCCATGGCGACAGGCGTGCTCGTCGTCGGCGTGGGCAGAGGCACGAAGGAGCTGGGCAAGTTCCTCGAATGCACCAAGAGCTACGAGTGCGTTGTCCTGTTCGGCGCAGCTACAGACAGCTACGACGCCGTGGGCAAGGTGGTCAGCAAGGCCGACTACGCGCACGTCACGCGCGAGCTGGTCGAGGAGAAGCTCGCCGGCTTCCGCGGCAACATCATGCAGAAGCCCAGCGTCTTCTCCGCGCTCAAAGTCGACGGCAAGAAAATGTACGAATACGCGCGCGAGGGGAAAGACATACCGGCCGTCGCCGCGCGCCCGGTCACAGTAGAGAAGCTCGAGCTCGTGGAGTGGCTCGAGCCCGGCACTCACCCCTTTGCGTGGCCGGCCGAGGAAATCGACGACGATGGTAAAGCCGGCGCAGAGAAGCTGCTGGGAATCCGAGCTTCAGACGCAGTCCAGCACCAGCGCAACGCCAAGCGCGCACGCTCACCCTCGTCCCCCAAGCCCCCGCGCTCCCCAACTCGGGACGCAGGCGACGGCATGCGCGACGACGCCGGCTCCCAGCCCAAGAAACCCCGCACCGCCTCCGAGCCCGCCATGTCCGGCGCCCTCCCCCCCGCGCCGGGCCCCGAAGACGCAGAAGCGCTCAAAGACGCAGAAGCGCCCAAAGACGCAGAAGCCCCCAAAGACGCAGAAGCGCTCGAAGATGCAGAAGCCCCCCAAGCCCAGCCCCATGACACGGCCCAGCGCCCGCTCACCGCAGACATGCCGGAGCCCCTCGTGCCCGACGAGAAGCAGCCCGCAGACAGCGTGGAGCAAGCCTCAGCCGTCGACGCATCGTCTTTCGCAGGCTCAGCGACGCACCTACCATCCCCTCCGCGCATCGACACTTCGCACGCACCACCCGCCGCGCGCCTGCGGATGACCGTCACCAGCGGTTTCTACGTGCGCAGTCTGTGCCACGACCTCGGTGTCGCGTGCGGGTCGCTGGGGCTGATGAGCAGTCTTGTGCGCAGCAGACAGGGCGCGTATTCGCTCGGCGGCGACAATGTGCTGGAGCACGCCGACCTTGCGCGCGGCGCGGGCGTGTGGGAGCCCCAGGTCAAGCGCATGCTGGAGGCGTTCATGGCGAGCGAGGGGTGGGCGGCCGAAGAGCTCGAGGACGACGAGAGCTGGGAGGTCCGCAGGAAGGAACTTGTGGCGGGCCGAAGGGACGAGGATCGCGGGAGGAGTTACAGGGGCGGGGGCGGCGGGAGGGGGAAGTACAAGGGCAGGGGAGGGGGGCGGTATAGCAGGGATATGAACGGCGGCGGTGCGGGACGGAGCGAGTGAAGAAAGACAGAGCCACGACATGATACCCAGAACACGTGAAGAAATGACATCCCGTTGCAGGTGAAGAAATGACATCCCCATTGCAGGTGAAGAAATGATATCCCATTGCAGGAGAAGAAATGATATCCCATTGCAGGAGAAGAAATGATACCCCCATTGCAGGAGAAGAAATGACATCCCCATTGCAGGAGAAGAAATGATATCCCATTGCAGGAAAAGACTCTAGAACGCCGGTAATGCAAGCACGGTATCCAACCCACCGCTCAACAGCCAACACCCTCTCCTCGTCAGCCCTGCACACTCGCCCCCGAGCTGCGGCGGCGGCTGTGAGAGCTATCCCTCAGACTCTGCATGCCGCGCGGGCCACCAAGGGGCTCAGCATGCTCCAGCGCACCCTCGCCGTCCCTCTTCTCCTCGGCATTGATGAACAGAAAACTAACGACCATGATGGCCGCACCAACCCAGTACAGCCAGCTCGCATACTGACCATCAAGCACCATCTGCCCTACAAGACTAAGCGGGATAGTCAAACTAAGACCGACGCTAACGACCAGCGGGCTGGTGAGCAGCATGGCGTAGGCCCAGCAGAAGTCGCTGACGAGGCTGGACGCGCTGTTGACGAGGACAATGGCCAGGATGGAGCGCGTGGGCGGCAGCTGAAAGGGTTCGATGCGCGTCAGGTGCAGGATCACGAGGCCCGGCCACAGCAACACCACGTTGGATAAGCCCACTAAGCCGAAGAATAGCGGCATGTTTACCCGCGATTCGCTGCCGATGCGCTTCTTCATCAGCACGGCGTAGAAGCCGTACAGCACGGCCGACACAAAGGCCATGACGTCGCCCAGGGCCAGCTCGCGCGGCGTCTTGTGCGGGAAGGAGCCCCGGTTCGAGTCTGTGGCGCCCGAGACGTCGATGGTGGAGATGAGGGCCACGCCGGCGAGCGAGGCGCCGACGCCGATGAGCTTGCCGAGGGTGAAGCGCTCGACGCGCAGGAGCGAGCCGCAGAGCAGCGTCCAGATCGAGGACGTCGAGGCGAGAATGGTGCTGGAGGCGACGGTGGTGTAGGACAGGCAGGCGGCGGCGAAGTAGTTTGCGAGGAACCAGAGGATGCAGAACTCGAGGGCGAGCTTGGCCGTCTCGTGCAGCGTCAGGCCCTCGTCGGGCGTCACTTCGCGCGGGTCGTGGACGCTGCCGTTGGTGCTGGAGCCGAGCAGCAGTTCGGCGCCCTCGGCATCGCCGGACTTGCTGGGCGAGCGCGAGGCCGAGGCCGATTCGTGGTCGCGCAGGAGGGTCCACTTGCCGGCGCGGCGGTTGAGCAGGCTGCGCAGTTGGGCGGCCAGGGGCTCGCGGTGGGTGCTGGTGGCGCGGTTGGCGCGGTCGGCCCAGAGGTGGTGCAGCAGCATTGGGATGAGCGGGATGAGGAAGAAGGAGGTATTGACGTAGGTCACGAGATAGGGCTTGTCGTAGGACGAGTCGGCGAATATGGTCTGGGGGGGGGATTAGCGCGGTCCGAATGGTCGGGCATGGGATGCTGCTACGTACGCTAGCTAGGAAGTTGGACGCTGTCCAGAGAAACACAGTCGCCAACAACAGCGCGATTCCGACTGCGTGCCGCGTCTTGCTGTGCGGCTTCTTCTCCTCGTCCCACACGCTGACGACGCTCGCCGGCGAGCGCACGGGGCTGTCCAAGAAATCATCGTCGTAGACGAAGCGGCTGTCGCTGGACGCCGAGCTGCTGCGCGGGCTGAGGGGCGTCGTGGGCGTGGGCTCGACCTCCTCCTGTCGTCGCGGGATCATTGTGATTATATATATACGTGTATATATACGTATATATATATATATATATATGCAGCACTCAAGGGAATGAGGTGCCGTCAGGGAGGGCCCGCAGCGAAGCAAGTGTAGGCCTTGGACGGGATCGCGGCCGGGAGTCGGGTGTCCAAGTGCGGTAGAGGGCCCATGAGACGGCTGTGCAGTGCGAGAGCCAGAGGCTGCGTGTCGGCTCCTGCAGCGACTGCGTGAGGGTCCAGCGTGACCCGGGAAACTCGGGGATGGCGTCGTGGTCCGAGATGCGCAGTGCTTCAGGGTCGTCTGTCTCAGAAGTGTGCATAGCGCCGGGCCCGGACGCGTCAGCCACATCTCGTCATTTCACATGCGCCACGCCTGTATAAGTGAACGTGTGCCTGTGCAACCCTTCAACTGCACGTGATTCAACATGTGTACTGTGCAACCCTTCAACTGCACGTGATTCAACATGTGTACTGTGCAACCCTTCAGCTGCACGTGATTCAACATGTGCACTGTGCAACCCTTCAACTGCACGTGATTAAATATGTACTATCAGTCGCTATACTCCCAGTGACCACAACCAAGCAAGAGACCCCAACAGAGGCATGCAATACACCGTACACCAGACTCCGCCGAACGACACTAGGCTGTGTGAGGCTACAAGTGTCTCCAGAACGATGCTTTCTACACCCTCGTGCACACTAGCACGCGCATCCACCCTCGTTGCCCTTCAGATCGATGGGGATGGTCTCGGGGAAGTCGTTGCTGAAGTCGCCGACGTCTTCCTGCGCAAGGGCCTGTCGTGCGATGACTGCTTTGCGTTAGTACTGCAGTTGATCGTGGATCGAACGGCACTTACCCTCGAATGCCTGCTCGACGTTGATAGCGTCCTTGGCGCTGGTCTCAAAGTACGGGATGCCGCCTTTCGACTGGCAGAAGGTCATGGCGCGCTTCGACGAGATCTGGAGCTGAAGTCAGCGACTGCAGCGCTTGCAGCTGTCTGGAAGACTCACCATCCTTTTACTCTCCTCGACATCGATCTTGTTGCCAATCACGACCTGTGCTTGTCAGCCATGCTCCGCCCTCTGTCGTAGCAGAAGCACATACAAAGGGGAAACTCTCGGGGTCCATGGGGCTGGCCTGGACCAGGAACTCGTCTCTCCAGCTGTCAAGTGTGTCGAAACTCTTCGAGTTGTTGACGTCGTATACGAGCACACAGCAGTCGGCGCCGCGGTAGAATGCGACACCGAGCGACTGGAAGCGCTCCTGTCCAGCTGTATCCCAGAGCTATGCATTGTCAATCGTTGCGCCGCAGAGCGGGGAGTGCGCCAGCCCACCTGCATCGTCACAAGCCTGTCATCGACCATGACTTCCTTGGTGAGGAAGTCGGCGCCTATTGTCGCCTTGTAGCTCGCGCTGAACTTCTTGTTGACCTATGTCCTTTGTGTGAGCGAGGGCACTCTGCCTGCAATAGTGCGACTGCTGCATATCGACCGCGAGGGGTGGAGTCGTACATATTGGTTCATCAGACTGGTCTTGCCGACACCGCTGTCACCGAGGATGATGACCTGCCTACGTCAGCCGGGTACAGCATTCTGGAAGATGCCGTGACTACCTTGAGGAGAACCTTCTTCCTGGACGCCATTGTGTATGTGGGGTGCGTTGGTGAGGCGTACGGCCGAGGGACGGCGCGATTGATAGGCGGTCGAAGCTTCGGCGATGACGAAGGTCGCGGTGTGAGCGTGACCGGTCAGGTGCTAGGCAGCAAATCTACTACAACGCTCTTGAGGAGATCCAGAAGAATTCGCAAGGCTAGATCTATATTGCAATGTCTACAGGCGGCGCAGCAGAGAGATATGCCGAGCTTGGTCGTCTCGACTGGTGTTGATGTCAGTCCAGCCTCGCGACCGCTTGGCGCGCTACTGCAACCTGCCCCCACGCTTGACCGACTGCGGCTCGCGCCCTGGACACGACGACGTCCTATCGTCTGGACACTACGTCCCCAAGATGCCTCGCAATCAACCCATACGCAATTCTTCCAAGGTAATAACCGACAGAGCCATAAACCGGCCCCGACTGTCGTAAGACCAAACCCGTAGAAACAAAACACCAAAATGCCCCATGTGAGAAGGCCACAACGCCCCATGTCAAACCGCCAAAACGCGCCAATGCTGAAGCGCTTCAATCCAGACAGCCTCCGGTCTGTCCTCATATTCCGTTCGCCGTAGCCTCCATAGCTCTAGCACCACCCTCAAGAGCCATGGCCACGCTGCATAGAATCCGCAGCCCAGCTGGCAGCCTCCGAGACGTAGTCCTGATCTGCCTTAGCGACGTGAGCCTCACTCAAGCACCCCTCAGCCCCTCCGGGCAGCCCACAGCAGCGCCACACGAAAGCGTGCGGAAACAGCGCGAGCACCTGCGTATGGTCTTTGGGCACGCCGCATCTGGCGTCCCAGTGTTGCCACACGGGGGACCTGTCGTCGACTACGGGTTCGTCGGCTGTGTGGAGTTAGCATGCACGCTGGAGACGTGGAGCTGGTATTGAAATCTGAAGGGAAGGCGCTTACCCAAGTGCCGCACGCAAGCCATCCCGTGGTTGTGGGCTTCGTCAAAGGGCGCGTAGCATTTGGTGCACATTTTGCTCGTCATGCACGCCGCCGCGGCTTCCGGTGTAGATGGAGCCGGATCCTGCGGTGCAAGGTGTTGCTCACGCTGTTGGCTCGGCATGTGCTGCATGCGCACGTGATCCGAGGGCATTTGACCTGGGAGTGCCTGTCGTGTCCACTGCTGCTGGAGCGTCTGTGGAGCGAATATTTCCCGGTCAGGTGACGCCTGACCAAGAGGCCGTTGGACAGGCAGTCGCTGAGCTGGAGTCTGCTGGCTGAAATGCTCTGGGTTCAAAGGCTGCTGCTTCAACGACTGCTGGTCAAAAGTCTGCTGCTGGGAGAAATCCCGGCCTGAAACATGCAGGTCGAGATACTCCTGATCATGCATATACCGCCGATCGAGCATCCGCAGAAAGGTCATTGGAGCGCGGAACTCGTTCACGTTCGGCACCTGAGCGTGCACCTGCTGATACGGGACGGGCCTGCAGATACAAATATTAGCCATGCCCAACCTTCGAATACCGCGGCAGCTGAAATGTGTGCGCAGAAAATAACAGTGAAGGAGAATCGACTTACCGTTGCACTGTCTCCTGGTCCTGGAGAAACGGCGTCGGGCTGCTCTGCAGTCTGCGCGACGAAGACAGGATGGCGCTACGCCGCGACGCAGCTTCAAAGCGATTTCCTCCTCCGTCAGCCTCTGCGTGGTCAGGAAGTGGCGCTGCTGCGCGGGGCGCGATGGGGCTGTGGGTGTGCTCATCATTGGGGATGAGCATCCTGCGTCAGAAGCTGCAATGCGCAGCGAATCTGCACATGCAGGCACATGAAGCAGATGTGGAAGGATTGGTGGCACCGCCAGCGCATTTGTAGGGTCAGAGGAAGCGTCGTTTCTCGTGCGGTAGGAAGCGAGTTTCTCGTTTCTCGTTTCCTAGCCGGAGAGGTGAATATTCGCTGAGCTGAGGGGATGGTTGTGAATTATTCGATTGAGCGCGAGGTTTATTCGCTGGCCACGATGAAGAGCCTCACTATCTCGTTTAACATTCTGCTTATACGGCCGGGCATGACAAAGTCGAGAAAGTCCAATGTAGCTGTATGTCAAAATTTAGGGAGCGAGCTACTGCTGCGATATAGACAAAATGTAACTCGATCGCAGCTCTGGCGACTACAATACTTCTAGGTCAGCTCACACCTTCGATATGCCGACTCGCATGACACTGATCGAGGGCACTCCGATCCTACCTAACTAGCCCATGTATGCCGGCTTCCCACAAGATTGAACTTTGTCCATGAAATCGGTCAGTGAGTCTGATTTTTTTTTTCGCCATGACGATTTCCCGTATAAGGACTGGCAGTCCCTCGAACCCATGGTAGGTCGGTTAATTTTCTGCATCGATTACAGTATCTGCTTTATTCTGACGTCACTTCGCAATCGTCATGGCCATGTTCTGTGCTTCAGACAAAGTGCCCGCAAGCACAGGAGGTAGCCACTGCCCTCTCCAGTGTGGTGAGTCTTTAGTCGATATTGGCGACAGTGACTGTCCGTCTGCGTCCGGTGGATTCCGCTTTTCTCCATAGGGACATCTTTGACGTCGAGAAGAAGAACACCCGGTGCCTGCAAATGTCCGACTGCAGCCGACAATGAGCAAGACCATCACGAGTAATGGTAAGAGGCTATTTTTCACCAGATCAGGCGTGTGAAGAAATTTGGCGGGCAATTCAAAGTTGTGGACGACCCCTCTACGTGACCTCCATGTTGCTTTGCTGCCTAACGCGCAGCTGAGTCCACGCGGTTCAAGCCGCCGACCTCCACTAGAATTTTGACGTGCTTTTCCTTGTCGTTGATGAGGGCCTTGATACCATCCTCAACTAGATCTTCCATCTGTATCGTACTCGTGATCATCTTGCTTGACTGTAGGTTGCCTGTCATCGGGTCAGCAAAAGCGCAAATCCAGCCGATGAAGCACTAACCTTTGGCGAGCTGCTCAACAACAGCTTCAAAGTCTTTTCTCTGATAGCCTAAAACAGCCGTATACTTCGCTTCCCTGAACACCAGCATATTGGGATTGAACGGCACCGCCTTCTCCCAAATCGCCACGTTAACCACCGTACCCTTCACCTTGACTGCTGTGCAAGCAGTCTCAATGCTCGCAGGCACACCCGCGCAATCAAACACTACATCCGGCCCACCCGAGCCACTCAATTCTCTGCTGACCTTGACGGTATCGTACGTCTTCGGATCTAGAACATGATGCGCGCCAAACTCGCTCGCGAACCGTTGTCTCGACGACGAAACCTCACTCACAATGATCTTCTTCACACCCTTTGCCTTCAAACACTGCACAACCGCCAATCCAATCGGGCCGCCGCCCAAAACCAACGCCACCGTGTCTGCCTCGATGGGCGCGGCCGACACAGCATGCCACGCCACGCTCAGCGGCTCGACCAGCGCGCCAACGTCCAGTGAGATGTTGGACGGCAGTGAAATGATAGCTTTCTCGGGAACGACAACGTTTTCACTCAACCCGCCGCCTCCGCCAGAGAGCCCAATGAATCCACCGTTGTAGCACACGTTCTCGACGCCGGCTTCACAAGCGTAACAGGTGCCGCACGCGATGGTGGGTTGGACGACGCACTGCTGGCCGACTGTGAAGCCCTCTACGTCAGGCCCTAGCTCGGTGATGACGCCGCTGAACTCGTGGCCGAGTGTGATGGGGATTGTATCGTGCGTACATGGATGCGGTGTTGTGGGCGCGAAGGTAGGGCCACCGAGATACTCGTGAAGATCAGTGCCGCAGATGCCTACGTACGCGGGTGCGACCTACACAAAGTGTTAGTGTCGTGCCATGTTTTGGAGCGTGGCTGTTTCCCGCGCACCCTGACTTGTCCGGAGCCGCACTTGGCCTCAGCCACATCATCTTCAATCCTGATATCCTCTTTTCCATAGTATCTTGCTGCACGCATGTCTTCAGTACCTTCGTCCTTCTGACGTCTGGATTGGAGTCGCGGTCGCTATCGGTTGTGATTACGCTGTTGATGAACGCGCACTCGATCATGGCCGACATGCGTTGTTGTAGTCTGGTGAACAACCCCTCTCTTATGATTTGCTACGGACCGACGTGCAGGACCCACAAAGATCGAGTCGGCTAACAGAAAAACGCTTATGGGACAGGAATTGTGGTGTGAGAACCCGTCAGTGTGACCGCAGGGGAATGTACATCCTTAAAGCCACGCAGACACGGAGCCCCCAGCCTTCATAAGCGCAAGCGTCAGCCGAGCGCAGTGGCACGGTTTTTTTCTGTTGCTGTGACATCGTGAGGTCGGATCTGGGTGTGCGGACTGAAACAGGACTGGCAGGTCCGCATGGCCGGCTTGTGTGCTGGTGTGTGAGTGGATGAAGGGTTAAGCTTTGCGGGGAAGGGGCTAGATTGGAGCGAATCGGGGGCGGAGATCCGGGGTTGGCGCTAGCTTTGTGGTGTTTTAATGCGGTTCTGGAAGCTGTCAACAAGAAATGCTGCTTATTGATAGACGTCGTAATCTCGTTCACGGAGAAACGCCGATGTTTATCGAAATGTGCTGTTGATGCAAGATGGCTGGAATGGCCGGTGTCAATCGCTGCCTCACCCCGTGACTGCCTCCTGCCCTGCGTGAAGACTTTAGCGCCAGAAAATGCGGTCAAACGCCTGTACATGCCACTGAGTACCCTGCATCCCCCTATCTTTACCCAAGCATCTCTCCCCAGTCAGGCATGACGACAAACTTGCCCTTGACGCGTCCAAATGAGATTGCCTCGCCCGCGTCTTCAGGCACCACGCGATCCTTTTCGGGCACAACGTGGATGCTGACTACTTCTTGCAGAAAGCTTGCTTTGTTCCCAGGTGCAAGCTCGTAGCTTGTGCCTCCCCAGTCCAGTGTTGTGCGCCCTGACTGTCGTACCCGTAGCTTGCCAACCATCCCACTCGCGAAGCGTGGGCCTTGTGCTGGTTTTGCGGCTGGGTCAGAAAAGCCTTCCTCGGATTTGATTTTGACGGCCTCCTTCTTGACAGTGGGCGCAGATGCTGAGGCTTCAGCAGCGTCTGGAGTCTCTTTCTTGATGCCCGGCTCAAGAAGCTCTGGCATGAGCGGCGGAATCTGGAAGAGATACACATTGTTGTCTCGCACAGTGGGCTTTGGTGCAGCGGCTGCGCCGTCTGCCATTGCTGTGTCTCCTGCCGTGTCCACTGCGGGCGAATCCTCCGGACCGAGTTCGGCGCGGATGTGTTTGCGATTTTCGAGGAAGCGTGACCACTCTGCACGGTCTTCGTCTGTCTGTAGAACGGGTTCTGCTATGCTTTTTGCGCGGCCCTTGGCTTTTCGTTCGACAGTCGGTGACTGTGGCTCTTCTTTCTGTGGTGATTCCATCTGGTCAGCGTTCATGCCGACCTGCTCTGCATCTGGCATCTGCTCGTCGTCGCTATTGTGCTCCGCTTTGACTTGCACATCTGAGTCGTCGGTATCCTGCCATACACCCTTAAATGGCTTGCGCACGCTTGTAATCTCCACGTCGCTCGCTTTGCCCTTGCCCTTTCGTGATGACTGCCCGGGCCGCTCTCCAGCGGACTTACGACTACCTGTCCCAACAGGCTCTACTGTGTCCTTTGGTGCTGTCTCGGCACTAGCCTCTGTGTTCAGCGCTAAGGTCTTTTCTTGGTGTTCTTTTCGTGTGATTCGGATAGGAAGTGCGGATCTCGAGGGGCGTTCATTGACATCCGCGCCATCTTCGTCATCAGAGACCTCGATGAGGTCGATATCTCTCCGAGGAAACTCTTGATCCTCTTCGTCTTCAGAAGATTCAACAACGCCGCCATCTTCTCTCTTGATCGACGAGCCGCTTCCTCCTCCCCCACCACCACCACGGCCCCCATCATAGCCGCCTGACCCGCTCGGACCGCTTTCGTCGCCCTCGTTCTTGACGCGCACGGCTCGTGACCCTGATCCAGAACCGAATCCTGAGAAGCTCCTAGCATTGGCTTTCCGATCTGATAGTAATGTCAGCATTGTCCTGCGGGTTAGATGAAGCCCACTGACCTTCTTTCGAGCTACCGAGCGAAAATGGTCCGCTCATAGCACCGCTGTAGCCACCACGACCTCTTGTGGCCCTGCTGGCTTCCTTTGCAGCTTCCCTCTCCTTTCTCCTAGCCTGGTACTGAGCCTCCTTTTCCTGGTCCCTGTTTCTGATCTTCTCGCGCTCTAGCTGTTCCTTCTCAAGCGCAGCTCGCTCTTCTTTGCTTCGTCGACCAGTAAACATAGGTTTGGGCGCTGCTTTCTTGCCCCTGGTAGTGATGGTGCCGCGCTTGACGGAGGGCGATGCAGACCTTGAAGATGGCTCTGCACTCTTAAGGCCTCCCAAGCGCTGCACGGGGGCACGAGTTGAGGCTTCGGCGCCATCTTGTGGTGTTACAGCGGCTGAGAATGTATCGTTGAGCGTGGGGCCATCCTCTGCAGATGTAGGTGGTTTTGCGTCGGCGTCACTCTCTTTCTTGGGAAGCGTAGCCTCTGTAGATTCACTTGTAGCAGGCGCATCGAAGGTTTGCGGGGTTGTGGTTTCGCTAGCTTCGCTGGCGTTGTCCGTAGCTATTCCTGCAACAGTAGCTCCTCCTCGGGAACCCCCGCGCGCGCCTCGATTGGGACGGTTGCCTCTCGGTTTTGGTGGCATTGGTGATTCGAGGCAATGTTGTCGCGGTTGTAAAGGTGACTCGGCAACACTTCGCAAAACATTTTGGCTCAAGCTTATCGATATCTAGCCGACGCGCGACGTCACATGAGGGGCGCGGTGCGCGTTGTCGCTGGGCTCGCTAGGCACTTATGCAGTAGGTGGAAAGATGTAGGCATAGACTCGTTAGCAAACTCGAAGGCTACGTCCAATTTTAATTCGTCCACAACATACGTTAAGAGCGCCCTGCTCTACTATTCATCCAACCCTAGCGATTACAGTCTCTCTCGAGCCACAACTATTCTTGACCAAGCAGCGGTGCTAACAAAGATGGTATGCCAATAAGTAAACGTCATGCTCCTCCCATGCTCGCTAGAAATGTTGGAAATAGTCTGATCCCAGAACGCCGGCCATGAAGCATCTTGCATGAGCACGCTATACCGAGCAGCGTCCAACATGAACGCATTAACAAAACAGAAGGATAAGGGCAAGGAGAGGCAAAGATATGATCGATGAAGCTAATGCGGCGTTGCAACGGCATTACCCTTCAATAAGAACTTTGGGGCTGTTGCCCAACAGCTCAAGACACCTGCGGGCAAGTGTTACCACCTCGCCCTCGCCGTCTTCGTTGTCTTCGTCGTCTGACTCGATGTTGCGTTCGGCGATTTCGGTAACCATGTGAATGATCTCGTCTGACTTGGAGATTCTTTCGGACAGACGGGCGTCTTCAGACTCGAGCAGTTGTAACAGCGTCCAGATAGCGATGTGCTGGAATGTGGGGTCTCCGCTGGCCAGGAAGCGGCGGAGGTAGCCGTGAATACCACCTGCAGGCTCCGTCCAATTTTGGATGAAGATGGTGTAATCACCCACTGCACAAGTTAGCTTTGCTTTGTTCCTCTAAGTTGAAGTCTCATACCTTTAGATGACAGATTGCCGAGAGCTGCAGCACTGTTGCCCTGAACCTCAATACTGTCCGACTCAGTGAGCGGAATGAGGACATCGAAGACACCGAGGTTAAGCAGGTGAGGCTTCAGCTCCTCACTCAGTGCAAGAACAGCGATCGCCGCAGTCATCTCAGACTGGACAGGCAGTCGTACATTCAGAACCAGCTGCTTGCACTTCTGCACGGCACCAGCCTCCAAGACAAGCTGCTTGTTCTTGTCCGAGCTGGCGGCAAGATTGCGGAGAGTCGAGATAGCGTGGCATTGGATCTCGTCATTCTCTGTCGAGCCGAGGAGGTCGACAAGCGGGCGGAGAAAACCGGCTTCGATGATCGGCGACTCGTTGGCTGGGTGGATGGAGATGTTTCGTATACATGCAACGGCGGAGAGAATAAGTGGGAGGTAAGATGATTGCAGAAGGCGGAGAAGAGAAGGCAGACCACGTGCGCGTACAATGTCGAGCTGGTAGCGTTCGTCTGATGCAAGGTTGCGCAGAGCGAGCGCAGCTTGACACTGCACCTTGGGCGACGAAGACTCCATCAGGTGGACTAGCGATTGCACCAGGCGACCCTCGGTCTGTGCCAATTTCGCACGGTTGCTCGCATCGACGGCGATGTTGCTCAGCGCTGTTGTGCAGTAGTACTGGACGTCGACGTCTGTGGAGGAGAGAAGCTGGACGAGAACAGGGATTGCACCGGCATTGACAAGCTGTTGGCGGTTGTCATCTGCACCGTTGTTAGTTACGCTACCTCTCTACGCCGCAATAGACAACAACCATACCTGAATGTGTCATGTTCAGCAGCGCGCCGGTGGCATTCCTTTGCACGCGCATGTCCCTGGACTTGGCCAGACGCGTGAGAGGCTGCAGGGATCCCGAGCGAGCGATCTTGGCCTTGTTGTCCTCGTGCGTGGCCAGGTTGGTGATACACCCAACGGCGTTGCACTGCACCTCAACATTGGGCGAGTTCATCTGCTTGATGAGGGGCGCAAGACCACCCAGTGCGACAATGGCGACTTTGTTCTCAGCTGCGGAGCATTAGCGGCGTGTGGCAGGTATCGTGAGCTGTGACGTACTGTTCACCGCCAAATTGCCCAGCGCGGCGCTGGCAGCACGCTGCACCTCGAGGTCGGGGTTCTGAAGCAGGAAGAGGATGGGCTCTAGGGTATTGCGGTCGACTTCTCTAACATCTGTGCGCAGTGGTGGTCAGATCTGAGTGCAGCTATGACGTGCAGGGTCCAAGTACCTCTCTCCGTGATCTCAGCAAACGTCAAGCTAGCCGACCTCTGCAAATCGATGTTGTCTGAATATACGAGTGTAGATAATGCCCGAAGAGGCTCGCCGGAGAAGAAGTCGGTCTCAGCGCGCTGGGAGAGGTCAGTATGCGGGCGCGCAGCACAGAGATGGCGGGTCGCGATACCATTTCAAGGAAGCCCAGCAGATCGGCGACAGCTTCACGCTCGCTGTCGGCCAGCACAGGGTCGTAGATGCTGTCCTTGGAGCGTCCTATGTGAGAACATGTTAGTCATACTGGACGATGGGATGCGGGTTGGCGAGGTGCATACCGCCGCAGCAGGAGCCGCAGAGCTTGGAGAGAAAGCCCATGATGCAATCTGCCTTTCAGGGTTCGAGGGCCTTAAGAGCCTGCCCGTAGAGTGTGCAGAAGGCGGCGATGGCAGCGACAACAATCGCAGACCAGATGGTATGGCGGACGGGCAGCTCGAGGGGCGCGCTGCGACGTGCGATGGGCTATCACGCGGCGATGGGGATGGTGATGAGCGCACAGATGAGGTGTTGCCCGTGCTGGCTGGGGCTCTTGTCCAACTCAGCGGCAGCTTTCTCCACCACACTGGACCGTGCCCCGGCCTGTTAGCCTGTTAAGCGCGCTGGAAAAGCTCGTCCGGTTTGTTAGATTGTCACATGGAAAAAGTGGACTCTTGGTGCGGATAGATAGAGCGCGAGAGGGTCTTGAGCTAGCAGACAGAGCGAACTCGCCGCAATGCCGTTTATCTACGAGTGGGTGCTGCTGCCCTTGGGCGGCATTGTCCGCGTGAACAGCTCCGGCATGGAAGAAGGCGCATCCACAGTGGTGTCGCCAGGGCAGCGACATCATGCGCCGCCTCACATCCAACTGCAGTGCAAGTGTGCCCTCGAACAGTGGTGGTGTTTGTTTCATCGTCTTTCGTCCCGCAGATAGTGCGTGCCGGTCGAGCGCGCCCTGCATGGAACTGCGTCGATGGGCAGCCCCACGCTTACATAGCTACCTCAGTATTTTGTAACACCGCGAGCCTCAGCTGGGCGTACCAAGATGAGGTGCCCTCTGAGCAGACCGTGCCAGAGCCCCACGAGCCCAAGCGCGGGGAATTACTTATGCACCTTGGCTCCCCTGCAGTCACAATGACTCTTCGAGACTGCGCTCACATCTGAGGGCCGTCGGCGCAGGCGTCGTACGTCAACTTGCCGTGTTCTCCAAGGCTGCCTCAGCGCTGCGCCCAGTCACTGTACGTAAATGCAGCAGCTTACCCCAGACGCTCGTCCCATTTGCCAGAGCTTTGGCGATCTTGTGTGACGCTATGCTGCCCGGCATCCTTCCCCTCTCCGGCGCACGCCGAAGCGAACTGGACGTGGGGTGCTGGACTGATGGAGTGAAAGTGAAGAGGGTAGCGTACCCTTGAGTACTGCACAAACGAAGTGGCTACGTCCAAGCACCAATTGCCAGTCCGAGTGCATATCCGCCTTCAGCGCCCAGCAACTCCTACCAACCTGCCGCAAATCTCCGCAGGCATACCGTGGTTTTCGTTGTGCCCGCCCAGCGCAAGTTCTAGCACGCTACCACAAACAGGCATCCGCTGCTCTTGGACACATTCATATTGACAATCCCTTCATTCGCCCTCCGTGTTCTCCCGTTACTGTCCTCCAGCGCGACCCCACGGCCTGCATATTAATACGCAGGGTGTCGCAGCTGGATTTCGAGGTTTGCATCCACCACAGAAAACCGATTTAATGGCCCCACAGCCATCCTCACACATTTTCCAGAAGCTCAAGCTCGATACCTCGGCGCCCCACAAGCGGGTTGCATCGACTTTTGATTCGATCCCGCGACCTGAGTCTGCGCAAAATGGCCATGCGCAGTCGCAGGAGGAGCTCGACCACATCGATGGGCACAAGATCACCGACGGCCCGTTCAAGGCGCGCCATCACAACGGATCCCATGGGCACATAGGCACCTACGATGGCGGCGTTGGCCTGTCGCTGGGGCGCACTGCTAGCAACGAGAAGGCCATGGAGGAGATGTTTAGGCGGCGAAAGACATCAATCAGTTTCGACAATGAGGTCCAGCTCGACACTGGCGACCGCGTTGGTCTTGAGGTCCCCGTCCCGAAGCCGCTACCACGGAACGCGTCTCCGTCCTATACGCCTGAAGATGGCAGCTACTCTGAGGGCGAATACCTTGAGATGCCCTTCAATCACCGTCGAGCGCTCTCGCGAAAAACCAGCAACGGCCAAGGGCGCTACCCTCTCCTCCAATCTACCGTTGATGACATGGCCAATGATGCTGAGTACAACGACCAAGTCGCATCCCTCACATCTGAAGCAACCGCCTCGCCCCTAGAAGAAGCGCGTACGCCAATCGAGACACCGAGCCAGTACATGCTCTCGCCGTTGCCTGCCACAAGCTCGCCATTGGAGTTTCCGCTGTTCTCGCCGATGAGCCGTGGGCCTACGAGGAACAGAAGCTTCCGAACCGAGATCAGCGAGGATGGCAGTTTGCGACGGGCTAGTCGGCGGTCGTCCAATCGTTCTGGACGCTCTTTGTCGTCCATGTCGCCTGCTGCTTCCTTCCTCGCGCGCTACAAGGCTACAGAAGCACCACTGAAAGAGCCTCAGCCGGACGATGAGGGCCAGGGGCTTGGATACGACAACGAGTACATCATTGGCAAGCAGATTGGCTACGGTGGTTTCAGCATTGTCAAAGAGGTGATGAGCATGGAAAATGGCAAGCCGGTGATAGATGCGGTGAAGATTGTACGCAAGCAGCAGAGCAGCAAATCCGAATTCGAGAACGAGGCGCTTCAGAGCCAATTCGACCACGAGGTAGAGATGTGGCGCTTCCTGCGACACCCATACATCCTGCCACTCATCAAGGTTTACACCACCGACTATGCGACGTTCTGCATTACGAAGCTGAACAAAGGTGGTACTTTGTTTGATCTGATTCGTGACACACGGCGACAGCAGAAATGTGGTCTACCGAAGCATCTGGTCAAACGCTACGCTTACCAGTTGGCATCGGCGATGCGCTATCTACACAACGATGTTTACGTCGTTCACCGCGACGTCAAGCTGGAAAATTGTCTTGTAGACATGACTGTACCCAATGCGGCAACCGAAGGCGGTGACGTCCTGCTGTGTGACTTCGGCATGGCAGATTTTATTGTTCGAGACGACCGAGACGGCCCGGAACCACATTCTATTGGGCAAAACCAGAACATTGGCCCAGCTGATACTAGCACGTCAGTTCAGGGGAGTCTGCAGTATGCTGCACCTGAGCTTTTCAACGCCACCGGCGCGGTCATGTTCTCTCCAGCGGCAGATGTTTGGGCATTTGGTGTCGTGCTTTACGCGCTGCTCACCGCCACTCTACCCTTCAATGAAGGGCTTGATGCGAAGACGACCGACAAAATTTTGAAAGGCACATGGGATCAGGAGCTCGTACGCACTGCAGAGGCATTGCAGGACGGCAGTGCGGAAGACGCACTGACTCTGCTGAAGGGCTGCCTTGAAAAGGATGCCGAACAACGCTGGAACGTCTCGGACATTCTCAAAAGTGACTTTCTGGGCGACTGCGCCAAGCAGTACGAGGGAGTCTCGCGCTCCTGGGTGCCTGCAGATTGAAAAGGGAGGCTACTCCCACGATACAAAAAGACCGGATAGACGACGTTTCTGGATAACGATACCCCCATGCTACATCGCATCTCTCCCCTTATTTATTCTTACAAGATTTCATGGATACCCTACTTCATTCCACTCAATCTGTTGGGCATTGGTTCACGTTGGCGTTCGATCTGACTTAGCTCGTCTCGTTGTTGGTTGTACCTGCGATGTGTTTGGGCGTTTGATGGCGTCGTTTGTACCAGAGCATAGCGAACAGCAGCCGGAGCTGCTACTAATACTAGAATGCCAAACTCTTGCTCAATCGTATTGCCGATGAGCTCTCACATCTACTCATCGATACATGATCACGTGGTCGATTCTATAGACGACCACTTCCTCGGAGCTTTAATTGATGAAATGCAGGGATCGTGCGCCCTCTCTGCAGTTTTAGCTCAGTGCACCTGCACCTTCCCCCACACGAACTCTGCCGCTCTCAGATTGCTGCAGACTACATGACTCGGTCCCAGCCTTGTAAGCCTTTTGCATGAGCTAAGGTCGAATTGTGGTCCGGCACTCGCGTCCCCAAATCTCGTCCGGCACAGTAAAGACACTCGGCACTGCCTCGAGATGATTACAATCGCTGGCAAGATGTGCCACCAGCCCTGGCCCCTGATATCTTCCTATACTTAGACCTGTTCGATTCTCAGCGAGGATCGTCAACTGATAGAGCTACATTCCCATCCTTCTCACGCATGCGCAACTAACTACTTTCGTGCGCTTCCATACCAAGTAGCTGCCAAGGTCACTCGCAGCGCAAACAGATCATCCGCTCAATTTCTGCACGAAGACGCAGCCATTACAACGGCCCTCAATCGGCCGCATCATATACCACTTACGCCCAAGAGGACGCTACTTGCCAGATTCCTGGTGGTGCTTACAGTGGAAATGGGTGCTTGGATCGAAGCCACCCGCTTGTCGTTTGAATGTTCCGAGCAGTCATGCGGCCCATGCTGCACAACGGCCAAGATGCTCAGGTATCGCAGCAACAGCAACGCGCCTGCATGTCACCAGATGTATGGTTCGTGCAAGTAGTCCACGTTCTCGACACGTCTGCGATACGTTCTGAACGCCTTCCCAAGCTGGAAAATAGTAACAACAAAGCGCACACGCCGAAGTTTACACCTCATCATGGGTCAAAGATCCGCATTCCACCCCTGCGCACCACCCCGGACCTTGTTGCAGGAGGTGGTCGATGCGACATGACCTTAGGCCAACTTCTGGATAAGTATTTAGGTTAACAGTACATGTCACCCGATTTTTGCTAGGCTTTCTCTTCGCAAACAAGCCGTTATCAGCAATGTACATTTTATTCTTGACCACTTTGGGCAGTCTGCTCGCTGCCACATCGGCGCAGTCAACCTTTAGTCCAGCTCGGCCGCCATCCCTGCCGCTTGCTGTGAAAAGCCCGTACTTGAGCACATGGTTTCCTGCCGGTAGCGAAGGAGGCAACGGAGGGTATCTACCAGGACAGTGGCCACAGTTCTACACGTAAGTCCCACCCTCTGTGAACAGAATCACCTGCTGATTCGTTGCAGTGGACAAATACTTGGTTGGACGGGCTTGGTGCGCGTCGATAACGAGACCTTCACATGGATGGGTGCGCCCAAGGACATCCCTTCAGCTAACCAGACGTCGTATGAGTATACCTCGACCAAAAGCATTTTCACGATCGTGGCGAATGACAAAGTGTCACTGAAGGTGACCTTCCTCTCGCCACTTACGCCGAATGACCTCAAACGCCAGTCCTTAATATTTTCATACATGAACGTCGAAGTGGCTTCCCTAGACAACTTAGATCACGATGTACAGATATACACTGACGTTAGTGCGGGTAAGAACTCACCTCATGCACCATGCTCCAGTCCACTGCTGACACTTGGGATAGAGTGGATTTCTGGCGACGTTGCTGTGACTGCACAATGGGACTTTGGCTTAGTCCACGATGTTGTCTACCACAGGCTCTCGAGGCAAAATCAGCAAGTTTTTTCTGAGTTCAACGACAGAGCCGAATGGGGCAACTTCGTAAGTGTTCGCCTGCTGTTGGGAAGGCTGACGCTAAAGATCATAGTACTATGCCACCGACGCCCGAAATGGTCTTACATACCAGTCCGGCGCTGACGATGATGTTCGAGGTGGCTTTACGGCCAACGGCAAGCTGGCCAGCTCAAATGACATCAACTTCCGCGCCATCAACGATAGATGGCCTGTCTTCGGCTATGGTGTTGATTTGGGATCAGTAGGATCCACAGCGGCGTCGACCCTTTTCTCGCTGGGCTTGTGTCAGGATGAGGCGGTCCAGTTTCTCGGCGCGGACGGCTTAGTTACGCTACCTTCATTGTGGAAGAGCTACTTCGCAGACGATCTCGACGCTCTGGCGTTCTTCCAGAAAGATTTTACAGAATCAAGCAAGCTCTCATCAGAGCTGGACGACCACATCTCTAAGGACTCCATCGCAGCAGCGGGCCAGGACTACGCGACTCTAACGACACTAGCAGCACGCCAGGCCTTCGCGGCGACGCAGCTAGTCGGCACAGAAGACAAACACTACCTCTTTTTGAAGGAAATATCTTCGAATGGCAACACACAGACTATCGATGTGATCTTCCCGGCATCGCCCATTTTCTTCTACACAAACCCAGAGCTCATCAGGTTACTTCTGGATCCGCACTTTGAGAACCAAGAGAGCGGTCATTATCCCAACAAATGGGCTACCCATGACCTTGGTACACACTACCCGAACGCAACCGGACACCCTGCTGGCGATGACGAGCCAATGCCCTTGGAAGAGTGTGGCAACAACATCATCATGGTCCTAGCCTACGTTCAACGGTCCGGGAACATCGACTATATCAAACAGCACTATACCATCCTCAAACAGTGGGCCGAGTACCTCATCGAGGATAGCCTTTATCCTGCCGAGCAACTGTCGACTGACGACTTCGCCGGTCATCTTGTGAATCAGACCAACCTGGCGCTGAAAGGAATCATTGGTATTGAAGCAATGTCACAACTATCATCTCTCGTCGAAGAGGCATCTGACGCACAGAACTACACAACAATCGCGCATGACTACATCGCAGATTGGCAGGCCCTCAGCATCAACTCTGAAGTGTATCCACCGCATGCCATCCTCAACTACGGCAATGCCTCAACGTGGGGTTTGCTGTACAATCTGTTCAACGACAGGCTGCTCAATACCAACCTCGTACCTCAGGAGGTATACGATATGCAATCTGCGTTCTACCCAACTGTAAGGGAGAAATACGGTGTCCCACTCGATACACGGAATAGATACTACACAAAGTCCGACTGGGAGCTGTTCTGCGCGGCTATCGCGAGTGACGAGACAAGAGACATGTTCATCAGCGACTTGGCAAAGTTTGTCAACGAGACACCGACTAGCAGGCCTTTCACGGACTTGTATCAGACAAGCGATTCTACGTTCCCGCCGGGGTTGACGTTTAAAGCTAGGCCTGTTGTTGGAGGGCTCTTCGCGTTGTTGTTGCTTGAGCAGAGGAAGAGCTCGTAAGGTGCAGACTGATGTTGTCGTGTCATGCCCTCATTCTGCGTCGATTACTTGATTACTATTGAATTCAGTTTCTCCTTTCCACTGATTCAAATTTCACCCATTAGGCTCCTACACAGCACGTTCCGAACGCTCACTTCTTCCCCTCCTCCTCCTCTGAACTTTTATCAGCTTTGCTCTTCGCCTTTTGCTTTCCGTTCTTGCCATCTTTCTTGTTTTTCCTCTTAGCGGCCGCATCTTCCTCGAGGTCCTCAAGCACCTTGTTGGCGTCGACATTGGCGTCGTACTCGACATCCTCAACCCACCGCTCAAACAAAAACAGACGCCATGCCGCGAAGCCAACTGCGCCTAGCACGATTGTGCTGGTGATAGAAGTCTTGGCAAATCCGAGTAGCGTCAGGTGCGCGTAGTACTTCAGCCAGGGCGTTATGAGAATGCGTCGTTCTTCCTATGCATTCGTGAGCGTGTTTTTCGAGCCAGTCGCCAGCTTCGTTGTTTACTTCTAAATCTGGGTTCACGGTGTACAGCAGCGCGATGAGCGCGGCCAAGATCAACCCCAGGAAGAGCACGGTGAGTACTTGGATTATCGCGAGGATGATGGATATGTTCTTCGTGGTGCGCAGGACTTCGAATCCCGCGGCGACTAGTGGGGTGACTTGCTCGAAGGCCGCGTTGATCTCGCGCGAGTACGGTATGCCCATCTTGATGCTTCGACTACAGGGTGATGGGAATACGAGGTGGGTCCGTGTGTGATGGTAGGCTGGCGTGTCCGGATCAGGCTAGTCTGGACCGTTGTCGGTGAAAGCGCGAAGCTTCGAGTAGGGCGGGAACACAGAAAATTGCGGAGATCTAGAGGAGGTGAAACATAACGAAGCTGTTGCACTTCAGATCGGTTATGTATGGTGTGCTGCAGTGTGTCGGCTGAGCCGCTCCACTGACGTCATATGTGCCGTGTCAAAGTACAGGGTTGGGGAGTCGTGACTTGCTATCTGTACGTGCGAGTTCTTTGTTGCACTCTCTTCCTTCTCCATAGGAACATTGACGACCTTGAGGCTGCGCGCCGGGTCGAAAACAAGATATCGCACCGCTTCGGAGTCTGTGCTGTGTGCAATGCTTGCCTCTCGGGCAGAAACAAACGCCCTCTCTGAGCCCAAAGACCTTGGCGATAGAAGGGAGTGGAAAGACAAATATGCGATGAAATCGATCTTGGATATTAAAAAACCGTAGCAGAGGTATAGAAGTCGAGACTCCAAGGCCATCCACTTACTTTATCTCTCCAAGTGCATCGCGCATCTCCCCATCCAACTAAAGCCTCGCAAGTCCAGTAGAGTGTGTGTACTCGCTCCAGATACTGCAGTCTTAACACAACCACCACAAAGGTATCTCGAAGCGAGACGGCGCAGAACATGTCTTGAGTCGAAACCCCCGAACCCGAGGGAAGACATGCTGGATCCACACCGGCAGATTTACGAGACACGATACACACAGCTTCCCGAAGCCAATGCATAGTATACCAACACGTGTCTGGAATCGTTTCAGGCGCTCAAGCTAACGCAGTGTTTCAGGCGCTACACCTTGTGTCACCCGTTGCCGGTACTTTTGGTGGAAACGAAACGCCGCAGATCGAACATACTCATCCAAAGGCGTATTCGAAGGGTGATGGGATCATGTCGCGTCTCGAATGCCCGTTTGAACTTGCGGATTGAACGAGGTATTGCAGATAGCGGGTCGCAGAGCGGATAAGATGGTAGCAGACAGTGATATTTGGTGCTTTTGTCGAAGCCGTTGCGGAGCCGTATTTTCGTGGTGGGGTTTGGAGGGAAGAAGGCGACATATGGCGTCTATATCGCTTTTTTCTTGGAAAGGGGGGGGAGGGGGGGTCCACAGCCTGATTGCATTTTTGTCTTTGTCTTGGCTGGTCTAAGTTCGCATGCTTGCCAGCTCCTACAGTCGCCATCTACACAGCCGCCATCTACACAGTCGCCAGCTCGCGCGCTCACTCCCCGCCATCCCACCACGTCACACGCCCCTTCTCCTTCCACCCCTTTACCCAAAACGCGCCGCCCGTGCAACTCCCCGCCCTTCACCGCTTAAGCGTCTTCTGCTTCTCCGCCTCGACCTTGACCTCCTTGACAAGCAGTCCCTTCCTCCTGCGCACGCGATCGACATAGCGCTTGGCGACATTCTCGCGGTCGGCGAGCTCGCCGAGATCCTCGAGCTCGTCCTCGGTGAACGGGACCCAGAAGGGGTCTTCGTGCAGCATTTCAAAGCCGGCGAAGCGCAGCTGCGGACTCGCGGAGCCGGAGGAGCGCTTGCGGATCTCGTCGCTGAAGCCGAAGCTTTCTGCGACGGGGAGCAAGGCGGAGATGGTGAAGGTCTGGTTGCCGGTCGTGGATGCCGAGGTCGACGACATGGTCTCGCTGAGGATCTGGCCGCGGCGGCGCGTCAGGACTGCGTACACGCGGCCCAGCACGTCCGTCGAGGCTTGGATCTCGCAGCTGTACATGGCGAGTAGGATGCGCGGCGACCAGTCGAGCATGCCGGCATGGATGCCGGAGCGCACGGCTTTGATCACTTCGCCGGTGAGTCGGTGGTGGTCGGTTTCAGATGTGGAGTCTTCAAGCGTGATGGAGGAGAGGAAGACGGCGATGCCTTGGACGGGCTCGGCGCAGCAGGGGCCTTGGGCTGTGGCGAGCTGGAAGGCGTAGATTATTGTTGAGGCGAAGGAGCGGGCACTGGACGTGCGGTCGGATGGGTCGGAGGTTTCGGTGGCGTCGGTGAGGCTGTAGGGTGTCAGTGGTGAATATGGGATTGGAGTGGAGGGCTTACGATTTGCTACAGATACCAGCGGTGTCGATCAGGATGTTGGGTCCGCGGCTGCGCGGTCCAAAGGCAGTGATCTTGTCGATCACATCGTCAGTCCAAATGTCCTTCTCTTTCTTAGCCTCGGCAAAAGCAGCCTTGAGTTGCTTCTTGAAGTCCGCTGGACTTAACGTCTGGCCACTCTCACGCTGCTCGACCTCCTGCATACCGTCCTGCTCGGCGCCCTCGAGTTCCGCAGCAACATGCTCGTCCGAGTGCTGGGTTTCTTGCGCCTTGCGCTCTAAGTTGAGCCTCTTGATGGAACCGGAGTTCTTGCTCAGGAACTCAGTCACGCTGGGCGGAAGAGGTCGGACCTGGAGGCGAACAGAGACTTGCTTGCTTGCTGTCGCACTGACGACAACGCCACGACCAAGCTCGGGGTTCTTGGGAGGGTTCATCTCAGCTGCGGTAACGGTCGACTCTCGGTACGGAACAATGGGTTCACCGGCTTGGATCTTGCACTTGGCGAAGCGCTCTTCCAGGTCCTTTAGACAGCGCTCGAGATGCAACTCACCCGCGGTCAGAACGACGTGCTCTCCACTGGGCAGTTGTTCGTACTCGACACAGGGGTCAGACTGTACCAGCAGCTTCAAGCCATTGATCATCTTGTCGAGATCGTAGGGGTTCTCAGGCTCCAGCGCAACGCGAACAATGGGCTCAGAACCCATTGTCACACCAGCTAGGTTGAGTGAGCCTGGCAGCTGCGAGCAGAGCGTCCCGGACTTGAGCATGTGTCCTTCCAGACCACCAATACCGAAAACGACGCCAGCAGGAACAGAGTCCAAGGACTCCAGGCCACGTCCCATCATGAGGTACAATGCGGTGATCTTGACCTTCTTTGGCTCAGGTGTGGCGTGAGGATGCTCAGGCGAGAACTTCGGACCCAGTACATACACCTCATCTCCAACGCTGAGAGTGCCGGAGTAGATGCGTGCGAAACCGATGAGATGCTCAGCCTTTTCGTCGGCTGGCGCAGCTTCTGCAGTGTCCGCTTCCTCTTCGCCGATAGCGGCAGAGCTGAGTGCTTCTGTGATACCGCCAACATCTGGGCCTTCGCCATTCGCAATGGCTTGTTGCCTGGCAAGCTCTGCTCGCTTCTTGCGTCCAAGATCTCGTGCCTCCTCCGCACTCAGTGCGCCAGTCCTTCTCTTGTTCTGAGGCAGTTCGCTTTCGGGAACAGAGAACATCTTACTGACGTAGGCTACAACAGGGGCGTCCTTTGACTTGTCAGACTCAATCATTGCCTTTCGGACGTCGGGCGCGACATGATCAGCGCCGACAGAGGCGTCGATGATCTCGGGCATTCGCTCGGCCTGGGCCTTGGCGGGTGACGGCAGGTACTCGGTGACGGACACCAGCAGCGCGGTGGACAGTGGTAGCCAGGCAGCGAAGAGTGCGGTCAGAACAGCACGTGGGTCGCGTGACCGTAGAACGTGCGGCGGGAGGTTGAGGTTGAGAGACTTTGTAATCTTTTCGACCATGGCGGGATCTCTGAGGTGCAGCAAATAAGTATATTGGCTAGAGTACGTACAAAACAAGCAAGAAGAGTGAAGAATGAGGAAAGGAAATCCACGCACCCCTTCCCATTGTTACCTCCTGTGGCGCCTTCGTAGACAGCCCAGATGTTTTCGAGCACCAGTTGAACAAACATGGGCTTTAGATGGCGGCCTTTGAGGTGCTTGGAGCTCAGCACGCGCTTCGTCTTGGGGTCTAAGAAGTAATCGCCCCATAGTACTTTCTCGAGTACCGAGCGCTTGATGCCAAGCTTGCGCTCGTAGAGACTAGCGAATTGCTTTACTGTGAAGGCCCATCCATCAATGGCGCTGGCAAAGATGACGTTGTTCTTCTCAGGCGCAAAGTAGATGTCCTCGTCGTCCTTCTCTTCGTACTCAGCAGGTGTGCTTGTCGTGTCTATGCCGTCACTATTCTCTGATACTGCCGACGACGTCGTGTTAGTCTTCTCAGCGGCTGCGGCGTTGAGCCTCTCCTCCATCTTCTCGCGCCACCGGAGGTCGTCCTCCATGCGCTCACCCTGGTAGAAGCTACCCATGACGGCGTTTACCTGTTCTACGAGCTTGTTCAGATGTGTGTGAGCGTCAGCAGGGGTCATGTTCCACTCGGTGATTAGTCTGTCCATCTTGTTGATGACGAGCAGAGGCCGGAGCTTCTCTATCCACGTCTGGCGCAGGACGGTGACGGTCTGGCTGCACACGCCTTCCACAGCGTCGACGAGCACGATGGCACCATCGCACAGACGTGATGCTGTGGAGACCTCGTAACTAAAGTCAATGTGGCCGGGCGAGTCGATCAGGTTGATCAGAAAGTCCTTCTTCTCGGGCTGGGCGTCCGGGGCGGAGCGTCTCAGCAGGGAAAAGTACAGCGAGATGGCCGACGACTCCATGGTGATACCGCGGAGCTGCTCATCCGGTCTCGAATCGAGGTACCTGATCTTGCCGGCGAGCTTAGGGGAGATGATGCCGTTGGTGGCGATGAGGGCGTCGGTGAGCGACGTCTTGCCATGGTCGACGTGGGCGAGGATGCAGATCTGGACATGTCAGCGTGGCATCCGTCGCGTTACGTTGGCAGGTCCAGCGCACATTGCGGACGCCCTCTGCCTGCTGCTGCAGCTTCACCAGCTGGGCGGCGGCGATGGTCGGCATGGCGGGCGCGGGTGCTGGATGGTCCGGATGCAGGCGTGTGCCTGTGCGTGTGCGTGTTTCGGGTGGGCCTGGTGTACTTCGTAAGATTGCAGGGCGCGGTCTGGCTCGGTCGTGTGTTGCAGACGGGGAGCTGCCTTATGCGCTCGTTGGGTTTCGCATGGCGGCTCTGAGAAAGTCAGCGAGCCCCACCACTGGCTGACGGGACTGGGGGCGACGTCACAGCCAAACGTTAGCAGCACAGCACGACAGGCGCATCCGCTGCGCATCCGCTGCGCATCCACTCGCATAGGCCCGCATCCAACGGCCTGGCCTCACGACGCTGCCTGGAGAGAGAGCGTGCCGCACGTATAGCGCTGCCCGCTGCTTGCTGGCCATGGAGCTGCCGGCGAGACCACGACGCTCGCGCCCATCTGGATGCAGTCCCCCCTGTCGCCCGCCAGTGACGATCCGCATCACTTTCATCGTAGCAGCGGAAATACACTACTGGCGTATCCCCAGAACCTCAAACCACACCGTACTCACCTGCCACCTGCCATCTGCCACTGTCACTGTCACTGCCACTGCCACTGCCACTGCCACTGCCACCGCCCCATTCCCCGACTTCCGCCCGCCACTTGATGTAGAGGAACCGCAGCCATGGCGGAAGGCGCACACCAAACGCCTGCCAAACCGATGCCCGTCACGCGCGCGCCGCCGCCCATGAAGCTGCGCACGCCCGCGCAGCCACGCTTCTCCAGCATCCAGACGCAGGCACTCAGCGCCGCCGTCATGTCGCCCGTCAGCCAGAACGGCTGCTTCGAGTTCGACCGCATCGTCAAGGCCGGCTCCGTGCTGAAGCGCACCCGCAAGACAAAGGTACCACCACACTGCCCGCCAACACGTCTATGCCAATACTAATGGCTGCAGCAATGGAAGCCCATCTACCTCGTCCTGCGCCCCAACTGCCTGTCCATCTACAAGGACAAGGCCGAGACCAAGCTGCGCCACCAGATCAACCTCTCTGAGATCACCGCCGTTGCCCGCCAGAAGGACTCGAAGAAGAAGATGGACCACGTCTTCGGCATCTTCTCGCCCGCCCGCAACTACCACCTTGGCGCCACCACCGACAGGGATGCCCAGGACTGGGTGGACCTGATCCGCGCAGAGGCCCGCATTGACGACGACGAGGGCGAGATGGTGCTCTTCAGCCCCACCGGCGATGAGACCTTCACCGGCTTCGACCGCTCGCAGCAGGCACCCTCGAGCACGCTCTCCTCGTCCTCTGAAGCTGAGCCCTCGGCTCTGCCTCCCAGCTCCCTGCCACGCGACTCCGTGCCCATACCCATGCACAGCGCACGGCGACCCTCCCAGGCCCTGAACTACTCGGGCAACGAGCACGGCTCCGTCTCTGACTTTGACTTCTCCGACTCTGCAGCGCCAAATGCCACGTCTACGACCTCGTTGCCCTACTCGAAATCCAGCATCCGCAATCCTGTTCCCCGCAACCGCAACGTCAGCCAAACCTCGAACTCCAACGTCTCACCATCCACCAACGAGTCCGATCGCGACCGCGTTGTGTGCCACGGCTGGCTGTATGTTCTGAAATCAAAGGGCGGCGTGCGCCAATGGAAGAAGATCTGGGTCGTCCTACGCCCCAGGTGCCTCGCCTTTTACAAAAACGCCGAAGAGTACTCGGCACACCTGATCATCCCCTTTGAAAGCGTCATCGACGCCGTCGACATTGACAGCGTCAGCAAGAGCAAGCAGTACTGCATGCAGGTCATCTCGGAGGAGAAGAACTTCCGATTCTGCGCAAAGAGCGAGAACGAGCTGGCCAAGTGGTTAGGCGCGTTCAAGAGCCTACTCGTGAGGCGGAGAGAGGACGAGGGGAAGAGAGCCGCGCAGAAGCAGGCGCAGACCCCCACACTCACGACGACCGCCGCGACGCCCACGTTGCCTTGCACTCCAATCTTGCCCCAGCAGCAGAAGCGCGTCAGCATAGTGGAGCCGAACGTTGCCGTCGCCCCCGTCCAACCCTTGGCCATCAAATGATCACCGCCCCTCACATATCCCGTAACAGCGGCCGCGCCCCAGATGCTGTCTGGTGGCCTGTACATACACCTTTCTTTTGTCTTTTCATACCGCAGCGTCAAATCTGTTGTACGCTCCACGAGTCACGATTCCCCGCCCGGCGCCCCTCTGTGGGTGCACCCTCGACGGGCCTGCCGCCTTGGCGCAACTGTTGGATTTCACGTCACATTTCATTTACTCTGTTCTGGCTGCTTTGTATACTAGCGTTGTAGTGTCTTTGTAATTCTGCCGGGCTGGTTGAGTGTGCTTGGGGGGTGGTCTGTCCGGTGTTGTAGCGCGAGGGTAGGAGCATGAATATATAAGATTTGAGATCAAGAGTGAGCTGTCCCCCCTGCAGAGCCGATTCAATGGTAGAAACGGGACTCTGGCTTAGGATGACTCCAGGTCCTACTGCGATCCGTAGTGGCATGTCACAGCGTTCGAGAAAATCGCAACACCCGGATACGTTCTAGATATTACGCAGTCCGATTCCTACGCCGCAGTGTCGCCTTCACTTCGCTATCGTGCCTTCACTTTCGCCTCCGGATCTTCATCCACGATGAACGCGTCAACAGACGCTCTCAACCCGCGCGATGTTCCCCCTCTCGCCAATCGCAACCCACCTCTCATCCAGAATGTGGCAGCTACCACGCTCAACATTCCGCCACGACATCCGCTCCACGCTCCAAGCCCAGAACCGGTCCCCGGCCACCACCGCACCGCAACACCTCCTCCCACTCACCCGCGACTGGCTGTCCGAAGACCTCTCCACACCTCGCACAACGGGCCTGCTCGTCGCCTTCCTCCACGCCATAGCCTCCACATGTCCCGGCTGCCGGAAGGAGATGTGCGACGCGCGGTCCAGAGTACCGGTGGATAACTGCGGTGAGCAGGGCGACGACGAAGGCGAGGCGAGGCGAGCGACGGTGAGCTGCACAGGTACTTGGTGCAGCTGTACGGTGAGCCTGGGGCGCAGAAGCCGCGCCGCTCTGATCAGCGGGTGCTGGGATTATTTGGGGCTGTGGAGGATTTCTTGTAGACTGTTGGGGGCAGCAATGTATCCATCAACGCACCCAGAAACATGGTAGGTACATGCCAGGTCATGTTGCAGGCGATTCCCACACGCTGCGGGTTGTAGGGTAGAATACAGGGGCGGAATTGGTGGAAGCCTTCCATCTTCTCGAGGCCTATCAGATAGGCCATGTGAAGGTGTGTAGAACACCCACGACATCGGATTTGGCTGTTTCGTCAGGGAATCATTCTAGGAGATCTGCGTGGAATTGAGTGCAGTAGCAGTCAGCATTCTTGAGAGGTGGACACTGGAGCGAATACCCCGTTGATGTGTTAGCATGGTTTTGGATCGTTCCAAAGAGTCGGCCGATCGAGTGTAGGGAATGAGCCGCATCGTGGTAGAACCTCGTGCAATGTGCTTTGGTGGAAGGCCTCGCGACAAAATGTGTTGCAGCTTAGGGCTGTCGTTGCCTGCGTGCCTTGTCCAGGTGTGTTGTCCTGAGGCAACAATGTCGAGCGGCGAGATGCAACAACGTGGGAGAGTGCAAACTAGGCGATCTGTAGGGCAATGGTATACCTACTCCAAGGCTCTGCAGTAGACTGGACGTGGCTTCGTTCTCTGCTGGAGATGGTTCGGATGTGCTGTCGCTGTACTGTGTAAGATGGCCAGTGGATCCATGACGCACGCAAACCCCATATTGGAGCTTTGACAGACATGTCAATCGCAGGAGTTCGCAGAAACGTGAAACGGTCGACAGCAGCACGCAGGTACAGCGGCGACGAGTGCCGTGTTGGCCAACGAAAATGACTCGCGTGGTGACGTTTCATCTCCAGTTTCTTGTCGTGTCGATCTTCAGGTACATACGAGGTGGCGACTGTCGACTTGCGATGGCCCTGACAGGTTGCATACTGTGTAAACAAACGCGAACAAGACGCACATGTGCAACGCTCAAAGTGGATGTCCATGGCAAAGACAGCCATGGACAAGGCCCGAGCCGCGACCCCTTTTGTGCGAATGTTCCTATTAATGTAAGATGGTGATGTGCTCACGCTGACAGGCACACCCAAGCGCTAACCTGGGAGGGGGTTTCAGCTGGCCAGGGGTGCGTGGTCCTGAAGAAGGCGATCCCACAATATACCAGGCTGGAGTCCAAACACATTCTTGGAACGGCCCCTTCGCAGCAACACCACGACGCACAGCAGCACTGCAATCGCCGCCGACTATTGCTTCGGTTGCTGCTCGACTGCACACATTGGCATCCGCCCCCGCCAGCCGTGGCTGATCCGTCCCAGTGCTACAGCAGCCGTGCGCGCCCTTGAAACGTTCGCTCCACCTCCGCACCGTCTACGAACGTCCAGCCACGCCTTCTCCCTCGACATTCGCACTCGCACCGCATGCGCTCTTCTTGATACCCCATCGGGCCGTCCACGTTCATTACGGCACACACATTCCTACAGCAACGCCTGCATTGACACCCTCGCCGTCGCCGACGTCCTCCGCAGCCGTTCCTCGCATTGATTGCGCCGCACCCCAGCTTCTTGGCGGTCTCGACGACGACGAATACCACGGCTCCCGGACGCACGACTGGACATGAGCTAGGATGACGCGCCCACAGATAATACGAGCAGGTACGGCAGTGCTCGCTGCAACGCCAAAGTACACGAGCGCATACTGACGTCCTGGCGCAGACACCATTGACCTGCAGGACAAAACGTCTCCCACCGCACAGGACCACTCGAACCAGCCAGAGCACCCAGCCCCGCTCGGCATAGGGCCAGCTGCACCCCACCAGCAAGCCTCCTTGCGGTCTGTCGAGGACGAGCGCTCCGCCGAGGAAGAGCGTCTGCAGAATGCCTGGAACAACGCTGGCACCTCGTTGAGCGAAGACCCCGGGTCTGACGATGAACGCACGATAATGACCACCTCGAATGCCCAAAAACAACAGCACAGCGGCGCCGACCATGACGACGACATGCAGGACGCCGACGTGGAGGACGACATGGACGACGACATGCTCGACAAGATGTCGAGTTCACCTTCGATTGACGATGGTGGGTATTCTCTACCTTATTATCCCCTGGCCCTGGTATGGCCGACGCGAAGGGACTCTCTGACTCCAAACTCGTCACCGGCCATGCCAAGTTCCGCCTCTTCGTCTCCTTTCACAACCACCCCCGTACACTTTCCCATCCCTGTGGCCGACCCCGGTCGACTCTTCAGCGTCCCGGAAGACGGCACAGGGGACCTTGCATTCACCTCTCAACCCCCTTTCACAACCCCTCCCGTTTTCCAATTTTCTCAGCAAGTCTCAACATCACGGTCAATGGCGCATCATCATGGTGAGTATGCCTGGACAAGGACCACCAACGGCTCGCACATCGACACCACGGCTATGCATGACGGAGACTCGAGCCCAAGAACGAGACAATTGATGCTAGTGGAGCAAAGACTGCAACATGTGAGGGAGGACTCGCAGGGATCACTCATGTCTGAGCTGGACGAGGAGTACGCCAGGAAAATGCTGCAGTCTATTCGGCCCCCGCCGATGGATTTGCCAGACGACCCTTTCGTCGAAAGGATCGCACCAGCCCTGCAGAGTACTAACGACACCCCACCACCGCTTAGGCACCCTGACGATGAAGAAAATTCTTGGACCACCGACAGCGACGCCGATTCCTGGGACGAAGAACTGGAAGATGATGATGCATCCAACGACGTTTCCTTCTCTGACGATCCTAGATTTGTCGACTCAGGTTGGGGAGGCGAATGCTTACGAGAAACAGAGGATATCGACTTCGAATTCGTCTACGCCCTGCACACTTTCGTTGCAACTGTAGAAGGGCAAGCCAACGCTACAAAGGGTGACACCATGGTCTTGCTCGACGATAGCAACAGTTACTGGTGGCTTGTCCGTGTTGTCAAAGACAGCAGCATTGGTAAGTGTACCCGAGGTCGGAAATTGCGCACATACTAATCACTCGTCTAGGCTACCTGCCTGCAGAGCACATTGAAACTCCCACTGAGCGTCTGGCGCGCCTGAACAAGCACAGGAACATCGATCTTTCAGCAACAATGCTCGGCGACACGGCAGAGAAGACCAAGAATCCGCTGAAGAAGGCTATGCGTCGACGAAACGCGAAGACCGTACAATTTGGAGCACCTACCTACGTCGAAGCATCCGATTACGACTACTCGTCCGATGAGGAGGGTGGCGAGCTTTTCGGTGGATCGGAACCAAAGCAGGCCCAGCAGCAGCAAGAGCAAGAGCAACAGACTGTGCAGAAGTCCGAACCTGAGCAGGACGATTCTCTCGAGGTCAAGCCCTTGAAGCTTGGCAGTATAAAGAAAGTCTCCTCTGAAGAGTCGCGGTCATCTAGTGAAGAGGCTAGCAAGGACGATGAGACATCGAGGACGAGTGACGAGATGTTCGACAGACCACTGGACCAGAAGGTGTCACGCAATGGCACGCTCCGCAACACAGACTCTTTCTTCAAAGACGAGAACACGGAAACTCGAAAGATCACTCTCACGCCTAACTTGCTACGAGATGACTCCAGTCCCTCCACGACGGGCCCCCGTGAACGGGGACCGAGTCTCGAAAGCCTCGAGAAAAACGGCTTTGCCGACAAGGTCAAGGATGACAAGAAGAAGAAGGATAAGAAGTCGGGTATGCTTAGCGGACTGTTCAAACGCAAGGACAAGAAGGACAAAGACTCAAAGAGCGACATCGATACAGTGGAAGCTGATCTGAAGAAGGCCGTGGAGAAGCCAGAACAGACTTCACCCCAAAGAGCCAACGCCAAGCCGGCGGAGGTGTCACCTGAGCGCCAGTCAGAAGAGCAACTTGGCCAGACACCATCGAGGCAATCAAGCAAAGGCAAACTGCAGAAGCAGCAACGCGCTAGAAACGACTCACCTATTAAGACAAAGAGCATCCTCAAGACCGATAGTCCTATGGAAGCTTCAGTCAATCCAGAAAATGACATTGGTGTAAACGAGGCCGGACCAGCTGGTCAGCAATCCGCCTCCACAATGCGCATAGTTTCGCCAGACCAAGGGGAAACACTCGAGAGAAATATGTCTGCGGAAGACCGCGTGAAGACACCCGAGAACCGGGTGAAGTCACCAGAAAGCCAAGGCGTCATGGCTTCTATCAGCTCCAAGAACCCGTTCAGATCGAACACCACAACAGACAGCGCGCCAAAGCCAGAGAAGGTCCGCAAGGCGAAGGAAAGAGTGGCGCTAGACGACTTCGACTCCAGCACAGACGACAGCGACGATCCGTTCGCGGACCCCGACGCGCAAGACAAGACGAGAGAGCAGACAGCTACTGAGCCCGTAGGACGTCTGTCAGAGTCACCTGTTCACGTTTCTGCTGCCGATGCACAGCCAGCAGCCAGAGAGGTAGCACCCATGAGAGATCAAGAGTCAGATGCACAACATCCACCAGGACTTACAGGCGACAACTCCAGCGCCGACACTAGCTCGCGCGTCTCGACGCCTGACCTGGAGGCAGCTAGCCCAGATACCGTCGTACCTGAAAAGCCCAATGTTGCAGCTCCTCGCTCTGGAGTCTCACCTTCGCCTACGTATCCCTCACCCAACGCCAACCTCGTCCCACCACCATCTCGCGCCGCACCTACACCACTGAACGTCAACACTTCGCCCACGGTCTCGTCTGCACCGGTTTCGTCCGATTCTACGACGTTGCCCGCATGGTCGGACGCTAGCTTGCGCAACTACCTGGAGGACGGCAGCGAGATCCGCGATCTTCTGCTCATGATCAATGACACCACTGGCGTTGTACCCGTGAGCAAGGATCACCCACTCATGAGCGGCCTCTATGTCGAGGAGACAAAAGCAGCGCAGAACCTCAGCAGCGAGCTTGACAGGCTGCTTGCTGGCCTGATGGACAACAGGATGAAGCGCCATGGAAGCGGGGCGAGCAAGAAGAGCCAGCTCAGCCAGATGAGCAGGGCAAGCACTACCGGTCGCATGTAGCGATAGTGAAGCCTTGTCAACGCTCGAAGAGGAGGAGTTTCTTTTGATAATACCCTAGGGATGCGGCGTTCTGCAAGGTTTTGATTTCGGGAGCAAACGTGTCATGTGGTACGAAATTTTGGGCTTTGTTTTGGCCGCCGGTTATAATCGTCGCATTTGCGCATTCTTCGTTGAGAGCCAGCTGGGCCTGGCTTGTCGTGGCGGCGGTTTGATGTTTCCTTGTCGTTGCGCAAGGGCGTTTGACGGTCCTTTTCTCTGGGCTGCGTCTTCGTGCCGGCTACTGCTGTGGTAGCTGGCTTCTCTTTTCGGCTTCAGACTTTCTCTGATACCCTGTCATGACTTGGTTGGTGGGTGATTTTCCGATTTTGTGTTAGATACCTGCGGTGTAGTTGGCGGCACGTATATTAATTCTTCTCCGCCTCACAGCGGCTACGCGATGCGTAATCGGTGGACTTGTGTACGTGATGGCTGCACTTTGGTACAATTGCCGGTTTGAGATCTCACGATTTGCAACAAACGTAGCAAGTCAAATGCAGACACGAAGCAGAATCCTCCGGTACAGAGAGACAGTCTATCACATGAAATTTTCTGTCCAGATCTAGAAGTAGAGGTAAAGGTGAAGGTAGCCAAGCTCAACGCCAGCTTACGCGAAGGCCCCAAGAGTGAAACCTCCTTCGTCACTAGATTTACAATCAGCACAAGCGAGCCCATTGGGTCATAGCCCAGCTGGAAATTGAGTTGTCTGTCAATCTGCCTTTGTACACAACAATTCATACTGCGATCCAGCTGAACGTCAGTCGAAAGCTCGCCGCTCGTCGGCTGTGATTATGAAGACTACATCTCCGCCAGATTTCCGATGGAGGCCAAGGTCCGTAGTATTGTGCACTCGCCTAACGGCGCGATCGAGAGGGCCGTCCAGGTACAATCTAACTGCGTCATAAAGGCTCTGGATTGTGGGTGCAGTCTTGCTGTGCGGAAGAGCTTCAGGTACGATGGCACTTCTGTCAGAGTCTGAGATATCATGGACGATCCGGGAGGGTCTCATCTATTCTCGTTGTGTCTGCAGGGATCGGTAAGGGTGGCAGTGCGGGACTCTCGAAGACATACTGCTTCAACTCGGGAGCTGTACATACTCCGGCTTCCTCCCTGCACTTTTGGATCCCCTTCGGCAGTGTTGCACAAGCGAACCGCGGCTGTGCTGGTCGTCTTGATGCAAAAAGCCAGGAATGAGGAGTGGACACAATTCTACAAGGACTTCTGCAGCGCACTGCCAAATCTTGGGGATAGGCTGCTGCCACCATCTGTGGTCACCGAAACAAACGACTTTATTGTTTTCGCCTTGTCGGAGGTGCACGCGCCCGGCTCTTCATAGGCACGAGCACGTGCGATAGCTGCTCCTGCAAGTAAAAGTCCAAACAGAGTGTAAGTTAAAACTTCCACTGGAGCATTCGTGGGCTCTGAAACGAGTCTTGCTGGAGACGCTGATGGGCAGCCACATGCCGTGCTACGAGAATATGAGAAAGAGCGGGTCGAGCGAGATGAAACAAGCTGTAATGTCAACGCGGGTAGAACGAAGGTGCTAAGCCCGAGCATGTGCTTGAAGAGGTTCGTCTAACCAGAAGATAGTGTATTCGAAGTTCTATTAAGTTCATGAGAGTGAGATTGATACCTCTTTGTGTACTGATCGTACCAAGTGTACCAGATCTATGCAGCGTAAGAACGTTGGTGATTATGCGCGCTGAAATGCAAACACGACATTTACGAAGATTGAAACCGTCCATTAACTCCTTCACACTACGCTTTGTGACTAGCGCAACCCCAAATTAAATGTCGGCCAAAGATTCTCCGAAAGGGAAGGGTTCCATAGATGCTCCACTACTGCTTCCTGGCCCACGGGAAGCCGCTGAGCTTGCTCTTCTTCAAAGTGTCAGCCTCCTCTTTCTGTCTTGCGTCTTCGACAGCTCGCTCATCCTTCGTAGGAATGCGAGGTTGATCGGCAAATCGAATTCCCGGAGCCCGAGGAGGTGCGAGACCCTGCTTTGTCGCCTGCGAGTGCGTGCCACGGCCAGTCTCCATTGGATCACCGGTCTCGGGCTCGCCTTCGGACTCGGACTCTGGGGAATCCTCTCCTCCGACACCCAGAGCACCGAGACGACGCTTGCGCTCGGCTGCTGTTTCGCCTTCGAATCCACCGTTAGAAGCTGAAGCCTGTTGGCTAGGCGACATCGGACGACGGGCTTGGCTGGCTGATGGAGACGTAGATCCCTTCAGTGCACCAAGTCGACGACGACGCTCGGCAGGGGTCTCATCGTCACTCTCTGCTTTTTCATCCCTCATCGTTCGTGAGCTTCCCTGAGACTGTTCCCCAGCAAGGCGACGTCGGCGTTGCGCTGCAGTCTCGTGCGCTTCGCCCTCTGTGTGCTCCGCCAGAGTCTGTCGTACAGAGTGGAAAGGCACATGCTCTTCGTTGCTGTCGATCAGGGTGAGTCCTTCAGGGCCACGTGGCTGGCCTTCGTTCTGTGCCACAGGAGACTCGATCTTGTGCAGCTCAGCCTCGCCCTCTTCGCCTATAACAGTAGGAATGTTAGCCACAGCTGCAGCTTGGGTCCGACGGTGGTGGTCCTTTGCATCTTGATGGGCCTCCTGCTTAACAGACTCGGGGACATTGCTTTCTTGCAACATCTTGGCACGTTCCCTCGGATTCAATTGACTCATCTGCTGAATGAACTCGGTCTTGCTCATCCTGCGGCCGCCGGCAGTCAGGGTGAAACGTAGATTTTCGTCGTCATCGTCGGCATCAGTGTCCTTCTGCTTCTTCTTCTTCTTCTTGTCCTCAGCATCTGCGGTCTTGACCTCGGTACCTTCAGCGCCAGAAGGGCCTGCCTCGTGATGAGTCGGGATACCCATGTGTGTACCCATCCTCTTCAAACTTTGCATGGCGCGACCAGACGTCTCGATCATTGAAGACCCCCGGGCAGCTCCTGGTCGCTGCTCCTTTGGCTTGGCGGGGATGTCATACTTCTTCAGCACCTCTCCGTCTTCATCCTCGACGATGATGGTGTTGCCGAATTGGTAGGCAAGAGCTGGACCGCGCTTACGCTCAGGCTTCTCTGCCTTCAGCCTTTCGGACAAATCTTCGTTGTCGTGATGGTGGCCTGTGAAGCTCTGCATCCGTTTTCGCCATGTCTTCTGGGGGTGTTCAAAAGCATCCACGACCTTCCCAGGTGCTGCTTCGAATCTGCCCTCGTGCTCCGTCTGAGCAACGCCATGCTCAACGTGGTCTTCCTTCATCAGTCTTCGTGCCTCCCTGATGTCCGATTCGCGCCGTTGCGCTCCATGCTCGCCGTGACCGTCTCTGACACCAAGAACATTGCCCTCCATATCTTCGATAACAGTCTCATGGCCCTCCTGGTAAATCTCCTCCTCACCCCGAATATCCTTTAGTTTGCCCTTGTCGCTGGATGAACTCTCGCTTGAAACAGCCATCTTGTCATCGAACGTGTCAGTGTCATCTTCTGGCGATATGGCCTCGGCCTTCTCCTCATCACGCCTGTTGGGGTGAATAGCAGACTGTGAGACGGGACCGCCTGGACCGAGACCAGACTCCCATTTCGACTTCCGTGAGCGAGATGTTGGACGTACAGATCCTGATCGGCTTGGGTTCTCCTCCTCTTTTTGTCGACGCAAAAAATTATTGCCGTTATAGCCTGGTGGTGGAAGTAGGCCTGGACCTGTCTCGCGAGAGTCTCCGTTCTTCTCATCCATCGACGATTCCGAGAATCGACGACCAGACATCTGTGACTTTGATCGAGACTGAATGCGAGGGAGACGATCCATCCAGCTCGGGCCATCCTCAGTGGCTTGTGTATAAGACATCGAGATTGTGAGTGTATTGATGCGCTTACCCAAGGTGAAGACTGCAATGGAACTTCCGTGAACGATAATACTGACAATGACCAAGAAACACGTGATAGGCCAGATGAGCTCAATGATATTGAGATGTTCGAACCCGGGTTCTGGAAGTTGGGCCAAGGGTGTTGTAGTATCGGTCTCCAGCTCCGCTCTCGCAAGGATAGCAACGAAGAGACCACCAACTCCAATAGGTCCAAAATGGCCAGCGAACGAGGCCTCTCGCCAGGTTTTTATGTCTGGAATGACCGGTTTTAGCATAAGCATGATAGGAATTCGGCGGAAGAACAAAACTAGCAGTCCCAAGACAACCAAACGCCATGGGCTGAGGCCTAGAAGCTCTGGCTCGTTGAACTGTGCCCAAGGAATGATGGTGCCGAAATACACGAAGAAGGCCAAGTTGATGAGTAAATCGATAACGTTGGAGACGTGCGACTCTTCTGTCTTTTCGAGGAACCATCCGTCATTCGAAAACCCTACGCCGCAGGCAAAGCCCACTAGTAAGTCATCCAAGCCTAGTAATGCACCTGAACCAGCGCACCACAAGGCCAATACGAAGTAGAACACGAGGAAACTCTCTCGATCGATCAGGTCCTTTTCGTGAGCGTATCGGATGAGACGACGGGCGATGTAGCCGACAATAACCCCATAGAGAGCGCCGAACACGCATTCGTAGAGAATAGTAAAACAGATCCAGTGGTAAGCCACCTTGCTCGCATCCGGGCGGTAGCGAATCAAGTAAATAGCCAGATACACAAATGGAAAGGCCATGCCATCGTTACAGCCAGATTCGGCAGAAAGCAAGTCTCGCAAATGCTTGGGTACGCGCTTCGCGAACTTACCCTTTCCGACAACGGACGAAGCTAAGACGGGATCGGTCGCAGTAACGCAAGCAGCAATGCAAAGGCTGTCAAGCCAGTTCACATGAGAGTTGAAAAGACCCCAAATGAACAAGCTTGTCATCAGCCAGCCAAAAGTCATGACCGGGATCAAGAGCAGAATGACAGATCTCCAGTGCTTCTCCATGTATGCCTTAGGCAATTCGACGCCAACAGCGAAACATTGCACGACCAGGACTATGCGCGAGAACTCGAGGGTGATAAAGTCGACGTTGCCCCATGTTCCTGGATCGATCAGATTCGCAGCGTGTGGGCCAAAGATGATGCCACACAATGTCGCGACCGTTGCTTCACCAATGTACAGACGCTCCTTAATCACTGAGGAGCATAACATGAACAAGGTGGTAAAACCGCCCAGGATTATATACACCAAGTGCGGCTTGTTGATAGAGAGATGGTCCCACGCCATGGTGTTCGTAGGATTTGCTCGCGTTGCCGTTTATCCGGCTTGTGGTGGAATTGAGGTGGGTATTGCCCAGATGCTGCTCGAGCCAATGCGAAAGCTTGGCGATGTTCGCGCTTGGGGAAGGACGGATTTCCTGAATGCGTTCGCGATCAAGGAGCGGTATCCGAAGGCCCGGGGCCGTACTGTTGCGGACGACCGGTAAGACGAAAATGAGGTGCTCGGGTCGAATGCATCTATGTGCAGGTGCGCCCAGTAGCCGCTCCTAAGGTTGCTCGAGTGGCAGTGACGTCTAGAAGTTTCGCAGGTAGGGACGAGTGGGGCGCGCGGTCGTGCCTACAGTTACGGGTCAGTGATGCTGTAGGGGAAAAGAGGTCAAGAGATTCCAAGCCTATGGAGAGAAGGGTCTGAAATGCTTACGAACACGCAAAGCTCAGCTAGGCGCAGAGTCCTTGAAGCTTGTCCCGAGAGGTGTAACACGCGCAGAAGTGTGTGGTCGCTTGCAGTAATCGACCCAAGGTTTGGTTGTTGACTAAACCTTTGCGCTTTGCTGAGCTCAATTGCACTGCACCTGACTTTGCAGTACTTGTGCGGTACTGTCGCTGGAGTCAACAAAGGTCAAAAAGGCGCAGATAACAGAGAGTGTTTCTCCGGCCGTTAATCTCTAGTGCAATAATTCTCGTTGCTAAGCCCTTGGCCGGAGTTGCCAAGATTAGTGTGACGCAATTGTACAGCGCGCTTAGGCGGAAATTGGCCGATAAGTGGCCACTACATAACACTCAGCATCCATTGTTCGTAGTGTCGAATTTCACACAATTCGACACATTGACTGTTCAGAGGCACACAATTCACTCCCAACTCCAAGGTTGTCAGCGTTGGGTTCCAGTGACATCAGGGCTATGATGGGCGGAAACCAGATGACGCCGATTGGACGCCCGCTGAATCGCGCAAGCCGTGCGTTGCGCGGCGAAACGGTCGTGCCTTGGTTTCGGCATTGGTGCTGCGAACGCGGGGGGAGCTGTTCACGTTAATGTTTTCAATGCCGTAAAAATTTCCTCTTATGCTGTTCGAGTCGAACAATCCTCATGGGGACTCCGCTTCATCTACAATCCCCAGGCGGGTGCATCACAAGTCATCAGCAAAGCTTTGCCTGAGCAGAGCCTAGCAAGCGTCGAGGCGCGACAATGGACAGAGCTCGTATTCACTAAGACGCGGCTGAGCTGTACGAAGTACAATGCCATACGGCGTTGCGGTACGCATAGGCTTGGGCCTTCCACGGTCTACTCTCCCACAGCCAGAATGGGTCATTGTTAGCTTTGTGCAGGTAAGAACTCTTGCACAAATCGGGAATATCAAGAGTACCTTCGCAGCTTTGCCCGTCGCACGCATCTCTGGCTGTTCATCGGGTCGCCTCGCAGAGGTCTAAACTTTTGCCACTGTGACCACAAATTCAAACCCAAGCAGATCGAAACACACTTCTCTTCGATACAGTCAATGTCAATTTTCCTTCGTGCATACTTTTTGAGAGCACATAGGTACGTGAAAGCGCGTGATGTCATGCGAATGTGGACATCAGACATCGACCGCGGCAATACTTCGACTGGCCTGAATTTGCTCTCGAGTCCATCTACAAGCCCTCTAAATTGGTCTCGAGCACAGCAGTATGACTGGAGGTTTGGAAGATGAAGTTGTGAACAGGTTTGTTCCCTAAAGGTTGAATGAGCAAGGTACCACGACCAAGTGACCTTCACTTTTTGCGTCCTGGTGTTGCACTTCCTAGTCTTTCGCAAATACAACTTACTGTTCAAATATTTCCTTAAACATGTGAGCCTACCAGGTGGTTTGGCGGACGCCGGAAAGTTTAGCTGGCTCCAAGACTTACTAAATCTCTTGTCCTTGGTATTAACTACACCTCAAATCAAGGACGCTTCGTGCGTGACAGCGAGATCACGCCTTTTCAAAAGACCACACGGACACACGGGAAGCTCAAGACGGGTTTGTCGTTATCCGCACGTATTGCATCAATCGCTCATCAGCAATGCGTCTGACCTTGCTGCTGGCAAGCATTCTGTGTGCAACCTCCACCTATGCGCAAAACCCGGTCTACCGTACCAACTTAAACCTAAATCACTCGCGTCTGACTATCGAGTATGGCGGAGCAATATTCGACAACACTACACTTGGCATAGTCCAACCAATTCGCAGTAAGTCACCATGTTGGACATCAACAATGCCAAATCCTGAAGCTCACAGACGTATCAACTCCACCGACCATAAAGACTCGCACATGGCTCCTCGACTCCAACTTGCAGCCAATCCCCGCCATGATAATCATGATGGGACACCACATCCAGTCAGGAAGCCGGCCCCTATATCTCCGCTGGCTGGTCACCAACGTCACGCTCGCGGGCAACCTGTCCAACACGCTCGCGGATAGAGGTGTCTTGACCTCCACGGATTCCTTGAATCTCACTATCCCCTTCCAGGCCGAAGTACCATACATGAATCCTTTGATCAGATGCCAGCAGAACGACAGCGTATGGTGTGGTCAAAACCATATCATAACTATCTACCCACAAGTCAAGGGTTTCGACGGGACTGCAGGATATGTTGGAGGCAACGAGTCGAGAACGCAAGGCGACTATGATGTTGCGCAGCTCCAGCTTGCTCCCGGATATTTTGAGAACATCGCAGCGAATAATAGGAGTGGATTCAATATCACGCAGTTCCAGCTTGATATCGGGTTGGCGCAGGCTGAGGATGGGAAGGTACTGAGTGAGACGAGTCCCATCGGTGCTGTTCAAATGTCCACCTTTGGGCCGGACGGTGGCGTGGATCAATTGAGCGCTGCCTCATTCCCAACGAGGAGTACAGTGTTATTCCCAATCGTGGCAGCAGTATTTTCAACATTAGTTTCATCGATTGCGAACGCGCAATGAAAGAGCAAAGCTACGTCAAGCGTAACTGCTTTTGGAATCACTATCAAGACGCTGTGACACTTGCATTGCAGATGAAATGAACTATATCCTGTAGGATAATAGGCTCAGGCGATCTTTCAGATCGCCCTTCGATTCACATCCACCCCGGACACTTCGTCTCACAACGCGAGAGTGAAGCGTCCTTGTACAATTAATGCCCACACAGTGTTGGCTCGCTCGTATCCTCAACAACACCAACACACACCCTGGTACCCAGACGATCGTCATCTCACAAAATGTTTACACACCGTGTATCTTGCACGGCCAAACTCACAAAATGAGGCTGAACTCGTATCCAGACCGCGCTACTCTACCAATAAACACCACAACAAACACCCCAAAACGACGCAAGATCAGCGTCAAACCATAGTTCCCCACAGCACCACCGCCATTTCCTTCTCTTCTTACCGACCAGAAAAATGAGGCTGAGCGACCAGATCGGCGACTAGGTGGAAGATGAGGTTGGGTAGGTACCACGAACCGTTGGGTCTCGAGACGCGTGCCTGAAACGCGTCGACCACCGATAGCGTCGATCTTTAGCGGTCGTGCGCGTTATGTCAGTGGCTTGACGGGGGTTTGGGAGATCCCAGATGGTGAAAGGAGTGAAGGTGATGCGTCGCAGGGGTGTGCTTGTGTGGCGGTGTGTGAGTGAGGCTATCCCTGCGTGCTGGAAACACGATGCGCGAATCATGCGTATCACCGGCTTCAACCATGCAGGTCGCGAATGGTCTTGTGGTTCGTATGTACATTGATTTCGTGGCTCGTGCCGGCTGGCTATATGATTATCGTGTAGTATGCTATGCGTCCGTATGCGCCGTACCCTCCATATACACCGGAAATTAAGATAATAGATACATGCCATCAGGCAGTTCCCAGATGCGTAGATAGACTGATGTGGGTGGCTGAGATGTGACAAAAGAAAGCAAATATAAGAAATTACGCGCCCTATATCCCTCTTCCCGGTCTCAATAACGCCTGAAAATCGACCGATACATGCAGGCCAAATCCATATCTCATGTCGTCATTGTAATCATGCGTGGTTCATGCTATTGTTGTTGCTGAACTGTTGACGCGGCTAGTGACCGACTGGGAGCCACGTTCTTCGCTCGTCCATGCTTCGGGCAGTGCGTCCACCGGGGGTCAATGGGATCTCAACACGGCGGTGGTCTGCGCGCTCGCCTTCGCTGTCGTCATCGTAAGCGTCGGAAAGACGTGCGAAGTAATCCGCAAGTCCATTTGTTGGCGATGCGATCGATTCGTATAGCGGAGGTGGGGTTTCGAGCGGTGGTGGGGGTTCCTCCTCCGAGAATTCTGGTGGCGCGAAAGACGGTATACGAAGGAGGTGGATAGGTCGTTGCACAGCGTTGTCGGCTGGACCGCCAATGTGTGCTGCTTGTGGCCGTGCGAGAGTCGGCATGGGTGTCGACATGGTCGCATCCGAGTTGCCTCTTGGACGACTTATTGAGCTCAATGTTGGTACCCGACCAGTCGGAGACGTGCGCCGGGTAGGAGCATTTGGACAGCCGCACTCGGGCGCCTGTGTGTTACCAAGGTACGGCTCAGGTGATGAGTATGCTGGTAGTGCTGTGTTGGCCTGTGTAGCCTGGCAGGAAAGGATGTGGAAGGGCGAGTCGATTGAGATCTCGAAGTGCCTTCTCTTCGTGGGATCCGCTTTGTCGGGCTTGGAGAGGCGCATGACCAGTTTTATCCAGTGGTGTACTTGGATGTTTTGGTACGTGGTATCGAAGTGTAGCCGAGACAACTTGTCTTTGTCCCGCATGTTGTGACAGCTTGGCAGTTGCACGTTGAATTCCATCTCTGTGGGTCCAATGTTACCTTCCCCATTTAAGTCACCAAGCAGGTTCCCCGGATCTTGTACCTGCACATCTTCGCCTCGTGCAGCTGCAGCCCTCTGGTCGTATGGCACACCACCGCCAGATACTATCCGCATTGTGCTACCAGGGAATGTGCTTGTTGGTGGTCCATCGGCTCGCTTCTCAAAGAGCAGCACCTTTCGAACGGGCTCCATGCGGTGCACGCGCTTCTGGTTGCAAAAATACTCAACGTTCTCCGTGACAAAGACCTTGATCCTGTGACACTGCACCTTTGCTAGTGGCGTAAGCTTGAAGGCAATTGGGACCTGTGCGCCGAGTGGGAATGATTTTCCAGAGATGACGATGTCGTAGTGCAGCTGGTCTTCCCAACTTCGACTGATGGCAATCGGCTCGACCTGTTCCAGCGAGCCCTCTGAAGGCGTACGGACAAGGACGACTTCCTTGGTGCCAAGCAGATTGGTGCGGAATGCGCCAGCTCGTTCGACCGTAGCCTCCATCTCGTACTTGACGGAACCGAGGTCGACGTCGATGGTCTCGGGAAGATGGCTGTCAAGTGGGAGCTCGAAGTTGTACATGTACTCGCCAGCATTGAACGTCCTGTATCCTTTTTGTGCTACGGACGGCCCGCTTGATGGTAATTCGCCCTTACCAAAGCTGCGTGAGTGGTTGACTTGCAAGGACAACCTCTTTGCCTCCTTTGATGTAAGGTTGGTGGAAGATGCGTTTGGCGAGCTCCCGAGACCACCACCGCTCTTGTAGAGTTCGACTCGATCCGCGCCCGTGCCAGTCTCTGCGGTAGGAAATTGGGCGTTGAAGAATGGCCATGTGTGATTCATAAGAATGTCGACCTCCTCGAAGTCGACCTTCTTGGGGGGAATGCCTTCGGGCCATTTTGTAAGGGCCTTTCCTCTGAACTTCAGGGTAATGGCCTTGAGCTTTGTTGGTTTCGTGATCTTCAGGATCAGCGATCCACGGAGCATGGCAGTATTTCGCTCAGCATGTTCACTCTGCTCAAAACCCTGGAGAAACAGCACGGGTTCTGTGAGCGCAATGTTGACGCTAACGCCACCCCCTGAAGCTACCGGCTTCTCTTCTGGCAGCTTCGTTATGCTGCTGGTTGCGCTTTTGGCTGAAGATCTCCCAGACAAGAAGTGCGAGTCTGATACTGAAGGGCGAGACATGTCAATGTGTGATTGTGCAGACATTTGACCGAACGAGCCGACTGCGCCCGAGGCTCTTGGTGTGGAACGCATGTCGCTGGGTGCTGTGGAGAGCCTGCTCTCGGGGAAAGAGGCTATGGAGGTGCGGTTGCTGTTGGTAGACGATGCTGGCAGAACAATGTCTGTAGGCTCCGGTGGCGTAGCGGACTGCTTGTCGAAGAGATTGCGCAGATAGCGCTTGGCGTTTACACGAGGGCCCGCCAGCTTTTCTGTGAAGTACGACTTGCTAGTCGTTTCCCGCTTCTTGCGGCAAAGGAGGGTGGGGTCAGGTGCGACGTGTGCGATGTGGATGCGGTGCGGGCGACGAGGGCGACCCTGGAAGAGACCACGTCGGAGGCAGATGGGTTCTGGGAGGTGTTCGGGTAGGTAGCGTAGACGTCCGCGGTCTGAGTAAACGTGACGGTATTCTGTCATGGCGAGGATGGCGTTAGTGACGCCAATTGCTGGAGGTAGCGACAATGTCTTGCAGCAGCATGCAGGATGCACAGGAGCTTATGTAGAGGCCAGGGCCTGATCAACACACGGGAGGGTATGTGTAACTCAGGAGATTCAAATGCGTGTTACAAAGGAAGTCCCGGGCAAGGCAGGTCAAGGTAACATAACAGGACCCATGTCAACGCTTTGGGAAAGGACGACACAAGTGTTGCGAAACAAAGCGCCCGAACGCGGTGAAGGGGAAATGAGACAGGGACAAGCACTCACACGTCAAAAAAGTCTATTGCTGCTGTGCGCCTGCGTGCATGGCAAGTGTTTGGAAGGGATCAACAAGTGCAGCCAGCAATGACTTGTGGAGCGGTAAGAGTGCCGATGCGGCGGATGTGTCGGGTATTCCCTGTTTTGGAGAGATGCGCTGGCGCGTAGAATGAACAAAGGGACTGCGACAGGGCGGAAGATACCAGGGACCACAGGGGTTTTGGGCAGCGTTGACGTGAAGACAAGCGGACGACCCTTACAAATTCAGGGCGGATGCTGCGCGTGCCGTCTGTAATGCGCCGGGCAGGGAATAACGGTATGGTTGGCGTGGTAGAGCCAGATGACGCGGGCCTACTCGAGCACAGTCGGCGGGGTCGCAGCAGCGGAATATCGACGGATGTGAGTGGTGCAAGTGGTGAAATCGGCGGTGGACACTCTCACAGCGAGTCGGCGAGTAGATATTCGTAAACAGTGTGCGCTCTTGACGCAGTGCAGACAGGCCGGGAGGGAGCCTCTTCGGCATGAATCCCCACCGCGGACTCGAGAGGTCAATCTTCACTGCAGATTTGAAGGACAGTGCACTGATCTCTGTGGAGGGCTCGGACGGCTATGACATCAACAGGAGCACCACGACTCGATCAAGACTGACGCGCTGCAGGGCTCTGGTTGCCAGACCCTGCTCGAATCCTAGCGATCCTATCACGGCTTGTTCGGCAGGGCAGCGCTCGCGGCCTCAAGCCTCGTATGTCCCCCTAAGCTGAGGCGGACTGACATCGCTCAAAGCAGATCGGCGGCATGCAGTGCCTCGGAAGTCTGCGAGCGCGCTGCGCCACTGCTGAGAGATGCAAAGACAACCTCAACTCAGTTCGGCTAGCGATCAGTCATCATGAGTACCAATGAGAGAGATTCAGAAGCAGCCAAGTCGACTGCGAAGTCAATGGGCTGTTGGCACACTCGCACATGCAGGCGGACGCGGTTCCTTGGTTCTTAGACACCTCGTGCCTTGTAATCTACAACCAAGCTACAGCAGTGCAGCGTGTGAGGCGAGTCTGGGTTTCATCAATTTGGGTTGGCACAATTGGCAGGTCGGCCGGTGTCAGCATCGTGCAGGTTACAGCCCACTTCGGGATGCACAGCAAAACAAAAACGCAAAGATCTGCGCTTGGAGTTCTGATTCTGGAGATGCTGGAGAAGGCCAAGTGATCGGCGCACGTTGTCAGGCAGCTCGATGTGCGTCGTCATCAAGAGGGGCATGCGCCGCGGTGGGTAACCGGCAGGGAAGACTTTTCGTGGCGCTGCTCGGATCACAGGCGGAAGAGCAGCAAGATCTGCCCGCATCTGGCAGCGAGCAAAGTCCGTCTGGGCAGGGCTGTGAAAATGCTAGATGACAGAGGGGCACACGTGATTCCCCGCACGACGCGTCAAAGGTTGAGCCCTACGCGACGCGACTTTCCTCTCGGCGTGTTGGCAGCACACGACACCGCGACTGGCCGCATGTGGCAACACTGACATGGACGCGACCGACGGTCACTATGGTGAGTCTGCCCGCGCAGCACACGCAAACATGTACTCACAGCAACCTGTAGGAACTGGACAGCTGCCCCTCGCGGGCGCAATCCTGTGCTGCACCGCCCTGCCGCACGAGCAACGCGTAGGATGGACTTGCATTTGCCATGTACCGCCAGCTGATATGCTCTGACAGGCACACCTCTCGGTCATCGGCGCACAGATGGGCGCGACCATCAAGCTCGACCTCACCTCCGACGTAACTCACCTTATCGCCGGCAACGCGGACAGCGCCAAATACCGCTATGTCGCCAGGCTCCGAGAGGATGTCAAGGTCTTGTCGCCGGGTTGGCTGGAGGCGCTGCGCGAGGTCTGGATGGAGGGGGACGACGGCATGGACGTGGCAGGCTTAGAGAAGCAGTACCGTCTGCCCACATTCTTTGGACTCAAAATCTGCCTTACGGGCTTCGACAACCGTACGACCACCCCTGCAAACGTCCGCCATGTGACTGTACGCTGACGAGATACAGCGGAGCAACGGAAGTATATTCAAGAGACAGTCGACCAGAACGGGGCTGAGTATCATGGCGATCTCACCAAGAGCGTCACCCACCTCATTGCCGCCGCCCCGACTGGTAAGAAATACGAGCATGCGCTTAATTGGCGCATTAACATTGTCTCCCTAGAATGGTTTGTGCAAAGTCTCGAGCGGGGCATGGTGCTGGAAGAGGCGCGCTATGACCCCACACTGCCAGCGGAAGAGCGCGGGAAGGACGCATGGATTCGCACCGAGAACCCTTCACCGGCTCTTGGCAAGCGCATGCGGGATGCCGAACAGCCTCAATCCCTCAATCCCAATCGACGGAAGCTTCGTCGCGCAGCCAGCACAAAACTCGGGTTTCAAGGCGATGCGTTGTGGGCTGAGATCATCACGCCATCTGGTGACCAAGGCAAGACCGAAGAGGACGAGTGGAAAGAGGACAATTTGTTCCAGCAGACGACACCGCACGAAGACTCGCCTGTGATACTCCATGACGACGAAGCACCTCATCCAGACGAGCCCGAGGACACCGATGCACCTACACCTGCCGCCGCAGCTCCGTCACCGCCACCAGAATTATTTCGAGGCGAAGGCATCTTCCAAGGTCGCGTCATCGGCATTCAAGGCTTCGATCAAGACAAGGTATGTTGCAATTTCGACGATGCGTTGCCAAGCTGACGTCTCCACAGAACAGCATTCTACAAAACCATCTAGAGAAGAACGGCGCCCGTGTCCTAGGCAGCGATGACTTGGAGAAACTCACTTCATCGAATCTCAGGCGTGGATATCTCGTGATACCGCATGATGTTGAGGTCGATGCTGTGTCCCGATCGCTTCCGGAGCGCGCCGGATCCTTAATGAACCTCGTTACTAATTGGTGGGTTGAGCGCTGTCTCTATGGGAAGCGCCTAGTAGACCCCACAGACGACGTCTTGAGTCGACCTTTCGATAAGCTTAGCATCAACGGTAAGCTTTTAGCCCTTGTGCAAATCGCATGTCCGGTAATGCTGACGTCGCAGGGTTCTCCGGTCTAACTGTGAACTCGACGGGATTTTCTGGCATCGAGCTCCTGCATGTGACGAAAGCTGTTACACTCATGGGTACGGAAATAACTTCTCTGCAACGCTGGTTGACGTTGATCTGACAAATTGACAGGTGCAAACTATGACGAACAATTGCACGCCAAAACCTCGGTCATCATCTGTAATAGCCGAAAGCCAGCCCCACAAAAACTGAAGTTCGCCACGAATAGACATATCCCAGCTGTGCATGCAGAATGGCTGTGGGATTGTTTGCGCACTGGCGCGTTGCGACCGTTCAGCAGTTACATGCTGAATACGCTTGAACCGCGCCAGCCTCAGAAGACGCGGCCAAGGCCTCAGTTGGCTGAGAAACCCACGCTTGCGTCCGCCAAACAGGACACTTCGAAGCCTCAAGAAAAAGAACGTAGAGCAGAACCACCAAAGATTGTGACAAAGCCACAATACTCTCGTGCACGAGGGCCTCAAGGACCCCGAGCTCTTGACCTTGCCCCCTCAGCGGGTGCAACACCTGCTTCCACAGGTGATCTTCTTATAATGCAAGCAGAAAGCACTCGCACTTCCCACGCTATTGATAATGAAGACTTATTCAGGGGCTTCGACGGCAATCCATCGATGCCACTGCAGGACATTGATGCTAATTCCCCACGACGTCCATCCACATCATCCACAGGGTCAACTACCCATGGCAAATTCAAGGCTAGACATAGGAGCTCATCTGCTGAATCTTTGATCAGAGCTGCGCCTGCACCGCGCACCACAAGGCCAGCTCGAGAACCATCACCCGATTCTGTAATCCCCGCGCCATCCGAGCCACCAGCACCAGTGTCTGAGCATCAGCCTCCGGTCAGGGAACCCGAAGAAGAGAAAGACTATTCCGACCTGCTCTCCAAACTGCGCGCAAACCGTAAAGACGCGCCAACGCCTGAAGACCAAGCTGACGAGAAGCGACGTCGACGCCGCCAGCTGGGCCGCGCAACATCCACGCACTCAATAGGGTCTACAGGGGATGTTAGCTCGGGCAATCTTGGTCTGGACGCCGAAGATGAGGATGAGACGATCGTCATCAATGAGTATCAGCCCAGCCAGGAGTTGGGGTGGGATAGCCCCGGTGCTGCAAAAGCGAGAGAAACGATGATTAAGAAGCTGGGTGGCACGCTGAAAGAGAAGAGTGTGCCTGTAAAAGCTATTGGTGGCGCGATGGACGGGCCGAGCGAGAGTAAGCTGGCCGGCAGGGCAAATCGGAAGAGAAGGCCAGGTTTCTAAAGAACGATTATGAGCGAAGAGTCAAGTAGAGACGTGTCAGTGGGAACAATTGGTTAGACACATATCACGAGCATAGCGCGGCGCACTTCCCAATCAACGCACTCAAACACGGTGTTCGGGTATACCATCATGACAAGCAACAAACCATCTCTTCTCACCGTCCAACTACCCCGTGCATCACTCGTCCTCTTCACAGCCCATACGTGGCCTTCAGCCTCCGATCCAAATGCTCTTTCGCCGTCAACACCTCCCTCCCATCCTCCCTCAACCCCAACCTCTTCCTCTGACTCCTCAGCTCCTCCCTCCCTTTCTCTCCATCCCCAGCATCCAACACCCTACTCTTCATCCTCTCGAGTCGCGCCTCATCCAACGGATGACAGAAATACGCCATACTGTACCGCTCACCGCCGCCACTAAACGTCACACGGTGCACAGTACTCTTCAGCAACCCGCCGGTCCAGAACGACAGCAAATCACCAATGTTGACTAGAATTGGGGGCGAGGACAGCGTCGCAGGCGACGGGTTGACGGGCACAGGGACCCATGTCCGACTCGTGGGCGAGAAGAGCTCCAGCCCCGGTTGCCCTGGGAGGCGGAATAGCAGCGTCAGGGACCCGTAGTCGGAGTGCGCGCCGGCGCGGATCTGGTGCGAGGTGCTGGAGGGGTAGTACAGCAATCTGAAGATTGTACCCGAGGGCCCGCGGGACTGGTCGTGCCGGCTAGCGAAGTAAGCTGGATCTGTAGTCTCGAGGGCGGTTCCGAGGAGCGAGAGGAGCTGCGTGCAGAGTGCGTGGCATGCGTTTTGGAAGCGGAGGATTAGGGGAGAAGAGGTGGAGAGGGGGGAAGGGAGGGGCTGGAGGTAAGGTTGCGGAGGGCCGATGTTAAATGCTTCTTTGGGGTCTCCTTGCTGAAGAGGGGTTAGAGGCATGACACTTGGACGTGGGATTCAAGCGATTTACCTTTTGGCCTTCTGGATCAAGGGCTTCGCCGGCCATTTTTACCCAGCCGCGGTTGATGCCGCCGGCTTGGTCTGAGTGGATCGCGTACTCTGACTTGTGTTCTTCACTGCGACTGAAGAAATCTTTGGACTAGGTGATGTCAGTCTGCGTTGTGTGATTCTGAAGGACAAGCACTGACAGCTTTAAACATGTCATCGATGTCTTGAGGTGGTATTGTCACGCCATCGTTCTTGATGAAAAGGAAGCCATGTGTGGAAGCTGCATCAAGAACCTGGCGAGCTATTTCGTCACTTGGATTCGAGATGTCAATGACCGGTATGTCTGTATTCTCAACCTCGACTTGAGGCATCCTGCTCGTCTAATGAGATCTGATAGCTGAGGTTTGCTCTGGCGGAACTTGGTGGCTGTGATACGAACACGGCTGAGGAAGTCTTTCGCTCTGGTCGCATACCAGATGAGCAGTCTTAGTCCTGGATGCAGTCGAGAGTCGGCAGCTTGGACTCGACTTGATGCAGGTGTCTTATCGGCGGCACTCTGCTCCCATGTTCCTGGGCTAAGGACGAAAGCGGATAAAGCTGGACAGGGTTCAGGCAAGCGGGCGGGCAGCTCTCGTGCTTGGACCTTCATTTTCATTGACCATCAACACCCCGCAATTGTTATCCTGCGGTTCATCTTACAGAAGCCTTACTACCGGATTTTGCATACGTACCGACCGAAAGTCACGATAGCATAGTCCTCGGGGACATCACCATCGCTGTCTCCTACCGAGCTTCCGACCCCAAACAAACAGCGCACGCGCCGACCACGATGATTCGCGACTTCGAAGCATGGAACGCCAACATTGGCGAGACTGGCGACCTGCAAGAGCTCAGTGGCTGTAAGGTGGCTATTGAAGCCGCTCACTACCTCCAACACCGCATTCTCAGCCATCCTCGCGCAAGAGAACCGCTCGTTCCCGCACTCGGCGGTCTGCCACTTGGCATGAAGCAGTACATCGAAGAAGACCTAAACACATTTGAGAGCCTGAAGATTGAACCCTGGTTCGTCTTCAGCGGGCTAGACATCACAAAGCCCGACGACCCGTTCCAGCAGAAGCAGCGCGAGGCTGGCGTGAACACAATGGCTTGGAACTTGTATGACAGCAACCAGGCTGAGGCCTCTGTCGCCAAGTTCGGAGAATCGACATACGTGACACCTGAGGATCTGTTCCGTTTCCTGCAGTCCATTCTGCTCGAGCGCAGAGTTCACTTCCTTGTTGCGCCTTACAGCGCCTGGGCACAGGTACGCTTTCACCAGGCATGACAGAGGACAGTACTGACATCGTGTAGCTGGCATACCTCGAGAAAGAGACCCTCGTTCACGCTATATCAGGCGCATCAGAAGTACTGCTGTTTGAATGCGACAAGGTTGTAACATCTTGGAATCTCGAGGACAAGACTTTCAGCTGGACAAAGCGAGCGAAGTGCATCGCCGACTTGGAGAGGTTCGCTGGCAGCGGCAGAGTCACTGAGGACAACTTTGTCGATGCGCTACTCTTTGCCGGGACCCCGTTCCTGCCAACCTTGCCCAACCTCAGCTCGCCTAATAGGACCGAACTTCTCAAGCCGCACGCCGCAATCAAGATGATCTTCATGAGTAGCGGGAGGACAGGATACTCGGTTGTGGTCACCAATAAGGACGACCCTCGATCTGGCGACTACGTCGATAGATACCAGAAGGCCCGACTGGCGGTTAAGAATCACCCCATCCTCACTACTGAGGGTAAGCTTGAGCCCCTGAACCCCAGTCAGATGCCGTCCGACGCAAACCAATTTTTGGGTCAGCGTCTCTCTGATGAGCTCCACTACCTGCAGTCCCGTGGTATCATCAACTCACGGCTTCTGCAATGGCGCACATCCTGCGAGATCTTCGACCAACCTCCTATCGATGGCGGCATGTCATCTGAGTATCAGAAGCTCGTCACTTCCAAGCTTACGCCACTACGAACTGCAGCTCTCAACCTGCTCTCCACGCCTCTCCACCACTGGTATCGGGTTAAGGGGCTGGACCAGACATGTTGGATCCCTGATACTGCGACTGGCAAGCCCCAGAAGAAAGAGATCTCAATGAGGGATCTCCCCGAGTATCAGGCGATCGCAGAGACGTGGAACGTAAAGGAGGCTACTTTCAAGGGTGTGGTAACGAGCAACGAGGGCAGTGGGCCACTTGGGTCTGCCATCTTGGCGTTAGCAAGCGATGAGTTCGTTGCCAAGACTGTCGCGAAGAAAGATGCAAACAACCTTCTTTCAACACCAGACGAGGTCCTGTACAACTCAATATGGCGATTCCTCGCCGTACGTGAGTATGTGGACGCCAAGCACAATCTGACTCCTTGGGGCTACGTGCTAGTGCAGACCGTTGCATCGCTGGACGGCGCCGAGCTCGAAGAGAGTGCTGTACTTGCTGTAGAGCTGCTTCGTCTCGAAGACTTGAACGGCGATATCAACATGTTCCCGTATAACGGAGCGCCCATGCGTGGCAATGCCAAGGATCAACACGCGAACATGCTGATCTCACGTGTCGCCGCGCTCGGTACACTCCAGCACAAGCCGATCGGATTCACGGGTCCTCTGAGCCAGCACCTACTCGGCTACGGATCGATTGTGAATCTTGTGCGCCAGACTCTGCGCGACCTCGTCGAGGCTACCAGCACCAACATGTTTTTGACCGGATGTTGCGATAGGAAGACCAGCGTGTCGAACCTGATTACCAAGCTGCCATTCCTTCTACCGAACAACTGCGCACTCGGTATCGGCGTCAAGTCGTACCTCGACGAGCTTACGAACGACTCGGCCCCCACGTCTGCAGAGTCGAAAGCAAGAGTCATCGAGACTGTGTCCACTCGCTATTTCCCACAGTCAATAGACTTCCAGCACGACCTCAAAACAGCGTTCGGTCTATGGGACGCTGTTTTCGCTGGAGTCAAGGCTTCTGGAAGCAAGATCTCCCAGCAGAACAAGACGTTGTGGAGTGAGACAAACGACTGGCTTAAGGAGCGCCGTTAGGAGCGGCTACCCAAGAAGATATGTGATGCGGGTGTTTTGGCACCTTCGCCTGTCTGATCCTGTGTAGGCTTTCAAAAGGCCAGCGCTGGCAGACGATGGATGGCCAGGAAAATCATGCATCGCAACGAATGAACACTATTAGCCTGGTGTCGCCCAGGGCTACCTGTCTGCCACCATTTTGTTCTTGCCCTCTGCACCGTCCTCGCATGACTAGGCAGCTCACTACGCGTGCAACGTAGGCTCCAAGCTTACGTGCACTCACGTGTACCTGCTGCCTTGTCCACACGCTATGCATATAGACCCTTTGCCCGTCGCTGCCCCTTTTAATCTCCAAACTTTATTGATCAGGGTCCGCGAGCACCAGAAGTCGCGCGACCGGCATGGATCAGCTGCATGGCACAATGCGGGACTGGCTTTGTCTGATGGCGCTTTGTGGGCGTCACTGGCGCACTTTTTGTTGGTTACGTGTCTTTTACATGCCGGGAAGACATGAGTCGAAGCGAAATTTGCCAGCATAATGTGAAAATCGATATGGGAGGGTTATGTTGTGTCTGTGGACAGGGCAAGGGTGGAGCCGAGATGTCATGCGCTCCCGCCTTGCGCGCCGGAAGTGGTTAGTTCAATATTGACCCCAGATTACCACTCCCGCGCATTCCTCTTTCTTACACTTCCTTGATATCTCAGACTCGATGTAAACAATGGAAGGATCAGAGATCTCTACAGCGTGGAGCCAATCATCCGAGAAAGACCCGTGCCGGATCAGCTTTCTAGATCTCCCTCGCGAGTTGCGCGACTTCATCTATGCTTACGCTTTCCACGTCACTGGCGCCATATTCATCTACACCAAGAATCCATATCAGCCAGAGCCCAAGTTGAGATCGAAAATCGTCCGCTACAGGGGCTCTGGTGCCGCGGAGCCAATGAGCGTACACAAACAGGTCTCGATAGGACTATTGCAATCCTGTCGGCAGCTGCACGCTGAGTCTGCTCCCGTTCTGTACGGCGACAACACTTTCCGCATCTGGTTTCTGGGCAAGACAAACTTGACGCTCGCCTACTGCCAGCTTGTCCGCCATGTCACGTTGACTACGGAGGCAGCCTACCGCATCTTCAACAGCAGAGACCTCGACAGCACCAGCCATGGGTGGCGGAACCGTTTCTGGCCCGCCATTCTGGACAGTGGGAGGAAGATGCTCGCACGATTCCCGAATGTCGAGAGCATCACCGTGCCAATGAAGTCTGGAACAGAGTCTTCTACGTGGAGACCTGCGTTCTTCGCTCTCGGCGGCAGGACTGCTGATCGACGTATCGAGCTTGCGGCAGAATGGATGTTGGAGAGAACTAAGTTTCCTGACGAACGATTGCGCGATTGTTTACATCTTGAGCTCGAGCCTTCTCCGGGCAGCATCTCCAAGGAGGAGTATGCTGGCTCACGATTTGCGCCTGATGAGGAGGAATGGGACTATACAGAGTTTGGGAATGCGTTCGAATTGATGAAGGCCCTCGATTGAGTTTGGATCTCCGAATGAGTCTCTCCCCGGCCTATTTCAGCCCCGTTTTGAATATTCCAATGGCTCGAAACGATCACGCCACAACCGCCAAGACAGGTCCCAACGATACAACGAGGAGCCCCTCCGCGTCCAGGGACGTCAGCTCCACAATTTCAGATACCTCAGGATCTACAAAAGCCGTCTCCACAGGCCTCGCCTCCCACGGGCTCAAGCGCTGGTGCCATAGTCTACACTTTCAGCCAAGGGTATGGACAGCAACCCCACATTACGGCCGTGGACTAGGGATCAGGGCTTGCTCCGCTAAAACCACCGCCCTCTAAATGGCAGGCCCGTGTACGAAGCAGGTCTACCGCACTACCAGCAGGAGCACAAGCAGTTCCGTCAGCGGCCCAAGCCAGTTCTCCAGTGTCAAGACGGCGACACCGGCAAAGCGAGAAGAAGACGAAGGCGGCATTTCCCGTTTCCCCACCTGCATGCACGCCGCGCAGTAAGCTCTTCGGTGCTCATGGCAATGGGCGTTGGGGCTGCAGCTTTCATACAGGTGAGTATTTTCTTGCGCTGAGTTCAGACGGGGGGCTTTTCTATGAAAGCGGCTGGAAGGACTGTAATCCCGTTAAAGGGCCTGAAGAGTCGTCCGCAGATCACAAGAAGTACTGATGATGTCCATCAAACGGGCAATGGCGCGGGGTGCTGTCACAGGAGACATGGGACGGACTGGAAGTCTTAGATGATTGAGAGACAGACTGGATGTACGTATGCTGTCCGGTAGCTCTTTGCTATGCCGAGGCCTCGCGTTGAAGGGGCCGTTTATACGAGTGAGATGATTCGAGTCTACACCGAGCACCAGCAAGCTTTAGTGCAATGGAAGCTGTATTACAGAGTCGAGTGCATCCTTTGACTTGTGCATCCTTTGACTTGTACATCCTTTGACTTGTGCATCCTTTGACTTGTAGGCAATGGAGAGTATAGATCGGAGCCGCACGGTGTGAGAAACTCATTCACGTGAATACAGCACAACGTCGAGAAAGATCCATGTACGTCCAGATCGTCGGGCGATATGCATCCCGCCACGCACCGTGCCATGCAATAATATACAAACGCCATCCACAGCATGATGATACACTGCCATCTACAGCATGATGATACACCGCCATCTACAGCATGATGATACACTGCCATGCACAGCGTGATGATGCACTGCCATGCACAGCATGATGATACACTGCCATGCACAGCATGATGATGCACCGCCATGCACAGCATGATGATGCACTGCCATGCACAGCATGACGATACACCGCCATGCCACATGCTCACCTGCGGCCCAGCTTCCACCGCGCGATGCGGGTCTGGATATCGTCCCAGGCAAAGTCCCTCCGCTTCAGCCCCTCTTGCTCGCCCTCCTGCAGCACGACGGTCGGCGCGCCGCTCCCGGCGCCTCGGTTCTGGACGTCGCCGCCAAACACGTGGCGGGCGACGCGGCGCAGGTCCTCGACGGTCACGGCCTCGATCTTGGCGCACATCTCGCGCACGCCGACCTTGCGGCCGTGGACCTGGACCTGCCTGCCGAGGTCCTCGAGCTCGACCATCCTGCTCTCGAGGTTCATGAGCAGCGACGAGCGCAGCTGGTTCTTTGCGCGCTGGACCTCGCCCTCCTTCAGGGCGGCGTAGCCCGTCTCGTCGCCCAGGGCCTTGAGCTCGCGGCACATGACCTCGAGCATCTGGGCGACGTGGCTGGGGGCGCACGAGGCCGAGATGCCAAACAGGCCGCTGTCGGTGTAGCTGTGGTTGAAGGCGACGCAGGACTCGACCCAAAAGTGCTGGTTCAGCACGTTGGTGTACAGGCGCGAGTACATGCCCTTGCCGGGCCCGCCGGCGCTGAAGGAGCCGCCGCCGCCGAGCAGGGTCTGCATGGTTGCGAGGGCGTAGATGTCCGGGGAGGAGATGGGCAGGGCCTCAAAGGCGAGGTGGATGTGGGAGAGGCGACGCAGCATGGGGTTCAGCGGCGGCGGGATGGGAGGCAGGGTGAGGAAGCCGCCGGTGTAGTGCGAGGGCGTCGTCGTGTCGATGGGCGGGAAGTCGAGGTCAAAGGACGAGTGGAGGGACCCCGAGTCGGCGGCCGAGGCGGACAGGCTCTTGAGGAAGGGGATCCTGGACAGCAGCTTGGACGGCTGCGGAGAGCCGCCGGTAGGCGTGGGGTGGTCGGCAAAGAAGGCTTGCTGCCCGAGCTTCTGGCTGGGTATCGCGGCGTGCTCGTCGACGGCGACGAGCAAAGGCCCCTGGCCCCTTGCCATGTCGCCAAAGTACTGCTCGCTCAGCTTGACGGCGTCGTTGTGGGCCACGCCGGCAAAGGCCACGACGATCCTGTCCGGGCGGTAGAACTGCTTCCGGTATGCCTCGACGACGTCGCGGTTGATGTGCGGGAGGCGCTCCTTGGGGCAGAGCAGGGGATTGCCCAGCGTGTTGTCCTTGTAGGCGGCCATGTGCACCAGCTCGGGCAGGATCAGCTCGGGCTTGCTCCAGATCTCGCCAATCTCGTAGTCGGCCGTCTCGAGCTGCTGCTGCACCTCGTCCTCGGTGATGAGCGGGTCGCGTATTGTCTCGGCGAGCAGGCCGACTGTGCTCTCGACGGCCGAGTTGAACGTGGCCGACTGGTACATGAGCGACTCGCGCGACGAGGCGCACTGGATGTTGCCGCCCAGCGACTCCATCCTGTCCGCCATCTGGTCGCCCGTCGTGTTGCGCGTCGACTTGAAGGCCAGACGGTCGACAATGTGGCTCACTCCCCGCAGCGCATCGTTCTCGTACCGCGATCCCGAGTCGACGTAGACGCCAATGCCCGAGAAGTGGCCTGGCAGGGCCTCGGTGGCGACGCGGATGCCGTTGGGGAGCGTGGTGATCTGGTCGAGCTCGGCGGGATCGCGCTCCTCTGCGACCGCCGTCGCCAGTGCCCGCCTGCCGGCGCATGTTGCGGAGCGCGTGAGCTGCGACGCGGCCTGCGACAGCCCGCGCGCGATTGGTCGTGCCGTCTGGGGCCGTAGCATGTCGATGGTGGAGATGGGTTGCCGTCGCGGAGCGACGGGCAGCCCAAAAATTCGACATGACATGTCGTCACGTGCGTCGATCTTGCTTGTCCGAACGGCCGTGGGTCCAGGCGGTCCGCGACGCGGCGACGCGGCGAGGCGGCGAAGCGGCAAGGCGGCTCCACCAGGCGACGCCCAGAGACTCGCACGGCGGAGGAGTCTGCTGCAGCCTGCGGCCTGCAGCCTGTAGGGGGCTTCCCGTCTGCGCAGTGCGCACAGCACAGTGCACACCAGACGGCTGCCCGCTGGCGCTGCTCCCAGTCCCTATGCTGACTATGCTCTGTGCCTGTGCCTGGCCTGTGCCGGTGCCGGTGCCGGTGCAGGCGTCTGTTGACGTGCTGCTTTGCAACTGCCTCGCCGTCTCGCCTGGTCTGCTGGTTCTAGCCCTCGAGTCGACTGGCTCGACCTGCATGCTGCATGCGCCGTCGACTCCTCACCCAGACGGAGCTTGGCCACACCCAGCGCCGCCCTCGTGCTCTGTAGATGCGCCGTCCGTTGACCGCCTCGCTCTGTTGATGCGCCCGCCCGTTGACCCTCGTGCTCTGTAGCCCACCGTCCCAAGTCCGCCGTTCTGAGCCCACCGTCCCAAGCCCACCGCTCTGAGCCCGCCGTTCTGAGCCCACCGCTCTGAGCCCACCGCTCTGCGCCCGTCGTTCTGCGCCCACCGTGCTGAGCCCCGACCCTGCGGCCATGTTCACTGCCCCAGCACCAGCCGCCCCCACCGTTTCCGCGACGCCCATATCGCCCGTCTCGCCCTCGCCGCGCTCCACTGGCCTGCAGCGAGGCATTTCCTTCCTGCGCAACTACACCCACGGCCTGCACCTTCACTCGACTGACGCCGCCGACGCTCCCCGCGAGGACGCCCGCACCCCCAGGACGCGCCCACGCGCCTCTACCCACACCCCGCCCGTGTCGCCGTTTGCTGCCGCGGCGACTGCGCAGCCCGCTGCCACGACGACTGCGCAGCCCGCTGCCACGGCGACTGCGCAGCCCGCAGCCCGTCCCCCTCCGCCCTCCCGACGGCAGACGGCACCCCTCGGCCACACGCAGCCGCGCCCGCGCTCGCCCCCGTCCGACGCTCCGCCTGCAGAGCCGCGCGCGCTCAGCATGACCAGGGCCCGAGCAGAGACGGCGGCGCCCCAGCTCACGGTGCGCCCCAGCCCCAGCCCCAGGGCGACGCCAAGCTCGACCCCGCGCCCGACCGAGCACGACAGCTCGAGCGACAACGCTGCAGAGGGCGCGACCCCGCAGAAGCACCTGCCCTCGATCCGCTTCATCCCCCACCAGGACCCCCGAGCCGCCCGGCCCTCGCTCCAGTTCCCCACCATCACCCGCACGCTGCCGGACGAGTCTGCCGTGGTGCGTGTGGGGCGCTACTCGGAGCGCGACAATGCGCCGGACATGCCCGCCAACGTGCCCTCGGCCGCTGCGATTGGCTTCAAGAGCAAGGTCGTCAGCCGGAAACACTGCGAGCTGTGGTGCAAGGACGGCAGCTGGTACATCAAGGACGTCAAGAGCTCGTCGGGCACCTTTCTCAACCACATCAGGCTGAGCCAGCCAAACGTCGAGTCCAAGCCCTTTCGGATCAAGGACGGCGACATCATCCAGCTGGGCATAGACTTCCGCGGCGGTGAGGAGATGATCTTCCGATGCGTCAAGATCCGCGTCGAGTGCAATCGCGGGTGGCAGCAGGGTCTCAACTCATTCAAGTAAGCACGAGCCTTGTGCCTGGCGATGCAGTACTGACTCCCAGAAGCAAGCAAACACACCAGCGACTGCGCAACCTCACCAAGGCCAAGAAGGAGGACGACAGCGCCTCGACACACACGTCCGAATGCGCCATCTGTCTCATGTCCATTGCAGTGAGTATCCGCGTGCGGCCCGGTGCTGGTGTTGGCTGACCTGTACCCGCAGCCCTGCCAGTCCCTCTTCGTCGCGCCCTGCTCCCACGTCTGGCATTACAAGTGCATCCGGCCGATTCTCAACGGCGCCACATGGCCCAACTTTCTGTGTCCCAACTGCAGAGCGGTTGCTGACCTGGATGCCGACGTTGAGGATCCAGGCGAGTTTGAGGACTGGGACGAGGATCCGCAAGCCAACGGCGACTTGTCCGCGGACGCACAGCCCCCCTCAGAGGACCGCCATGTCACGCCACGCGCTTCGGCAGCTCCTCTGAACGGCGCAGCGGCAGAGACCCCCCACACGGACCTTGCCGACCTACAACACGCCATCACCAACATCAGCATCCACGAGTCCACCAACATCAGCATCCACGCGTCCACTGCGAATCCGCAAACGCCGTTCCGCCCAATCGAGCCCGCGACTGCGTCTGTCACCCAGCCGGTATCCATTGACCGCGGCCCGGGCGGCTTCAACGGCCTGTCGCCACTGTACCTCGCCTCACACGAGGGGCTGATGCCCGACCGCGCCCAAGACGGGCCCATGACTCCCCGCAACGACGCCGGCCCTTTTGTACTGGACGGCAGCGCAGGGCGGGCCGGAGGGGGCCGGCTGCGGGACGAGTCGCCTGCGTCTGGCGAGACGGATGCGCCCTCGATACCCCCCGTGCGATTCGAGTAGGACTCGAGGGAGCCGTCCTCTTGCCCTTGGACTTGTGTAAACGGCCATGTCATCTCATTCTCTAATTCTTACTGCAGCCATTGTGGCGCGATTGCGAGGGCGCAATACCGGCCCGACAGTCACGGGAAGCATCGACGGCATCTCACGTGATGCATTTGCTTGCATGTGTTTGGGGCCAGCGTTTGCTGGGGTCCAGGCGTTGGCGGGTCACCATTATTATCCATCATCAGCAGCGACGCCGCTGCTCGGAGGCGCAGAGTGGGGAGTGCGGCGTGGAGTGGGGAGTGCGGCGTGGAGTGGGGAGTGCGGCGTGGAGTGGGGAGTGCGGCGCGAAGAAGGCATGGGTAGAGACGTATATTGTTTTACGCATGTTGTTTGACGGACATTGTTCGACGGACATTGCTCGACGGACATTGTTCGACGGACATTGCTCGACGGACATTGCTCGACGGACATTGCTCGACGGACATTGCTCGACGGACATTGTTTGTTGACGGAGAGGCAAAAGTCGTGTGAAGCCCAACACAATCCCATCATTCAGCACCACAAGCCAGGAGCGTAGCAACAAGCACCTCCCCGCCCTCTACACCCTTGCTCGTCTCCCTCTCCACTCCCAGACAGCCGCACTCCCAGACAGCCGCACACCCACCGCGCTCCCTCCCCTCTCAGAACATGCCCCCGTAGCTCCGCCCCCCGTCCCACTTCTCCCGCCACTCCTCAAGCAGCACCGCGACCTCCTCGCGCGCATCCTCGACGATGCCATCCATCTTGATGTCGTTGCGATCGTACCCGAACGGGTCCTCGAGCTGCACCCCGATCCCTTCGATCCCGTACAGCGTAAAGGCTACCATGGCTACCACGGGGATCGAGTACCACCCGTACGACGACACCATGGTGAAGGGCAGGATTGTTATGTAGAGGAAGAGTACTTGGGAGGCGTGGATTAGGTGTGCGATTGGGAGGGGGGTTGTGCGGATCTGGGGAGGTCAGTGTGTGCTGCGACGGTCTGGAGACGGATGCGACGGTCTGGAGACGGATGTGACGGTCTGGAGACGGATGTGACGGTCTGGAGACGGATGCGAAGATGTGGGGAGGGCGGACTCACGGTTTCCATCTTCCCGTATGCGTCGACGAGGTTGTTGACTTGCACTGTCAGCTGCGAGGAGAGCGGCGCGTTGATCCAGCCGCGGTTGTACGCGCGCGTTATGTACGACTCCAGCAGCACGCAGAGCTGCAGAGGCAGTCCCAGGCCCCGGTCTTCGTACCCCATCAGCCCGTCTGGCAGCAGCGAGACGTAGTCGTCCTTCTTCGTCGCCATGGAGCCGCTCTCCAGCACGCTGTCCAGCGTGCCCGTTGAATGCTGCAGCAGCGGCGTGTGCAGGTCTGCTCTTGACCGCTCCAGCGTCGGCGTCGCCGGCAAGCTGGGCCCGCGGTCCACGTAGCTCGGTCGCCGGCTCAGCGGGCGCGAGATGGGCCTGCTGCTTGCGCCCCTGACGCCCTGGAAGTTGAGCTGCGCGGACGAGCTGGCTAGGCTGGCGGGCGGGATGTTGAACTCTGCGCGCAGGTTGTGCTTGATGGCGTAGAGCACGGCGATGAGGACGCGGACGGTGCGCTCCGTGTCGCGGCGCTCGTCGGGCGTCGACTTGCCCTGCGCGTCCTGCGCGTTGACGAGCAGGATGCGCGCGAGATTGCGCACGCTGGTTCCCACGGCCGTCACGCAGTTGCGGCCGCTCCAGAAGCGGTCGTACGATGTGCTGTTGCGGAACACCAGCATCAGGCCCACCACAATGGACAGCGAGGGGATGATGGTCGCGGGGATGCTGATGTGGATGTGCGGGAAGCTGTCCAGGTAGGCGATGAGCGCGGTCACGAGCGAGTGCAGGATCACGGGGATGTAGATGGCGCTGTGGATGGAGCCTTTGGCGAAGCGCAGGACGAGCGGCAGCCGCCTGGGCTTCTGGCGAAACGAATGCGCCAGCGGGTACGTGGGGATCCTCGTCGGCGGATGGTTTGGGTCGGGTGTTGAGGACATGATGGCGGTGGCTTGTCTTCCTTCTCTTCACCGTCTCTGCGTCAATGGCGCCTGTCTCTCGCGCCTCCCAACAATGTCAGACGGTTGTGTGGATGGAAAGCGATGTGTGTTTGTTTATTCTGCTGCTATGGAACGTCTTGAGAGCGAGCTACGAACGCACGTCAGGAGCGCGGGAGTATGGAAGCGAGGAGCAAGGATTCACGGGTAGAGTAGAGGTGAGGAAGACAGCACACAAGCGGGGCCATCTGGGGTGCTACTGTGGAGTTGACGTTTGGGAAAGGCAAGGATCGGCCCGTTTCAGCCAGGCTTCGCAAAGGATCATCGATTGGACATGTGATAGCTGCTCCTAGTTGGTAATGACTAGCATCAAAGGCCAATGCGCGTCGCGACATGTGTGCCTGTCTGTCTTGTTGATCTTGACGACTGGAGACGTGCGGTCAGAATTCAGGGTCCATCACATGCATATCCGCGGACGCCGAGCGTGGACACAGTCGCGCGTGTTTTTATGACGGAAGAGTTCCGAGCCTCGGAAGGCGCGTCAGTGTCAGCGAGCTTTCCGTGACCGCTATCATGACAGAAATTCTCCCACATGCTGCCCAGCACTCCTCATCCCTCATGAGACAAGATGGAAGACTCGCACCCTGAAAGCACAACAACACCCAGCGCCGACAGCGCCCCTGTCGCGCCTGATGCCTCGAAAGCAAGCACACCGCGTCCTCCATCAAGGCCCGCACTCGTCCAGACGCTCCGCTACTTACTTGCCAGGCGCATGCGAAATGCTGCGCACTCCACAGACCGCAGTCTACTCCGCCTCTCCGCGCTGCTATCAACGCCGGCTGGCATCGATGTGGTCCTTTGCACGACAGGCTACACCCTCACTCTCGTGTACGCCCTCGGCCAACAAGTCCTCGAGAAACGGCTCGCAGCCGTCGCCTCAGACCTGGCAGATAAAGCCGTCGACGTGATGCTCCCAGGCGAGACGCTGATCGCCGCGCTTCCCGCCTCAGCGAGCACGAAGCTGCTAGCTCAGACTGTTGGGTCGTCGAAAGCAATCGCAGATGTGATTGCCGACTACAGGATATTCGTGCGCATGTGGGGCATGCTAGGGCTGTATACATGGGCGAGGGGCACGTATCTGTCGCCGCTGCCGGAAGAGGCGACACGGAAGGAGAGGCTGTTGAGAGGGACAACGTGGGCCGCTATTGCGTCGTGTGTGGCGTTCCAGGTCCTCGAGAACGGCGCGTACGCAGCGTCCAAGGGCATGCTGACAAGTGAGGCGTGGACTGGCCAAGTGGGGAAGAAGCGGGAGACATGGTGGTGGGTGTGGAGTTCGCGATTCTGGGCTGCCTACGTTGGGTGTGAGATCTTGAGATTGACCATTGAGCGGGCGTACACTGAGCCAGGGCTTGAGGCCGTTGGAGATGGTGAGAAGGACGATAAGTTGAGGGCAGACCAGGAGAAGAAGGACGTGTACAGCAAGAGCTTCACCTGGTGGAAGGATCTGGTCAGCAACATCGCCTATGCGCCCATGACGCTGCACTGGTCGGTCGAGGCGGGTCTTCTGAGTGACTTGCAGGTCGGCATATTTGGGACCATCGCTGGCAGTGCGTTGTTGGCCGATGCATGGAGGAAGACCGCCTAGTCTGAAGCAGAACTATTGATGCTAGGGTACAGGAGTGCTTTTTTGGGGTACCACCGCAACAGGCTGAATCATATCGCAGTGCCACATAGAGACCAAGACAACTGCTCGAGATTGACAGCCAGCTGTCATCTTTCCAACATCGAGATTCTCAGTATGAGAAACGAGACCAAGGCCGACCATCGCATCTCCAGCCAGACATGGCTCTCAAGGCAGGGACGTCAATTCGCAGAGGAACCTACCAGGCTTCATGCAAGTCTGCGGGCGTCCGAGATGGGGTATACAAAGCTAGCTGCGGACGCAAGCGCAACTGCATGAGCTCCTGGAGACTACAATCGAATGTGTGGTTGCGTTCAGCTTTTGTCACGATCGTGAAATCTATTCGAAAGAACTGATCTGCTCTCTCGGCATGGCGAGCCTCGGGGAAGTCTGCACGCTATGAACAATGACATGCCGACTCGTTATCACGTGTCTGTTGATGGGTTCCACGACGACGACTAAGATAGATGCATCGCTGTCAAATTGCTAATGTAGCGTTCTCCGACAAGGCACCGCGGGCTTCGGACGGAAGACCCGACAGCTTACCCTTACGCTGGAGTACGGTACTACTCTCCAAAGAGTGTTCGAGTCATCTGTCCGGTGATCGGGCTTGAACATCATCGGAATTACTGCAGCTGGAAGGTGTATAATTGGGTAGGTTGTGTCCTGGGCGTCCAAAATCTGTATCAAGTCTCCGTCGAGACGCTCCAATTGAACACTCAGTACCCACTCCACACAGCATCCAACGCGTTGACTTTGGACAAAGGAATCTTCCCGTGCTCGCTAGGTTCAGGGAACTGCTTCTGACGGTATTAGAAGATATGGCCGTCGGAGTCTCTCTCGTTTCCATACCACCGTAGAAGCTCCATTTAGATGATCTCATGGAGTCTATGGACGTAAACACGCAAGAACAAAAGACTGGCATGCTGATGCAAGCGACTTGTTGTCTTCATTGCTTACCGCTGCATCAGAGTTATTCCTTAGCAGTCATTCGTAGAAAGTATCACACATACGCAGCTGTCGATTGTGGTTCAAGATCAAACGGGGTGCAGTCAGCGTTATGCAAACACTATGGTGATGTTCGACTTCACAACATACTCGATTCCTCGACAACTCCAAACACCGAGATCGCTCCTCACAGTCTTCACCTCGGGATCAGCTCATCAATGTCTTACTAGCCATATGAAATCGTCGGGCGACTCCACCCAATCCTACACTCTTCTGACTAGACGCTCCGACCTCCTTCCATTCGCGTCTAGCTCCCGGCGCCAGATCACCATGCCTGGGACCACACATGGCCTATCAGATAGGCACATGTGCCGTAAAACGTTAATCCAGACGATAAGCCAGATGAAATGACTAGCAACGAGTACTGTACTTGGCATCTCGCTAATGCTGCGTTAACGCTTGTACTCCGCAATGCGCTGCGATCAAACATCTGTACCTGCCTGATCAGCACAAAGCGTAACCGTGGACAAGGGTCAGTGAATGGTGATCATCATATCCGTGGTACATTTATATGTCCTGCATATGCTGTCCCTCCAATCACACTATCGAACGTGAGAAGGTGCGCCATGCTCGAAGCTGTGTAGAAGGAAGCGGGCCGCGGCGAGCGAGCGCTGATAGGACCATTTCCCTCGACAAGCAAGTCGACCTGACTTTGCGTCTGCGACTACGCATGCCCGGCGGAGCAAGACGGTGCTTCAGGAAGGCTGGCGCTCTGAGCAATCAATCCAGTATCTGATCAACAAGGGTCTCACAGAGTAGTCCGGAGACATCCGCGGTGATGAACAACATAAGAGACGACAACATCCCGTGGAAGAGAAACCAGCCAGTCCAGCCAACTCAGTCTTTCGCTCCACTACACCAGTCTCCCACCCTCGCTACCCAGCATCCATCGCAGCCGTCGCCATGAAGTTCCTCTCCATCCTCGCCCTGATCGCGCCCGTCGCTTTCTCCCTCCCCACCTCAGTCGTCACAGAGGCTCCCATCGAGGACGCTGCCATTGATGCCCGCGCGTGCTACGTCACCTGCGGAAGCACCTGCTACACGAGCGCCCAAGTGTCTGCCGCCCGCAGCGCGGCATACAGCTACGTCAAGAGCGGCGGCGTCGCCGGAAGCTCGACCTACCCTCATAAGTACAATAACTATGAGGGCTTCGATTTTCTCGTAAGCGGTAGCTATTACGAGTTCCCTCTCAAGACCAGCGGTGTCTACACCGGCGGTACGTTTCATTCGGATCCAGGCCATTTGTAGCTTTCACTGACGTGCAACGCAGGATCCCCCGGTGCCGACCGCGTTGTTATCAACGGCAGCGGAGCGCGGGCTGGCGAGATCACTCACACTGGTGCTAGCGGCAACAACTTCGTTGCTTGCTCGGGATGGTAGATGTTGGAAGGCTGGCTGGGCTTGGGCCTTGAGAAGATGGCGGACTTGAGCTCTGGCGAGGCAAGAGCATTGATGAGTTTATGATTGAGAGATACCTTTGCAGCGTCGTTAGCAATGTGCAAATCAAGTGAGCGCGTTGACCCGTGAGAGTCATTACTGTATGCTGTGTGTGACGTTGACCTTGTCAGGAGGTATTCGGCATTTACCAATTGCGACCAGTCCCTACTTACACGTCGCCTTGCTGGCTACAACTTCGCCTTGACCCATCCTTCGACGACTTGCTTGCTCCCTGTGCCTGAGTCGCCCTTGTACCCCAGCACTCTCTCAAAGATCATCTCGTCATGCATTGCCCCCTTTGTGATGACCACATTGACATGCCCACCTCTCCGTCTGAAGCCAACACTGAACTTCTGCGCAAACGCTTGAATCGAATCAATTAGAATCTCGTTGCCCCCGCCCCAGATCAATACTTCGTCGACAACGTCAGCCACAGGCTCCCACCACTCCGGGCTTGCGATGACAGGCTCAGTGTAAGCATCGCCGGCGAAGGGAGATTTGGAGTTTAGGAACGCCGCAGCCCAGCGAGACAGTGGACGGCTATCGAAAACATCTCTTTCTGCGTTCCGTTCGTGTGCTGCGGTGTGGTGTTGAGTCAAGCTGACCCAGGGCGAGATGAGCATTGCTGCGTGAATCTTGCCGTTCAGCCTCAGCTCAGCGATCTCCGGGTGCGGATGCGCGAGGTGCGAGAGTAGGGCGAGTGTCAAGTTGCCGCCTGCTGAGTCGCCGCCAACGATCAGATCTGCAGGATTGCGGCCGAGCGTCTCGGTCAGATACTGGAAAAGCTCCACGGTCTGGCGTAGTTGTGTAGGGTAGGTGGCTTCGGGCGCCAGATCGTACGCAAGCAACAATACGCTCATGTCTCCTCCCACACTCTTCCGCATATCGTCGAGCCAGATGAGATGCCCTGACATACAAGGCAGCACATATCCTCCGCCATGCAGATATACAAGTGTCTTTGGTGCGTCTTTGTTGCCGAGCCAGTGTGCTTGCGTGCCGCTGGGGAGAGTGATGGAATCAGGCGTGAGTTTGTAGGATTTGCAGTACTGATGGTAGACGGGAGTGCATGTGGTGCTGCCTAGGTATCGATCCTGCGCGATGTCGAGATTACCGAGCTGGGTGCGGAACATTGCCAGGGCGACGTCTTTCCAGTAGGTGCTTGCGCCATTTTCGCCCTTGAACGGAGACGTGAAGGCTCTACCTGTGGCAGCGGCGACTAGAATTGGCTGTCAGTAGAGGCCGGGACTGAAAGTCGCTCGACGTACCGGCTTTCAGTACGGCTGAAGCAATGCCGAGCTGGCTAACATCCTGATGAATGAACTTGGGAGGAGCTCCATTTGGAGGCGGGCCAGGAGGTGTGTCGCCTGCCATGATCTTCAACTGGGAACCTAATCAGATGGTGTTGAAGCTTGAGGAAGCACGATGAAGCTCAAGCCAAGCTGTATCACCTCGGTGATCCATGCTGACTTGTATCACCTCGGCGTTAACGAAGCGGGGTCCCCACATGCGTACCGGTACTCGAGGCGACCCGGCAGGATCACGCTGTGCATGGCAGATGCCCGGGGACTCGGGCGGGGTCTGACAAGTCGTCAGACCGAGGCGTCGACCATCGTCAAGACAAGGAGTGCAATCAACAGCTGTGTTCTGAACCCGCAGTCAACTGCTCCTTTCAGACCGCTATTATTACTTCGCACAGATGCCATTGAGTCCAAGGCGGCGGTCGTTCCTTGAGACGGCTGAATAGCTCCAGGGAAACGCCGAGCCGGTAATGGCCGAACCCCAGGGCAGGGCTCGGGACTCCGGGTGCACACGCGGCAAGATCATGACTCGTTTTGGATTCGCAGGCTGCCTCCTTCAGCAGAATACGAGTCGCATTTGCGTGCTGCAGGCGTTCCCCCAATCGCCATGGCGGCTGTCCCCCCGAGCGAAGCCAATTCCCCCTCCTCTGTCGCGCAAGAGGACGACAGCCACGCCGATGCGGGTCAACCTGCCGCGAAGAGGCGCCGCACCGCCCCGGCCTCGCGCGGTGTCGCAAACCTCACCCCGGAGCAGCTCGCGCGGAAACGCGCAAACGACCGCGAGGCCCAGCGCGCCATCAGAGAGCGCACCAAGACGCAGATCGACCGCCTAAACCAGCGCATCCAGGAGCTCGAGAGCCAGCAGCCGTACCACGACCTGCAGATTGTGCTGCGCGAGAAGGAAGCCGCCCAGGCCGAGAATGCCGACATCCGGAAGCGCCTCGAGGGCGTTCTGAGCATCATCCAGCCCATTCTGCGCGCCGCGGGCGGTCTCAATGGTGCGTCGAGTCACTTGACACGGCAATTGAGTGCTAACAGACGCCAGAGCTGGCCGCTGCTGCCGAGCGCTCGCCGCTGCCGGTGCCGCCACACCACCAGCACCGCGAGGTCGCTGCACCGCCCGTCGACCCGCGCCAGTTCCATGCCACGCTCCAGGACATTGCGGCAGGCACTTCGCAGAACGGCACCCACTCGCCGGCCGGCACAGACGCCTCGCGGCAATGGCCCTACCCCGGCGAGACGCCTGCCAGCCATATGCGCGGTTACTCCCACGACAGCGCAGCCTACGCGCACGAGCGACCTCGACCTCAGATCCAGGAACCCTATGACGAGCGCATGGGCGTCGAGTTCCTGCTGGATCACGACCAGCGTCGACACGTAGACCCGAACTTGCCGTCTCCCCAGCAGCTGCCCCCCAGCAACGTATGCAGCAACGGCCAGGGCCAGTATGCGCCGAACCTGGTGCCATGCCTCACACTGCCACGGAACATAGCGCCCACCTGCCCGCTAGACGTCATTCTGCTGGAGTTTCTGCAGGACCGCCAAGCACGAGCAGCGGAGGGCGTCCCTGTGAAGACGTTGGTCGGCCCGCTGTACCCCAACTTCACATCGTTGGTATACCCAGATCGCGCTGTAGACGCGCATCCGCTGTCGAAGCTGTTCACCGACATCCTGCGAACATTCCCCGACATCTGTGGCTGGCCTGAGCAGGTAGCCATTGTCTACATCATGTTCCTCGTCATGCGCTGGCAAATTGAGCCTACGCAGGACAACTACGACAGACTGCCGCACTGGGTGACACCACGTGCTAGTCAACTGTTCACTGCCCACCCGTGCTGGATCGATCATTTGCCTTGGTAGGTTCCAAGTATGCCTCATATCTCACTCAAACTGATACCATTCAGGCCTGGACTTCGCGACAGACTGTGCGCCCAGCAGCCTTTCATACTCTTTGACACGTTCTTCATCCCTTTCACAACAACGGTATCGCTGAACTGGCCTTACGAAGCACGAGACGTCCTACTGCCCGCATCGAAGATCCAATCCAAGAGTCTCTCTGCCGGCTCCTCTTCAGTCCACCCATCCTCGCCCTTCTCGACACACGTGAACGCCGGTAGTCCAGCCGCGCCACACACCCCACAAGCTGATGGCACACCGGCTAGCCTGCCATCGAGCACGAACCTGCCGCCAAAGGAGGACGATCAGTGGCTGATTAACCCTGCGTTTGAGACACACATGAGGGACCTGAATAACTGGTCGCTGGGCCAGAGTTTCAGGGGCACGTTCCCGCAGTTGGCGGGTGCCGTTAAGATCAAGGAGGGCAGGTGATGTGGGTTGTACACCGTATGCAGCGTATTGGCGCTTCCGCGTAGTTTCGACGTGCATCGGTAAGGAAATGCTGTGGACAGGGTGCTGTGATAGATGTAACAACAGAATAATGTATGACTTCATGATGCCTGCTCACACTTCGGAGCGGAACTGTCACAATCGCCGCTCCTGCAGGGTTCTGCTGAATCCCAGATACACGAGAGTGCCCCGTATACCGGAGTGTTCTTCAACAGCACCTCTTCGAGTGCGAATCGGACCTTCGCCGGTCAGGTTTTCAGGCCCCCTTTACACTTGACCCCTACACAAAGAGGTAGCTTGACAATCCGACCATGGCTCAGTCTCGCACACACTCCTTGCACATGCGCTCGTCGCCTCTCGAAAGGCTCGAGTAAGGATCCATCACGGTATCGACCAGCGGCATTTCGTGATCGTACTTGTACTTGCGCGCATTTATTCAATTTATCCAGTCGGCCTGCCGACCGAACACAGTCTTCGGAGATTTGATCAGAACCAGTACTCCATGGGCTTCCGGCCTGGCATGTTGAGCATACCACCGGGTACGATTTACCGGTATGCAAAATGTTAAATGTCACACTCTGGTCACCTACGGTAATGTCATCTCAGACGTAGAATGTCATCTTCCTCCGTGAAGCGTAACACTCGAACACGATACTGAGCATAGTTGACATGGTTGAGATGAAGAGAAACGACCTAGTTCGGTTAAAGAGAAACGACGTGGTTCCGCTAAAGGTAAACGGTGCAGGTTCAATGATTTAATCCCGGCGTTTCCGGTCGGCTGGATCGTCGCTCCATCATCTCCGCTTCCTTAGCCGTGTTATCAACTACCTTCCTATTCCATCACATCAAATAAGCTTTCCCGTGGGCCTCCAAGCTTCCCAGCCAAGGGCAACCAAGCTTCTATTGTTCGCCGGTTCGCATATAGATACGGCTATCAGGATTGACGCAACGCGATTGGCAGATCTACAATGCAGATGCTTGCGCACCGAGAACCAGGGACACTACAGATGGCCAACGGTATCGCCTAGGCTTCATGAAACAGGACAAATACATGCCTGTCCTATCAGAGCGATGGCTTCACCACTTGGGCCGTCGTCAGCAGGAAGCACGGAATGAGTACGAGGATGACAGCGTCAGGCTCATGCTCATCTACAAAATGCCGCCGACTGCACATTTAAAACGCTCTTCAGTAGTCCTGGCCTGAAGGGTCACTCTGCAAAGATGCGTGTCTCAGAGTTATTGTTACTCGGCCTCAGTAGCTTCGTAGTAGGCTCACCACTCGGCTCGCATGTGCTCCACGAGAAGAGGGATGCATTGCCTGTTGCTTGGACCAAGCACTCGCGTGCTCCCAAAGACACAATCTTGCCTGTGAGGATCGGTCTGACACAACGCAATCTGGAACACTCAGACCGTTACCTTGACGATATCTCGGACCCAGAATCGCCAAACTTCGGTAAGGAGTCCTTGTAATGGATTCTTCATCCATATCACTGATGGACGAAACCAGGAAAGCACTGGACCGCGGAGCAGGTCGCGAACACATTTGCGCCGCATCCAGATACCTCAAAGACAACCCTTGAGTGGCTCCAGACTTCAGGCATTAATCTCAAGCGAGTCAAGCATTCGATCGGTAAGTACGAATGTCTGTATGCTTTTGAGCTTCACTAAAGACGAATAGGGCGCAATTGGGTCGAATTCTCAGCTACTGTTGAGGAACTCGAGGCTTTGCTGCAAACAGAGTATCACTTCTACCAACACAAGGCGTCTGGTGGATTCCGTATTGCGTGCGATGAGTACGGGCTCCCGCAAGCTATCAAGAAGCATGTCGACTTTGTCATGCCCACGGTCCAACTTGATGGTCTGCAACCCATTGCTCAGAAGTCCGTGGCCACAGTCCAAGCTGCTGTCAATCTCACCGGCCTCACCGGTATCGCTAACTGCGCAACTCTGATCACCATCGACTGCTTGAGAGCCATCTACAACATTCCCGTGGGCAAGTACAACCACACTGGCAACCAGCTCGGTATTGCGGAGTGGGCTGATTACCTCTATCTGCCGGATCTCAAGACATTCTTTGAGAACTTCACCAGCCCCAAGATCCCATCCGACGTGGTGCCTGAATTCATCTCGATTGATGGTGGAAAGGCTTCGAACCTTTCATTGGCTGAGAATGGAGAGGCTATCGAGAGTGCTCTGGACTTCCAGACATCGTACTCGATCATCTGGCCGCAGCACGCGCGCTTGTATCAGAACGGCGATTCCGTCAACGTCGACTCTGTTGGCACATTCAACATCTTCCTGGATGCTCTGGTATGGTAATCCTCGATCTCTGACAACTCAGATACTGACAAGACCAGGACGCATCGTACTGCACCTACCAGGGTGGAGACCAGCCTTACGTTGATCCTGCCTATCCTGACCCCAACGATGCTCCTGGAGCCTACCTTGGTCCTCTACAATGCGGCGGTGCTCCGGTCAGTAACGTGATCTCGGTCTCCTACGTCCAGATTGAGGGGGCCCTTCCTCAATTCTATCAGGAGCGCCAGTGTCGCGAGTGGATGAAGCTGGCACTCCAGGGCGTGAGTGTCATCTTCGCGTCAGGTGACTCTGGTGTAGCCAACAGGTACAACGCCGGTTACAACAACAGTTGTCTGAATGCCGAGTTCGGCTACGTTGATGAGAATGGTTCGCGCTTCTCGCCGTCGTTCCCTGCCAACTGCCCTTACATCACTTCCGTCGGCGCTACAACACTCCGTAACTCGTCCATCTACGGTGGCGAGCAGGCTGTCGCCGGTCCAAATGGTCCTCAGTCCTTCTACTCTGGCGGTGGTTTCTCCAGCGTCTTCCCTCGTCCGTCCTACCAGGACGAAGCCGTTTCAACGTATCTCGAGAAGTACGCCCCCAACTATGGCGAGGCGGTCTTCAACTCCTCCGGTCGTGCGTTCCCCGATGTCTCCGCTCTCGGTCTCAATCTCGCAACTGTATATCTCGACAATACCTACGGCTTTGGTGGCACATCAGCGTCCGCTCCTATCTTCGCTAGTATCATCAACTTGCTGAATGAGGAGAGGTTAGAGAAGGGCAAGAAGTCGATCGGGTTCTTGAACCAGATCATCTACAAGCACCCTGAGATGTTCAACGATGTAACTATTGGAAGCAACCCAGGGTGTGGTACTGATGGTTTCCCGGCGAGCCCTGGCTGGGACCCTGTCACCGGTCAAGGGACACCTGATTACAACAAGATGAGGAAAGTCTTCTTGGACCTCCCCTAAGGTATAACAAGACTGCTATCGTTGTGGACTTGGCTTCATTGCAAGACATAAGTAGACAACGCAACGCTAGCTTACTAGTTCCGTGCAAAGCAGCCTGTCGATACACGCCCCCAATTGACACCTCCTTTCTCAAGTCCCTCCATGCCTTTAAGTATCTCATTAACCACCCAAGTAGAGTCGAATAGTTCATCTTCTGCCTCGATGACCGCCTTGTCAGGTAATCTTGACAGGGCCCTGATGTTGCTGATCCGCCTGTAGGACCATTGAGAAGTTGATTGATACACTGGCGGATCAAGACCACTCCGAGCTTTAGGGACACCCAGCCACCGCAGATCGAGGAAGCGGATTCGATTCCTTCGATGCTGGGGTATGGCGCACATGAAAGCCAGGAACGTCTCTACATTCTGGTGACGGAAGGAAAACGTGGGGAGGCAGTAGAGAAGATCAATCGCTTCCGAATAGCTGGGCGGCCGAGCATCAGTCAAGATGGTACCATGCGCTTGTCGAACACTTACACGATGCGGCACGAGCAAAGCATACCGAGCACACCAGGCCTAGTATCCAGCTTTCCCCGACTTCTCGCTCGCCCTCGACCAGAGCCCGTGCTCCGCCATTCTAATTGAACCACCCCACCACTCTTACCGTCGTACCTATCTGCATTGGTCAAAATAACGTGTCGCCATATCTGCTCTCGCAGTTCGGCCGGCAGCCTCGTCAGAGGGCTCTGCAGCTGCTCAAGTGTGCGCTGCTGGACTGTCTTGCCGAACCATTTCGGCCTTCCTGGTACTTCATGTGCAACGTCATCCAGTGGCAGTGTAAGCCTTCTCTTTCTTTTGACGACCTTGGGAGGCGTAAGGTCAGCGGCGGTTGGCGAGTGCTGCCTTGGAGGAGCGGACTGAACTAGCCATGCAGTCAGTGATACTGGCGCATTGGCGAGGTTATCCATGGCCTGCAAGACCCCGTGAATTGCGCCTGCCATCTTCTCTAGGATTGCAGAGTTCATTCGCGGAATTTGGAATGGTATGGTGCCTAAAGGTTGATGCCGCAGGATCGGGGCCACGTGCACCGCGTTCGTAGTCTCACCTGCATGAGGCGCTCTTGGCGATGACTCAAAGAAGGTCTGCTTCCGACAACGTGAAATAGTTTGGTTTGGACTACACAAGTTCGAATGGCTACAGTCCTGTATCGCCTTTCCATAGCTCTCCATCCATGACCCTGTATACAAATGCAGTGTCCAAGCGGAGTTCTTGGGTCTGGTGTGCTGTTCATTGATAGGGTCCAAACCACGACGAAGTCAATGACTTTGAGTACGCACAGGATATCTCCTGTACAGAATCAAAGACATAACCGTAGAGCGTAAGAATGGTTCTTCTCTCAAAGAGAATTGAAATTTGCAGTGGATATAGGCCCACTGGCGTTAGTATCTTCCCAGATGATGAATTTGCTGATCGGCATACTTTCTGACCAGTCTGGCAGCCACGAAGGGCAGCCACGTAGCTACAGCTTACCCGTGAGGCCGTACAGAATGGAAAGACTTTGTCGTGCTGTATGATAGCAACGGTCGTCTCCCAGTAGAGCTGTGATATCGGCGCTGCATAATCGGGGACAGCCAACTGAAGATCTATGTTGCGAAGTTAAGCAAATGTGGCGAAGATTCTATCGCGTGGCTCCGTGGTCTGGTGGTAGCGCGCATTTAAAGGCACTCACGATACGTTGCTGGTTCTGCCTTCGTCAAAATTTTCGTTGACCATGTCTCGAAGCCAGTCGGCAGTACAGACGCAACTGCCGCACAGGACACGAATAGGGCAAGTGCCTGGTCTGTGGATTCAGCAAAGCTGATCTTATGACGACCACGCACTACGAAGCATGCTGTAGCAAACGAGGCCTCCTGTATTGGCCAAATCCGACGAAAATATGACCGATTATGAATTCGCGGAAGGCCAGGTCAAGCGCTGTGTCTGATCGTGCTAGGCAGGACGATGCGCTTCACTCCTTCCGACTCTTCACTTTTGACGCCAGTCAATTCACTGTTGGCAGATTCCTTGATTCCCGCACCGCCGAAGTGCGCGAAAACTGAATCGCTGTTATGATCTACGATACCTAGCCAAACAAGAAAACTAGCCGCCTTTGAATAGATGTCTCCCATAAGCTAAATCTGTTGATTCCGCTCTGCCAAGTCATACTGGTTGATACAGATTGCATCGATCCACAGTGTCCTCTTGCCTGAGTTCTTGCGCAAGTGCACAAGGGCTTCATACGCATTCGAAGGGATGCGCAGACAATTCTCCCCACATTGAATGGTGCTCATGCAGGCAGTCTCGCCCTAGGCATAAGACAACGCCTCGTACTTTAGAGGCTCGTAGGTATCCATCGCTGCAATCAGCATGGAGTTCGAGTGTCTGGATAGCATTGGGATTCTTTAGGGAAAAGTGGATGTATCCGCCGTCATCGCGAAGGTCTTCAGGGTTCCGAGGTTCCATAATGCGCTATGTAATCAAGTGAATGGAAGACATTCCAGTTCGGCAAGTACTTACACCATCTTCCAACCTGCGAGGCTGCGGTCGGTCTGTCCCGATCTGGTGAGACTGCCGATTGGCGAGCGGGGTACTGTTAACATCTGACACGCCTTGCGCAACAGAAAGTGGCTTGATCTGGCCAGGGATGTGCTCTTGGGACACCTAGGCAAAAGCAATAGATGTGGAATCTTGTGACAGTGCTATTGCAAAGGATGGATGGCTGCCTGTGGCGTACGCTCAAGGCTTCTTTGAATGCGGCATCTATGATAAATTTCGGGTGTGCCCCGACGTTCCCCGGAATCTTGAGGGGTCGAAAGGTGTAAGAGGCTTTATTAAATCAGGGGCAGAATGCCTTCTCTGACGAAGCTCACAGCTGCAGATGTGGTGTTAGGAAACGTGCGAACGCGTATCGATGACGTCACCTACTTAAATGCACCCCAGCAGACGCTAAAGCCTAAGTGGCGATACTACAAGGAACGGGCCGTATACGTGCCTCCAGCCGTACAGGCATTCGATCATTTGTTCTGCGACGGAGACAAGACCGTGGCCATGACATCTCACACGATGTCCCCAACAGGTTACACTGAAGGAGGCAACTCCGGGCTTGAATCCTATGTTAAGCCTCAAACATCATATTACCCTTCATTATGAATACGCGGGGTACTTGGTTGAGGCTCACGATTCGCCAGGCCTCGTTCTGCCTTATCTGCAGCCGCCACATGTCGCAAATTTTGGTACCAGTGTGTTGCACTTACTTTTTTTTTGAAAATGAAGCCGGCGCGAATCACAGCCTGATCACGATGCTTGAAAGCTTGACAGGGCTTGGAAAGCTTGCTTCTAACCTTGTTCAATATGTCCGATGATCAATACAGCATGATTTGACTAGTCTAGGACCATAGCGAATGGTTGGACAGGTCTTGGTGGGCGAGAAGATTGCATTATAGCAGGTGCCGACGTACATCGTCCTCAAAAGGAACGAGGTGCACCTGTCGATTTTTTTCCTAAACACACCGACTTCAACCCACCTACTACTCTACCAACCTACGCAAGTTTTTTAACCAACGCTTTCCCCAACTGCACTGATCAAGTCCTCACATCAACAATATGGCATCATTTCAGCGATTAACCGTTGGGCGCAACTCCGCATACAAGGCCAATGGCACTAAATCGTATCTTCATGCCATGAGAAAGTGTAAGTGCAACACGGCAGAACTCTGTGTCAAGTGTTTGGTATCGTGACTGAACACCACAGTTGGCTTCCACCCTACCAAACCGGGTCCTTACTTTCAGGCTAAGGTTTTCCGTCCTCAAGGAAAGTTTGGTCGTGTCGGCGGACGCATGCGAGCACACTATGTTCTACAAAAACGAGTACAAGCATCTGCGGAAGAGAGCGCACAGAGCAAGGCTGCAGCATCAAGTAACGGAGCCACCGAAGGCGAGGTCCCTGCCGAAGACATCCAGAACGATTCATTGTATTTGTGTGAGGTTAGCATCGGCACGCCAGCGCAGAAGCTATATCTAGATTTTGATACTGGCTCTTCTGACCTTTGGGTATGTTCAACCATGGATATGACGCTCCTCAAGCTCACAATCACAGGTCTGGTCGACTGAGCTTCCCAAAAGTACCCTGAGCAAGGCGAACGCCAGCAATCAGCAAGTCGTATTTGACCCGAAGAAATCTAGTACCTTCAGAAAGCTCAGCGGTGAAACCTGGAAGATTCAGTACGGAGATTCTTCCTCGGCGAGCGGCGATGTTGGCACCGATGTGCTAGACCTAGGCGGCCTGAAGGTCGAGAATCAGGCTGTGGAATTGGCCAAGACACTTTCGCAGCAATTCGAAGAGGTACAAGCTGTAAGAACTTCAGATAAACACTGCTGACAGTAACCAGGGTAACGGAAGTGGTTTGTTGGGTCTTGCCTTCAGCTCCATCAACACGGTGTCACCAGACCCACAGGAGACACCAGTTGACAACATCATCACACAGAAGTCAGCAAAGGAGCAGCTGTTTACTGCGTACCTGGGCAGTTGGCGTGATGCAGATGAGGCTGATAAAGGAAAGGTGAGGCTGTATGCAGTGATAGCGCCGACTCATGCACTGACAGCCAATCAGAGCTTCTACACGTTCGGATTCATCGATCAGGACACCTTAGCAGCCAGTGGGGCCTCTGAGCCCAATTATGCTGATGTCGATAGGAGCCAGGGATTCTGGCAGATTCAGTCAACATCTGCTACCATCAACGGAGAGACCATAACCCGTTCTGGAAACACCTCAATCATGGATACCGGCACTACTCTGTGTCTAGTCGATGACAGTCTCGTAGATGCTGTCTACAAGGCCATTCCTGGCTCCAAGTACGACCAAAGCAGTCAAGGCTACGTATTCCCTTCGAACACATCCGCAGATGATCTCCCCGACATACAGCTTGCCATTGGAGATGCGATGATCGCCTTCCAGAAGGAGGATCTGGGCTTCGCTGATGCAGGAAATGGTATGGTGTATGGAAGCATCCAGAGCAGGGGTTCGATGGGCATGGACATATACGGAGACGCGGTACTGAAGGCTATGTACGCAGTAAGTGGTCTCATTCAAGAAATACAACAGAAGCCAGGCACTGACCATCCTTGCAGATCTTCGACATGAATAACGGTAGTCCACGCTTTGGATTCATCGCAAGAAAGGAGTCTAGTCAGAACACAGCCGCACCACCTTCACAGTAGAGTTCCTACTGTGTGGAAACTCAAAGTTCAAGAAAGGTGCATTTTGTTCCTTGACCATTTCGAAAAATCTTCTTAACAAGTAGTGGGCGATAATGCGCCAGGCATGTAATGAACCGAGCAATGATTCTACTTTAAGATGTGAAGTGGTGAAATGATCTCCACAAGTTTTTGAGGAGATGGAACGCAAGTTGAGAACGCGAAGTAGCCGCGCTCCCGGTGCCGGTACCGAGCACGCTCACTTGAGAGAGCAAAACAACGAGACCAGGAGGCAGAAGAACTCCAAAAGAGTGAGAGAGCTAAGACAAGGAGTGCTAATAAGGCATACAACGAGAAAATTGCTCAGGAGAAGCGTGAGAAGCGGGCAAGAGAGAAGAAAGAGCGTGACCAACAGCGTGCTAAGGAGGCTGAAGAAGTAGCAAAACGCAAGGCTGCCAGAGAGGCCCAAAAACACGATAAAAACGCTGAGAAAAGTATCCAATTACCTAATCAGGCTAAGCGGCAGGCCTCACGTCAATTACAGCCAAAAACAATGAAAAAGCGTGGTGGTGGAGGTAGTAGTAGTCATGCTGTTGATGCGACGCGCTCCCCATCACCACCACCTGTATACAACTCCCGTGGCCGCAGAATCGCTCCACGTAAGAAGTTTAAGTAGTCAAAACAATTGCACATCTATATAGATTTATCCACTACAAAATCTCGTGATAATAGCTATTCTATGTGGCTCTACAGCCTCAATTCTGCAGGTGCGTGTTTTGGTGGTTTGGCGCATTGCGGCAATCCGCGCATTGCGCGCACGGACACGGTACCGGTACCTAGCGCTACGCTAATCTATTCCAGCTTTCTATTCATCACGGCCTTCCAGGTAGACTTCGCCTTCGATCAGACTGAATCCAGCTCAACACCATCGATGATTGCACATCAACAACATTGTGTCGACCGTGACTGGACAGGATACAGGGATCTACTGCTGTTGGCGCGCGGATTCATCGCCCAAACGAGCAAAGTGTCAGCGCTAAAGGGAAGGTGGCTGGAAGCTGATCATCAATCAATATCGTTGGGGTGATCGAAGCTCATGTTTTCGCCTTTGCCTTTTGCCCCTCATACCGCAGTCTTTTCGTTCGTGGACGCGCAAAGTGCCTGTCATGGCTTCCACTTCACAAGAGAGCGGTCAGGGGTTCTTTATGGAATCGCCAACAGTTGTAACCATGGGATCCCTGGACTCAACCAGAACCACCCCGATAGGAGCAGGGAATGACGAAATTACGACAACGATTCCACTTGTCCAAACTTGTCAACATGAAGTTGCACGGAATGCCACAATTGTTGTTAAGACTCATGATGGAGATCGATACGTCCTGCCATATCTCCCGTGGAATGCGCGTTCATCGACTCCATACGCATTGTACTTCACTGACTGTGTCTCAGAACACGAAAGCGCAGATTGATGAGATTTACAGACTTCGAAATCGACAAAATCTTGCAGATGCAGTCAAGGACAACAAGTTCACCGTTCAGGATGGGGATGGTAACACAATTTTGCCTTCTTGCTGGGAGCAGGTCGTTAGACCGTCCGCAATATTGCAAATCGTTTTAAACTCGGACATACTGAACCCGGAAATAGCCTCGCGGTACCCCTACGCGGACGATCCTACACCTCGGTATCGGCAACGGAAACTGTCGGCCATACTTCCGGATAGCGATGCAGAGAGCGCAGAGCTACTTGATGTGGAGGGAAGTGTATCGCACAGGAGTGATGATGCTAGTGAAGACGATAAAGAGTTAGCACTCGACAGTATCAGCAGTGTGAGTGATGGAGCTGACAGCGAAGCTCGAGAAAAGGTTCCCGATGAATTTCTCCGCCAAGTGACCGTGCCAACTGATGGAGATGGCAACATCCTCATCTTCCAAGTTGACACTACGTTCCCTGTACCTCCACATCAGGAGTCGATGGACGATGGTGCGAACAATGAAGCGAAAAAGCGCGACACAAAGGTGTTTGCCGGAAACGCAGAGCTTATGAGCATCGCAAAGGCAGTTTCGGCTCAGTCAGATAGCCGGACTTCATTACAGATTCATATTTTGCCGGGGCCACGAACTCCTCTTACCGACCCCGACGTCAGCATACGATGGTTCCATGTACAGTCTGAACGACTAGACTTTGCGAGCTTCAGACAAACCTGTCTGATCATCTCTGGGCTATCCGGGCGGCTGCAAAAGCTGGTGCGACGGCTGCTTGACAAGGTCGAAAAGGAAAAGCTCAAAGTTTTCTTAGGAGGTATGTTCATCGAGCCTGGCACAGTGCTTAGAGCCGATGAAAAGCACCAAACAGACCCGCAAAGCGTCATCTTCAGCTGTATACCCTACTTCGATCTGCAGACACCGTCTAAGGAGACTTCAACCACTACGAATCGGTTCTCGTCCCGCACGCTCATGGAGTCTTACTATCCCTTCGAGCCAGTCCAAGATCGAGATGCAGAGCAAGCCCACAGGCTGTTCGGCAATGAGCGACGCAATGCTCTAGTTCATGTCCCAAATATTTGGATGTTGAACATAGGTTCCAACTTGGTGGCTACATGCGGCCATGGAGCACTGTCCAACGACTTTGTGCAGTCTATTGAGGTTGTTGAGACTAGTCGCTTTCAGGAAATGGATGAGCAGGCTGCGACCGCTACTATCAGGTTGAGGGATTGGGACCATCGCAGTCTGCTTTATACCCGGGAAGAATGTCGATCGTTCTTCCAGATGGAGCAAAGGCTCAGAGAGTTGAGATTGTGTTCCGCCTGTTCTCAAACAGAGAAAAGCCTGCAACTCTCTTGGCACACATCGGACGGTATTGTCAAGGTTGCGCCCGACTTGTGGCCTGGTATATTCAGACAGAGAGACGCCATCTTCATCGACCTGGAACTGTCAAGCGACGAGCCTGGAGATGACGAGAACAAAACTGGCTTGAAGACTACGCCCCAGAGCACATCGCCATCTATTCCATTCTTCCATTGGCCTCAAGCACTGGACATGGAGAAGACAAGGACCGAAGCTTTAATACCCGATGACATCAAGACGTCAATCCGGTGCTTGCAAAATGTCGAAAAAGCCATGCTTTCGGTGGTACTAAGCAGCCATGGCTCGTACAGCACAGTGGAAGAGACTTTCACGACGACTGCTTACTATCGCAGTCTCCCCGAGGAAACCACAGCACATGTGAAATTAGGACTCCCACCGTTACTCACTATAAGTGGAGAATCGAAGAGCTTCATGGTGGATTCCTCTACAGTGCACGAAGCACTGGTGGATCGCCAAAGGCATGCAATCGCGAAGGAGACACTCGAGCTTTATGAGACCGTGCAGAGCACATTGGCACTATTTGTCAGCCACGTGGATAAGACTACGATGCTACGGAAGTTATGGGGTGCTATGAAGAGCATCATTGATATCGCAAACGTATCCTGCAAAAGATCACCTTTGAGAGACGGAGGGTCAATGTCAGAGAGCGCCCGGCAGCCCCAGATCTCGCAAGGATGGTTTGTTCGCCCAGACATGGACAATCACAATATACTGGTGCCATCTCAGAAGGTCAAGCGAACTTTTGAGAGATGCAGGAGATGCAGTTCGAACAAGATGTACGAGACCTCTAAGGCAGCCGTGTCGCACTTGAACAAGCATCTTCGGCTCTTAGATGCTGCTATCTCTAATCATGTTCAACCTGAGCAGTGGATCGCTAGCTACTCTCAAAAAGAGTTGGAAACGTGGAATGAGGGAACGGCAAGTATACTCAAGGCAGTACGCAAGATAGCGCAGCAATTATTCGTCCAAGCTAAGGAGCTATCGGACGGTGTACGCAACGAAGACGGGCAGATGTCCGCTCTGTATACTTTACCACACGCGCTTCTCAATGCCTTTCGCCAACTACTTGTCTTCTACTTCGCTGCTGAAAGATCATTGTTCTTCACTGAGGAGTCTTTCAGCGACAGAAGAAAGGCTATCGAGGCACCCGAGTACATGACGGCTCTGCCGTTCTCTGCAGAAGGCCTGCGAGTCATCGAAGCGTTTGGCAACGGAGTGCAGCAGGCATTGACCTCGGCACGTGAGGAGCTTTGCTACATGGTCAAGTCGAAAGAACCCGTGGAGGTGTTTAAAAGGCTTTCGCTCAGTCCAGAGTACGTCTGTGGTTGGTTGATGAGAAGGCTTCTTGTGAAGCCACTAGAGAATAGCATGACAGTCAGTGACATGTACAGGGAGTACTTGTCGACTATCGTAAGTGTCTAGTATCATCTCTCATTATTGATCACACTGACAATTCAAAGCAATTCCAAGTCAATCATCGTCCCGGGAAACGGCTACTGCGCTCTATCAATCTGCTTCAAGAGGAGATTGCCGCTCTGCAAGAAGTCAACACGCAGCAAAGCAAGCTGATATCAAATTATATGAGCGTCCTTGATGACGAAACATACGAGAAGGATATACCTGGCCGCCGCGCCATGTTCCCATACGAACGCATGCTGCTTGAATCTTGCCGAGACAGCTTGAAGATGACAGATCAAGAGTATCGATATCTGCTCGCCAGGTGTGGTCCACTCTCAGACAGCACAAAGCAGAGTCTTGAGATCAATGAGGAAGATCATGGCAAGGCGATCATGGTCTTCACCATAGTCACAGTAATTTTCCTCCCGCTGTCGTTCGTCACTTCCTTTCTCGGCATGAACACGACCGACATCAGGGACATGGACAGCTCTTCAACCTTGTTCTGGGTGATCGCAATCCCACTCACAGCCTTCACTATGGGATCAGTACTATACATCGGCTACAACGGCGACGACTTACGGGACGTCTTCAACTCTGTGTATCGGACAGTTACAGGCAAACAAAACCGCAATATCGGCGCAAGAGGTATCAGTGTAGCTCAGCGCAAGCTGGCTCGAACGTCAGTAACAGGATCAAACAGCACGCTCGACTTCAGCAGTCTTGCAGACGAAGCCGAATTCGCCAACCCGAGACCTGAAGATTTCAACAATACATGGAGCAGAGGACACAATTATCCACGCCGGCAATACACATTGGAAGAACCTACCATGCACTGGCAGCCTTATGCAAGCGCTGCTGATCCTGTGGCTCCTGAGCCACGTACTGGTTTGCGCACGGAGCCCTTCAAGCAGAACGGCTATGCGTTCGAAAATGAGCCAGTGGAGTTGTACTTACAACGTACCAAGCGTGACCGCCACAGCCGCCTGGCCCCCGATCCGACCATCCGTGAGACAGCTCGCATAGAGAGACCGGAAGTACGAACTTACAACGAGACTATCGCTTTGGACGACCGCCGTACCCGGCGACACTACTCGCCTCCTACTATGGCCCCTCCATCTGTAAGACGGACCCATTGGAATGAGGAGGATGGATGGTACACAAGCCGGCGACCTATGGAAAGATCACGGGTACATTATGACGTTCCGCCACCCATATATGAGTGGACAAAGAAGAGCCACAGACAATATTCTACGCGGGGAGGAACAAGACGGAGAACGGACGACAAAGATGATTGGTGAGAGATACGACCCGCTAAAGAACTAACAGCAGAGTGGCGGTGTAAAGACCTCATGTATTAACTATTACTACCAGCAGGAAATTTTAGCACGCAGCTGACCTAAAAACCAAAACCCATGTCCATGTTCTGTGCGCTCTGCGCAATCGTGGTATCATCCAGGAAGTCATTATCGTAAACTGCCCAGCAAGTCATCAGGCAGTCAAGTGATGCACTGGGGAATCGCAATCAATCACGCTTAGGCGCGGCCCTGGAACACGGGATTCTGGTCGCCGAAGGTGGTGTGGAACTGAGAATCACCTTGGACGGGGGCACCGGAGCCGGTGGTGGAGGCAACACCGTCGCCGTGACCGTGACCGGTAGCGCTGTCGAAGGCGTTGTCGACCTGGTTAACGAACTGACTGGTAGTGGATGTGGGGTGGGTAGAGGACTGAGTGTTGTAAACACCCTCACCAGTGCCACCAAGCTGTTGCTGGTTCAGTCCCGCAGGGTATGTGCCAGTCTGTCCGGGGAGCTGATGGCCCTGAGCAAGGCCACTGTTGCCGGGTCCGGTACCGATCTGGCTAGTCTGGTAACCATGGCCTGAGCGATCAGGGAGTCCCTGGCTGCCAGCAAGACCGGCTCCAGTGAGACCAGCACCAACACCTAGGCCAGCACCAGCACCGTCGTACTGGTTAGAACCAGTGCCCGAGCGAGTACCGGTATGAGTGGTGGTGGAGTCATAGCCACCAGCACGTCCGTGAGGCTTGCGAGTAACCTTGGCAACCTGGGGCAGGCTAGAGGTCTCGCGGGCGGAGCCAATGGAGAAGACAGGGCTCTCCCACTTGTCACCCTTGGCAGCCAACTCCTTGTACTCGGTGGCCTTGGTGGAAATGCCACCGGGCAGAGAGATATTCTTGAAGATGGAGTCGTGCTGCGTGACAGCGACGTTGACCTGGGTGTCCTTCGTCTTCTCCTTAAGCTGCTCCTTCTTCTGCTTACCCTGCATGACGCGGCTCTGGGCGGCAGAAGCGTAGCGCTGGTACATGTTCTGGAGGTGCTCAGGGTCGGGGTTGCGCTTGGCCTCAGCCTCAGCACGTTCAGCCTCCTTCTTGACGTCGTACAGCATGGCATCAATCTGGTTGACAGAATCCTTGATCTGCTTCTCGAGGACCTTTTGGATGACGGGGCGCATGACCTTCAACAACAAAGGCTTGAACATGTTGAAGAGCAGCTTGTGATTGCTCTTCTTGAGTTTGATGGACAGGTTTTGGATGTCGGTCTCAACCTTGGTGACCTTGAAGAAGTGGGTCTGAGCGTGCTCGCGAGCCTTGTCGGCAGTTTCAAGCTCGACCTTGAAGCTGAAACCAGAGCCTCCCATGAAGATGTCCATAACACCCTTATCGGTGATGGAGGGGAAACCCTGCTTCTTCTTCAGGTAGTAAGAGACATCGCGAAGATCCATCTGGACACCCGAAACGGAGAGCATGACCTTGTTCTTGTTCTTGTTGGTAATTGACTTGCGTCCCCAGCGCCAGTAGTTGTCAGAGCCAAACTCCATGACATTGGGAGCAAGGTTGTCACTCTCAATGACAAGATTTTCAATGATAACATCGGCCATGGGATCGCTGTACTCGATACGAGGAATGGGAACGTACTGGACGCTCTCAAACAGACCAGGAAGGATGACGTCTGTAAGATCCTTGACGAGGTGAGGCTTGAAGGTAGTCTTGCCATTCTCGTCGTTACCAAGATCAAGGAAGAGCTTGTTGACAGACTGAGCGAACTGTCTGTTCTGCTCATCAGCATCGAACTGCTGACCGATGAACTTGAACTCGTCGGCAATGCGGTCGGTGTGGCCACGGTAGCGACCGCGAAGAAGTTCGTGACCCTGGTCGTAGATCTGATTCCACTCCTCGGTAGAACGGTCCTCAAGGATGTAGCCCTGCTGCTGCAAGCACTTGCGGATGTACTGATTGAGGTGCCTGAACCAGCCCTTAAGCTCTGGGTCTTTATCGGCGTCCCTGTAAATCTGGTTGATGGAGTCGATGAGGTCATCGGCGGAGGTACTGTTGGCGAAGCGCTCGAGGAGAGTCTTGATATTTGTCAGCCAATGCTTGTTCACTTTCTGGAAATCTAGATACACACCTTGATGTCAGCTTCCGCACGAGTGAGAGCGTCATCTTCCTGATGCGCACCTTGCACGGTTCCAGCGCCTTGCTGGCCGAGCTGCTTGCCGTGTCCGGCGTAACGCTCAGCGAGGCTAAGAAGAGTCTCAATCGCACGCTGATAATCCTGGTGACCCTGTACCTCGACGATCATCTTCTTCAGGCGCCAGATGGTCTGCTCACGGCGCTCCTGAGGCATCTTGCCCTTGAGGTAGTTGTTGAGCTGGTCGCGACGGGCGCGAGCCTTGTCCTGGTCCTCCTCGGGAATCTGGGCCTTCAACTGCTCCTTGCCCTGCTGGAGACCGTCCTGGACATTCATGCTTGTCGTGTTGCCAGACTGAGCTTCATGAGAAGCAAGCTGAGCGGTGTCACGGAGATCACGGGAGCCGTCAGGATGAGCAGCCTGGTTTACATCACCGGCGACCTGCTTGGCCTCCTGTTTGCCGATGGGAATTTTCTGCCTCAGAGTCTCCTTCAGGTTGCCCTTGGACATGTCGGGGTTTTCGTGCCAGGTGTTGTCCTCAGCAGGACGGTCGATCTGGTTGAGGGCATCTTCGGAAGGCTTCACCTTGTTGGCAGTGTTCTGGGCGGCGTCTCCAGCAATGTCACGGAGGAGAGTTGTAGCATCGGAAAGAAGCTTTCTGAATTGTCCGTTGGAGATCAGTAGAGTGCCCAACGTTCGCAGGCCGTCAAGTGCCTCGTTACCGTGCTGCTTGGCGGTTTCCTTGTCGACAGGTGCGCCAGGGAGCCTCTGGTTTCCACCGGAAATCTGCTCAGCATTCCAGATGAAGTCCTGGAGGAGGTTGCCCTCATTCTTGGTGAGAAGTAGGATCTTGGCCTGCTCGATGACCTTCCTCAAATCGCCGACAAGCTGCTGACCCTCTGTTGAGAGCTTTTTGGATGGTGAACTGAGAGGTTTTGATGCAAGCGCCGAGTTCAGGGCAATATCGATCTGCTTGTTGGAGGGAACCTTGCCGTTGGAGAATGCTGTCTTATCATTAGCGCTCTCATACTTCTGTGAACAGCTGTTGAATCAGCTACATACCTTGGAAGATCCCGTAGAGCTGAAGCTTGTTGTTAACATCAGCCTCCTTCTGCTTTACGTCCACCGGTCCTGGTCGGAGTCAGTCCCTGATCCATTCATGCGCAGTGACAGCTTTCAAGGTCGTGCTGAATGCGCGCTCACGTGCTGCCAGCCTGTTTTGAAAGACTGCGGGGTTACTCACGATTGACCGCCTTTCCTGTAGACATGATGTTCTGTGTTCTTGGGGTATCAAATGGGTATCAAATAAAACAAGTGCAATTGAAACAATGGAATGGGTTGAAAGTATTGTGCGGTTGTTTGGGGTATCTGGTGGGGTGTGATGTGAATGAGGCGAGAGAGGAGGAAAGCGACTTTATTGTTTGGCGTGACGCGAGCGTCTTCTGCTTGGGTCTTTCCATACGTCATCAGCCGTCACCTTTGTACAGTGGCCAAGGCAAGTGCCATTGGCCTAGGCGCACCAACGATTTACGATCCTGCCGCGGGGCTTCAAAGAGGAGTGCTGGCCCCACCTGGTTCGTTCAATTCCTTGAATTCAACTGTGAACAGCTTGTAATGTTTTGTGGAGCTCGTAGGACATCATGAGACATCTGACCGAAGCTCCGAAAGGTTCTGCACGCAGGCTTGCGCTTCAAACCAGCACCCCGATCACACAGTGCACACAGGATGTACACATTGGGCAATGGAGCCATCGCCCAATTTTCTCAGCTTCAGCCAGCGATTTTCCACTTTGTATTGAGCATGACCAACACGAGACCAACACAAGACACCCCAGGCTCAAAGGAGAGCGCGTCCCTGGTCTGGATGGCGGGCGATCGGTAGCCGGGATGCTTGAAGATCCATGACGTGGTGCTCATTTCGATGTTTTCAGCCACAAATCCCGTCAAGCATATAAGAATGGCATTGCAATCCCGCAACAACGTTTCAGAACACGAATGTCTGCACTGCACTACTGAGATTGAAGAGAGTCACAGTCCACGGCATTGTGACTGTGCAACTGAAGTTGCAAGCTGCCGGAAAGTGCGCTGGTCTGTCAAAGCGGTCGCGAACTGTTTGCGTGGGACGCGTTGCAGCCACACTTTCGGATTTGACACCGTGCTTAGCGCGACGCTAACGTGCCGACGGCAGTAGCGTGCCGTGCACAGCATTGAATGACGTCTGTCTGGCATTTTCGACATTCCTTCACTGCTATGCAGGGCGCATCGATTCGTTACCGAAGTCTGATGCATGCGGGCAAACGCCGTATTGTTCACCACGTGTCCACGAGACGAAGACTGAGGAAGCAAGAGCTCACCCTGCACCCCACATCCGGGAATCGCCACTTGGGTGCTCACTCAAATGCTGGCTATCCTTGCTTTCAGATCAATCGTTCTCGGCGATCCTGTGGACATGCTGTGGGAAGATTGAGGGTCTTGTAGAGGAGCTACTGTGGCAGTGCTGATCAACCCTCACGCTACAGCTAGGTGCCCGTCTGAAAAGGTTTCTGCGAGTCCAATGCACGTCAGCAGCCTTACCGCCGGCATGAAATCTTACACGCACAGTCTGAGATCGTTCCAGATGCTCTGAACGCTGAAGCAATCGGCATGCCCGTTGCATGTCATCGCCCCGGGTACCTGGAGCTACGCCACACCATGGTTCTGCAGGGCGATGCACGGTCTAGATCAAGTGAACCCTATACCTAATCAACGATGCTCTGATCAACTGTCATTGTTTGAAGTTCTACGAGCCTTTATTTACTTACATATTGCCAGTTTCTGTTGACTTTCGTGGCTACCCGACCAGTGAATAGTACGCCAAGATGCCATGCCGTCCGTTGGATGATGGGTAAAGTGACTTCTAAGTTTTAAGGGTCTCAAATCTCAGGATTGGACATAGTGTCAAGGCTGTTTCCTAGTTGTATCGATATCGCTCCAGTTTTGGATTACCGTTTTGTTCTTGTGTAGGAAGTAGTTGGAGTCGTAATGCATTTCGACAGAGCTGCTACCCATACTATTCGAATACAATCATGCTATAATGAATTTCAGACTGGCTGACGACTTCTCTCACTTTACAGTTGCGAAATTCGAAAGACTAATGTCATTCACTCCCACGCACCTTTACTTAGTCAACCATTCACCTCAGGCCTTGCACGCCTCTTCAGCCTCTCACAGCCACCCACCACGTCCACGCACCTAGGCAGAACTCGAGACACTGTCAGACTTCATATATGTACGCAGGACCTTTCAGTACGAACGACATGCAATCCACAACACCACCCCGCGAACAGCCCGAGAAGCTGCTCCATCCACCAACCGTCATGGACACTCTACAGACCAGGGGAGGTCGCCCAACCGACGTGACGCTCAAGAAGACTTCGTCCCAGATGGATAACTTCCTACGCCGCGCTAAGAAGGCTGGAGTCAAGATCGAGGAGGCTGATTGGGAAGTCATCGCTGTCAGTGGAGAAGAAGAGAAGATCGAAGAAGAAGATTGGGTACTTGTCAAGTAAGACGTGGTGATAAGGGCGAAAGACGTTCGCTGGGAGCGTTCGGGAGGTTGGGAGTTCAGGTTGGTGAATCAACTGATCGGGTCACTAGACGGTCAGCAAGAAGGCCCATGGTACAGATAATCCAGAAAGTGTAAAACTGTCGCAGAATTGCAACTTTAAGCTTCTTTCTTCAGTGGTCTGCTGTCTTTGGCGGTTTCGCTGACCCAAGGTATTTCTCTCCACTTGTGCCGCGCTATGATCAGAGCATTTGAGCGGATTCTAACTCCTTCTCTGTGTCTCCGTCCTCCGTCATCACACGTCCTTGACCGAGCTGGCAATCAGGCTACGTAGCTTACGAAGCGCACATCCGCTAGACCGCAGCCTCGAAGCGTGTTCTGGTAAGGATACCTTGGCCCACGCTTATTTCTTGCCCTTCTTCTTCTTTTTTCCGCCTCCTGTTCCTGCCGCTGCTGGCACCGGCACACCACCAGTCTTGATATCCTCCTGCTCGTCAACATTTGGCGTCGCAACACTAGCATCTTGCGGTGCGCTCAGGTCGTCAATGGCCTCCGGCAGCCCCGCCATTTCCCTCCCTAACCTTCCCAGACTGTTGATTAGTCGCCCTACTTCGGCGCCTTTTGTTGTTTCATACTGCAAACATGTGCCGGACACGGGGTCGTATGTCTTCAAAACGAAAGTGGCTGTGACACCTGTGGGGTTCGATTGCGGCGGCGGCGACGATGTGCGTGAGGTGTCTGCCGGCTTCGCTGCCTGCTTGGCGGCGTACTTTTCGCGCTTCTTTATCTTCGAGGCTGAGGGCTTCAAGACGGTGTATTTGGATGTAATGCGTGTCTACTTCGAGTAAGCTCCTGAAACTCTTGTCGACTGTGATGGAAGGCGTACACTTGTCGGCCTTGCCTTCAGCAGCAGCGATGACTGCTCGTACCACTCCGTACTGGCCTTCAGGTACGGCATGGTATAGTGTGGGGTGCTCTGGGGTCTGACGCTGCGAGCTGTGGTTGGTAAATCGCGGCAACCAACCCCGCCAAAAGTTGCCGCGAAGATGCTCGAAGCGCATCGTGCACGGGCCACAAATGTGGCAGTGACCTCAATGTGCACGCGACCCCCTTCGCCAATAACTAAAAACTCGTTGTACTCCATTCAGCGCGATATTAACGCCAGGACTGTGTGTTAGAGCAGGCAATAGCAGACTGTGGGTGAAGGAAGAACGTCATCGAACCTTCCAATTCGGTGTGACTCGAACGACCTGATGGCTCTTGCAAATCGGAACATTCACTTTCCTCGCAATACCAGTTTACCTTGAGCGATACGCGCTTACTTGCAGTCCCCGCTCGGGCTATTGTTTGGCCATTTTGAAATCCCGGGAGCCATCTCCAGTCACTACGTTTTACGATGGCCGATTCAATATCATCAGATTTCAGCAGCTTGGACCTCGAGGATTCGACGAGCGTCAGCAATCTTAACACGGCCGGCACCAGCACCAACGACGAGGACCTTGAAGCTACCGTCCAGAGTCTCATCAACCGTTGCACAACATTATACGAGGAGGTAGGGACATACATCGAGGCAGTTATCGAACGCCAGAAGATCACCAAGGTCCAGCATCCGGTTGAATATCGCAATCTGCGCAATGACTTCAAGAACGAACTTGCATTTCTCAAGAAGATCGTCAACTCTGGCAAAACTGAAGAGAAGGTCCGCCACTTTATTGTGTCCTCGAATCTAACTTACTACGAGGCCTTGTGGGGCGCTGCCAAACGATCGCGCGGACTGCAAGCGTTTCGCAAGTACTATTTCTGGGATCGACACAAAGCGCCGGCGGGGAAACGCACGTTGAAGGGTCTAAGTCTTGGGAGAGGAGGTGTAGGAAAATGCAAGACGGCAGCCCTAGTCGACATCGTTGCGGACGAGGGCAGAGAGTGGATACGCGTGTCAACTGTGTCCGAGAAACGGATCATCTTCGATCTTGCGAAGTTGGGCTGGGTCAACGACTCAGACTCAGACAACGACATGCCTGATGCGCGATCGACCGACTGGGAGGATGAAGATGACGAGGACCAGGTTGACGTTGTCAGAAACGCCCGTGAGCTTGCGCGAGCTGCACGAGCCAATCCTGTACAAGGGCGCCCACCGAAAGTGCGCCTTGTGCTTACACGCATTGTGGCTGGAAAGATGAAAGACGTGGACGCAATCATTGCGAAAATCAGGGCGACTGGTGCGATCGTGCAGTGTGCTGCAGACGTACCACCACCGCAACCGTTGCAGGCCGTCTTGAATGATCTGCTGGTAGACAGAACTCGCGCGCTCTCGGATACGCTCAACATAGACTGCACTATCCTACTGGCGCTGGTGTCTGACATCTCACACAAGCCCTGCCCCATCCTCGACTGGTACCCCGGCGAGGTCCAAGCTCAGATAAAGGAAGAAGCTGGCGAGAACCTACTACCGACCCAGCTGTATCCCGCCATTGGCTCACACTCCATGGTTTGCACGGAAGAAGCGGCTGAGCAGATGAACCTGATTGTTGACACCCTCGCCACTGACGAAGAGAAGCGAAGATGCCAGCTGCTCATCGGCCAAGGCGACTGTGAAGGCCGTTCGTCTGAGGATCTGGTCGCAGAGTGGGCTTCCATGTCGAACCATCCAGTCCCGACCGGCTTCACACTGCCTATACGCATTGTGCCGAGTGATATCGACACGATTACTGAGCGACTACCCACCGCAGCATGCAAACTGCAAGGCGAGATGAGTCGGCTGAATACATCGATCTTCTTCTATGGCTGGGCAGAGGGCATCACGACTTTAAGCTCGAATCGTGCGCGCGCCCGCCAAATTGAACATGCCATCAATCAGCATGGCCTCGAGGACGGAGAGGCTGGGCCACATATTTGGCTCTGCGGCGAGTCGAGGAGCTTGATTGCGAAGCATGGCCGTAGAGGGCCGAGGTGAGTCTGCTCAGCGACTTTGCAATGGCAGTACTTTACAGAATTGACGCATATGCCCAGTTTGCGCGTGGGCAGGCACGAGTGAATAGGGGAAGCAACGAATCTTCGTCGACGGTGATATTCACACAACAGCAACACTCTACATCAATACAATCAGGCACAGAAACATTCCGGCATGCTTGTCTGTGATCGTGCCGTTACCCAAAACGAACATTATCGCTCAGCACTACTCGAGGCGATGCAGGTAATCCAGCACTTGATATCGCTTATCTTGCATCACACTGTGCCCCAGCAACAAATGCAACAATATAACTTCTTCCATTCGTATTCCCAGCTTGCATATCACCGTAGTGATATGGATCCTCCCACACCAAAAAACACAAGCACTCATCCGCGAGCCTCTCACACCCGCACCACACCGACCACATCTACTACCACAACACCTCTGCCATGCTTGGGACGCTTAATCCGCCAAAAATTCGACGTTGGCAGGATTCGAACCTACGCTCCCGAAGGAACAAGATTTCTAGTCTTGCGCGATAACCACTCCGCCACAACGCCAAAGGTTAATTGTACAGACGTTCACACCAGGAAACAAACGCTGATTGCCCTCTGCCAGAATCGAACTAGCGATCTTATCATTTGCAATCCAGGTCTCCCACTGTGAGGGGGAGTTGGGTACTAGTGATACGCTTTACCACTAAGCCAAGAGGGCGATTGCTGATTGGTTGATGATCATACTTCATGAAATTTTTTTATAACGTCGAGTCTTAATCCACGAGAAACAGAATTTCGAGAGCGCAGAAGGTGGAGACTGAGTGCTGAATCTGCAGATACAGGGCACGGACAGAAAGCGGTCAGGGGTGGAAAATTTAACGGCGGATCGTTGAGCTATAGTGCGGCCCACTTCGAGTACCAACACTCTATCTACCTCTTTACATCCCCCAGCTGCGCCGCTCGCTCTGCACGGACGTTCTACAGCGCCAGCCATGCGGCAACAGCAATCACACCTGCAAGTGTACCGACGCTATTTTTCGTCGCCGCGCCCTCGGACTGCGGCGGGCTGCCTCCACCCGTGTAGTTCCCGCCCGTGCTGTTGAACCTCACGCTGTACTCACCCGTCAGCGGCACAGGGCCCTGCAGCGTCTGCTGTCCGTCGGCGCCCAGCAGCGTGATATTCTTGACCTGCACATCTGTCTCGTAGCCAAAGCCTCCGGTCATCTTGAACTCGCCGTTATCGTACAAGAACTCAATCTCGCTCACGCCATCCTGCTCAATGCTGTCTCCGTCATCGAGGTACAGAGTGCCAGACGCCTGGCCTGTGCTGTTCGGCGCAATCCAGATCACGAAATCTTGCTTGCGCAACTCCGTGGTTGTGTTCGCGCTCTCTGCGCGCAGGGGCAGGATTGCACCGCCCCGGATGTGCAGTGGGATACTGTCGAAGCCCACGTCGGTGATGTTGATCCAGCTCCCCGTGCCCTGGATCTGCTCGAGGGTCCACCAGTCGTAGAAGGTGCCGTTGGGCAGGTAGATGCTGACGCTTGTGCTGTTCTCCTCGAGCACGGGGCTGACGAGGATGTCGTCGCCGTAGAAGAATTGATATTCAATGGTGAACGTGTTGGCGTCCTGCGGATAGTGGAAGAATAGAGGATTCAACAGCGGTAGGCCAGTGGTTGACTGACGGTAGAACGCCGTGTAGATGTAGTCAAGCAGTCGGTAGCGGACGGCGATGGTCTTGCGGGCTGCGGACTGCGTAAGCGGCCAGCGGTAGAACTCCTGGAAGATCGATGTGTCGCCCGCGTGATTACGCATGAAGGGGTAGAAGGCGCCGAGCGTGGCCCAACGGGCGCACAGAGTCTCAGTTGTGTTGCCGGCGAACCCGCAGATGTCGGGCCCGACCATAGGCATCTGGTAGATGGAGGCGAAGTTTAGGATGCCACCGATGCTGAAGCGGTATTGCTCCCAGGTGCTGACGTTATCACCGAGCCATTTGCCTACATACTTGCCGAGACCGACAAACTGGTCGCAAATTAGCGGTGGGCATATTCGAAAGACGGTGTACTTACTGTAGATCGGGTGATCAGGAAAGGACGGCGCTCAGGGCGGCGCCGCAACATCGACTCCCTCGAGGCGATGGACATAAGCGAGCCCCAGAAGTTGTGGGTGTCGTAGTGGTACGAGCCGTCGTAGTTGCGGATGTCAGTGTCCATGGTCTTGTTACTGATAGATCCGGCAGCATTCTGGATCTCATAGCCAGGGTTGATGAGATCGCGGCCAGGCAGACCAAGGCGCTGTGTAGTCTGGTTGGACTGACGACCAGTCAGAGAGCGCTTAGGTATCGACAACTTCTCGTTGAGCTCGCGGGACTGGAGCGCACGCTTGGAAGCATTGGTGGAGCCCGGCTGCAAGCTGGCAGGGAAGCCAGGGATAACGCGACCGGGGCCGCCAGGACGAACTGCTGGTGGCTCAGGAGGGTTCTTGGACTCTTCGGAGTAGGCCATGGGGTCGGAGCAGGGGTAGGGACAGAAATTGGCGGGCTCGTTCATGTCATTCCAGAGCCCATCGATGTCAATACCGGTGGCAGGGTCGAAGAACTGCTCAAACTGGCTGTTCCAGTAGTTCTGAGTGTTAGGGTGGAACCAGTCGGGAAAAACAGTTGGGCCAGGCCAGACGGCTCCGCGGTATTCGCTACCGTTTTCGCGAACCTGCCAGACGTTCTGCGCAACACCTTCGTTGTATACATCATTATCGCCCGCCCAGACAGCGGAGTTGACCATGACAATGTAGTGTTGCTGACGCTCATGGAGGTAGGAGACCATATCGCGGACCAACTCCAAAGGGTAGCGCTCCGGGTCCAGAGTGAACAAGCGGCGAAGCTCCATGTAGTCAATATCAGTCCACATAACCTCCAACGGGATGTCGGCTTGCGTATAGTTGGCCACGACCTCAGCGACCTCCCACACATCACGGTACCCGTACTTGCACTGTTGGAATCCGAAACCCCAGTAAGGCATCATGGCAGCAGTTCCAGTCAACGCAGAGTACTGAACAGCGACCTCCTTGGGCGAAGGACCGGCTAAGAAGTACAGGTCGATGATACCTCCCAGAGTGCTGTACTCAAGAAATTGACCATCGGTATCGTCAATCTTGATGTCCATACCCTGAGAGCTAGCGAGGAAGACACCATGGGTGCCGTTCTCGCCGCGGTGGTCGAAATAAACTGGGTGAGATCCGTACAGGTTGGATCCCGTTGGAGTACCGTAAGCATCACGGTTCCACAGCTATCCAAGTCAGTCTACCGCGCTCGGGTCAGGGTATCATTAATAGCTTACAGTGCGAGTGTAGTTCGTAATGTTCAGGTGGAAATCGTCAGTAGATTCTCCAAGACCGTAGAGGTTTGGCAACTCTGGCAGACTTGTCCTGAGGCGGAGATACTGCGACTCAAAGATAAGACTCGCTGCCGAAGTATCGAAAAGAGTCTCATTGGTATCCATTCGAGTGATGGCAAAGGAAAACGGATTCTCGGTATGCGAGAAGACAAGAGCGGAATCTGCAGGCTCAAAGCCGTCGTCACTCTTAGGTCGAGGCCAGACAGATTCCTGAATTTGGAAGACTTGCTCAGCAGCGTCGTAGATCTTGACGTGCAATCTATTCTCTATACAGGCTGTTAGCAAATCCGTAACGTACTGTCAATAACAAACTCACCGGTTTGGTACTCGACCTCCAGCTTGAGATTAGTTAGATCGTTACTGTAGATATTGCAGGCCTCGCCAGCAAGTGCGAGGTCAGCAGTAACCCTGCCGCCATCGTCTTGCACATTGCTCGCAGTGTACCCCGGGCAATCATCAATTGAAGCGCCGCCGGACTGCCTCTTGACAACCTCCGTAGCCAGCGCAGGTAGCGCCGCCCCAAGAAGAATGAAACCTTTGCCGATCATATTGTGATGCTCAACTGTAGCACACAAGTATAAGTTCGACTTGATCGACGGGGATGCAGTAGGCTTTATATTTCACCTTGTAGGCCTGAGTGCTGATACGGTCGGACATAGGTAACCTGCAAGTCAGCAGCACGGGCGCTCATGTATACTAAGGTGTTAGAGGCTTCTTGCGAGGCACCAAGCCTCGCTCCCCGCAATTCCGGTCGTCATGAAGGCGGACGGCAATGTCTTGGCAGCGGTGCAGCGTGGAGGCCAAACAGGTTACATGGCGGGGTCAACCTGCGCTTTGTACAATGTCAGATGCCTGTGGTCCCGGAGCTGTACCCGTATGGAGGCAACACTTGTGTTGAGGCGCGGGCCGCGGAATGCTGGGGAAGTTGTGGAGGAATCAGACGTCGATGTTCTGCTCCGGATGCGTAGTCGACGTCAGCTACAGCTCCCGATTGGATGTATCTCGGCCCGGTGAGGTGAAGTTCCCAACACCGCTGCCCCCGATCCGAGATGCGCTCGCTTACCAATTTTCAACGGCGTGGTTTCCAAGAATTGACAAGAGCGGAGGGAAGTCACGATGGCTCTCGTGAGGGTTTGCTGATGAAGTCTCAAGCGGTTGAACTTTGGACGTCGAGGCGTCTGCTCGATGTTGAGCGCAGGAATGGGAGTTCTGCTGTGTTTGGTGGACGAGAGCTTGTTTTGCACTTGTCGTGGGGTCGGATGCAGAGCTTAAGAGGTCATTTGATCCCGAGCTTCGGGCTCATATCTGCTGACCCAGTCACCTGGTACGCTTCTCAGTTATATACATAGCTATCATACACATACACATACACTCAGCACCACACCATGCCCTACTTCTTCGCCGCGCCGGCATTCTGAAGCTCCATCGCCTGCTTGTACTTCGCCATCCGCATCTTCTTCATAATCCTATCCTCGCTCGCCTGATCGTACCCCAGCCCACTGCGGGCTGGTGACGCCTGCCTCGCAATCCTCCTGCGCTGCTTGACCATATGCGTAAACAGGACATAACTGCCCGGCACATAGAATGCCAGAATAGCCAACAAGACATACGGGATCCTCTCATCGAGATTCTGCGCAGCAGGAATAGATTGGTAAACGAGCCAGCATTCGCTAGCGATGCCGAGCGGATACAGGACTGTGAAGGTGTTGTAGCGTAGGAAGGAGAGGGGAGAGGGAACCCTGAGACCGCTCAGGGTGAAGACGAAGTAGCTGTAGCGCACGACTTCGGTGAACGACCAGGCGAGCAGCATCGTACTGTAGGCGGGGGAGTGCTGCGTGGTGGCAGGAAAGTTGTACGCGATGCCCCAGACGAGGAGGAAGCGGGATGCTACTTGCATGAGGGTTGTGAGGAGGGGGGCGCGGACGATGCCTGGGTTGAGTTAGCAATCTGATCTCGAAGCGTTTTGCATTCAATCCGATGGGAGCAGGATAAGAGACACAGGATAAAGATAAGATGCAACGCACCGAATAAGCTGTGAAGCACCTCCAGTCCAGCAAGACTCTGCACCAACCGTGTATGCTCCTCGAGCTCTGCATACACCCTCCCACTAGCCAGCCCAGCAGCCGCGCTCTGCAAGTCGTTGCGGCCGAAGAAGCTGCCCGCTTTCCGCGCAGCTTGAACTTCATGGGTGCCAATTGTTACAGTCTTGTAAAGCACGCCAACCCATAGTGCAGCAGACACAGCGTTGTAGGCAAGCAGGTACGTGTGCTTGAGGGGTGAGGACGCGGGGCGGGATTCTGCGGGGCGCTGGTTCCGTGGTGAGGTTACGGAGGCTTCTTCTGGCGGCATTATGGCGTGAAGAACAACAGTGGTTGCTGGGGTCTAGTGTTGTTGTTGTTGTGGTTGCAGCTGGGATGCCTGAGGCTTGGGGGTAGATTTGTTGCTGACCGAGGCTGTCCCTAGACAGAGGTGGGCAGGATTAGCCGAGTGAGTTTAACACCGATATACCCGGATGATGTAAAATGTGATGCCCTTGCGCTCTTCGACAACGTGGATCAGTTTATGCGTAGAAACCTTGAGACGAGCGGTGAGTTGTAATCTCAATACGTGTTGTGTAAGGGGAGCTTAGAAAGCTGGGATTGACTGAACCGTGTGCCAGCATATGTACATACACATCTAACAGATCGTTGCTTGTCCGCCAATTGATAAGTCCATCCCACGCCCCTCGCGCAACCCCAACAAGGACTTATAGACGCCTTCTGATGCTACGCTAGCCATATCTCGCCAGGGGCCGCCTGGTAAAACACCATGCTATGCAAAATGCTACAAACGCCAAAACCCAGATGGTATAGTTATGTCGTATGAGAGAGTCGTCAAAGTAGAGAAAGGAAAGATGTTGTGTCCTCTACAGCATGAAGACCTGGAACATAGCCTTCGAGCTCGAGACCTTCTTACCGCAGCCTTCGACAACGCATGCCTTGAACGGCCGGGTTTTGGGCAGAGCTTGTTTCTCTTTGCCCTTTGCGGAGCCCTTTGCGGAGCGGTTCGCCGTGCATTCGCCACAGTAGATCTGCCATGTGTCAGTTGTGCACCTTCAAATACCCAAGATATTAGGGGCCCTACGTGACCGCACTGCTTGGCGATCCAAACCTGCTTCTTAACATCATCATCGCCCTTGCACAGCTCGCTGTCGCAGTTTGGACAGACCAGTACATCGTTCTCCTCTGGGCTCCTTGTGAAACCCACTAGTGCCGGTGGAGGCGCTTCGTACGTTGGTGGCGGCGGCTCTGGTCGAGCTCCGCCATATCCTAAATCGAAGCCAACCATGCCGAAATTCAAGTTTGGCGCGACAAAGATCCCACCCCCTCCTCCACCTGCTACACCCATTCGGATGTGATTGCCACGGCGAAATCGAGGTGGAGGCTGTGGACCGCCATGTCGCATGTTTTCAGCAAGGTGATGGATGTGGGCGTTGGCGCGGTCAATTTCTCCTCGTAGGTGGGCAAAGCTGTAGCGGTCGTTGTGCGTTTCTCCAAGTACTGCTATAACCCGGTCGAGCTCGGCGTGTCGTGCTGCATGCTGTCGTGCCCTTCTCTCTTGTTCTGTCAACGGCCGCTCCTGGACGAACTGCACGTCATCCCCATCTGAGTCGTTGCGGCGGGGTGGGGGATCGAGACGTCGCTCTGATACGAACTGGATGTCTGGCGACGAAGGCTCGACAATGACCGGCTCATCGTCCACTGTCCACGCTTCTTCTCCGTTGTCTAGGTTGATAATACCAGCCATGCCTCGGGGCAGTCGAGGGGTGTCGTTATTTGGAGGGCGCCCAGAAGCTGGCAGAAGTGGTCGTGGGCTGTGTGCTTGTCGGTCGTTCCGTGGTTCCCAGTTGTAAAATGATGGTACATCGTCCTCCTCCGTCAGGTCAACGATGTCCTCGGAGTTGCGCTGTTCTTGCTCCGTCTGGGCGTTGTATGCCGCAATATCGTCTCGGTCCTCGTCTTCGTCGTCGTCTACGAGAATGAGCTCATCATCCTCGCCGTCACTGATTTCGACCATGTGTCTCTCCCCAGCCCGATCCGCCCCTCCGGCTCTGTTCTGCCAGCCCACGGGCCTCCTCATGTCGAAGCCGTCGCCCTCGAACCGCAACGCTTGTTCGTGCTCCATGTTCTGTGCGGGCTGACCCAAGTACGGGGAGCGCCCTCCTGCACTGCGGTCCGCGGGGCCAGCTGAAGGAGTGCGGTCGTTTGCTCGGGCTGCAGGCTCTCGGGAGGCAGCGTACCGTGCTCGCATAGCAGCGGGGTCGGGTGTTCTCGCTCGGTGCCCTGCGACGTAAAAGTTCGGGTTTGAGGGAGAGCCGTGGCGGTTTGCGTGAGAGGCCTCGTGCGGGCGTGATACTGAGTGCTCGCGGGGAACACCGAGGCGGGTGAAGGGCGTGAGGCTTTCGAAGCTCCATGCAGACCCAGCGTTACGCTCCATCGTGTCATGCGAGCGCTGCGCGTCTTTATTAGCCCAAACCCGCTGCGTGCATTGCCGCCCGCTCCACTTTGTCACACACCTTCTGTCTGTGCTCATACCCAAAGCGCAAGTGGTTGTCCATAGCCGATGACGCAGTCGGGCGAGAAAAGGTCGATGTTTTTGCGGCGGTGGCCAGGCAGAAGCGGCGTGCGAGGTGGCGAGCCTGGAGAGTGCCGAGTGGTGAAGTGAGCGCAGGTCCTGGGGTCAGACGTCAATCCGTGGAGGTTGCGACCATGCCTCTCGGCGAACCAAACGCCACCTCTTCACGGTCACCACATCTCGTGAACAAAGCACACCACATCATAGATCTACAGAACAGACATTTCCTGGCCTTCCTGTGAGATTCTTCATTCCCATCAGAGCATGTTCTGCGAGCTACTGCATCCGTCTCATTTTCTATTTACGAAGATGTGCTAATGCAAGTCAAGTATTTGAAGGATGTATTGCCCAATTATATACAGAAGGGCCAACTGTGTTGCATTGCTCCAGGCGCCGCGGCACCTCCTATAGGCCTATTCGAAATGATATGCCACCTCTGAGTGCAACTTATCCCGAGCTTTTGGGCGTTATGCCATAGATCCAAGACCAATCTTACATCATCCCCACCTCATGCTTCCCCAGTCGCTGCGCTTCTCCTGGTGGCCCGCTTGCAGGTTGTATGCTGCGTCTTCTCCTTGCAGAGTGCTACGATCGTCTCCCTCATGCAGAGCTCAAGATGCTTAGCCCACCTTCTGAAGTCAGTGCGACTAAGCTTCCTGCGTTCGCACCCCAAGCAACATCCTTCGCAGGTACCGCTTTTCGTACGGGCTCGGACCAGCTCTTCGATGCCTTGGTGTACTGCTGGACTGAAATGCTGCCCGACCCAGCTGCCGCCAGGAACTGGCCTGTGTAGTCCCACTTGACGTTCTCAACAGGGCTGCCAGCTTCAAGGACCTTGATAACGTTCTGTTTCCTGATGTCCCAGATGGAGACCTGACTCGACCCCTTTTGAGCGACTGCGAACCAAGTGCCGTTCTCAGAGAAGGAAATGGCCGCAATTGGGGCGCCACTGTCGAGCTCGGCCATAGAGGCGCCGGTCTTGACGTCGAAGATGCGGATCTTGCCGTCCGAGCTGCCGACGAAGAGGAGCAGACCATCGACGTGGAAGGAGGATGCAGTGATATCGGCTTCGGTGTAGATCTGGGAGACCGTCTTGAATGTCGCGAGGTCGTAGTATGCGACGCGCTTGTCCGCGGCTCCAGAAGCCAGGATAGAGCCGCTAGGATGAAGAGAGAGTGATGTGACGGCGCCTGCGTGCGAGCCAAGCTGCGCAATTTCGTTGCCGTTCTCGAAGATCTTCACGGTACCAGCAGCAGTCGCGACGACTGCGCGCGAGCCCCACCACGTCGTAGCTGTGACTGGGCTGCCTGCCTTGAGCACCTGCACCACCTTCTCCTGCGAGATCGAGTATACGCCTGCAACGCCATCCGCGCCGCCGAACAGTGCCATATCGCCAGACTCGTCGACAGAGACAGCGCTACTTCCAGGGTAGAGAGGCTTGCTCGAGGAGGCAACATCGAATGTGGAGATGTCCGCGCCGGTAGCCCAGCCCTCGGGGACGGGTCGCTTTCGGCGCGTCGCAAAGAGCCTGTGTCACGTCAGAATTGCTTCGTGGGGGTTGTGATAGTATACTTACTGTTGTTGTGTCTCGTCAACCTTGGCGGCAAGCTCCTCAGGCAGCGCCTGGCCATCGACCTGCATAGCATCGCCATTGCGGCCACCGCTGACGGTGACGTTCGAGAGCGCCTCTCGTGCCTCGTCTCTCTCGCGCGTCAGTCGCGCAACCACGCGCGTCGCAGCATCGTTCTGGTACAGCGCCGTGCTGAGCTCCTGTCGTGTCTGCGCCAGTTGCTGCTTGAGGGTATGTGTCTCGAGTACGATGGCGTCCCACTCGTTCTGGAAGGCGCTGAGAAGTGCAGGAATGGATGTGAGGTTCGGCGGTCGGGGGCTGACGACTTGCGGCGACTTGAGCTCAACCAGATCCTCGACTGAGAGGTCTTCGCCAGTGACAGGGTCTGTGTGGTTTTCGGCAATGTGCGCCTCGATCAGGCGCTTTTCGAAGACATTGCCGCTCTTGCGCGACGCAACGGGTTCCCGTGGAGCTTCTCCGGAAATGGCGCAAAGCATCGTGGTGGGTGTGAGGGTGTTGGCGCGAGCAGTGCTGCTCTGAGCCTTGGAGTCGCGAATTCTGAGCAAAACGCGCTTGCCCATCTGGGCGATAGCGCGTTCTGCAGTGCCGCGAGGTCACTCACCAACCATACATCATCACACATTGCTTCAGCTTATTGGATGTGCGGAGATACTGAACATGTCCCGTGACTATTTCCATAAAACGACCTTCAAGGCCCCATCACCATGAGTCAGGCTGCACTGAGTTTTCAAGGCGTTGACAGTTCACCATTAGTAGGCAGCTTGATCACGGCAGCGACGAAGAACTTCTATCAAAAAGGCGACTGGCGATATCTCTAATTTCACCATCTTCGCTACAATTCCCACTCTTTCTCCGGCTCTTTCTGCAAATTCTTCTCCCCGACGTCCAGCGCTACGAGGAACCTGCTTACACAATTGTACGCCGCAACCGTTGATGTGACCTCCACCACTTCTTGATCGCTGAAGTGCTTCTTCAGCGCCGCAAAGATCTCATCCGGTACATTGACATCCAACGTCATGGCATCTGTATACGAAAGCAAAGCGGCATGCTTGTCGTCTTGGATGCCCTTGTGCACCTGGCGAGGAAGAGAGTGCAAAACAGCATCGACATGCTCAGAAGTTATACCGTCAGCAGCACGGAGGATAGGGCTGTGTGACTCCCACTCGTACCATGCTTTGTTTAAGACTGCGACACGAGCAATAGCTGTCTCACGGACCGAAGTTGGCAATGAGGTCTTGGTACGAATGGCGCCCAAGAAGGAGTTCCTATGTTTATGTCAGTAACCAATACTAACGCCAACGAAGCTGGTGGGTGTTATAACTTACCATCCATCGGCAACCGGAGGTGAGTGAAGCAAAGTTCGGTCAAGCGCAATCAAGCCCTTCTCTCCTCGACGTTGCTTGACGCGCTCGAGTACGGCCTTGTCCGCTTCTGAGGTCAGGTCCTCTTCTTTGACATATGGGAGACGCATGGTGGCTGTGTATGTATCTTCTTGAGCTTTCGAGACTGGAACGTGGAGATGTCGGTTCAGCTATGTTCAGATGTGAGTTGTGACTCCCGATATATTAAGCAAATTCGCGGACATCGTAGTCCGCGCAGTTTACGGACTCTGGCCAGTTACACCCCACACTTGGCTCCCAGCCAATCACAACATCTCGCTAAAGCCTTCACCCCAGTGTGTCGAAACTTCACGCGGCGTTCTCTCCGCTCAACCGTTCGAATCGCAATAAACATGCCAGCGCCACAGAAGTCCAGAGTTGCTGGCATAAGGAACACCAAAGGGAAACAGGGCAAATCAAAACCAGTCAGAGAGCAGCAACCTAAGGTTGTTGAAGAGAAAAGCTTCGAAACGAGAATACCACCAGAAACCCAACAGCTCATTCTCAACCTCTTCAGAAACTCGTTTAGGGATAGACTAGAAACAGATATCCAACCGCTTCTACAGGAAGTTAAGGGGCACTTGTTCGATCGCAACTTCAAAGACGCTTTTGGAAGAGAAGACTACCTCGAGGCGTATGCGGCGCGGTGGAGTCCAAGTCGTGCATTGGGCTATTTGGGTCTACTATGGCGCATGAGAGAGTCATTAGATCTCGTGCAAACACAAGCAGACGAGACATCAGAATCCTCAGAAAGCTCAAGCAAGAGCTGGAAAGTCGTATGTCTCGGCGGCGGCGCAGGAGCTGAAATCGGAACTCTCGGCGGACTCCACAAACTCATCTCCGACACCCACGAAGAGCAGAGAGAGGGCCAGCCAAAAGACATGGAAGTCGTGGCTGTCGATAGCGCGGCCTGGGGAAATGTGGTCGACCAGCTCACCCAGCACATCACCACACCGCCTCCACTGTCGAAATACGCATCCGCCGCCGTCAAAGCAGCGAATCGTCCGCTGGCCGAACCGTCGGCATTCAAAACAACTTTCCACCAACACGACGTCCTGACAATGGACTCCGCAACCCTCGCCGCCGCCCTGGAACACGCAGATCTCGTCACGCTAATGTTCACGCTGAATGAACTGTACTCCGCATCCATGTCTCTAACCCAGCAATTTCTCCTCCGCATGACCGAGAGCCTCTCTTCGGGCGCCATGCTGCTCGTTGTCGATAGTCCAGGGAGCTATTCCACCGTCAGTGTGAATGGAGCGGATAAGAATTACCCGATGCATTGGCTGCTAGATCACACTCTGTTGGCGGACACATCGGGCGGTAAGGCGAAAGATGAAGTAAGGAGCTGGGAGAAGGTGCAGGAGGATGATAGCAGGTGGTTCAGGCTGGATGACCGATTGGAGTATCCTATTGAGTTGGAGAATATGCGGATGCAATTGCATCTGTATCAGAGACTGTGAACATCCGGCAGTTCCAGATGGTAACCTCAGAAATGCCGACTCGTGCCACCGCGTCCGATTACTACATCTGAGGTACGCACCAATTCGAAAAGGGCCGCGGATCCTGTCGTCCCCTATCGCTGGCCTCCACGCCTGGTCGTCAAGCGAACGTCAGAGCACCAGCAGATAGCAACAAGGATGGACTCACTAGAATGATCTACGAAGAAGCGGTCAGCTCAGCGAGGCACTTCGTTGCTAGTCTCCGCTTGGCTTAGATGAAGCGTTTGGTTCGGTCAGGTCCGCTCCACTGACATCGCCGCGACGGCCCAGAGCCCCAGGACAAAACCACAAAGATTCAGGAACTCCACATCATCATTGGACGGCTCTTTTGGACTCCAGAAACATTGCTTTTCGAACATTACAAGGGTGGCGTAAGATGAAGCTGACACTGGCCATTGAGCGCTCTGATTGGCCACCCCCAAACGCCCGCCTACTTTAGCGGCCACCAACCACGACTTCTCCTCGCGCGACATCACAAGTCCAGGACAACGCTAGAAGACTTCGGGTCGCCCTTCGCGAAAGTGTAGCCGCACTGGGAAAGTGGGATGGTGTTCATTTTTGATGGTTCTTAAGACAAAGCATCGTTTACCCTCTATCGTTCACGCTACTCTTGAGCACACATCCTCGTCTTACTTTCTGCCATTCTCCGCATTGATCGTGTTTCGCATCACGCGTGCTCGCGAGCTTCACATCTTGAAGCATCACAGTCGTTACTGCCATCATCTTTTGCCTACTCAGTCCACGCAAGCAGCTATTTCTCCGTCCATTCGTAGCTCCCAACATCGCAAAGCCTGAAACGCAACTACCCTCCAAAAGCTGGGGATCCAAAAAGCCGCATCATCGCATCGCCTTTGAAATATTAAAGTACTATCTAAAAGTGCACGATAATGTCATCGCCAACATCCCTCCTCGCCACGCCCGCAGCCCGCTCTACCAGCGACGGCTGGTCACCTCTGGCGATAATCGGCATCGTGTCCGCTATCATGCTTCTCCTTCTCTGCGTGCCGCTGATAGCGATCTGCTTGCGGCATTTGGAGCGCTGCAAGGAGATGGTCAAGGAGTCCGGCAGCCGTGGAAGCTCGAGAGTGAGCGATGGGTTGGAAAAGTCGGAGGAAGGGCAGAGTCTGAGGAGTATTTTGGTCACGAGGGAGTTGCAGAGGAGTAGTATTAGGTTGACGAAGCCGGAGGCGGCGTATGTGGAGGGAAGAGGATGGAGTGAGGCGGAAATTAGAGGTGGTGCATGGCGTGCTTGAGTAGAGGAGGTTAGGATAGGACAATGAGAGATTATCAATGGTGTTTGGGCTTCAAAGCCTGTTTATCGGGCTGGGATGGATAATACGACTAATGTAGGTTTGAAACTGGATGTGGGCTTCTACTTCGACATTCAGATTAAAGCAGACAGCTGCCTCGCGACGCTTCGATGACTACACAACCTCCCACTCCAACACTCTGCGAACCACGTCCACACACCGCGAATCCATAACTCTCCTCTCCCACGCCTACGAATCTTCCACCATCCACCGCATAACAACCTCCGTATCTCCGCCTCTGAAATTACTCTTCGCGATACCTCGCCACCCCCGTCCACCTCCTTCCCATCAAACATAGCCACCAAAACACTCCCATCCCCCGTCAGCCTGCGCACAACATCCCCGTTAGCTCGCCAATCCCTGTCTGCCTCGCCCGCCCATACCTCACCGGGCAGCACACCAAATTCGCGATCCATCACCTCTTCCGGGTGGTTAGCCACAGCCTAGCTCGACCCACTCGGCCTCGCGCGCCTGCGTGCTCGCTTCGAAAGCATCCGCAAGTCCGAGTCCCACGTTACACGCGGCGGCCGTGAGAGCGCTGCGATGTCGCCATTATGCGTGCCGAGTTGCTCGATGAGCCAGCGCGCTGGCGAGGGGAGGTCGAGGTCCTCGAACTTCGGTTCCCATCGGGTGCTCGTGAGGTATGTTCTCAGCTTGATGCGGGAGCGGCGTAGGCTGAGTTCTGAACGCGCCTCTAAAGTGCAAGTAGGGGTTCGTGGTTGTGTGAAGGCGCCCGCTGAGGGTTTGGTGAGCTGGTGGGCTGCAGGGGGGATGGAAGAGGTGCTGTGGGTTTGGGTGCGTGAGCGGGTGCGCGAGCTAGGGGGGACCGTGGATGTGGTTGTAATTTGTTACTGTGCACTCGAGTGCTTTTCGGGTCAATCTTGAGTAGCGGCCATAGGACATGGTTATGCGGGACCTGGTCGGACGAGGATGCTGGAGTATAGGCCTGTAGTTCTGTAGTCGCCGACCTATGCTTTGGCGCTGGGCGATCGTGGATATCGCGGTGAGGATTGATTCTGTATTGTAAGGCACAAAGAAGCGAACAATGATGTCGCTGAAAGAGACGGATGGAGTGAAGGGAATGTCTTGGACTGAACAAAGGGCCAAAATGGACGGAGACATTCATGGACTACGACCTTGAGAAAGACATCTGCTGTCGTGGCTGATTTTCGTCAAGTATGCTTGTATCTGTGATCAGGGCTGCAATATCTGTGGCAAGGTGAGAGACAGCTCATTTGTCGGGTGCATTCACCTAATGCTCATACCCACACACATCTCACACTTGTGCCACAAGCGCACATCTTACACTCGATTCAACCATCCAGTCGCTTGCTAAACTCACGCATCCAACCCGTCCCTCTCGATCAACCTCTGCACGACCCGCACAACATCCCTCTCCCGCTCTCCCATAGGCTTCCCCGGCTCCTTGACCATCTTCTCAAGCACCTGATCTAACATGCCCCTCAGCCTGCTAACCAGGACTCCAATCCTCGCCCATCCCCTCAATCTTATCCACTCATCAACCACCAAGCCCCTGCCGAGCGTATCGACTTGAATGCGCCCGGCAAACATGAGCAGAGAATAGCTGTTGAATGGTGTGATATCGCGTACAAAGACCTTGCTCGTCGCCATCTTGTTGAAGTACGCGACGAAACTAGCGTTACTCGGGAACGTCTGGCTAGAAAAGAGGGTCGAGCTAGGGTGCACAAAGACGCGCCCATTGTCTTGGTTGAAGTACTTGATCTCCCTCGCTTCAGGATCCAGTTCCACGGCTCCAGCAATACCAGCCGCGAACTTTTTGTCCGGAAGCTGGATACGTGCGATTTGCGGAGCGAAGGAGCCGGCGATGAGGGCGCGGAGGAGGGCGTCGTTGGCGTTCTGCGCGTTGTAGAGGCCGTGTATTGTAGGAGCGTTCGACGAGTAGGTGTAGGGGATGAAGGAGATTTCCTTTAGCGAAGATAGGTACTGAGACCGGTTGGATTGGATGTCGAACATAGTCTGGAGGTTGAGCTTGTTATCCTGGCACCAGAATTTTAGGTCTCGAGTGGAGACGCCTTTGTTGCGGAAGGCGGACCATTGCTCGTAGGCGCGAAGGTCAACTAGCAAATCGCCTTGATTTGCTGAGAATGACGCGCGGAGGCGGTCGAACTCGTGCCTAGTGTCCTGGTCTCTTTCTCTCGGCGAGATGAAGGGACTTCGAGCTGTCAATACCGATGCAATTGTGAGAGCAGCCTCGAGACAGCCAAATGTTGCGCCATAGACAAGCAGCTTGCTCAAGCGCAGATCGGCAGGGATCATAGACATGTGACGACCAAGCGCAGTAAGCTCATTGTCGGTGATGGCGCCCATCTGCGAAAGCAGGTTAACGGCACCTTCAACGGCAGTGCTTTCAGGCGGCGTAAGAGCGGAGGCAAGGAAACCAGAGACATCCTTCACTCCCATAGCTTTGATGGAAAGGCACATTTGCTCCAGAGGTACGCGCCTTATCTCAGGATCGGGACGCTCCAGCATCCTGGCCTCAGCGTTGCGCGTGTACAGCTTGTAGCAGTCACCAGGTCGTACACGACCTGCACGACCACGCCGCTGCTTACAAGCTGCTCTCGAAGCCCACGTCTCCACAAGGCGGACCATATTGTTCTGCGGATCATAGCTCGTCTCCTTGACACGGCCAGTATCAATGACTGCCACAATGTCTTCGATAGTAATGGACGTTTCTGCAACGTTGGTTGCCACAACGACCTTCCTCTTTCCGGATGGAGGTAAGGGGAAGACACGTTTCTGCTCGGCGGGCATGAGCGAGGCGTGTAATGGGAGTGCATGGAGGTTTGGGAAGTGTTCCAAGGCTCGCAATGTTCGGTCGATTTCCATGGTACCGGGTAGGAAGATCAGGATGCCGCCGTCTTTGTCTCCGAGCTGGCGGTCAATGTGGCGAACGGTTTCCGCGATGAGATCGTAGTTGATGCCAAAGCCAATACTGCGAAGACTCGCAGAAAACGACTTATCTTGAGCGTCGTCATCTTCGCCAGCATAGCCTCTGAAACCTGTGAAATGCATGACATCGTCGACATAGTAGTCTGTCACGGGGTGCGTGCGACCGGCGATCTCAACACGACCTACTGGGCCGACCTCCTTGAAGTAAGCCTCGAAGACATCGGCGTCTAGAGTAGCACTCATCAAGATGACCTTGAGATCTCTTCGAGTACGCAGTATCTGACGAAGGAGGACAAGAAGGAAGTCGGTGTCGAGACTACGTTCGTGAACCTCGTCAACAACAATATGACTCACATCGGCGAGAGCGGCAACGATGTCTTCGGCCCCTCCACCAGAGGTTTGAAGGCGACGGAGGAGAACACCAGTTGTAACGAATGTAATCTTGGTCACGCCCGGCTTCTGCTTCGACTCGCCACGAATGGTGTAACCAATCTCATCACCGACTCGGGCACATCTTTCGTCAGCAACTCGATCAGCAAGACCAAGCGCTGAGATTCTTCGCGGCTGAGTGCAGATGATGTTTGCAACAGCACCGAGCTGTCTCTGTATCAGATCGTCCAAAACGAATTGCACAGATTGTGTCGATTTGCCGGATCCAGTTTCACCAGAAATGATGGTAACACTGCTCCTGTTCACAGTTCGGACGATGTCGTCTCTCAGCTTCCAAGCCGGTAGTGATTGTCGAGCACTCATCATTTTCTGTTGTGCAGGCATCTCTTGCTTAGCATGCCATTCAGCAAGGACTTGTTGGCTGGCAGGTGTTGCAGGCTTCCAGTCAACCGGCCTACGGCCTCTGTCTTTCCTCTTTTTGCTTTTCGCCTGCGACTCCACTGAATGATCTGCTGCAGCGAGCCCGGACGAAACATCGGCTAAGCGGCCAGGGTTTTTGAAGATCTCGCCTGCATTCTGCTGCACCCAATCGATGACGTCGTATATCATGGGCATGCCAATAAAGTTCTCCTCGGCGTGTAGAAGCGCCTTCCGGATAATGCTTAGGCGAATATACGCGGGGATAGCTGCCTCGAACGTGACGATGGGTACAACAGCAGGGTAAGGGCCAAACGGTTTCCTGGCCTGCAGGATGAGGCGTTTCCCTTGCTGCTTGATGTCAAGCTCAACACGACAAATATTTGGTGATGATCGTGTGAAGAGCTTGTCGTAGATGGCTTCCAATGATGACATCTCGGTCTCCCAAGGGTCATCTTCTGATGGTTGTTCTGCTTCACCCGCAATGGTGAGATCTGCGAGCTCCCGCGCTATGTCCTTATCGTTATCATCTGGACGCAGAAGGCGGGCCTGAAGTAACGCAGCAGCTCGCCTCTCATCCCCATTCTGACTGTCATAAGCTTCTTCGCAAAGTTCAGTGGAGTAACCAGCTGCTGCAAGGCGCTTCACGGCCCCTTCGCGCTTCAAGTTGGAGCTAGCCATGCTAACACCCGCAACGTAGCCTTCGGGCAAACTCCACGAGGGTAGATCATCTTCTGGTACGTGGATCAAGAGCCATTCGAGGATTTCCTCTCGATCTTTGCATATGTCGGCAGCTTCTTCGACGTGACTTCGTCGGAAGCCAAGATCTGCAATCTCGTCTTCGAGACGTATCCTGTCGTTCACGTTCATCTGAAGACCGTTGGGATTCCAGAGTGCATCGCGCCGGATCAGATGCTCCACCTGCTGCCTAATTCTCTTTCCGAGTTCGATCTTTGGTACGCGCTCCCAACCTCTCATCAGGTTCTTCGCGGGTCCCACCCATGAGCCTTCGGCATTGGGCATGGACATGCCAGGCTTGAGATTGTGTGCCTTTTGTGCGTCGTCTCGCTGCTTCTGCTTCTTCTCTCGCTCTTTCGCAGTAGCGGCCTTGGCCTTCTCTCGCTCCGCAAAGCCGAAGAAGGGGTCTGCCTCGTACATCCAGCCCTTGCCCTCCTTTTCGTTCTGTTTCTTGAGTTCTTGGAATGTTCCTTTCCACAAGTCCTTGTATACAGGAGGCAGCATCATGTGCATGTTCTTCGCACTGGCTACACGGAAAAGAGCGTATGCGGCAGCGAAGTTGCGCGCTTCGACGGCGGTTGGCTGATGGGCGGGTTCTTCGAGTTCGCCGGGGATCTTAATCGGCGGCAAAGTTGTGACTTCTTGCGTCTTGGGGTTCTTCTTTGACAGTACTACGGCGTATGCGAAATGTTTGTCGCCATCTCTGCGCTGTGAAGATCAGCGGTGAAGCCCATGTACTAAAGAGAGGGCGTCTTACTATCCTGTAGTCTGGCTTTCCCCACTGTTGCTTCTGGAGGTACTCCGAGAACAGAGTGGTCGGTAGCTTGCCCGTCCACGATGCTCCTGCGATCAAAGTCCTGGTACTAGGCTTCCTGGGTCCATCCTCGGGCTGTCCAGCAGGACCCTTGCCCTTGGTCTTATCGTCACCCTGAGCGTCTGAGCTCTCGCCCTTCTTCTTCTTTGGCTTGCCATCACCAAAAACGATGAAGCTCGTGTCCTCTGGCGGCGGAGCCTTCTTCGCCGGCTTGCCACGTGGTGGGTGCGCGTTCTTCGGCATGCTTGCAGCTCTAGTGTTACTCTGTAACGATACTTCCAAGCTCCATAGGCAACAAGTGAGCCAGATGAGGAGGGAGTTGTAAGGCGAGGGTTCTTGCAGAATGTAGAGGCCCACGCTAACAACGAAGGGCTCACCCGTTCGATATGGAGGTTGAGGTCTCGCTGGAATCGCCCTTCGCTCCAAGAGAACAGTTGTTTGGTCGTGTAGCCATCCTTGCGCATCCAGCAGACACGGAGGGGCGGTCTCATTGAATCTAAAATTCTAAGCTAAGTTAGCGGGACCCTTGCCGCGGCTAGACTTGCCCAACGTCATCGTGGATCTTGCACTCATCAGGCAGTTACAGTTGTCAAGTCGGTGGTCAGTGAAACCATGTATACTGTTGGATACAGAAAGGCCGCTGAAACGTGAAGTGAATGCTCAGGACATTGAGAACTACGTCACGGCTGTTGCGATCTGCAAAGCCTCGACAGTCCAACAGCCAACGCCCGTTCCTGAACAGCAACACCATGGCGGATGCTACCAAGAATAACAGCAGGACTAGGAAAGAGCAACGCCAAGACCCAATCGTTGCCGAAGAGATAGACGGAATGTCGAAGCCCCAGGCTTCCAACACAACGACTGCATCGAAACGAACGAATGCATGTAAGCTCAAGAAGCAACGCTCAACACCTCGACCCAGCTCACAACGCAGTCGCAGAACTCATGTCAGCGAAGAAGCCGAAACCCGGCCTAGTATCTGCTGAAGCCCCAGTGAAACCTCTCAAGTGGGACTTGGACGCCCGCAACGGTCTAGGTCTGTACATCGAGCACCCAGAAAAGAACCCTGAAGGCCTCGTCGTAGAATACGACGACGACTTCGTAGTCATTAACGACAAATTCCCGAAAGCAAGGTACCTTTTCACCACTCTTTGCTCAAAAACCACCAGTACTGACGCCGCCAATAGTGTACATCTCCTCCTCATCCCTCGCAAATCGGAATACTACGAACAACACCCTCTCTGCCTCCTCTCCACCGACTCCGCCTTTCGAGCAGAAGTACAAACTCGCGTAATTCGCCTCAAGCAACTTGCAGCGAGCGAACTCCGGCGCAAATACGGCCGACATAGCGCCTCGGACCTCTCCTACCAGACCGCGCTCTCAGACCTGATGAACTCAGCCGACCCCCCACCACCAGACCAGCGCGACGCCGTCCTCCCTCCAGGCCGCGACTGGCTGTCCGAGATCAAAGCAGGCGTGCACACGCATCCGAGCATGAATCACATGCATATCCACGTCATGTCACAGGAAATGCATTCACCGTGTTTGAAGCACAAGAAGCACTACTTGAGTTTCAATTCGAGCTTCTTTGTGAGCGTGGAGGAATTTCCGCTGCAGGGGGGGAGTGAGAGATACAAGCCGGGGACTTGGCCGGTATGGGATATGAAGTGTTGGCGCTGTGGGGAGAATTATCAGAACAAATTTGCGAAGCTCAAGGCGCATTTGGGAGAGGAGTTTGAGGCATGGAAGAAGGAGTAAAGAGCTGGACCTAGAATTGGGAGAGGTGCGTGATGTGATACCCGACAAGGTCTTTTGATGGCGGTGCTAGTATACAAAACCAGCCAACTTTCGCTGTCGTAACATTTACATTATCTCGCCATCATGTGATGCTGGCCAATGACGCCTTGTGGGCGACCTGGTGCAGTCCTGGATGTGTGGGCTTTCAACTATCTCTTGCCCTATTGAAGCCCACGCACCGCCGCGGTGGTCTCCCAATAGGCCTCTTCATTATCGTAGCAAGAACTGCAAAAGCCACATCGCGCATTCAAAACTCTTTACGCCAACGTCTAAGCAGCCCTTGTAGGCTTGACCTTGGGGGTACCGCTGCGAACGCGCTTGGCCTCCGGGCGCTGCAGGTGAGAGGCAGGGATCCAGCTCTCGTCGTACTTAGCGCTGGAAGTGACGGCAGGGCCATCAGCACCAACAACAGCAACCTGCTCAGAGGGGTCGACCTTCTTGGAGCCCTGGGAAGACTTCTTGGCGCGCTCACCACCCTTGCCGCGACCCTTCTTTTGGGGGAAGAAAGTGGTGATCCAGGTGTTGTAGATGAAGTAGACGGTTCCAGCAAAGGCACCAAGGAGGACGAGGTAGAGGAAAATGCTGGTGTAACAAATTAGCCTCTGGCTACTAGGATAGTTGATCGCACGCGGCACATGGTAGACTTACATCTGGGGGTCGAAGAGGCTGGTGGGTCTCTCGACGATAGAAACGGTCTCGTTGTAGGCGGCGACGGTGAAGACGGCGTTCTCAGAGTTCCTCATGACGGCGACGAGCTGGAGACGGAGATCCTGGGGGTGGAGATCGGTGGAGAAGGTGTAGGGCACAGTCTCCTCAGCACCGGCGGGGATCTCAATCGAGTACTTTTGCGCGGTAAGGTTGCGCATGACCTGGGGCTGACCATTGACCTCCTGAAGGAGCGAGCCACCAACGACGCTCACGCCGATGGGCTTAGGCTCGTTGTTGGAGATGGACAGACGCGCCTCGGTAGCATGGCCGTTGATCAGCTTGACGCCAAAGACCTCAGACTGAGGGAAGGAGGTCGAGATCTTGACGTTCAACTTCGGTGTCTGGGCTTCGGGAACTTCCTTTACGTTTTCAACCTGAGCACGCGGGGGTCAGTGAATTGATGTCATGCACGCGTAACTCGTGCGGGAACTCACCTCGATCGCGAAGGCATTGAGCGCCCTCAACGAGAGCAGGAGCAGAGATGAGAGCTTCCAGGCAACCATGATGGATGCAGCGAACAGTCGACGAGATGAATGCGCAGGGGAGAAGAGGGTGGAGGGGAGCACACCAATTTGAACGTGGCTTCTAAGAACGTCAGAGCGCAGCTTCCCACCTTGGCGACGACCAGGATCTTGTCGGTAGAAGCGAACATCTTCCCCACAGCTGGTGGCGGGGCCAATGAGCGCTCAGCTCTAGCGCGCAACCAACGCGCGACTGCTCGTCGCCATTCTTGTGTACCGTGAACTGCATCCTGCCTACTGTTGACAGGTTGCGAACCAGGAGCGTTATCATCGCCCCGCGGCATGCTGCAGGCAGCTGCCCATCTGTTTGCTGTGAACCGACCTCACCGCCAGATCAGAAGCCCACGTGTGCTTCCATAGCCGTATCGTTGTGATGGCAGACCCTTTGAACGGCCACTAATTAAAATTGCGAGCTCACATTCACCTCTACAGATGACTGTTTCCTGGTTTCAGTTTCAGGAAACTGTTACTTGGTTCCCGTCTTCCGTCTTCCTCTAACCGACTCCTGTCCTCTATCACCTCAATTCTGGAAACTGCCTTCGCGGCGTGATATAAGTACGCGCACTTTCCCACCCTTCTACCCACCCACCACCTCCCCCACTATACCCACAACCTCAACCACATCGTTTCGATTGCCCGACGGATCTCAAATCGTTTTTAGTCACCTTGAACATGGCACCAGCGCCCTTTCTTCCTGGCCTTGGCTACGCCGGTAGCCCTGCGCCAGCTTCCAGTGGCGTGGCTAGCCCGAGCAACGCAGACCCTGAGCAGGCTACATTGTATCAGCGCTACGAGCTGCTACAGCAGTACGACAAGGAAAAGACCGACTTCATCAGTGTCAGTGTGACTGGAGAATTGCTTGATCTACGACTGACTGCAACAGGAGCTACTTACGCGCTATGAGTACTTGAGCCAGCAATACCAAACTCTTGCCTCGCAGAGTCAGCAGGATGTTCAAGGCGAAGCCGCGTGGACAGTCGAGAAGCCTATGTACGAGAGGTATTTGCAACAGTATCAGCGCGCTCTCGTAAGCTCGAATCTAATCACAGTGAACATGGGTAATTTTGCTGACCTTGGTAGTCTGAGAACCCTTTCGTCATGGTATTGATTGATGGCGACGGCATGATTGTGAGCAATACCTCCCTCTATAGGGCTGTATGACTCTGACGCCCCTAGTTTCTCAGCGAGAACATTCGCGATGGAGAAGCGGGAGGTCGACGCGCTGCATCACAACTGGACATTGCAGTGCGCAACTGGATCGAGAACGAAGCCAAAGAGGTGCCTCTCACCTCCCGTGTCATTTGTCGAATCTATGCGAACGTTCGAGGCCTCGGAGACGTGCTGGTGAGGATGGGTGGGATCGCAGCAATCGAGGACTTTGAGGACTTTGTGCGAGGTTTCACTCGAGCGAAAACTTTGTTCGACTTCATCGACGTCGGTGCCGGGAAAGATCGCGCGGACGAGAAGATCATTGGTGGGTGCCAGCGACATGCAGAGCTCGACAGCACAATAACGTGGATGACAGAAAACTTCAAGGTCTTTTCACAAGACTATCACTGCCGCAAGCTACTATTCGGCTGCTCGCACGACAACGGATATGCACGGGTACTGGAAGAGTGCTCAGACAAACCGGAGATTGTCAGCAAGGTCATCTTGCTCGAAGGTGTGCCTTTCGAGAAAGAATTGCTGCCGCTCCCGTACGGTACGAAAAAGTTTCCGAGCATATTTCGAGACTCCAAGCTTGTGGCATTGGGCGCCAATGCTCCTGCTCCTGGTTGGCCGCGCCAGCCATCCGGTATAAGCACTTCAGCTGCAGCTTCGAAAGTCTACGACGTGTCAACTGGACTTCCCGGTCGCTTCCCGGCGCCGTCGGCTCAAGTTATGGATAGTCCTGTTCCAGCCAGGGCGACTTTGAGCTTGCCACGCACACCCCCATCGTCCACAATAGCGTTTAACGGATTTGTAACTACCTTTAGGCCTCGTCCGGCTATCAACAGCTGGGCGGCCAAGGCTGCTGCTCCTCCGCCTTCAGCGCCTGTTTCACCGGCGTATGAGCCGGCTGACCGTAACGAGGTCATTGCCCGCAATCGAGCTGGACAGCGCATCGATCCACCATGCAAGGATTACGACAAGGTCAAAGTAGATCGCATCAAGAAGCTCAAGCTGTGCAACGTTCACTTTTTGCGCCAGGAGTGCCCTTACAACATGCAGTGCACTCACAAGCACACTTATCAGCCAAGCCGCAGCGAGATCGCCACCCTACGTCTGGTTGCGCGCATGTCGCCTTGTTCGATGGGCAGTGCTTGCCAGGATATCAAGTGCATCTTTGGCCATCGGTGCCCTGCTCCGGCCAGCAACAAGAGGGTACCCAAGGGGACCAAGTCTTGCATTTTCACGGAATCTTGCAAGTTTCCGATTGAGCTACACGACATTGACATCAATGTCGTCAAGACGCTGGTGATTCGCTAAGATAATGGTGAAGTAGCGGGGCATATGAACACGCTGAGCGGTGTTTGGACTCTGTGTCGATAAGTCTTCCACATTATGCTCATACCTACATTCACATGTTTTGTAGGCGTAAGGATGCTCAATGTGGATCAGAAGTGAAACCCTTCCCCTACTCTACGTTCACGTTGCGTACAGGTACTGCCAACATCCAAGGTCTTGGGAACCAGGATGGCTCATGCATTCATGAGCTACCCGTTGCTGGCCTCTTCGAGCTCTCGAATACAGCTCGTACTACTCAGACTTCTCTGGCATTGTACAAGCTCTGTTCGTTTCTATTTCGTGATCTTCTTTCAGGACAAGCGTATTAATGGTAATTACTCGCAACCCTGCGATTGCGGCGGCTTGAAGCGTCCAGGTCGATGAGTTCAAGTAATAGAATGCGGTGAGGGGGGCCGCGTTGGGTGTCATGAAGGAGACTGAGAAAGCATCGAGGTGTGGGGAAACTGAAGAGCGCGGCCGTAAGCCTAAAAAATAAGGGGTATACACATAATAATCTAACTTCAAGCCTAGAAGAGTCCTTACGTGCTGATTGTTCTTTTTTGATCATTCTATCGTGGACGATTTGCAGATACTTGGTCAAGCTGGAGCAATCCTGGATGCATCCAGCCGCACTACTTAAGGTGATTAAAAGTCCGAACAGACACATTCCTAGGTACCTGTTCAGTAAACTAACTCTCAATCATGTCTTTATTCTCATTGCAGGGATTCATAGCGCCGGAATTGATTCAAGTCCCATTGTCTTATCTACTAGCGTCACAAAAAGCTGGTTTGATGCAATGCCTCTACTCGGCACATTGTGGCGTATTGAATGCACTGCCCTCAAAGCGTGAGAGTCACATAGGCAGCCGTTATGTGGCGTTGCGCATGCCGCAACCCTCAGCCTGATCAGCTTTCAATTTCTTACCGTTCATTAACCTTGACTTCCTTAGTAGATCTGTATGTCATTTAGGAAAGCAAGGTGAGGATTCTTATAGCCAGATGTGGGATCATTTTCTGAAGGAGCACATGCTGAATGCAAGAGACTACGAGGATACTCAGTCGAGTCATCTGTCCCTGCACAATCTCTTCGAGCAAACGATTGTACATTTTCCTACACGCATGCATCAAGCGAATGGATACTTTGCACAGCCCATGGATCAGAGCGCCGTGGGGTTCGTTGAGCCGCAACAGAAAGAGACTACCTTGGCTACTTCACAGACTTCGGCACATGTTCCGACCACTCATCACAATATGGCCAACAAATCGGGGTCTGCATGTAGCATGGGCGAAAACCCAACACACAATCTGGCCACAATACCTGTCACAGCTTCTGTAGGTCTTCCAATCGAAGGGGAAATTCTTACCGGAAGGCTGGAAATGGGATGTGCGATTCCACCCACACAGCAAAGTATCGGGAAGCTGGACCTGCCGGCCGCTCGATGATAACGAACCTCCGTCCTTCCCACTCACGATTACCGGTGCCCCCGCAGTGCTACCGGTCGACTACCGATGGCCACCAAAAGGCGGTGTTAACCCGCCTTCGGACCCGAGGTCATCCAATCCAATCGATTGTCGTGCAGAGATCTCTGTAGACATCGTGCAGGATATCCTCCTCACCTTTGAAGGCTGCGTTGGCTTCTATCTACTTATCAACGGACCACTGCAGATCATAGTACCGGAGGAATTTGACACTGCGGTAAGCTTCGCATATACCCCACACGTACGGAGGACTGAAGGTCTGCTACATAAACTAGATTCCGAAGCCAAAGATTTTCCGACGAGGACACAGAGTCCGCAAACGAATCCTCCTATCAACGTGAGAAGTATGCTGACGCTTTCCATCAACGATGCTATCAGCGCTTCCGGTAAGAAGCAGAAGCGCAGGTTCGAGGGTAGGATTGGACCCAAAGTGGTCAAAGATGGTGACCCGTGCCTCGTTATGTCATTCCACGTAATCACCGGGGCGATATCAGCTAGGACGCTACCTATTAAATCTCTCGATCCTCGCCTCGAGAGACCGAAAGACAGCTGGAAGGAACAGGTTGAAATAATCGCACTGGGGACGTCAAGGTAAGTGCGCTGTGGAGAGGTCACTGAAGGATGGTCCTGACCTGCTCTACAGATTAGTACGATAGAGAAGACGTACGATGAAGCAGCTCAATTTTATCCGGACGGGTTTCCACATGACATCATCCTGATCAAGCTACTAGGTTCAACAGCGTCCCAACGAGATGCTAAAACAACGAGGTGCTGGCATGACTCAGACACAGTCATCGCGGGTGAAAGTATCCTCTTAAACATGTGGGTCACTGGATCGAAGCCGTTGAGAGATCTCGACAGGTCCGTTTGGAAGAGGCTGGTCTCACGAGCTGTCCTGTACCGTTTTAGTCTAGATTTTGACCTGCCGACTGGGAACAGTGGTATAGCGTTGTATGCGAATGGCACTTGGGAAGATATTACTCATGGAAGTGGAGTACTTGGGTTTCAGAGCTTAGTACAGCGAAGCAAACTTTCGTAACTTCGAAGTGGAGGGAGATGCACTGGAGAAGAGATTAAAGACAGGTAGGATCGGGTTCTACAGTGCATTTCAGATACCAGATGAGCTATGGGAGTAGTACAGTATTGCTTGTTGAGTGTGTATTAGAAGATGCGGCTTCCGCCGCTTTCATTCATTTGAATGATCCGGCCACTTGCGCGCAACCCAACGCAACCTGCACCACCGTGAGGAAGACGACAACGGTTGAAAAACAGCGTAAATGTTAGGTACTTTGTCGCAGCCATGATTGTTAACTCACAGAAAAGTCCAGAATTGAAATCATCTTTGCGATCGCGAAAGAGAACCCAGAAGCTCCAAGGCCTCGAGGTCTGGAGATGTTGATCAAGACGAAACAGCAATGTTCTTGAGCGCCAATCGCAAAGTCGATGTTTGAAGCAGAAAGTTCACGAGTCCGAGAGCGAGAAGTGCCCAGCTGTCACACTCGCTAAAGTCGTTGCCTCACCTAAACCAGCCGTTGAGAGCTAGCGCGTCTCGCGTAGGTATACGTACTCGGCTATCTTCCATATACGACAAGTGCTACAACTTTCCTTCTTACGTTGCACCTAAGCTACCAACCGGATCTGCGCCCCGAACTACCGCGTCAGCAAGCAACATCTGTGCCTTCACTGGCTGCATGGAGGTGTGTATCAGAAGCTTTTAGGCGCTAGATCGATCCGCCGAATCGACAGTATCTTGTCTGACAAGGTGTGGCTGCCGCAGTGCTCAACGTGCATGCTTCTACGATGTCAGGAAAACAAAGCTTGCAACTTTATGCCGATGGTTAGTTTGGTTTCCATGGTTTTTGGGCTGGTAGTATTACGCGTACAGTGTACGGACCGGTGTGGTAGGTTTCTGTGTACAGCCAACTGAGGTTAAGATGATTTAAAAAGGCGTTGTTTTCTCTCATGTTCGACATACGTCCACCTCAGATCCATTATCCGTCCTACATCCTCCGTTCTACACATTTTTTTTACATCAGTCTTCATTCACAGCCTCTTCACCCACGCTATGAAGCAAAACGTTATCCTCCTGGCAGCAACCGCCTCACTTGCGTCTGGTAAGCCTCAATATGACACGCCAAGCCCACACGAATGGATCCCTGGTGGTCATAACGACTGTTAGTCTTCTCGAAATACCACTTACGCGTGACCGTCACTAACTACCCCCAGTCCGCGGGCCCTGCCCCATGCTCAATTCCCTGACAAACCACGGCTTCCTCCCCCGTGATGGCCGTAACTTCACCAAAACCAACGTCGTGAAAGGCCTCGGCGACGGCCTGAACTTCGACGCCACCCTCGCAGGCATAATGTGGGAGCAAGCCATCATCGCCAACCCCGAGCCAAACGCGACTTTCTTCACACTCGAGCAGCTGAACGTGCATAACCTGCTCGAACACGATGCCAGTCTATCTCGTACTGATGCGGCATTTGGAAACAACCATGTCTTCAATCAGACGATTTTTGATACGAGTAAGGCGTGGTGGACGGATGAGACGGTTACCGCGAAACAGTTGGCGCATAGCAAGATCTTTAGGCAGTTGGTGAGCAGAGCGGAGAATGAGAACTACACGTTCACTGCGTCGACGGAGGAGTTTAGTTTGGGGGAGGTTGCGGCGCCAATCATTGCGTTTGGAGATACCAATATTGGTACGGTACCGAGGGACTTAGTTGTGTACTTCTTTGGTAAGCTTCTGACGTAGTAGTCTTCCATGGTGTTGATTGATCTTGCTAACGTTTGAACAGAATACGAGCGCCTGCCTACAGAGCTGGGTTGGTCAAAGAAGAACATGTCGATCACACTGGAGACTATCCTGGGCACAACGGCTATAATCCGTAATGCTACAGGTCTATTGGCTGGTGGTGCGGCTGCACCCGCAGACCCGCACAAGCGGAGGGGTTTACACAGTGGTCTCTTTTGAGTGTGGCAGTGGCTTCACCCAACATCTGAAACAAGCACTCACTTCGCGTAGCAATGCGATCCATGGTATTAGAGTTCCGCAGAAATGTTCTCATTGATCAGAATGCTCTGGGCATCTGTCTGCCTCTTTCCGCGAACGACATTCAAACTTTTGGACCTTCAGACAAGCCCATGCCCGGTTAGGGCATCGCAAGCTGGCACATAGAGCAAGCATACTCCTACAACTGAGTCGCATGATACCGATTGAACTGCACATGGATGTCGCGGATCCGCACCGCCTCGCATCGTGGACGATCTGCGCCGGACCTAGCATCCGCTTGTGTTAAAGACCGGGTATCATCTGAAAATTCAAGAAAGTGGACGCGTGATGCCTACGGATTGTCAGCATTTATTGCATGGCAGGAGACATTGGTCATGCATACCTCATCTTCTTGAGTTTGCCTGAGTTGTAGTGTTCGGTCTTTGCGCGGCGTTTTGCGATACTGAAGGTGATGTGGTGGTCGCGTGAGAGCTAAATCTCGGTGTGGGTGGGCTCGATGACAGAGGTGATCTTATCGAGCTTATCGATAATGCCGCAGGTCTTGAAGATGCAGCCTTGAGGAAGACGCGCGCAGGCGGGAATTGGCTGACTGGAGGCATTGTGAGGTTTTTGTGTTGTGATATGGTGCTAGCTCGGCAGTGTGGATGTCCAGAACCCGCGATGAGTCAATTGACTGTGCTTCAGGAATATTGAAGGCTCGAAGTAATGGAGTTATTTGGTTGCGTTTACCAAGGAACAACTAGACCCGGGAGCTGTTGATCTTATACAGCCTTGAAGAGTCACAAGCAAGTTACCGAGGCGGGGAGTCACACCTGTAACGTTGCCGTTTCGGGCAATCAGGCGATGCTATGGCGAGGTCATGTCCAACTCGCGGAAAAGTCTCCGGACCTAGCCGGCGACTTGTTTTCGTCGACATCGAGGATCAAATCCAGTTGCGCGACTTGATCGCATCGAGTCGAGATAAGCCTCCGTTGCTCCGAGGGAGTTGATGATGGGTGCACTGCACAGAGTACAGATTCCGTCGTGCCTCAGGCTGCACGCCTCATCGTCAATGCATGTATCTGACTAAGCAGTTAAGGCATAGAGCTGCGTGGGTACCTGGACGTTTGGTGTTGTACATGTTTGACGGGCGCTCCACAGCGGCCATGGCGCTTCTGGGTGGGGGGTGGGTGTGGGGTGGTTTGCGCAAGCTTCAAGGCTGAGATCGGCAAGGATCTGATCTCATGAAAACTTTGCCGAGGTCTCCAAATCCGGCAAGCTTGTGAGTTTACCGTAGTCATCACGAGCGCTTTTGCGCAGCACCGCAAAAAACACACGGCAGTCACTTGCATTTACAGCTCACTCAACGCGCTCTACGCGCTGGAAGTTCAATTGCCTTGAGGCGTGTATGCTATTGTGGGCGGCGCCTGCCACGAGTCGACTGACAGGCTGCGTGGGGGCTGTCGCAGTCTCAATCCCCAAAGTCGCGACACCAGAAAGCCGTCAACGGTCTCAGAAACGCGTCTCGGCTTGCTCGCCGCATCTGCCAAGCAGCTTCAGGTCTTCGTTTCAATACAAGCCTTGCGCCACAGGTGATCGAAACTCGTGGTCGTTCATGCATGTCTTTGCGGGTGTCTGCTGTTCAGGCTATAGAGCCTCACAGCTTGGCTTTCACATGTTAATCTACTGTCGAGGAACCTACCGGTACTGTATGGATTGAGAGAGGTGATGTTTGGCTAGGCACAGAATTTGAAGAGGAGCGTACTGCAAGTGCTTTCGTGCAAGCCTGACATTGTTTGGCAATCAGTGCATGTTCAAAGCAGAGTTGCAGCCTAGGTAAAGTAGCTGCGGCGTGTAGCCCAGCCTTCGTACCTAGCTGTTTAGGAAGAGAACCCAATTCTTTACCCCAGCCTTCTGACCAGCCCACTAGCCCAGGACTTCAGACCTGAGGCCTGTCGTGCCGCGACTATCCATCAGTCATCAATTGCAATGGACGATCGTGTTTGCGAGAACGTAGCTGGCCATGGAACGCTGAGCCTGTACCCACCAGGGCCAGGCTGCCTGCCAATACTATTCGGTCGCTCTCAGTCTTACCGTCGGGGGAGATTGAAAGTGTTATCGATCACAACAGAAGTTTACGTTAATCTGACACTGTTGCACTGCCACGAAAGCAGCATTTTGGAGTTGCACACAGGTGCAAAGAATCGTTTGAATTGCATCCAGATATTCAAATTGCGGCGAATGCCATTACTCAGATCTGCATTCGTATCTTGCAGCCCACTTTCCAACCGGTAGCCCACCAAGCGTCACTGGTCCGGCATCAGCAGCCAGCACCACTACCAAGACATCCTCATCATTGCCATTCTGCTCCTCTAGCAACACCTGACCAACACACCCCACTGCTGGCAGCTTCACCTCGCCACTCGTACCCTGTGGCGCCCCAAACTCCATCGTCCAAGTACCGTCATTACTGATCTGCGTCTTCGCCGAGAAAAAACCAACATTTGTGCTGAAACTGGCCTCTGCGATCTTTAGTTCACCAAGCGAAGGAGTACCGGTAACGCGCCACGTCTTGTTACCAGCGCTAAGAAGCTGAATACCAGCAACATAAAACGTCAGTGACGAATTTGGTCTTGTCGCCCAGCCATGCGCATGTGAATTCCTCGCATTGTTGAGATATGGTGCGTAGTGTAGCTCCCCAGTCGTCGAGTACCCCTCAATGAATGTCGAGTTTGTCATACGCGGATCGTCGAGCATGAAGCCCCACTGCAACCTCATAAAGCCAAGAGCGGCGGTTGTATTCTCGGCGAGAAAGTGAGTTTGTAACTCAAGGCCGGAGATGAAGGGTGAGATGGCGTCCGCGGCTTCGAGCGCAGGTGCGCCATAGGGTGTCCATCGGCTTGCTAGGGCAGCGGAGATGCGCTGGACTTGTGTCGAGTTGACGGTCAGGTTTGCAACAACGGCCCAGGAATTACCGTCTTGAGGCATGAGGGCGATGGTTTCGTTATCGATGTACATGCCAGCCTCTTCATTCCATAAGAGTTCGTTGGCGGAGGCCCTGATCCGCTCAGCGATGATAGTCCAATTCGAGGTTGACGAAGTGTCATTCAAGGCTACAGCGAGCTCGATACCATGGGTGTTGATGTAGTAAAGAATTGCGTTTTCTTCAATGTTGTGTCCGCCCATGCTGAAGCACAGCCAGTCAGCCGAAGATGTGGCGTTCATGAGTCCAGAAGAGTCAACGCAACTCAAGGACCAGTAAAGGGCGAGCTACCATTTATCCCACAAAGACTGAAGATAGGCAATATAGCCAGTGTAGAGATAGTGGTCAGCAACACCGATCAAGGTGTATAGATGGTACGTGAACGACACAACGCTCGGGAATGGTCGTCCAGCGTATGGGAGAAGCCCACCTGTACCCTGGATATCAAAAAGAGAGTTCAGGGAGTTCTCAATCGAGATCACATCGTTGGTAGAAACAACAATGCCTGGTACAGCGATCGCCATGTCTGACTTTAGGTTAGCTTGTATTCAGGTTGTCTCCATGCAAGGTCAGAGCTTACCACCCGCCCACACGAGCCTGTCTGGCTTAGCGCCGTCGACTAATGAAGAAGTGCCGTTCGTGATCGTCGTGTTGTAATACCATGTGACGTTGGTGGCATCAGAGACTGATGAGTTGATTTTTCGAATGTGAACTAACGCATCGCCGTGAGTAGGATCAATGGTGCATAGTTGGTTTGTGTATGCACCAGCGTACCAGACACGATCCAGCAACTCATCTGCAGCTCATCAGCAAACATGCCAATGTGCGACTGATTATTCACATACCATCGTAGTGGAAGTATCCCGTGTAGTTTGCAATTGCATCGTCCTCCCAATGTGGCATCGCAGTGTAGTGCACTTCGGCGCTCGTGACTTCGACCGTGCCAGTCGAGTTGTGCACTAACGTCATGTATCGAAAACCACCCCTCTCCTTCTCAGGCGGCGCAGTGTAGCGTCGCGGTGCGGCGACGTGAAACCATAGTGTCTCGTCTTTATCAGCATCGGCAGTCGCATCATAAGACGCGTTGGAGACCCAGTATGAGCTTTCCGAAAACGTGACGCCGATATACTGCGACAAGTCTGAGACCGAAGCGATGCTTAATGATACAACGCCGGCAATATTGATGCCAAAGTCATAGGAAGTAGCTGCGTTGCCGTCGAAGATCGAGCTGCCAGTCGAGCTCGTCAGGCTCTCGGGGTTACTGACAGAGCCATTGGTGTTGTGCATGACCACAGGATGAAGTGTTCGCGATCTTGGTGCCAGGATGTACTCGTCGTACGGCATGGCAATGGCACGCGCAATCAGCGCCGCCTTGGATAAAATCAAAAGTAACTTCATCTCGCGATGGTGAGTCGAAGTCTACAGAGCCGGCTGAACCCGCTTGCCTGTGCTATATAGCCGACCTGTCTTGGAGGCTCGTGCAGCGCGTTGCCGTCAGGAAAAAACGCGCAATGCTGTCGGATAAGCAAAGACCGAAATGACGTTGTAGAGAGCTTCCTAAGGCAATGTTGATCTCAAGATGGTGGGGAAGCGGGAAACCTGAAGTACCGGTCGCTGTGATCGGACAAGGCCTTGCAGCCTTGCAGAATCTACAACGAGGTTCCCATTGTCTCTGTCGGATCGTTCGAACAACAGCCAAGCATTGTAGCGAGTACGATCAATCATAACTTTGGTGTTGCTCGTAGCAAGACTAACAGCAAGGCCCGCATGGCAAGGTACTTCGTAAACGACGATGGCAACCAGTTTTAAGATAAGATTGTTGCATTTAGTCTTTCAGGTGGTCCAGCAAGCGGTAATGACGGTACAAACTTCGTCCGTTTTCTTCCAGTACTGTCCGTGATTTCTGCGCCATAAGTATCGCAACGTTGGTGGTGAACCGGCCCAACGTGATCGCGCCACCATATTCGTTCTGTACAGAAGGCGCGGTAGCCACTGTCCCTATCGTCCTCATCGTCATTCTCGTATTCGCGGTTTTTCTCGTTGACACACTTTCGTGTATACCCCTCAATGGAGCTGATTGGTGAGTCGCGAGCGACTCATTGGCAAAGGAGGACCCAAGAACGTAATGATGGCGGTCCCGTAGGTCTTCCTGGTATGATGTTGATGTTGCTCAGCGCACCGAGAACATTCCTCCAGGTGGTATAATACATCTTGACGACTCAGGTGGTGCAGGTCAAGATCTTCTGATATCGATGTCTCCTGGGAATGCATTAGCACAATGTGGGGTATCTGGACGTGATGAGTGGAGATGAAAGAAGTAGGCGGTCCGTGAGTGACGCTACCGGTAAATTTGGCGCGCCTTTGCACCTTTCCGTGGCCATCCACCGCCCACTAACAGCAACAACAATGACCTCGAACAAAATTCAATTCCTCCACTACCGCGACATGTAAACGAAAAACATTCAAAAGTACTAAAATGATGGAAGAGATGCACGATCGCCTGGTTGAAAAGGTGCAGACCTTGAGCGACCTCGAAATTGCCGTTCTTATCTGCCTCGTCGCTGAGCAGCACTGCATCTTTGAGACTGAGGCGCAGCTGCTTGACACTGTAGAGTCAGAACTGAAGCTAGTGAGAAAATGTTAGATTCTCGATTTCACGAGCACTAAATTCAGCCAGGTGGCCACGCATGTGTTTGGTCTCACATGGGCGGTGCTTGAATGCAACGAGCAGACCACACTTGATCACTTCGGCTGCGGCATCCTCGCCAAGAATGAGACGAGCGACGATTATTTCAACAGCAAAAGTGAAGCAAGCAACGTAAAGGCGCGTTCGGCCTCTACTACGCCAAGACGCTCTGTGACTGACTTCCTCTACAGTTCGCGTCACTCTCAGGATCACCAAAGCGGCCTGATCGCCGCGCATCGAAAACACCCAATGCTTTCACGCAGCTCGACAGCGGAAGGATTGCAAACATCGTGATCGCGAAAAATCTGGATCGTGCGAACAGTCAAGTCCAGACCCAGGCTCTCGAGGTACGTACATCAGTACTCAGCCACGGTATTGACTGACTCCAGTCAGCTCATGAGAGGCAAACGAAACTTCACCAGGACGGCTGTGTATGCTGCTCCCCGCCCCTTCTTGCTCGTTGCGCTGAATGAGCTTAACACTACGCGCTTGAGTATGCACCTAGTACGATTACCTGAAGTTTGCCCATATATCCAGTACTAACAATTATTGCAGAACGATCAATTCTTCATGTCGCACAAACACAACTTCGAAGACAGTCTACCGAATCTGGAAGAGCAACACCAGAAAGCACAAGTCCTTGACGATGATCAATCGACCTCGTCTGTCATTCGTACGCCCCCGTTCGTATCGGCAAAGAGTGCGTCTTTGGCAGCTTTATTTTCAGCAGAGGTGCGCGTCCGGCTTCGATTGTGGATCGTTTACTCATACTAGCAGGACCTTGCAACGTTCAATGCTCGAATGGCAAAAGTCAAGATTAGCTCTGAGGTTCGTGCGTACCTGCATAACATAGTGGTCTTCATGAGGCTTCATCGAGCTGTCGCCGGTGGTATCTCAGCACTGTCCACGAGGCACTTCAGCACCCTAGCATAGTGAGTGGCACCACGCTATGTGCCCATCGTTGCTGACACACCCAGTGCGCTTGCACCACTTCATGGTCTCGATTACATCTCTCCGTCGACGGTCGCGCTTGCGGCCCGCAAGATCTATCCCCATCGAATCGTCATTATAGCACCAGAGAACGAGCGTAGTTTGCAATGGGGTAGCTCTCTGGAAGCCGTGAAGGCTGTGCTTGATGGTGTTACTGCGGACGATGTCGTGGAAGAAGTGCTGCAGTCTGTTGAAGTGCCGCTATGATTTGCTGCTTTCTAAGCGTTCGACGAGAGATTCGTACGCCTTACGCAGTGGATGAATGAGCATGACATGCTTGTTGCGGATACAACGATAAACGATAAGCGGGGCAGCCACGTCCGGGCGATGCCCCGCGCCAGGAACGGGTCGCGCCAGTGCTTGGGCCTTTGGTCTTGGGCCTTGGGCCTCGAACTTTGCGCTCATCCCTCAACCACACAAACCGCAACACCAGCCTCGCGGCCTTTCAATTGCTCTCGTCATTTTCCTATGCTGCAGTCATGGCGAAAGACTGCTTCGTGCCGAACGCGCTAGCTGCGACGGACTCTGCTGCGATGTTCGTCAATGAGGTATTTGGAGCAACGTCATCACCACGCGGTCGAGGCTAACTTCCACTCTGAGAATGAAATAGGCGACCAGGATACCAAGAGGTCCAACAGCATAAATAGCCACGACGAAGCGCTCGAGGTACCCTACTCCACACCATACCCCGCAGCAATGGCCAATTGAGTGCTTCAGGTCATATTCGAAGGCGGCAGTATTCATAGGCGCAAAGCCTCCTTAGCATCTGCGCTTCCGCACTCAAACTTCGGTAACATGAGTGCTCGGCCAGGTCACGACCGCCGCAACACATCGTGCATAGTCCACGAACTACTCGAGAAGCAAGATGGTGTACCATCTAGAGATCACGACCAGTCCTACGAAGGGCTTGCCCAAGAGCGCTTGATGGACAAAGACCCACATTCGCACGCGCAAGAGACACAACATTCGCGTTTGTTGACGAAAAAGCAAATATCGGACATGGCGTTTGGAATCCGAGAGCTATCGAAGAAGCTGGCACAGATCCGCCTGAAGCTGCACGTCAAAAACATCTTCATCCTTGGAAAGGCACACGACGAAAGTCTGATCAAGAACACGAGGGAAACAACTGATTGGCTTTTGACAAAGGACCCTAGGTACAAGGTGTACGTCGAGCATACTCTGGAGGACAACAAGATCTTTGATAAAGAAAGATTACTCGAGAAGAACCCTTCGTACGATGGACGCCTAAAGTTTTGGACAAACGAGTTGTGTGAGCAGAAGCCACAGACTTTCGACATTGTCCTTGCAGTAAGTCACCTGAAACTCCTGTGTGAAACACGACTGACAGCGATAGCTTGGTGGTGATGGTACCGTTCTATACTCATCATGGCTATTCCAGCGCGTAGTCCCCCCTGTTCTTGCTTTCTCTCTCGGATCGCTCGGCTTCCTCACCAAATTTGATTACGAACTCTACCCACAAACTCTCTCTCGCGCATTCGAAGAGGGCATCACCGTAAACCTGCGCTTGCGTTTCGAGGCAACGGTTATGCGATCACAAACACGCGATAGCGAGGGCCAGCCAGACCTTGTGGAGCAGCTGATTGGGGAAGAAGCCGAGGATCATCACACACACAAGCCGGATGGCACCTACAATATCTTGAACGAGGTGGTGGTAGACCGTGGTCCAAACCCAACGATGTCGTCGATCGAGCTGTTTGGCGATGACGAGCATTTTACGACTGTGCAGGCAGACGGTATCTGCGTATCGACACCCACTGGCTCGACTGCATACAACCTAGCAGCAGGAGGCTCGCTCTGCCACCCAGACAACCCTGTGATTCTGGTCACAGCTATTTGTGCTCACACTCTGTCCTTCCGACCAATCATTTTGCCAGACACAATAGTACTGCGTTGTGGAGTGCCATATGATGCAAGGACAAGCTCGTGGGCAAGCTTTGATGGGAGAGAAAGAGTCGAGCTCAAGCCCGGGGACTACGTGACAATCAGCGCGAGCAGATTTCCGTTCCCGTGCGTGCTGCCTATGGACAGGAGGAAAACAGATTGGATCAACAGCATCTCGAGGACGCTGCAGTGGAATAGCCGGGATAAGCCCAAAGCCTTCAAGGAGTGGAAAGAGTAGAAGTCTATCAAAGGTCAATCACAGCGCGCCTATGACGCTAAATTTATCACAATGGATTTCGCTCCTCGGACGCCCCAATTCATCCAGCAAAACCGGGATACTCATTTTCACAGGTTTCTGGATTGGCGTATCCATGAACGACAGTTATATCTGCACGGCAACTGTCATCTTGCAATGCATGGGCCCAAAGCTCGCATGCGTGAGTGCCTGACTCAGCTGAAGGGAGGTACACTTGAGTTGGCATTGGCCAGATTGCACATATACCACATGGATTTGCAACGAACACGCTCGATCTGGGCTTCTCAGAGCGGAAATGTTTCTACCTATCTGAGCGTGGCCATATTGGTTGGCTCCGCGGCGCTAGGTTGGGGGATCTTGTCGAATGGAGGCAGACGCGAAATGATGCATACATCAAACATTGATTCTCTGGGCCCAAAAGTGGGACCACATTGCTCGATCTTAATCTAAGAGCAGTACTGCTTTCCTTGCTTCTCATCCAGGATCCCCAGATCAATGAAGCTCTCATAGTTCCAGTATTCGCTTGTTGTGCCCTCTCCCACCACACTCACATTCCCCCTGAACTTGGCAGTCCAGTACGCATTGCCCTGTGTATACTTGTTGTATGAATACAGCCCGGTGTTCACGTTCCTTGCGCGATTCGCAAGCTGGTTGTTTACACTTGTTTGGATCGACCACTCGCCTACGAAAACGGGAAACTTGCCATCACCTGTCAGCGTCTTCGCATCCGCGCACAGCAGAGATGTGAAATTGTCTGAGTTGTTGGGTCGTCCGAAATAGTAGTTGTGCACATCGAACGCAATGTTCTCGCTCTTGTCGAATTTGGGGGACCAGAACGGCTCACCCTTGAAACTGCCCTGTAGCAAGACGAGGATCTTGCAGTTGATGGACTTGACGTGCTCCAAAACGGCTTTGAAGTATTTGAGCACCCAGTCGGCGCCGGCATCGGAGTGAGCGGCGGGTTGGCCGAACTTGGAGAAGTCGGGGTTGTCGGCAGGTTCATTGATCGGAGCGAAGGAGTAGGATTGCGGTGAGCCTGAATTCTGGATGAAGCTCACGGCGGTGTCGACGACTTTGAGGGAGAGATCAAGATTCTTGGTGCTGTTGAACCAGTCCCAATGACCGACACGCTGGGAGGACGTTAGTGATTGTTGCAGAAGGTGACTGGGAGACAACTTACTTCACCAATATCTAAGCCATTGACACCACCCGGGAGCGAGTGCAGGTCAAGGGCGACGTGCATGCCATACGTCTTAATCGCGTAGTCTGCGACCTGCTTGAAGTATTTCTGTTGGTTGCCAGAGTGGTACCCAGCACCAGGGATTTTGACCCAAGCTGCATATGTAGTACCGGTAGGGATGCGGATGAGGTTCACATCACCAGATGCGAGCTTGTCATGTCCTTCGTAGTGATGTAAGTTGCATAGCGCTTCTCGAACACAGAGTCGCACAGATCGATACAGCAGTTCCACTCATCGACAGTACCTCTACAGTAGTTATCCCGCCAGTATGGATCAATGAGAATTTCCTGGGCCAGCCATCCTCCAAGGTTGACACCATTGGCATGGAACTTCCTCCAGTTGACATAGTCGCCCTTTCGAACCGAGGTCGTGTTGGCAAAAGCTGTGGAGGCGAGACTAAGGAGAGCAGCGCTGAGTATTAACTGTGCGACCATGATTGCGGCTGTAGATGCTGGAGTCCGTGATCGAACCAAAGGTGCTGCTGTGCCTGGATTTGTACATCTTGATCTGCAAAGTCACCGATAATTCCTATTGGTCAATTTTTTCCCATAAAGCTAGCAATGGCATTGGTGACCAGGGCACATAGGCATTACGGGGTTAAACATGGGGATCAGAGGATTTCCGCTCGCCAAGATGCAATTTCAAAAATTGTGTTGTCCTTGGGTCCGTCAGGCTTAGTGCGATTAGCGCATCTGATCGAGGGCCCCAGATTTCGGCTCCAGATTTGCGAGCCGGGCACGAGAAAATATCCAGGGATGTAGGCACGTATTTGTTCAGATGGCCGGTTGTGATGGTGCTTCGTGAAAACGGGATATCCGGATTGTACGAACCGTATTACCGCGGCGTACCCAGTTATTACACTCACCCAGTTATTACACCTTGGACGACACATCATAATTCTGCCGCCCATAACGTTGAGTTTCAACCAACAAGCAGCCGGCAACTCCTCCATACGAAGGCGGTGGCCGTGTCGGTGTAATGACTAAATATGTGTAAAACTGGGTACGCCACGGTACACCTGCCCTGGGCGATCGTCACCTCTGCCCCTACAGACGGTGGTCTAGCTCAGATATTTGTGGCAAGAGATTGTTTTGTACAATTGTACGCTGCTTTTACGCAATTTGCTACTCGACTCCACTGCGCGGTCAATTCTGGGTCTTACCTAGGGTAGAGCGGTCCAAGGGCATGCGAGACTCTCGTGCGTTTTTCGAGCCAGGACAAAACGGGACAGGTATGCCACAAGGATAATCTCTTCAGCCGCGCTTGCGAGTTTGCTCTCCATACGACTTCAACGGCTACACTCGTGCACTGCCATTCTCCTTTCCGGGAAGCATTACAGAGCCGCCGCAACGAAGCGTGTTTTTCTCTTCCTGATCAGATTCCACGAAAGACGCATACGACATCCATGTCTCGCGCGCTGTAGCGTACTCAACCTTTCACACCCGCCTGCACTCGATATTGTCACCGGTCTTGGTCCTTTGTGCTCGATCGAACAGCCATCATCTTAGATGCAGCAGTCGCTCATCTTGGGAGCCCATTGCCAGCGGCACTCCCGCCGCCCTGCACGTCCCTGGAAGCACCTCCAGATCTCATAACACCGCTCTGTGGCCCAGGCTGTCTCCTCAATGCTGTGATGACCGGCTCTTCTTCTCTCTTCTCTACCGTGCCTCGATCGCCACCAACAACCTGCCCTTCGGCAACTCTCGGCCCGCGCCTTAGAAGCTCTTCAAGTCCCAGATCGCGCCAAGTAGGCTCTTTCCTGGCTTGAGTCGCGCGCTGGATGCCAAAGGCTGCGTGCTGGTCTGGCACCACGTCGTCTTCGTCCTCAGGGTTCACAGGCTGGAGGTGGGGTGGGACGTAGATGTTTTCGGGCGCGAGTTGAGACGAGGCCAGGTTTGTGAATAATTCGAGGAGGTCGGCATGGTGAGAGGCGTGCATGTGCAGGTAGGTAGCTGACGAGTCGCGTGTCTGTTTGCTTAATAACATTCACTTTGACGCTGTGGGAGCTCGTACCATGATTGTTGACAACGGTTGGCTACTCTTCTCAGTGCTGTCAGTCGGCAGCGTATAGTTGTGGAGGTGGGTTGTTGCAAAGCATCAGACCTTCACCAGTTCGACTGTTCACCGCTTATCGATAAGAGCAAAATAGAAAGAGTAGCCGGGGTTAATAATTGAGAGTATCTTTAACCGAGCCCAGTGAAAAGGGTGAAAATCTCACCACGACGATGATCCAAGCTCATTGCATACAGAAAAAGGGTCTCTCGTAGCAACAAATCTCATCCAGGCCTTTCGATACAAAGCCCAGCCTCGCCGCTGCGAGCAACCGGTGTTCTTATGTTTGCGAATCAGAAAGGGTTTTGAGCGCATAGCCACAGTACTCAACTAGTGCCACCTGCAAACTAGATTTGCATGTCAATTGTACCTTCGTACCGCCATGATGTAATCTTTGAGATCTACAAGTATATCTTTCTGCATGGGCCTTCCAGAACTGCTTTACCAATGCTCCGGTCATCCCACGGCGAGGCGCGCCCTTTCCTGTGGGCAAGGGTGCGACTGGGCTGCAGTCTTTTCTTTCGCATTTCAGGGTTGAACAGCACCGGAATGTGTATGAAAAGCTCCAATTGTTCCATCAAGACCATCACTAATAATGCAGGGGTTCAAACACAAACACAACCGCACAATTCGATGAGCAGGTGGGAGGATGAAGGCTCCACCAATCCACAGATCATGCCTCGGCTAGTGAACCGCAAGTTCAATGGCCACCTCTGACCTGAGATACGACGACGATATGTACTGTCCCGTTCAGGTGCTCACTGTCTGAATGAGCATTCACGAGCTTTTTGCAAGGTCGCTTGCATGGCCGAGTGGGCGGAGCCCGGTCCTGACTTAGGCTCAAGACTATACTAAGTGATCTTCTGCTGCAGCAGCTTAAAGTACAACTTCTACTTGTACTCTAACTCAGAGTTATGCCGATTAGAGTCTGTACCTGTTGTCTATTGAGATGTGAGTCAATTGTGATAACAGTGGAGGAAGCAAGTAACCTAGCTCTTGGAGCAAGGATTTGAGGCAACTGCTAACGTACTCCACAAGCGAGCCGGTCACCCAAGCGAGCCGGTCACTTTTGCCAAGACCACGCCAAACTTCACTCTACCTTTAATGTCTTAACACAATAACACAAAAAAGCCTCTAAATAAGGCTAATATATAGCTTGCCTTACAGGCTATCTAAAAAGACGCGACACTCTCCTAGCAACGCGCTGCTGCAATCTACAATGTGTCTTAAAGCACCCTTAGTAACTAACTTGCTAGAACTACTTTATAACGCGATTGCAAGCCTAACATAATTAAGCTAGCTAGTACTAAGGAGGAGGTGATTGTCTGGCACGTACTAAAGCTAGATAAGCAAGGCTACTTGCCCTAGCTTGCTGATGTAGAGGATATGGCTAATTCTCTACTTGCTAAGCGCCACTAGACCCCTGTTAGCAAGAACTAGGCTACTAACTTTGTTAAATGTTAGCTAGAGCTTAGAGTTAAGTTTAATTAAAAGTATAACTATAAGAAAGCCCTTTGTAAGGATCCAAAGGTGATAAGAGACTAGGTTTGCCTAGTAGAGAATACTAAAGCTAAGTATGTAAAGAAAGTAGGGGAAGGACTAGACTACTTTCTTCCTAGTCTAGAAGGACCTAGACAAATCTAGACTAGCTTTGTTCAAATAGGAAGCGTATAGCCTAATAGAGGTAAGGTAGGGTTATATAATATAATAGACAAGTTATTATATTAGATACTAGGTAGAGATTCCTAGGCTAGGTACAGAGCGAACAGAGGGGGGAGAGCCAGAGGTATTTATGCTTCCTCTCCTCTGTCTGTATTTCTAAGCAGAACGTTCTAGACTCCTCTAGGTAGGTCTACTTTATCTATGCTTAGTATTGCTGTATATGCAAGCAAGATTACGTAGGTGTATGCGTAATTGTATACGTCAGCATCTCACAGAGTAGGCTACTCTATTTGTAAGCAGAGGGTCTAGAACATTTCTAGTTACTAAAAATAGAGAACAGCATATCTTAAGAACAAGAGGAGATACAGGCTTTGTAAGCACACCATTCTAATCCTCTCTTCTTGGACATTACAATAGCAATGCTTAGGTAAGCATAGCGCTATACTGAAAATGAAAATACGCTAGATAAAGATTATAAGAACAAAGTCTTATAACTTTACAAAGTATAGTATCTAGGATAAAGACACATACAACTTTAACAAATCTAGCTTTATAATAGGTGTTATATCTACAGGAGCTGTTGTCACAGGATCTAAGTGTTAAGGGAGACTAAAGACAGTGCAGCAGGGCAACTAGGAATAGACTAGTATTATCTAGGGTATTAACGCAAAGGGCTAGTCTATCCCCCCATTTATTATCTTCTCTAGCAAGCACTACCTCTCTGCCTAGTACAAAGAGCCTAGTATACCTAATAACTAGGTTCTTAATGTCTCTTGTAACAGAGTAGGGCTAGGCTGGCGGATGGGCAGGGTATGCTTTTTTACGTTTTGGCTTATAGCTTCTTAACTAGCAGAGATACGCTTACATAATCTATTATTCAATAGAAGCGCCTAGTATTGCGCCTTCTAATAAAAAAAGAATTAGCT